AGGTATATATTAATTATATACTAATAGATTTTATAAATATTATTTATATAATTTATCTAGATAATATTTTAATTTATTTAAAGAACCTAAAATAATATATAATAGTAGTCTAATATATATTTAAATAATTATAATAATACTAGCTTTTTATAAACTTAGTAAAATATAAGTTTAATATAGAAAAAATAAAGTTCCTGGAATTTGTAATTAGTTTAGATAATATAGAAATAGAAGCTAGACGAGTTATAGCTATTAGGAAATAGCTAGCTCTAAAGAATAATATTTGAGAAGTTCAAATATTTCTGGGTTTTACTAACTTTTATTAGAGGTTTATCTATAAATACTCTAGAATAATAAAAGAATTAACTAATTTATTAAAAACTAGTAGAAATCTATAATATTATTTTAGCTAGATAAATGAGATAAATAAGACTTTTAAAAAGCTATAAATTATATTTATAATAGTACTAATTCTTTATTATTTTAATCTAGCCTTAAAGATTTATATAAAAACGAATACTTTAGAATTTGTAATTATAAATATAATTTCCTAGCTTTTTAATAAGGAAATAAAAACCAGGTAATATTCTATTACTTTTTATTTAAAGAAAATAACTATAATTAAGAATAAATATAAGATATATAATTTAGAATTCTTGACTATTATTCTAGTATTTTATATTTAATAGTATTACCTAATATATATCCGGTATATTATTATTAAAAAAACAGATTATAATAATTTGAAATATTTTATAATTAAGAGAAAACTAAATAGTTAATAGATAAGATAAGTAAAGAAGCTAGCTATTTTCGACTTTATTTTAGAATACTGGCCGGAATATAGTAATTCTACTAATAGGCTATTAAAAAGGCCAGACTTTATAATAGAAGTAAATAAAAATACTTTATTATTTATATTTTATAATAAGCTATAGAATATAGAATAGAGAGCCCTATAAGTAATAGTAATAAAATACTATATTATTTTTATAATACTATAATTCAAGGCCCAGAAAAGAGAAAATAGGTATTTCTTAATTAGTAAAATATTAAATTCCGAAAAAGAAATCTATTTTAATAATAAAATAGTATTAGAAATATTACTATTTGAGTTTATTACTAGTATAGCTAGTTATAAGTAATATATATTACGAATTCTAGTTATATAAATAACTAGATCCGAAATAATATATAAGAAAAGCAGAAAAATATTACGTAAATTATTATTATAGTATTAAAGGCTTGATTTTTTAGTATAATACTAGTAATATAAATAGTTCTTAAAAGAAATCTTTATTAGAGTTATTAAGACTTAGGAACTTAATATATTTAGGTTATTAAAATATCGGGATACTATTTATATATTAAATAAACCGGCTCTTAAAAAAGAATTACTATAAGCTAATTATAATAATTCTATAAATAGGTATTTTAGTATTAGTAAAATACTAGAGATTCTCTAGAGAAAGTACTTCTAATAAAATATAAAAAAGAATATAAAAAACTATATTAAACTTGCTTTATATATTAATAAACTAAAGTAAAGAAATATTTACTATATAATATATTTAGTTTATTTCTTTTTTCTTTTAAGCTATAGTAAGAAATTATTATAGACTTTATTATAAGACTATTTTCTTCTAGGTTTTATAATAAAATATATAATTTTATATTTATTATTATTAATAAATATATAAAAATAATATAATATATTCTAATTACTAAAAAGATCTCGGCTCCTGAATTAGTAAAGCTATTTATATATTATATTATTAAAGACTTTAGTATACTTATAGGTATAATTTCTAATAAAAAATCTATTTTTATAAATAAGTTCTAGTTAAGTTTATATTTCTATTTAAAGATTTAATAATAGCTAAATATAGTATTTTATTTATAGACTAATAAATAAATAGAGAATCTAAACCAAACTCTGAAATAGTACTTAAGATACTATATTAGCTACTAGTAAAATAACTAGATAATAAAGTTTATTCTTATAGAATTCATATATAATAACTTTATATATTTAATAATAGAAATTTCTTTATTTTATATATTATATGAATTTTATTCTAGTATTAAATTATATATTAAAAATAATATTCTAGAAAAAGAAATACTAGTAATATAAGAAAGAATTTAAAGAATTTAAATAGAACGGGAAATAATAGAAAAATAATAGTAAAAAATAGTAAATATATAGAAAAAGTATTATAATAAAAAGTATATTAATAAGGAGTTTAATATATATAATAAAGTCATGCTTTATATAAAGAATATTTAATAGCTATAATCTAGTATAAAGTTAGTAAATAAATATTTTGGTTTCTTTAAAGTTCTAGAAGTTATAGAAATATATAAATAAATATATTACTTGAAATTATTATTATTATATTAGATCTATAATATTTTCTATATTTCTCTCTTAAAACTATAATACCCGTAAGCTAGTATTATAATAGAACTAGAACTAGTTAAGATTAAGAATAAAGAGGAATTCGAGATAAAATCTATTATAGTTTATAGAAAAAATAAAAAATAAAAGAAATATTTCATTTATTAGAAAAGCTATTTACTAATAAATAATATATAGGAACTATTAAGTAATCTAGAAAATATAGCTCAAGAATTATAAGAATATTTAGAAAAGAATAATATTATAATACTATTAGTTAAATAAAGATATAAAAAATAAATACTTTTATTAGAAAACTATTAAAAACTATATATTTATTTTTGGAAAAGCTATATAAAAATTATTAAGAACTTTAAAAACTCTAATTTCTATATCCTATAAATACTTTATTTTTATAATTACTTTCTATTATTCTTATTATTATTCTTATTAGGATTTTTTTAAGAAATAAGTAGTAAATTAGCTTATAAAGCTATTAGCTATTAGTAAGAAACGAGAAAAAAGTAAGCTTATTTAATACTAAAGAATATTAACTATATTATTAAGAATATTTTATATTTATACTAAGCTAGTAAGAATTACTTAATCTATTTCTTAGATTATTAGAAGAATTTATTAGCCTTAAATAATAGTTTTAATATAAGAAATATATATAATTTAATATAAAAGAAAAATAGTAATAGCCTTTTCTTTTTTAGGTAAAAGTTAGGAAAGATACTTATATATATTAATAGCTTAAAAAAGGTAGTTTAATTATATTATATATATTTAAAAACCTTAGATAATATTAGAATAGGAAATAAAAAAAGAAATTTATAACTTATAGGATTATATTTCTTATTTTTAGAATAATAGTAATTATATATCAAATAATTATTACTTTTAATATAAGTAAAGTCGAGAAACTTAGTAATATTTTTAGAATATTAAAAATAGTAAGAGTAAATTAAGGATATAGAAGTATTAGCTAAATAGGTAGTAATAGGCTAATAAGTACTAAAAGAAGTATTTATCTTAATAGATAAAGAAATAGAAAAGGAATTTAAATAAAGCTTAAAAGAGCTTAAAGAAGCTTAAAGAAGCTTAAAAAAGACTTAAAGAAAGAAGGCAAGAGATGAGAAGGAACTAGATATAGTATTATAGTTAAGGAAAAAAAAAGATTAGTTAATAGAAAAAGAGAGGCCTTTTTATAATATCCTTTTCCCAAATAGTAATTATAAATTCGGAACCGGTTCTATATTAGAAATACCTAGAAAATTCCAAAGAAGAGATTTATAAATAAACTAGAAGATCAAATTAACTTTTCTAAGCTCTTAGGCCTATAAAGTAATAATTTATTTATAAATAAAGGCTAAGTTGGGATTTATAAACTAATTAGAAGACCAGAAGAGCTTTATATCTAATAGTATATATTATACTCGTATTACTTTTATAAGAGGAAATTACTAGAGGTAATTTACAAGTTAACTAGATAGGGTTAATAAATTATATTTTTAATTCTATTACCTAATATAATAATAGAGTAATTATAGGAAGTCTTTAGAAAGAACTAGTAGCCAGGAAAGTTCAGGAGATTATTTATAAAGCTATTTATAGTTTTCTTAGGCCTTTTAGGAATAAGGGCCCAGAGAAGGAATTAATATAATAGATATATATAATAGTATATAAATAGGTATTAGATATTATAGATCTAGTTTCCTATTTTAGGTAAAGCTTATAATTAGAATTATATGAATTATATAAGATTATATTTCCTAGTTAAGTAAAGTACTTTATAGGTTTAGCTAAATATTAGGGAATATATAAGGAAATGCTCCTAGCTTTAAAAAGGGATATTAATTAGTCTTTTATTAGAATTAATTCTTGGAATTAGTTATACTTGCAAGTATTACTTTATAGCTTACTTACTTTAACTACTTATACTTTATCTTATTATTATATATCTTATATTTATATATATTAAATACTTTTTTAAAAACTTATAATAAATATATAAAATAATTAATAGCTTTTAAAAAATAATAAAATATTATATATTTATTATTATTATTAAATATATTCTTGTTTTTTATAAATATTATTAGGCTTAGTTTTAATTTTTATAATTCGAGATTATAATAATAGAACTTATTATATTATTAGGTAAATCTCTATAGAAAGTTCCCTAAAACCTAATACTAGGGAATTATTTATAGAAGTTACTAGAAATATAGTATTTTAATTACTATTAGTTTATAGAACTCTAGTATAGAAAATAAAACTAGATAAGTCTATAATTATATTATTAGATATCTAATTTTATAATTAGAACCTATTATCTAAAGATTAGAACTTTCTAATATTTAATTAATTAAATCTTTCTTTTATAGAATTTATAATTATAGTTTGAATATTAGAGGTAAAGCTTTTTCGTAAATAGAAGATGGCTCGTATCGAATCACGTATCAAGAAGACAAGCATCTCGGCTGGGCTAGCGTATCCCAGTTTGGCCTAGTCTTGCCCCTTTTCTCGCTGGACTGGCTCTCTTGAGCCCTAACTCCTCCAGCCAATCAATCATATCCTCTCTATCGATGAGTCTTTACTCTCGGATTTCCATGTACGGCACCAGAATATTCACAATCCCTGCCTCAATGAGTTCCTCTGCCCTCTCAATCTGATCTGGGGATCCGTGGATCGTAATTTCATACTCCTCCAAGGAGCCCAATTCCCAGCAAGTGGCCCGATCAGTGGGATATCTCTGGTCAAATTCCACCTCTACGCTGACATCTGCAGTGGACGTGTCCCAGGCGGTACAATAGATGGAGCGAGCCATGTCCTTGATGTACGGGTCAGTTCGATCCGCGTTGAAGGTCATAGTCTTCTTTCCACAATGTGCAAACGGGTAAAGGCTCATCATCTGGATGGTTGGCTTGCATGCACCGGTCCACTTATTCTGGCCGACGCTGCCCAGGCCACCGTTATCAGATTCCATGCGGGCAAGCTCTCTTGTCACATTTACTTTCCACTCTCTCTGTTGGTGAGTAGAAGCGTCATATAATTTGGAGGATAAGCCGATAGATTGGGTTTCGTCCCGCCAAATCCATCGATCCATAATGATAAAGAGATCTTTCAACCCTTTGCAACCCGGCCAGGAGGTATTGCCTTCAAGGACATCAGGATCATATCCGTGAAGTGCCTGTAGTCCAGTGATGCCACCGATCGCCGCTTCACCTCGTTGTACGCCGAGTGTGTCGGAAGCCTCCCACGTGCAACACCGGTCATATGGTTGTGACAACTGGCCCTCGATTGCTACGCGTTGGATTTCAATATCCTTCCGCAGAAATGCAGCGATAGAGGAGACGCATGTCTTGCGTCCAAGGTACACAATGTCAACTTCGGGGTTGTGGTTGCGAGGGGGAACTAGCCCCTTCATGGGCAGCCTGCTCGCCGTCTTGTCCTGATGCTGGATCTGTTTCCCAGACCCTCGGTTCGTACTCGGAAACGGTTTTGGACCTGATCTTAGATTCGGCTTCCAGAGCATCATCAGCTTCTAGTCTGAAGTAGAAGAGCATGAATTTCCCAGGTTCTTCCACAGGCCATCGCTTCTGCCGTTTCCGGTACTCGTTTATGGCGGTACACTCCACCATCTGGAGATACGGGACAATCTCGCCTCCTGACTTATAATAAAGGCGTATGTCATCATTCCAGGAGTCACTGGCACAACGGACAATCGCGAACAGGACATACAGCGTGGAGGGGCGGCCACAGCCAAAAGTGTCCTTGCTGGTTTCCCACATAGTCTCGCCCTCGAGCCTGACGGTTCTCATGGACTGGAAAGTGTTCCGTTTGTCCGTCAAAGCAAGAGTATACTCAATTCGTAAGAAGGGGGGCCGTCCTACGTATGGGTAGTATGTGATTTCTTCGTGTGACACTTTGTCCAGGGGCAACCGCTCATTGAGATAGTCTTGCAATGAGCTGCTCCCGTCCCAAGGTCTTAGAGCATTGATTTGTATCAATGGATCTAACAGCCGCACTGTCAGAGGAGCATCTGGGGCGCTTCGGGGCCGACTCGGGGCATAGCAGCAGTAGAAGCTGAATTGTGGACTCGTGATGAAGATGTGGGACAGCTGCGGGTGATGGACAAGTGTTTCGAAGGAAATGCCACTCATGCAATTCCTTGCGAGCACATCCCCACCAACCAACGGCTTCAAGATGGTGTACTTTAGGTGAAGATCGTGGTCCATTATGCGTCCCACCTCTCGCTCCGAAGATTCCACCAGCGCGCTTTCTGCGGCCGTTAACTGGGCTTGCACCATCTCTGCGTCGAAGGTACGCAGGGCTCGCATGAGGATGATGAGAACATCAATACTCCTGGTATCAACGTTTCGGCCCATGATTTTCAGGGCGTTCATCCTGGTGATATCATTTTCCCTTAGTCTTTCTTCGCCAGGGTCCTCACAGTCTAGTCTCGTGCCTTTGAACGGTCGACGGAATAGCAGTGAGACCATGTGCTCATATGGCTTGTTTGGGTATGCCATTTTGCATAGGGGAGGGAGCTTGTAATCTGGAGCTCCCATTTTGGGGTTTGTATGTCGTTTCGTCTTTGACGCTGACATTGTTTTTGGTTTGTTGTTGTCAGGAGAAGAGCGAGGAGGGTGTTGGGATATTTAACGGCATGGGGTCCCATTCACCAACCTTCCGGGCCGACAAAATTTAGGATTTTTCAGGTCAGTATCTCTATGAATCATTTTGTAAATATCTGCTCCGCCATAGCCCAGAATGACGGCATTTAGAAAACAACACTGGATTTTACACAGGGAGGACAACTCTAGCAATTGCAGATTACGACGATGCAGCAAGGCGCGATCGGGCTCCTCCCTCTTTCATCTCCCCCCCCCCCCCATGACAGAGTCAGTCAGGAAGATGAATGCCTTGCTATCTCCAGGTCAGGACCGTTCGGGAAAATGGGCGCAATATGACCGAGTAGTGATGTGGACAATGTGTGTCTCGGCCAGCTTCGAATGCTGGCAGGCTACGACATTGAACCTCGTGGGATGTACGCAGATGGAGGAGGTTTGGATGAAGAGAAGTCCGTACCGCCACTCGAGCTTCTCGTTGTAGAACATAAATACCCTGAAGGGCGTTGGTTAGTGGCTTGGGCTGCGGTATACCGACATATTTATTGCTGGACACTCTACACTGCGGAGAAGAACGTTCTGCTGGGAAGCATAAGCATTCATCATGCCTGCAAGGAGCTGTGAGCCTCATGTCGACATTTTTGTTGAAGACATTTAATTCTAGTGTTCAAGACTTGAGTGTCGCGCAAATCTTAGAAGCCTCACCCTGCAGTACCTTCTGTCCTCTGTCCTGTCTTGCGTGCTTGTTGGTCATGGCTTATTCAACCGGGAACCTAATGAGCAAACTCGTCCTTCGCCATTTTCGCTCAAGTACTAAGTGACGATACGATTAATTTAGACAAGTGTGCTATTAAATTTTACATTCCCGTTCTTATAAAAGAGTGAATGCGACCCTTCCTAGCCGACGCGTGAACCCAGAAACGCGAACAACGATCAACCACAATGCCACCAATTATTACATCACGCAAAGATATTTACGCAATGGAGCAAGATCCTCCGATGGCAGGAAATACAGCCAAGAAAAGGCATCGTGAAGACGAATCAGACTCCCCTCCCCAAACGCAACAAAAGCGTTCCCGACGGACGATCGAGTCGTCGGACGAGGAAGACCCCGAGGAAGACTCTGATGAGGAACCTTCTTCCGATGAGGAAACCTCCTCCGGCGAGGGCTATCGGAAGTCCAAGCCCAAGCCCAAGCCCAAGCCGAAAAAGAGAGGCCGCAAGGCAAAGCCTCAGAAGTCGACGAAGCCGAAGCTGAATCCGAAACCGAGGCCAAATCTGAAGCGGAACCAAAAGGGAAAGCAATCGACCGCGGTTCCAGTTGAAAGATCTTCCTCAGAGTCCTGGTGGTCCAGCTCTGGGGAAGAAAACGACAACCAAGAAGAGCTCGATATACCCGATCAAAAGTCCAATTTCCAGCCAGACATCCAATACAATGAATACTGGACGGAGGGAAAAGAGAGGAGGCTTCGCAAAGATTGGTCACCAGATGACGACTTTATCATCGAAAAGTCGTATGCGGATGAGATTTCACTCTGGAGGAAAACTACAATCATCTTCAAGTGTGCTCCACAGGACCTCGTCGAAGCGGACGTAGGGGTGCAACCAGGCGGTCTCATCACCAACAAGCAGACGGGGACCAAATGGCGCAAAAACCCAAATTGGAGTCAGAAGTTTTGCATCGCCATGTCAACAATTATCTGCCTGCCATTTTGGAAGGGGAAACCCGAATTCTTTCGATACGTCCTGCGTAAGGCACTCCATCTTCGGGTGGGTACTGGAGATGAGAAGCGACGGGCGCCACCACTGCCCTCCGATGATAACATATACGTCAACGCCATGCTCGACAGAATTCAGGAGCAAGTCGTGGAGGCAGGAATTGTTGGAGAAGACAATTTGCACCACTTGAGAACCATCATTCAGAATGAGATAGAACGGAGAATGACCCCAGAGCACTGGAACTTCCATAAATATCTCAAGGTGGTGAAAACGGGGGAAAGAGTCACAGACAATGACGATTCATGCAAGCTCCAGCTCTGCGATTTGGACAACATCCAGAGCGCCTGGAATTTGTATACAAAAACCGAGAAGCTTCAACTTCCTACAATGGAGCAATATCGGGACAATTTCAATACATCGAATCCAAATAGGGGATTCGTTTCTCTTGGCAACACTCAAGCCAGACAAGACAATTTCAAGTCTTGGGAAAAGGAATGGATGCTCAAGGTTCGTCGTGATTCTCAGATTCAAGAGAATGTGAGATTGCACGAAAATCGAAGGCAGGCCTCTGAGGAGCAGCAGGTTGATGATGAGATGCAATTCGACGGTGGCGCCAAGTAGAGGATTAGTGGTAGTGAGTCTTGTAGAAAGAACAATTCACAATGCAAAGCAGTCAATAGAGTTAATGCAATATGTTATTGTGGGCTGAAATCGATTCTTCATCCCTCATAAATGAAGCGTGGAGCTATAATTTGGTCTCTATCTAAATTGATCTGCAATTGTAGTAGTGGCCCAAGTCGAAGCGGGTTGCTCGAGACTGGATATATCCCAGAAAAATAGTGTAACGGGACTTGAGAGTGTTCCCCGAAACCAAGAGAATATTCTCGTCGGTCCAAATTCCAACTTGTAGTAGCGGAGGGCTAAAATTTGTGATTTGTGACAAGTGCGAAGAACATGGAGATGAGAACAAGAGAGGAGCAGAATGGTTTGATACGATTTAATGAGTTGCCCTTGTCCTGCTATCTAAAACTATGGAAGGAGAGGAAGCATCCTACTTCCTTCATTGTGATCCAAAGTTTCCAGTTTCGAAGCATCCAAGCTTCAAGATATTGCTGCGAAGTTTAGGCGGCAATTTGGGAAATTGGGTCGAGTTTTCGACCGGCCCAGCAGAAGTATCTTGGCTATCAACAGACAAATGCTGCGATGCTTGATTAATCATGGACTGTTTCGTTGTACCGACTGCACCCTCGTTTTGAGAGTGATCCAAGTCGTCTAGCAAAGATCCGGGTAGGTTTAAAAGAATGCGAGGTCGGTTTGAAAATAGTTCCCAGTCGTCTAGACTCTGGAAAGGGATCCGACTTGATTTGAAAGAATTGCAGATTGGATTGCAGGAGATCCACATCATTTGCCATGGTTGAAGTAAAACTCGAGGGCGAAGCCCGGCGATGCGTCACCCAGAGAAAGAGTGATGTCCTCAAGAGCGACTTGAAGGGACGAGTCGATGATTGACCGTTCGGATATTGGGTAGACATATTTGCATGCCCACCTACAAAAGAGCTTGCGGAGAATGGTTTATATAACTGTCTCACATGTTGTCTCTGTCTGAGTCTTCATCATCTGCAAAGTCTCCTGTCCTAGTTCTATCAGCGGCCCCGATCATATTTGATATAGAAGTTTCCTCGATTTGCGCATCTACATTATCGGCAGCTCTACTGTCTTCGTAATCTTGGATGTTTTCATGACCAGAGTCTTCTGACTCTAGATCTGTCTCTGGGACTTCTGTTCTGCCATCCCTCAGGGCATGACGGGGACGAGGTGTTACTGATCTCCTGGCCTCTGCTGACGACCGTGACTCCTCGTCTGAAGAAACATTGCTCGTTGCAACATGCTGCGAGTTTTGCTCACTGTCTGGTATGTCGGGAGTTGGCCCTCTTCCGCCCAACTCCACGGACCCTTGCTCGGAATCCCGTGAATCGTCATCTTGACTTTCCTGGGTACCTCTTGGTCTGGGTCTGTTTCCCAACTCCACTGAACCTTCATCTGGAGTCAGCATCGCGCTTGAATCATCTTGAGAGTCCGGGATCTCTGGTGTCGCGCCTCCGAATCCTGAGGTAGTTGTCGAGAACGTTTCTTGAGTTGATTTTTGATTGCGAATGGTGTCCAAGTCTGAGCTGTTATCTCTGTCTGACATACTATCTGTCAATATAGACGAAGAGTCTACAGCTTGTCCAGTTTCTGCCACATCGTCAGACTGGTGCGGCGTCGAAGCTGCGACCTCTGGCACGTTCGAAGTATATGGAGGAAAAGGGAATGTATCTCCCCCTGTGCACGTGTCAGTCGAAATATTACTAACTACAATCCATTACTTACAGTAATATCTCCAAATTCTGACAGCGACGAGATGGGCAAGGTAGTCCCCCGGTGCTCCCGGGTAGGTCTGCCTTAATTGTGCCATCTCTGAAGAGTGTCTCTGCCAGAATTCTGTTTGTGATTCTCGGCCTTCTTCAAGACATCTTCTTTCGATAAAAATTATTTGAGATTGATATGGTGGCATTGTAGATATATGGTTGGTAGTTTTTGGTTTTTGGTGTGTTAGGATACTAGAAAAGGGGCGGCCGCTGTTGTTTACTTGATCACGTGCACGCTCGGTAACATAAGGTATCATGGGAGTAGAGGTTAACTAGCTGAACGAGATGCAAAAGTGCAAAAAGTGATTACAACTACTGTGAAGTATATGGTCGAGGCGGCTAAAGCCATACAATGGGGAGAAGCATCCAAACAGATAGGCTGAGCCGTCAAAGATGGATCTCTTGCGGATGATCCAAGTACAAGTAATTGACGTTCAAGCTCAAAGTAACAGCAACTTGACTTTGATAGGATTTGCTCGGATTTTGTCAGAATGTACAAATGGTGGTTTAGATGTAAATATATTATCATTGTGAACCAGACTGAAGCAAAAAATATGAAAGCTCTATATTTAAACTAAAAAAGGGAAATCGATCGGGGAAAATGAACAAAGAAGAGAGCATATAGAGACAGTTGGAGTCAAACCAAGTCAATACCGCCAGTCGAGACCCAGCAGTTCGATGCTAGGAATGGCCTTCAACTGAAGCCAGAGGCTACACTACCAGAAATCGCCGTTAGATAGGTCAGGTGAGCCCTATAGTTGAACTGTGTCCCTTATGAATTGTCGAGCAAAAGCTTATTTCAATGAATAAGAAATTATAGTCCAGACTCCACCAAATCTTGGCAGACACTCGAACCGCATCTGCCAGTCTCTATAATATGCAGATGAACTCCAGCACTCAGCGCTAAGCGCTACGAATTCAAGTACCCCGCAATTTACAGTATGCAGGGAAGTATACCACTTCATAGAAATTATTTGACTTTACAGGAGAATTTAGAAAGCCTTGAGGCTGTATTTGTCTTCAGTATTCTCATTCCAAAACATCAAAGAAAAATTGAACCGATTCGATAATCAAGCCAAATGCTGTTGAAGTTCACAGTTGGATTGATTTTGAGCGAAGAACTGGGTGAGAAGATAGGTCAGGTGTCCAGTTTGTGATTACAGCTTTTAGATTGTCAACTTATTGTTATATTTACATACTACTGATTCAGTCAAGCTTAATGGCATGATTTCTAGCTCTATTCTGTCGATGTTTCCTCCTCTCCTTCGGTATAGGAGCTTGAAGTACCGCAATTTCGAATCTCTAAGCCTTTCAGCTTTGCTGGGGGAGCGTACAGGTACAAGGACACATTCAGCTGTTTTGAATGGATAATTATCATATCCATCCGCCCTTGCTTCTCCCCCAATAAATAAATCCAACAATATTTTCCACTCTCGGCAACGAATTAGAAAGAACCAATCATAGAACTTGGCGCAATTACTTTCCTGCTCAACGCCGCTGGAAACCCCGCTCCCGCTCCTTTCCCAACCCGTTCTTACTTCTCAAGAGAGAATATTAGCGTTGTGGTTGGCCGAGTATGGTTTTCTTCTGCGAGGCCTCTAATTGGCCCAAGACTTCCGGTCAGGTGACGCGGGGGCACCCTAAAGATCCAGAGGACAAATAGGCAGAAGTGAACCACGTACCAGGTTGACGAATTACCAGGTCAAATTCACGTTACGTAAGGACACAAGAGATTTCAAGAATTGTAATTGATTCCTGAATAGACGCGTGAAGCTCGTAGAAGCTTTGGAGCGAGGCTAAATACTCCTTAGCGCAATAATCAAGCGAAGTGTGTGCCTGAGGCTTAAGCGAATTTTCCCCCTCACAACGACACTTCGGCGGCCTACATGCGTGCCGCCTCGGCGTGGGTCCGGTATAAGGCGCGGAGGAAACATCACGTAATAAGACGGGAATCGTAAAAGGAGAAGGTATAAAGGGAGTGAACTTGGCTCTGTTTCTCTTTTGTCTCTTTGCATGTGTGCCTGCGGCTTTGTCGCGGCCACGGAAGGAGATGCGACAAGGCCTCGCATCACGTAAAGGATGGCTTGGCATAATCTAACTTACCTCAACTACTTGTAAGGTTACGAGCTATACTTTGCTTTACTTTCGTCTTATGCATTAGATTGTTGCTATCAGATTCCCGTACCGGTAGTCAAGGGTTGTGTTCGTCATCGATTACGCTGCTGCTTTCTCCCACTTTCCGGTGTTGCGCGCGTTTTTGTTTCGACGTGTTGCTGCAGTCAGCTAATTCGTCAAACACCCATCATCACTCTCTTCGTGCTGCCCGTCTGGTACTTTGTGGTTTCTCTCATGCAAATCCAAGAAGGCATGCGAGCGTTCTAGCCCACGAAAGATGAGCTTCTCTTCTTCCAAATATCTACCTTACTCCAATCAGCTGGGGGTCTCCGGCTGGATCAGGCACATCCGATCATCTCTTCCTGGGAGAAGCCTGGTCCTTGATTGCACGGTATCGCGATTCGCGACCAGGGGTTGCACGGAAATCGATTGATTGCTGGTAAATTGGTGGTCCATCACCGCCACGAGTCGCGGTTTATGATCAGTTGAGGGGACGAATGCGGAGGCTGCGAATACGGAGGCTACGAATACGACCGCGACCACCAGCCCGCCACTGATCCGTATGCATGGACGCTGGATTAGAGTTAGCGACAAGCGGTCAGGATGATAAGAAAACCGGAAACTCACCGCCCACCACCTCCCCCTTAATAATCTTAACCTTATTTCTGAATGGGCCGCCTGTTCAGGGAGGTATGAAGCGCAAAATCGAGATGGAAGATCATCCCCCGGCTGCGCGGTTAGCTGTTGTAGCTATTCAATGCTTCGAGAAGGTGTTGTCTCTGATATGTCTTCTTGGCAATATGCGGTTCTACAGTACACGGCGATGCAACGACAATACCCCGGCTTGAGAAGGGGGTAAACCCGAGCAACGAATGGGACATGCAGCCTGCAGACGTCTGATGTGGACAAGTTGCGGGTATTCCCTCTCGGCCAGACTCCAATCCTTTCCCAGTGCCGGCCTGTTTGCGGACCTTCCCCCAGCGAATGATCGCCAGGGTGCCGGACAGGGTTGAAGAAGATTTGCTACGATCCCTGCTGTGGGGTGCGCCGAAGATATGCGGAGATTCTCACTTGGTCTAGAATCCTGGCCTCTCTCAAACGCCTTCCTAATTCTCCCAGCCTCTCAGGGCTGAGGGCAGCACAGTCTGCAGAACTGACTTTTGCAAATATTGGCTGCGTAGGCTCCCCCACGGTTGGTGTCACACCATGGAGCGCTTTGTCCTTATCCTGCCGGGCTTGTGGGTTGAGTCATATATCGGGGCGCCGCCGAGGGCTTGCCCAGCTCTTCTAGCCTACCCTCATAGGATTGCCATTGAATCGTTGCTGGTTTCGCAGAGGAAACATGCCGGCCACTGACCCCAATACCACCAGCCTCGGTGGCCTCGACACAACGGAGGCCAAGACCGTCGATGTTCCCAGCCACGGAGCCACAAACGCAGAGGTGGCCATCAACGAGAAGACCGGCTACACTTTCGAGGACGCAGAGGTCGCCGAGGATGACGGCGAGATCAAGGCTGCCCCCCTTCCTCTTTACGAAGGCGGTGAGACCGAGAAAGGCAATGGCAGTGAGGACGTTATCATCATCACCGGTGCCGATGCGTCGAAGCACCTTCTGCCCATCAGGGACGATTTTGACCCCGCGTTGACCTTTCGAAGTCTATTCTTGGCTACTTTCCTCTCGGGTTTCCAGGCTGTCATGACCCAGATTTACAACGTAAGTGTCAGTCCCCAGGAGGAATACTTGCACCAGTGTTCGTTGGGACCAATTATTTCTCCTGGCCATTCAGTCAACGTAACTCATATGCTGACCCTCCATCCAGTTCAAACCGACTTTAGTCAGCATCCAGGGCACTTTTATCGTCCTCATAGCCTACTTTCTCGGCAGGGCGTGGGCCAATGCTCTCCCCCGTGGTGATTACTTTGAGGCTAGATGGAGGGCGAAGGGCGGCCAGGGCAAGATTCCAACGTGGATCCGAGTCGTGTCATTCTTCAATTATGGACCGTGGGGCCTGAAAGAGCACGCAATCTGCTCTATCACTGCCACGTCCGCCTCCAACGCTTCCGCCAGCGTTACCGTGTTCGCGGCACAGGACCTCTTCTACAACCTGCCCTTGAGCGCGACCACTGTGGTCTTGAGTACCATCTCGATTGGGCTCTTCGGCTACGGCATCGCCGGTCTCTTACGTCCCATTGCCGTCTGGCACGTCGACGCCGTCTACTGGAGTGCCCTTCCCACGGTCAAGACTCTCCAAGGTCTCCATTGGCAAGAAATCAAGAGCTCCAAGCCTCTCCGATACTTCTGGTATGCTTTCACGGGCATGTTCTTCTACGAGTTCTTCCCTGCCTACATGTTCCCATGGCTCAATTCAATCTCCATCCCCTGCCTAGCCTCGATGCACGCTACTGGCAACAAGGCGTCTATCCTCACAAACCTCTTCGGCGGGTCCCTCAACAACGAGGGAATAGGGCTTTTCAATATGTCTTTCGATTGGCAATATATCACATCCTTCAACACTGCTCTGCCCCTCAAGCTGCAAGCCAACCAGGCCGCTGGGTATCTTGTCTGCTTTGCCGCCATGCTCGGCATCTACTACTCCAACACCTGGGATGCAAAGTCGTACCCATTCATGTCAACCAGACTTCTATCAGCGGATGGCTCATTGTATCCCATCACGAAAGTGTTCACAAGTGGTGTCCTCAACCACGATGCTCTGGCCCAGTACGGCATCCCCAGTCTCAGCGGAACTTTTGCATACGCACTGTTCATGGCAAATGCTGCCATCGGCGCTCTAATTGCTCACTGCGTCCTCTTTTGGGGTGGTGACATCAAGAGGGCGTACAAGAGCGCAAGAGCCGAGAGCTACGACGACCGCCATCATAACCACATGGCCAAGCATTACAAGGAAACACCATGGTTGTGGTATGGTGCGGTGCTTCTTTTCAGCTTCATCCTCGGTCTCGTCGTTGTCATCAAGGAGAACATTTCCCTTCCGCTTTGGGCATACGTTGTCTCGCTGTTGTTGGGAATCTTCATCGCACCCTTCAGCTGCATTATCTACTCTCGTTTTGGCAATGGTATCGCCACGAACAACCTGTCTAAGATGTTGGCGGGTCTGATGCTTCCCGAACGCCCCGTTGGTAACATGTACTTTGCCGCTTGGTCGCACAATGTCATCGAAAACACGGTTCTCCTGTGTAATGACCTGAAGATGGGTGAATACCGTAAGTGTCATCTTTCCTACACCATTCGTGGACTCCGATGCTAACCACCCATACAGTCAAGATCCCACCTCGTGTCATGTTCCTTACTCAAATTTATGGTACTGTCTTGGGTGGTTTCGTCAACTACGCTGTCATGATCTCCATTGTGAAGGGCAACCGCGATCTCCTCATTAACAGCAACGGTGACGCTTCCTGGTCCGGTGCTACCATCCAATCTTACAACACCAATGCAACTTCTTGGGCGCTGGCCAAGTACCTCTACAAGACGGGCGCCAAGTACCACATGGTACCCATCGGATTGGCTATTGGCGCCGCAATTGTGGCTGCCCACCGCATCGTCTGCCATGTAAGTGTACCTTATTTACCCCTTTGATAGTCCCGCTGACTCTGTTCTCTCAGTTCGTCCCCAAAATTCGAGGCTTCGCACTCGACAATATCAACATGCCCCAATTCATCCAATTCGCCGGCTACATTCCTGCCAGCGCGTCCCAGACCTGCGTCATCTTCAGCCAGGTCATTGCTGGGTTCTTCGTCCAGTTCTACCTCCGAAACTACCGTCCCCGCATCTTCAAGGACTACTCGTACCTTGTCACGGGTGCTTTTGACGGCGCCAGTCTTACGGCACTGTTCATCCTGTCCTTTGCCGTCTTCGGCGCCGGAGGACGCGCTATTCCCTTCCCCTCGTGGTGGGGCAACAACGTCAATGGGAACTATGATCTGTGCCCTACGGGAGACTAAGCTGGACTCGTCGGACGTGACTGCTTTCCGTCAGCACCGAATGGCCTTATGGTTGTAATTGGATACAAGAGTTGTATAGAAGAAGGCTCTGTATATTCCGATTTAGGTACATCTGTGATGATAGATCCTCGCACTAACCTGATGAAAAGTTTTGTCTTTTATGCCACTCTAAATCTTGTCTGATAAGTCCAAAGCTAGTGAGAGTTACACGTGTCTCAGGATATGATTTACAAACATGATCTTATCCATTAGTAAAGAGTTGAGCGTCTGTCGACCCTGCCATGTAAAAGTGGCTTGGAGAAGAAGGCAAGGCCCTCACCAAGGATGGCTTTTACCTGTGAGCTGTGAGAGTCAGCGGAGCCCAGAGAAGTGCCAACCAACATTGGACTTTCAACTAAGTCCCGATTATTTTCAGGTCGCATCGATGCACATCAAAGATTTGTAATTTTATGTGTTATTCAGACTAGGTGTGTCAAAACAACTGGTTAGACCTCGTTCTAATGCACGAGAAAAAAATCAACGTCATTTACTTGCCAGATGCAAGCAAACGCAGAATAAACGCAAAGCAGGCCAACGCCAGGGTATCTACCGAAACGCCAAAGCAATGCTCTAGCAAACCAGTCTATCACCGCGACAGTATTCTGTAAAGGAAAAAGCAATTTGATGTGAGAAAAGAGAAGTGCTAGGCAAATTGTCGATCCATAATCTTCGTCTCCGTGTATGTGTGTGCGCAGCACGTCGATATCGTCCGCAGGTCATCTCGAAATGTACTCCAACAATGCAAATTTGAGTGGCGTGTAAGGTGAAAGCAGTGCGATGTATCGAAAAATCAGTCTCTCCAAAGCAAATACTTATTTCACGGAGAAACGAGATTGCAGAGGAAAGCAGCGTCCACAAAGGCATACCGGTAGTCTAGTATCTCATCCCCATCCAACAGCCGATACGCAACAACACAGGTGATCCGGCAAATGACTTATTCGTAGCCAGCATAGCCTTCGTAATGGTTGGCATCCAGAAGTCGAGGGTGAACCATTCCAAATGGATTTGGGATGACACCGAGAGCCATGTCGAGGCGAGCATCTCCGTCGGTCGAGAAGCCTGCGATGTGCGGACTGCGATGGTTGAAGGTCGCGTCCAGCTTGAGGTCGCCTCGACCGACAGCAAGATGAGCAAGCTTGAACAAGAAGAAGCAGAAGTGAGCGATGTAGGTGCCGTTGGGAAGGGGGATACGGAACATCATGCAAGTGTGCTTGCCGCCGTCGTGCGTAGTCATCTCCCACGGCTTACCGGCGAATTGGAGGTTGTACGCTCGTGCGTAGGTTCGGAACTCCTGAAGAGTATAGATCTGTGCCAGCTGTCTGTCGACTTGGAGAAGATCACAGAGGATAAGCTTGTACTCCATCTTTCCGTCATCAGCGTTGTCATCGGCAGGGCCAGGAATGGTGTATGGCTTCCTGGCAGCAGAAGATTGAGAGCTGGTAACACTGTGAAGCTGACTGTGGGAACCAGAGCTCAAAGAGCCTTGATGTTGACCAGACGGTTTGGAGTTAGAACCAAGAGGTTGGTCATCTGCTCCAGAGCCGGAAGCATGAGGTTGGTCGCCGAAGGCAGATTGAAGGTCACCTTGTGATTGTGTACGGGCGGGATGTGTACCAGGCAAACACTTCTCAGCATATTGCTTGCGGGGAGCAGCGCGAGGGCGAGTGGGAGTTGGGCTAGGAGCCATGGCTCGGGAGGATTTGGTGGTTGGTCTCTTGGCAGAGCCCTTGCCTTCAGTAGCCTCGCCCTCTTCCTTGTACTCGCTGATATCCGTGTCCTCCGACTCGTCATCCTCATCCTCCTTGTAGTTCTTCGAGGTCACTGCTCTGCGCTTGCGCTTCAGAGAGAGGGGGGTTGTCTCGAGGGGGCTGGAGAAATCAAGCTTCCTGAATATAGTTCTGCCGGAGGTGGATCGATGCTTTGAAGCTGGAGTACGCTTACGGGTGGAAGTCGGAGTCGTGTAATAGACGTTCTCTCCATCTTCGTTCTCTGATTCGTATGCCTCGTCGAGATCAGAGTTCGCGCCCAATAGATCCTCAATCTTGATGTTCTTCTCCTTCATCGTCTGACGGCCGATTATATTCTGGACATCACGCTTCGAGTTGAGTCTCTTGTTGTTCTCCTTCACCTAGGCGGGAGTTAGCATCATTCCCCGAATGAACCTAATCAGGAAGAACTTACGCTGGCTTCATTCTCTGGAGCGTCAATAAGGCGGCGGTGGTAAGGAGGGTCAAGAAGCTGCTTGCATGTGGCCTTTGAGGTCTAGAGTAGTAATCAGCAAGAACATCATGAGTTAGGATGTATTCAATCTACCTTGCAAACATCCACAATCTTCTCCATCCGGTGCGCGAAGGAATCGTACTTCTCCACCTTGGTACCGTGGTGCGGCTCGACGAGTTGGACTCCGTAGTGGGCCGTGGAGCATTCGATCTAGAGAGGGCATATCAACATCAATTACAGTGGAAGAGCAGGACAGAACTTACAACAATTCGCCAGCAAACCATCTCAATGGCCATATCAGGATAGTAACTGCCACCAAGCCGCTGAGCCGACTGGGCGGGTTTACCATTCTTGCAAGGCTTGTCTTTGATATCATTGACATTCTTGAAAGCCACGAAGAGCCGACCAATCCAATACTGCATCGAAACATCATCCAAGTCAGGTCCTACAGTGCCAAGTCTCTTCAACTCCCACAACTCTTTGTTGATCCGATTCTCCTTGTGGTAGTCGGCCTGGGTGGGAAGAAGACCCTTGTAGACACCATCGGCAATCATAATGTCAAGCGCCTGCTGGTGTCTGTTTCCTTGGTCGGACTCGACTTCGTACTTGATATCTTCATCGCTAGCCTCCTCTTCGTACCGGTCTTCTTGGTAGGCTGGGTCGTCGTCCTGGCCATCTTCTTGGCTGGATAACTTGACTTGACCGTCGTCCTGGGCATCTCCAATGCTGACTTGGCCGTCGTACTGGAGATCTCCCTGAAAGCCACCCAAGCCATCAAGGGCAGCCAGCTGATGAGACTGAACCTTATCCAAAGCAACAGCAGCGGCCTCAAAGTCATCAGGGGTAGCCGGTTGATGAAACGGATCCTCATTCAACGCAGCAGCTGCGGCCTCATTCAAGTTTTGCTGGTAGACCTGCGCAGGGAAGTCCCAACCCTCATTGCTGGGGTATGCGCCGTTGTCCCCGGTGGGGCTTCCGGTCCAGTTTTGGCTCATCTTGCTCGTTGGGTTGGCCCTTGGAGATACCTAGATGCTGTTAGTTGGGAATATTTTATGAAGCGAGGAGGCGTACCGATGAATCTTACGAGATGAGCCTGAGATAGTAAAGAATGTTAGCTTTGTACTGATTTGCGTCTGGCTTGAAGTCTGGGAATGGTGTTTGTATGATGGAAGGAATGGACTGTGGAAGGGGGTGGTGCAGATGCAGCCTGGAGTGGAGGGGAAAGTGAGAACAATGCGGTAGCAATTTTGCGCAAAGCAAAATCGCTGAGAGTATTTAGAAGTGCGTTGGAAGAAAATTTCTCCCAGCCGAACAGTATTGTGGAGGAGTCTTTGGCATAGGGAGAAACAAACTGTGCGCAATGTGGTGGAAGGAGTAGTGGAGTCAAAGGGTACCAGGTGCAAACCAAGTCTTGCGTCGCTGAATGGAAATCGAATACAAAATGAGAAAAATCATAGGATGAACTCACTATGTGTAATCTATCACCAGTCAGCATGCTGCTTCTTTTTTTAAATGTTGTGAGTTGAGTTTGCGTCGGCGAGGTAGGTGACAGCGAGAGGGGGGAAATGATGTCAACAAAGGCGATGCGAATTTTGGACTCGCAATCTCAAGCGAGATCACCGCCTCAAGAGAGTCTTTGCTTGCGCTCTTAGGTAGAGCGAAGCTGCCTCGAGGTTTGAGGATGGTGATATTGCGATGTAGGGAGGGAGAGGAAGCCAGGTGCAGGAGGGAGGGGAGAGGGAGCCAGGTGCAGGAGGGACGGCCAGACAGAAGCAAGCTGTACTTACATGCGATGGAGAGAAGCAAGATCGAGCCTCACTGCTGACCCTTGCTGAGTTGTAAAGCGTCTGCTCTTGGAGAACTCGAGGTGATCTCGTTGAGATGCGTTGTTGGCCGCGAGGGGAGCAAGTTGTGTGTAGAAGACGAAGGATGGTACAGAACCAGGCTACTCGGAAGACTGGACTTCGCTTTTGGTCTCTTCCCCGAAGATCGGAGGTAGGTCGGCCTGGCAATTCAAAGGCGAATGCCAAGTTTGGGGGTGCGCTTCCACAGGTTCCGAAGAAGAGTGCTGAAGGGGCGGCAAAGCAAACAAAGCGCAAAACGGCCTTGCTTAGAGAGCGAGGGCCTGCAATTATGTGCGAGTAATGAGGTCTCTGGAGTCTCTGTATTGTAGAAGTTGACCAGACGTTGAGGTGGGAAGATGAAGGCGTGGTGTGAGGAGCGTGGTAAACGGAACTAGGAAAATGATATCTAAAGCAGCTCCGGATGCGAGCCCCGACTCTCGCCCTTCGCCTTTGGCTGATTGAGCTCCTTCTTGCCTTGGTTATGATTATTCCAAACTCCCCAGGCATATTGAAGAGGCACTTCTTATCTTTCGTCTTTAAGACTAGCACATTGTATCAACAAGCCATGAGAGCAGCACAGCTGCAATGCCTCCAGCAAAAGCGTCAGGGAGCCTCAAGGAAAGATCATAGCTACGAGCAGCAATGCATGCGCTCTGAGGCAAAGATTCCTTCAATAAGGGGCTGACATGTGTTCACCGTGTTGCATATGAATTGGCAGACTTCTCCACTTAGGAGGCATGCATATTTGTCCTAAGTTGGCATGGCATCTTCATATTCCTCTGAATGAGAAGCAAGTACTTGGACATGGTGCCAGTTCAGGTGACCTACGTGAACCTTCCGAAGATCCGCACGAGATACTTTCTCCTCTATGAGTGTGAGGACAGAGATGGATGGTTCCTTTTCTCACTGCTTTTATTGACATTTTGTTTACGGCATTGTTTTTCCAACAAACATCCAATGTCTTGGTCAACTTCGAGCAAAGTTGAAATTCTTTTATGCTGCTGTAAACCTCACTTGGCCAACGGCCGCTATTGTTCTTTAGATCAGACAAGTTGCTGGCTCTGAAAACTTGACAGAGGAAATGAGGTTACAGTTGGAATTCAGATAGAGATGTTTTCATGGGGCTTCTTCTAGACTCCAATTTTGAAGCGTTCTAGTCCGCCTCTGGGAGCCCGTAAGGGACAAAGAGAGGGTACGAACCGAGGAGTACATGACATGACATCTGTTGGATGGCTGCCACTTCACTTCCATTGGGAAGCACCCTTGGAACTTTCCAGCACCACATAAAATGACAACCGCAGGTACATTTCAATAGAGTTACAGATGTACATTAGGTTTAAGCCAAAACTTGGCCAGATTTGCAGAACAAAGCAAGAAGGATTTCAGAAGAGAATGCAATCATGCCTTCACGACAACTAGTCGGGGGTTCATGCTCCAAGAACAAGAAAGAGGGTTTCAATGCTGCTTCTACCTTATTGCAAAGGGCAAGAGGTATCCATTCAGTGACTTCGGCAATCCAGTTGGTATTTCTGAAAGCCAAATTATATACGCGTTCTATAACGCGTGTTTTTCCTTCTCTTCTTTTGGAACTTATCGTCGATCTTGGCAGTGCCAAGCAGGTGATCGCGCTGCTTGGGACCAGAGGCCACAAAAACTGAGCATAGACCTTGTGATTGAAAGCAAGATTGATGGATATCTGGGGCCATTAGAGCTGGTGCCTATGCCCAGGACAATCAGACAGGTGCGTGTCGCTAGATGTTAGCTCTCGTTTGGGGTCAAGGTGTGCATCCTCACCGGTTATCATGATTCTTTGAGTGCAGGATGATTAATGGCTGAATTGGTGATCAATTGAGATGGGCAGACAATCCGAGTTGAGTGCTGAGCAGATGGGAGGAAAGGAAGATATTGGGAGGATGAATGGTGTTCATGAATATACCCCTGAAAGAACGCTAACGGCGCCGGTTTTGCCCGATATCGGTACAAACAGTACCAAATGTGATCGGTGAATGCTCAATATTGCACGATAAGCAGATTAATTCCATCCATTAATAATAATCTTAGATTTACGGTTTGCTGGTCTCTTTATTGTGGTTGGAGGTAGTAGTATTGTGGTGGCATATTAAACACGCCCAGACGAATAGAGGCATATGCGAAAACTATCGAAATTTACTCTGGCGAGTGTCAACCTTTAGTAGTCCTTCACCGATCTCTAGCTTACTTGCTCACTTCAGCCGCGTTTCCTCTCATATGATATTTGCGGCAGGTTATGTGGCTTTACCAGCCCTTACACCAGGAATACCAAATTTCCTTACTTTTAACCCTTAAAATTATTATAATGCTCCCTTTAAACTCTTAGTCTAATAGATATCCAAGATATTTAAAAGAAGGCCGTTCTAAATATTTACTTTTTATGAAGAAATTCGTGGTTTTAGTAAACGTCAAGTTTTAGTTTTAAAAGGTGTAAAGTTAAAATTGCTCAAAAAAAAACGAGTTTTAATATATGACTGCAATTCAAAGCCCAGTCAGCTGAAAGTATCTTCAAGGGAAACCGCAAACTATAGTCCAAATCGATCTCCGCAATTAAAACCTAGAGATCTATGTCAAGAGTCGTGGGCATAAGTCCCCTTCTCCTTGTGGCTCAAGAAGATCTCAGTGCAGATAGTACATTGGGGGGATTGTTATAGTGGACATTAAATTACAAAACAGTTAGACCAGATAAAAGTCCCAGCTCACGAATAACTGTGCGGGGTATTGATGCATTAGCAGAATTTTCCCTTCAAGTACTACAGGGTGTGTCTCCAGCAATCAGCAATTTTACAGAACAATCATTACAGGCATGCAAATAAAGACCTATATGCAACAGAGCTATTCTGGGCTAGCAAGGAACAAAGTTGGGATGGAATTAATGTCACATAATGCGCATCACTTGGTAGACGGTGAGATATTGAAAGACTTTTATTGGTTTTGTCAGCATCTTTTCCAGAATGAGACTCAAGCTTTCTCACTGAAGTGCTATGTAATGTGCTTCGGTCACCTAACAGGTTGCCGTCGGGTTTGTGAAGCACGCCTGGTGCTAGCTTGGTTCACATAGAACCACTTGAGGCTTGCTCTTCCAAGTACTTCTGGAGCAATTAAGTACGCACTGACAAGTTGACGGATGAAAAGCCGCTGTTTCTTGATACGGCCATGCAGCGTCCAGACCCCTGAACTCCATTTCGTTTGTAAAGCCGAAGGAACGCCGGTTTTTGTTGAGTCCATAGCATCACCATCCGCCTCTCCGCCCACGACCTCTACCAAAGTTCCCTCCTCCACGGTTGCCCTGCTGTGGTTGATCGTAGCCGTATTGGTTTTGACCTTGACCAAATCCTCCCTGAGCTCCAAAACCTTGACCCTGATTACCACCCTGAGCTCCTGCGGCTCCAGCAGCGCCAGATTGGGCACCTTGCATAGCTGCAAACATGGCTTGAGGGTCCATTTGACTTGGATCAACGCCTGAAGCCATCATTTGTTGCATCATAGCTTGCATCTCGGGTGGGATGCCTTCCATGCCAGGCATCTGAGCCCCTGGTGCAGCTCCTGGCATCATTCCAGGCATCGCTCCCATGGCCATCATCATATTCATATCTTCAAACATCTTCTTGTTGTTCTGGGCGATCTTCTCTTGGCTGTATTCAGACCGTAGAGCGTCTTGCTTGCTTGCGTAGAGAGCCCATGTAAACTCATCGAATCCGTAGTTGAAATAGTCGCTGATATCGGTACCGGGTCGTCGCCACGGCTTGTCATTTTCAGGTAGATCTAGGACTTATCAGAATAGAAGTAAAAATCTCGGACAGAAGCATACCTTCGTCGATATTGACTTGTGTTATAGGTTTCCCAGCAGGCTCATACATGGGCTTAGCATTCACATCGACTTTCGATGTCGATATGCCTGGGAGATCCGCTCCGGAAACTTGTGTTGCCCCCTTGGTCGGCGTCTCCTTCTTGGCTGCTGGCTTGGATATCACATCACTCGGACCCGTCCGCTGTCCAATGTTTCGAATATCATTATATTTTGCCTGCCTGGAAAGATCTTAATTCAAATAAGAATAAGCTTTGGGTAGCACTCACGGTGGAGGGGCTGGGGTAGGTGCGGATCCATCTTTTCGTTCTGTGATGATATCTATGTCCTGTGATTATGATAAGCCAAGGTTCTCCTAGACCCAGCATTTGAACATACTGAGTCATCTGAATCCGCCTCGTCTTCCTCCTCGCCTTCCTCTAGATCTTCGTCTTCCTGCTCTGCTTGATTATTCGATTCTGTCGCCTCTTCGACCTTCTGTTGTTGCCCTCCGCTTTCCTCCGTGCTCTCCTCGGGCGCATAGAAATCATCATCTTCGTCGACATCCATCTTGACAATTCTTCTCTGGTAGCTCCGTGTATCGAAGCTGCAGGATTGATCTGGAGGTTGAAGCTCCAGGGAGCTTGCTCGCTTAGCGCCGAGCCGCGCATTATTTTGACCTCGCGTCTCCCTGCGCTTCGGATTTTCTACAGATCGCATTCCACAACCTGCAGGTCTCACATACGGTTTTCCTTTGACAATAGTCGAAGTCTTGCGTGGAATACCATGGCACTGGCTCGATCCATGAGTGGACCAGGAGGCTTGAGCATAAATACTAGTTCCGCCAATTCGCTGTTGTGAGTAGTCAACCTGGTTTTTATGCACCGCGTCGAGATGAAGCGGCCAAGATTTGGAAAAGGATCTCTAACCAAGACATATAGTGGATCAAGTACGACACCTGCAGCTGGGGGAGGAATGTTCGGAAGTGCGCCAGCGAGCAAGCCCACTACGGGCCTCTTCGGCACGACGACCACCTCTTCTGCTCCACAGACAGCCGGCTTGTTTGGATCAACGCCGCAGGCACAAGGAGGATTTGATTCGAGTACGACAACATCGCAGGCCCCGACTGGAGGAATGTTTGGATCGACCGCGCCAACATCGCAACCGCAGGCTGGAGGACTATTTGGTTCTACGCAGCCACAGCAAACAGGAGGGCTGTTCGGAGACACAAATACTTCTCAGCCAGCTCAAACGGGGGGACTATTTGGAAATACCAATACTTCTCAGCCAGCTCAAACGGGGGGACTATTTGGAAATGCCAATACTTCTCAACCAGCTCAAAAAGGAGGACTCTTTGGATCAAATATGAGCTCCCAACCCCAACAGCCTGGTGGGCTTCCGAATCTCGGGCAACCAGCACAGCCTACAGGCGGTGGACTCTTCGGATCGAGTACTACACAACCAACGCAAGGAGGTGGACTGTTCAGTGGATTGAATAACCAAAATCAGACTAAACCTACGACCGGTTTATTGTACGTTGCTGCTTTGACGTGTGTAGTCTTCGTCTAACCAAGAGCAGTGGAAGTCTAGGAAGCACTCAACAAAATCAACAAAATCAACCCCAACAATCCTCGATGTTCTCCTCACTCGGCCAGAATCAAAACAATCAAGGCAGTGGCCCTCAGAATCAAGGGAATGGCTTGTTTGGAAGCACACTTGGTGGAGGCTTATCCCTCGGCCAATCCAACAATCAGCAGCAACAGACAGTTCCAGGCGTCACTATAGACATGACCAATATTCGAAACACCACACGATTCGGCGATCTGCATCAAGACATTAAAAAGGAGATCGAAAACATAGATGCTGTTATCCAGGCGCAGATACAAATGAAGAACCAATGCGACGCAATCATGAGTTCTCACAACACCCAACTCGCCCAAATTCCTCACGATGTCGAGTTCTGCCAACGGAAGTTGATCGGAGTCCAGAATGCTGGCGCTGGAGATGTGTATTCAATCAACCTGGTCAAGAAGTACATTGATACTGATGTCCAACACGCAAAATTGAGCTTCAAAGCCATCGATAACTTAAAACTGCCGCCTCAATATCACAATTCCGGTATCTGGTCGACGAAGACAACGCCTAGCAGCAACCAGGGACAAACCAATGGCGAAGGCGGCGCACAAGATATGGTTTCATTCTTCTCATCTACTGCTGATGAACTAGCAGCTACGTTGGCGAGCTACCAGAAGCATATTGTCGAGATCGAGCAACATTTGCGGGGCGTGGAAGGAAGCAGTGCAGCACAACTCAACACACTGATTGCGAAGCGAAACGGCAGTTTTGCAGGCATCGAGGATCCGATGGAGCAGCTGACGGGCGCATTGCGGGATTTTGAAGAGAGCTTGCTGGGTGTTGCAGGCGATGTGGGCGCCGCCAGGGAGGGGGTGCAAAGCCTGCAACTTGGCAGATTCCCAGGTCCTACGAATGGAGCCAAGAAGGGTCCTAGATCTGGTGTGTATTGATGTTTATACGATTTGAGGTCGATGGATGCCAGGAGTCTGGCGTTAATGGCTGCATATGGGAGGAGAGCATTTGGGCGAAAGAGTATTGGAAAACAGGGAACTGAATGTACAAGATACCAATAAATAAAGATATCCATCGGTCAAGGCCGCGGAACTGATATCTGTGCTCGTAATGTGAACCAAATTCGTTGCTCTTGTGGTGTAAATGCTCAATATTATAAACGCTGATCCCAACCATGTACCTCTAACGCCTGCTATCGAAGTTTTACGTTTCTCTAAACACTTTTAGTCGTTATAGTTGCTTTGCCCACTACCGTCTTTATTGACCGCAGGTATGCCATACTTTTTCCCCAGATCCTCTTCCTGGCTGGTAGCATCAGAAGACAACGACGGCATCTCTCCTTGGCAGCAAACTCTCACAGCATGCCTCCGATGGGGCGCAAATCCAAACGACGCTGAGTGATTCTAAGAATTGTCAGCGAGTCTCTCAACCTCCTACGAGAAAGAAACTTACAGTAATCCTGTTGTCCCAAAACGCAACGTCATCCTTCCCCCACTGGAACCTAACGTGCATCTCCTGCGTCGTAGCAACAACCTCATTCAAATACGAAATAATCATATCACTCTCCACCTTCGGGATCCCTACGATCTTCGTCACGAAGCCTGGGTTGAAGAAGAGGGATTTCCAGCCCGTGACGGGGTGAGATCTGATAATTGGATGTTCGGTGATAATTGGATCTCTCCGAACTGTTCGACCGAGGGCTTGGGAACCTTCGGCTTGTATGTGTGAGGAGTGCAAAGCAGTCAGTGATTCGAGGTACTTTTGCATTGGGGCTGATAGGGTATCGTAAGCTGCGTATTGAGAGGACCAAAGCGTACCTCCTCCTCCACCTCTAGGGGGCCCGGTGAGCACTTTCAGTGAAGTGTACGAAGGCGGTTGTAGTTCGTAGGTAACGTCTGAATGCCACAGAAAGGTGGGTGTGAACATGGCTCTCTGATCTTTAGATTTCTCGTCGGTGTAGACCACGTGCACGTCATCTAGGTCTCCTCGTTTGGGTACTGCAGTCGTAGCATGCTTATGGAGGGTCCCGTAGTATGCACCAATTTTTCGTTGAGCGTCGATGTCAAAGTTATTTTGATTCCGGAAGAATACAACACCACGGGTAGCTATCAGGAGTGCGAGATCGTTCTTTGCTGCATCTGAGAGGTTTGCAAGGTCGACTCCGTAGATTTCTGTTCCGATTTTGGGATTGTAATCGAATACATCTGTCGCGTTGGCAAGGATATTTTTGAATGTTGGGTCGCCGAGGAGGCCTTTGTCATTGTACGGGACCTCCTCCAGTGGTGGCCAATGCTTGTCTGGGAAAGACGGCTTCAGGTCATCGTAATCATAATTATCATGATTCTCCACAGCTGTCCTTCCCGGAATGTATGAAGAGACAGAAGAGGAAAGAGGTTTGCTTGGAAGGTTGTTGTTGGTCAAACTGACGGGGCTTTCCTCATAGAAGCCCTCGAGTGAAGGAGCCATGACACAGAATGGACAGAATATAAGAGTTCAAAGCAATAGTGGGGTTGTCAGATAGATAATTGAAACAGGAGAAATAAAACAGTACAGGAAGGCAGAAGCAACCAGTCCAACGAGAAGATATCAACGCGTACTCCTTTGCCTCCTTAAATCGCTGCACTAGCATCACACCATCGATACAAGCAATTGTGCCATTTCTGTGAAGTCGCAGTTATGGAGTTAAGTCCATGGGAAATCGCCTGGGCCCCACTTGCACTTTTCCTGTTTCGACTGAATTTGCCTCGAAATAATCTGACAAATCCGGGATTATGCCACTTGAAGTTGACGCTGCTCGTCGTATATTACGAAGCATCATTCCATCCAAAGGAATAGGCTCTATTATTAGGCCTGGCTTCATGCCCCAACTTGCCACTTCCAGAGGATCAGATTCCAGAAGCTTGGCAGTGTGTGATACGACAGAGACCTGGCGACGGGTTTCTCGAACCCAAAGCCAAATGGTGGAGTTATCCACTCGGGGAATTTCGGAGGAGACTTGGACAGAACCTCAACCTTCTCGTGTGCGGTTCGATGGCCATGGTGAAGACTGTGGAGGAACTTTGGACAGATGATGTTGCAGGGAATTTGGGGAAGGAGGCCCTGAAGTGGCTGAGGTTATTTTCGCCTCAACGCCATGTTCAGGGCGTGGAGTCCTCTTGATTGGCCACTAACGACATAATTTTGGAGCCACAACTCACTAGTTTTCAGGGGTTGACATATTCTGCACGCAATTTTGGAGACGTCTCGCGTGCTCAATTTCCTTCTCACTCACCCTGGTGACCCAAGTTGCGACCAGCACCCCGACGGCCCCCAGATCCGCCGCGTATCTGCCCTTCAAGATGCACTTTCTCGCCATTTTTGTACTGGTACATCGTGCAGGCATCGAAGCAATGACTGCCGTAGGGGTTGGGTTTCTCAATCGTCCTGGTCTTTCCCACCATCCGTCAATCAATGTTTGATAGAAATCTCCGAACCAATTGTAATCTGCTGTATATCATTGTACACATTAAGCAAACCCGATAATTCATTGTACCAGTATGCATGGACCTTATTGGAAGAAGCAATAGAATTATGCCGTCATGAGCTGCAGAGATTGCGGCGAAATGCCCGATCATCGTCAGTTGTCATGTCTAGTCGTGTAGCACCGAGATCTGAGGATGTAGTAGAACTTTTCGTATGGGGCGGTTTCGAGAAGTCTTCGTAGCCGAGTTACTTTGTATGCTTAGCTCGTCCGATGCCGTCGAAGCTTTATTGTGTTGGTCTGGGCAGGCACTGAAACTAGTCTTCCAAGAGCGGCATTCTCATCATATCGTTCGAAAGTCATTCGTTCCTTCAGTATAGCATTTTGCTGTCTGCTGATTGCCTATGAAGATCCCAAGTGGTCCAATATGACTCCCTCACCAGGCAGATGCCATCTACAGAATTGGTGTGTGGCTGATATACTCGGATTCGGATTGTGCAGCGAGATGTCCCAGATATCTGTTGTGGTCGTACGGATCCTTCTCTTCTGGGCTCCCCGCCAGCGAATCTTCACAGTAGGCTAGTGCTATTCTGCTCTTTCTCCATCGCTGTTTGCTCTCACTCAACGCCATGTTAGAAAAGCGGGATGTGCGTGACTCATGATAATGTGCTATCTGTGGAGAAGAATGGTGACGGATGTCCGGCTGCTGAGCGGCGATTAGATCAATACTAGTTGTCTTGTCGACCTCTCGTAATTGGCAATTGCTGTTCTTCAAGAGAATGAGTGAGAGAGTTCATGCCAGTGGCTCCGGAATAACAATTAGATTCGCCGGAACTGATTTCGCTCTCTGTTCACCCTCTCCGCGCGCTACATTGCTGCGTCGGATTCGCTAAGCAGCAGAGTTTTGCCTTTTGCCTTTTTTATGTTAACTGTTGGAAACGTCTTTTGGCTCGCTTAGTCGAGTAGCGAAGTGAAGAAGAAAAGGGGTCTTTTTGAGATACTGAAGAAACTGACCATGAACGTGGGGAACTGCTACAAGAAATTGTAATGCGCGATGCAATTGCTGACGGTCCCCTCATACTCTTTCTCTGCTGCGCGCGACCTTGGACTTCGAAGTTGTCATTTTTTGGTTCTCGAGATAAGTCACGTGCAAAAGATCTATTGAATTTTGAAATCGGCCAATCAATGGGCTTCTCTGCCTCCAACCATCCTTCATCATCATCAAAACTTCTCCAACTAGAGAGCAAGTAAGCCTTGCCACTGGAGGTGAATTGAAATATTTTCTACGCAGCACACCTCCATTGTCAACATGAATACTGCCCAACAGGCTCTCCTCGGATTTTCCAACTTGTCACGTCTTCTGGATTCTTTTGATGACGATATTGTTGACTCCCTTGGTGATCAAATCTGCAAAGGGATCGATGACGAGCTTGAAGAAGAGATTGACGAGGAGATTCCACCGCTTCAATATGCCCGCTCGAACGGGCTAGCACACGATCACAAAGCTGATCAACTGGCTTTCTCTGAGCTTGCGAAGTTGCAAAAGGCAGTTCAACAGGATCTCACGGACGACAGCGAGCTACATCAATTTAACTTTGGAAGCGAACTCAAGGTGGAGGAGCGTGTTACGATTTCCAGAGAAGGGGCTGAATTACTCTTGTCCATTGCACGAGAAGAGACCGCGGAAGCAACCGACACTCTCGTACTCCCTTTGTTCAAGACAAAAAGCATGATCAAAAGAATCAAATTCGAACTTCCACTGCTCAAAACGGATCACGAAACGGATTGCAAGAACTTGGCAAGAAGAGATGACTTTGAGATCAAACTCTGTGATATCAGGCTTCCCGAGGAGATGGTCAACGAGGAGAATAATGAAGGTCTTGTCTGGCCGTCCAGATTTTCTTCTCTGGGGATGCATGTCTTGGAGGAGTTGAAACAGGAGAAGATCAGCGTTTCCAAAGACGATTTGGTTCACCTCCAGAATGCTCTGAAGCATCCTTGGACAGTAGAGGACGACATGAATCTGTGGAATAGCGAGCAGAAGTATAAACGTGTAGGTGCTCAGATTTCCGGTTTGGTAGCGCTGCTAACATCATATTCAGAACACAGCATTGGAGCCTGTTACACCACCACTCTCCCCATTGCCAACCCCGATGGAGCCATACGAACCCTCAATGTCAGATCCAGCGTTCCAACTTCCCATCCTCTCCGACGCATCATCTCCTACGAAATACGTACTCGAGGCTCTTGAGAACAAGATTTTCGAACAAGATGTCCCCACGCCTCTTCGAAACTCCACTAGCACCAACCTGCCTGACGAGTCTTCATCAGAGACATATGTGAGAGATGACACTGTTACATTAGGAGACATCTATTCGCCTCTTGCCTCTCTCGAAAACGGCGGGACACCACCTTCTATTGAGGTTCAACGAATGAAGCGCGAAGATCTCAAAGTTGAGGAACCTCTGACCCCAGAGATGCCACAAGCGGCTCCAAAATCTGTGCATTTCAGTGACATTGTTGAGGAAATGGAGCTCTACCCTGCGAGCGCACCAAACTCGCCATCGTATGAGAACAAATTCTTTGAGGAGGCTTTCGGTGACGCACTTAAGACTGCTAACCAGCGTACGGAGCAAGAGAGGCTGATTGAAGCTGATTCGACAGCTCGTGTCGACGTTCCAGTCATGGACTTTTCGAGGCCAGATCCACCTTGGAAGACTCTTGAACAGCACCGGGGCTCTGCCTCGTTACTTTCCTTACAGAGGCTGACGATTCAAGAGCTTGTTGGACCACAGCGACCTTGGTTTGAAACTGGACAAGTTGCTACCAACTTGAACTGGGTGCCCTTTCCAGCTAGTTTGGCAAGAGTTGCCCTTGAGGAGGATGTTAAAGAGAATGATTCTACATGGGAAGCATTTGTCAAAGATTCCAGAGAAGATGAAGTTATCGACAGCTCAAATTTAACCTGGAAACCCCCGGGATTGAAGATCCTGAATGACGAGGATGATGACGACGAGGATATCGAGCCTGGAAAATTTCTTAAGGACAGTAATCAAGACCTTTCCTCACTCATCAAGAAGAGAAAAATGGAGCTGGACCAAAGTGGCAATCAGGAGCGCGAGACTGTCAGGCCCCACCTTTCGGTCATGAAAGGCCCCGTTCGAGGCAGTACCCCAAAGCTCAACGCTTCAACTTCAACAGGAGAGCACGCCGACAAATCTTATGGACAGGTGTTTAGGTTATTAGGTGGAGCATTCTCAGCTGCAAACTCGATCGACAACTACCTTGAGCTTCGAGGAACAAAGAAACCGAAGCTCATGGACAGCTCATACTTTAAGCCAGGTCCACAGGCCATCTCGTCCGTGCCCAACTCTCGGGTGCCGCAGGACGCCACCAAAGTGCAGACTACTATTCAGTTGCCTATTCGAAAGTCTCCAGTGGCAAAAATTAACAGTTTGCCAGCTCCCACTATTGAACCTCCCAGCACGGAGACCTATATTATTGCCTCATCGACCTTGCTGAAGCATCGAAGTCTGATCAAGAAACTCGAGGCTTTACTCCCCAAACTCGCATTTGTCGAGAGAGACTTCTCAGCTCACAACAGTACAACATGGATGCCAGGATCAGTCACGCGGTCTCCCGTCAAGTCACCACTCGATTCCGAGGCAGACATCATAGTCTCTCCATCCATAGGCATCGTTATCACTACTCTTCAGAAGATCAAACAGAAGCCTCTTCCTGGACAAAAGACAAAGGCCGCGATTCGTGAACGACTGGAACAAGTCAGCACTCGATATGAGAAGCTCGTCATATATGTCAGTGAAGGCCGAGCAGATGAAACAACCAATGGTTTGGATGCGAATGATTGTGCTGCCTACGGTTCGTTTGCTGGATTCGCCTTAGGCCTGAACTCGTCTATCATTGTGCAGTTTGTTGGAGGCGGAGAGGGGGTGTTGTCAAAGTGGCTGGCAAGCACCATCGCCCAGAACCGCGTAACTGGAGAATCAAGTCTTCTCGAGGAAGAAACGCATTGGGAACTGTTTCTCAGAAGGGCAGGAATGAATGCATTCGCGGCTCAAGCTATTATGGCAGAATTGAAGGAACCAGATGGTGTTAACGCGCTGAGTCCCTCGAAAGCTGGATTGTTTGGACTCCCAGCTTTCGTAGACATGGCATTGGGGCAGAGGATTACTAGATTTGGCCCGTTATGTGGAAGAGGCTTGATAGAGCGGGTGAGTACTGTGATTGATGCAGACTGGCGGATTTAGGCGGGTGGAAATTTTGCTTGATATCTCGCGGCGTTGTTATATTTGCAGATTTGCATTGCTGGATCTGGAGGCTAGCTCAAAATTATGGCTGTGGATTTCACGTACATTAAGGGGAAGCAGATTGCTGTCATAAACTCCAAACTTTGATTCTGTTATCTGGAGTAGGTGACGGAGCCGTGGAGGAGTGGCTTGAAGTGTCGCTCTCGCTATCGGAATCACTTCCGTCATCTCTGAGAGATGGAATTGATCGTTGGCCTGAGCAGGTTGCCACAACAGTGCCAGAACTGTGCAAAATAGCTGATGTAACAGGATCTGCAAACACGTTTACGTTAGCAGTATACTTTAACACATGTTTCACTACCACACTGACCGTCATGAGCCCTCCACTCCCAAGATCTCTCTTGGGCGCCCTCAGTCATTCCTATATTCTCCCACACTCTTACAACCCCATCCTTGCCCCCAGCCCATATCTCCGTCCCCTTCTCAGCTTCGAAAACATCAACTCCTAACCTCTGATTTGTCTCCGCCTCTCTTCCCTCCAACCAAGAAACCAGTTTTCCTGTGACCCTAACATCATAGACCAGCACCCCTCGACTCTTCCTCTCAACAATAAATAGATACTTCCCACACAGGCTCCACGCCGTCTGCGTAATACCCGTTCCTCCAACACCAGCATCTTTGTCGGCCGCCTCAGCAATACTCCACGTAGCTACTGTCCCGCCCATGCCACCCATATCATAAAGCCCGACCCATCTCGTCCATGTCCCAGCCGCAAGCATTCCTGATTCTTCAATCTCGGAAGGTTGCATAGAGAGAGCAGACACAATGCCACGCATCCCCACCCCTCCACCTTTCATCTTATGCCGTTTCGAGGGGATAGTAGGCATTCGTGAGACGGGGCCCTCTCCATTGCGCGATACGTCGAAGAGGGCGATTAGGCAGTCTGTTCCTGCGAGGAAGTGGCTGGGTGAGGACCAGAGCAGCGAGGAGGGAGTGCAGTATGCTTCTGTTGTGGGGGATATGAGGGGGTAGCTGGATATAGGGGTGGGGACTGGGGAGAGAGCGTTTGTGAGACGGATTGGGAGGTCGATTCCGGTGGAGAGGTAGAGAGTTGTTGTTGGGTCTGAGAGGGTGAAGAGGGGGTAGCTGGCCAGGCAGTTGATTGGAGTGGGGTACGTGTGCATGGTGTAGGGCGTGAGGGTTATGGGGGACGGTGATTGGAGGAGAGTTGGTGGGACGATGAAGGTTCGAATTGTGTTGTCGGCGTTGGAGGCGAGGAGGGAGGTTCCATCTGGTGACCTGGAGCTGGTTAGCAAGATTGATGGGCGAAGGATTTGCAAGCTTACCATTGGGCACTTTTGAAGTAATTAGTTTCTAGTTCTTCATCATTCACAGCTCCTGAGGGAGTGACATCTTCTCCTAGTGATTGAACATCCTGGAGCTTGCTCTCGCGGATTTTGGAGTCCGCAATCGAGCAGCAATATGTGTCTGACGTTGAAGCTACCAGGTTTGGTACTTTCGAAATTTGCTCCATTGTTTGGTGACCGGCTTCATCCTGAGCGACCTCAAGTCCAGCCTTTATTAGGACTTATGCGAGCTTCTAAGGAGGATTAGTCTCGACATTCTTCTTACGATGAAGTTGGTGATAATTCATGATAGAAGCGGCCGCAGTCCCCGCACGGCCGCAATGCCGAAACGCGTATTATTACTTCTGGTGCTCGGACGGCCATCTTCATCTACACATTTAAACCACCAATTGCCTTGTTTGAATTTGAACTACTATGGTGGCCTCACGTAAATTCCTGTTTCCCCACGTACACTTGCGTCATAAGCTAATAGTGTATTAGAGACTGCCAGACGACCAGCACCTTCTACCAGTGGGGACAGGGAGCCTCCAAAGAAGAGACGTAGGTCGAAGTCACCGAAGGATACTAGGGAACCAATTATCTTTAAATCTCCCGGTCTCAAGCCAGATGTCCGCCTCACCGTTTTCGGGCAGGTGTTTCACGTCCATTCGATAATCCTGAAGCTCCACAGCAACTTCTTTAGAAAATTTCTGGATTCGGCAGACAAAGTAGCTGCGCCTGCTTCAGCATCTTTCCAATATGATTATGTATCGGTCTTCGATGCTGATGGGGACTGGGGACTTGAGCCTACTGCTGCCAAGGTTCGTTGCTTTCTCATTCGCCTTGCCATGCATCCCTGATTCGCCCATTTCATTCCTGAATTTATCCTGTCAATCCCAATCTTCTACTAACAATCTGACAGGCTACAACCAGCAGCTTTGAAAACCCCTTGCTGAATATTCTGAAGCACAAGCAAGGGAGATAGAGCCTTTTCGGAAGCTCCTGTGCTCGATGTATACTCGCCCATACGTGATCAACGACGTAGTCGAGCTCCTGACCCTCGTACGTCTTGCAGACTACTATTGCGGTACGAATTCTCCAAGTTCAAGCTTTATCTAGCAACTTGCTGACTTCACATGACCCCAGCACTGCCGAACCTCTCGGGAACTATCAGTACGGCTTTACTGGGCAGCCCAATGTTCAAACGAAAGTCCTGCCCTCGCGAGCCAGATTCTGACGAGTCAGAATCTGAGGGGTCTGAATCTGGGGAATCTGAACTTGAAGATTTTCCCCCCAGCGAATTCATGCAAAGAGCTGGCCAGATAATTTTCGCTGCCAAGAAATTGCGACATCCAATTCTCTTCAGAGAGTGTTTTATCCACCTCGTTTCCTCATTACATGACTTCTATTCGTTGTCCCTCCCAGCACTTCGTAATGACAAGGACCTGTGGCTAGTACTTACTGAGGGAAAATCATCTCTACGAAAAAAGATTCTCCAAACACAACATTTTGTCTTAATGATGTGCTTGGATAGGCACTTGGAAGAAGATCTTCGCCTGGTCATGGCATATTTTCGGAAGCCAGAATATTGCTCCTCGGGCTTCAGGCAATTGCTGGCTATTCTTGACAAGAAAAAACATTTCAGAGCGATTGAGTCCATTGAAGAAGTTCTGCAAAACAATTTGGTCTTGGATCAGACTAATTTCGGTGCCGGTGAAGGACCATACACTAAACGCTATCTCTGCGCAGAACTTGCGGATGACGATATGCCATGGGACGCTGCTGAGTCTGATTGGTAGAGCGAGGACGGATTCTCTGCAGCTGGTTAGAGACTCAGAGTCGATTTATACAATGTAATTTGGTGGTTCTTAGCTTAATGATTCTAGGAGTGGAAGGATAATGCAGAAGATGAGTGGTCACCGCCTTGAAAATCTGTTCAGTTCACGGTGAGTAATTTTTTTTTTCTTGCTCTGCCCTTTTGATTGTCCTTCCGTTCTTTATCATATTTATTATTTATTGTCTTTTACGCCAATGCTATGCGTAATCGGGGCGATGCCGTGTAACTCGTAAGGTCCACCGACTCTGTTCTTCAAAATCACTTCATCCTAAGGTACTTTACACAAATCAATCTTATTCATTTTCACATTACGACCAGATTATCCAACAGTATCTACAGGGCTTGATTCGACTTCATACAAAACCAAGTTGGAAGCGTATAGTCTTTCATCCAAATCATGAGTCAATGTTAACTTGAGATGGCATTCACAGAAAGTATTGCCTTTCCAACGAGTTCTATGAGGGAGTATAAATAGGGGGTCCCCTACCTTTCCAGTTCTATTCCTATATTCTCTTTCAGTTTCACTCCAAAACTCCGATTTCCTAAGAAGTATACAAAGCTTGAACGCGAGACATATTCTTCCGAGCAAAATCAGCCAAGTTACACCCGCAAACACTACGAAATGAGCGGCTATCCCCGTACGGCTTATTGCACTGGCCGCGATATCTGGTGCGACTGGACGGGCATGTACGGAGGACCCGGTTCGCGCTGCCCATGGTGTAGATCTATGCAAATACCAACGTAGGAGGGTTGGCCTGAAGGCGATTGGGTAGGGAGGCAGGGTTTCGTCAGGAACGGGTGAAGAAAGTGGTGAAGGGGAAATGGTGGGGTAGTTGAGGAATGATCCCTTTGCCGGACTGAAATACAAACCGTTGGTTTCCATATACTCGCATCAAAGGCTGTGTGAAGCCCCCTCGCGCTTATTGGGAGACTTTGTTCCCCAAAACATCTTCATCTGTTGACATTCTCCCTTTGGATCAACTCATTGAGAAGAACTTGTGATGCAAAGACTGAGGCGAACCCTACATGCGGTGGCTCTCTTTGGACAAATATCATCGAAAATAACATGCCACGGGATTATGAAGAGGTCGGCTTCTCGTTTACTATCGGCTCTTGACGCTGAATCTACTCGTGACTCGATCAACAAGTCTTTCTATTGTACCGATGTGCGTACCGCATTTGGCAATTTGATTTCGGAAGAGGAACTAGCCAGGTTGTGGACTATTTATTATCTTAAGAAAGTGTCTTCGGAGATTTTAAGAATTTGTGTATGTTTAAGCTATTGCAATAAATGAACTTAAACAGGAACCCCAGAAAGGACAAAGCCTGAATGACTCCCTGGAAGTTTGAGCCCTGTTTTCCAGCCCCTCACTTTGGCATGATTGGTTCATACACTTTGTCACCCCTGTAAATACCGCCGCTAGTGCGGCCCCACATAGCGCCAGGCTGAGCTGTCTGTTGACTTGACAGCTTCATCTTGTTCCTCGCTCTCCTGTCATCACCGACAGATCCATGCAGAAGTCCAACGCGGTATAAACAGAAAGTGCGACCGTGTAGATTAACCATGGACTTCTTCAAAGGCTTGATGACAGATCTGGCGTCCAGCCGCTGCGAGAAGCTCCAGGCCCCGAGCTACCTCAATCTGACCTTGTCAATGTGAGTTCTTGAAGCATCTGCAAACAAGCAAATCTAATATAAAACAGCTTGATCCTCCTTGGTATTCTCGTCTCATATCTCCCCCAACATTACAGAATCATTGCTCGAGGCACGTCGGAAGGAATCTCCCCATACTTCATCCTGCTTGGCACGACCTCCGGAACATGCGCTTTCGCGAATATCCTCGTCCTCCCTGCTTCCCGTGCAGATGTGGCCTGCTGCAAGACTGTCAGTACATTTGAATGTGTTGCCGGGCTTCTGGGAATTGCGCAAGTTGGCGTGCAGTGGTTCTGCTTCAGCGTGATGTCAGTCCAGTGGATTGGATTCAATGAGGCCGCTTTTACTGATTTGACAACAGCTTGCTCCTCTTCCTTGTCTTCTTCCCCAGAGGCCCGACACTTCCCATCGATGAAACTGAGCAACAGCAATACACATGGAAAACTGCAGTGACAGTCGCTTTCGTCTGTCTTCTCCACGGCCTTGCTGTTATCATCACCAGTGCCGCCTTGATCATGTCTCGACCACACCATCTGGGAACATGGGCAAACATACTGGGAATAACTGCAACAGTGTTGGCTGCTATACAATATCTGCCTCAAATATGGATGACATGGCACCTTGGTCACGTCGGCAGTTTGAGTATTCCGATGATGCTGATCCAAACTCCTGGTAGCTTTGTTTGGTCCGGTAGCTTGGCTGCAAGGCTGGGCATTGAGGGATGGAGTACTTGGGGAGTGTTTCTGGTGACTGGCTGTCTGCAGGGTTGTTTGCTCGCCATGGGAATTTACTTTGAGGTGCGGGCGAGGAAGGCAAAGCAATGCACTGAAGGAGAGGTGAGATTCCCACTAAAGACGAATCTAAGCGAGAACAGAGCTGACTCATTACAGACTCATGCTAGATGCGTTGTCGGTTACATGCAAGGTGAGAATGGCCAGGCTGAGACGGATGATGAAGGTGGTACTCTGGTAGAAGATGGATGGAACGAGCGGACACCATTGCTGAATGGGTCGAGGAAGTCCTCTCAAACACCCACACCTCAAAGATAGTGCACCACTTTTCTTGTGTACTATACTCGGCATAGGAAATACGGTTCTCGGAAACATCAGGGTCTTGGCAGCGGTCTTGTGTGATGTGGATTGTGATGCTCTCTCTGAATGACTAAGAGAATCCACAACAGGCAAAATCTGGAGTCACGAAAGCTCGTCTCTAGCAAAAAATCGCTGCTCATTTCGTTACTACGTAAGTATGTTCCCCCACAATCGCTCAAGTGCCATCGTGTCAGATTAAAGCTAATGCTCACCAGGTTGAAGGACCCTCCCCGAAAAGATAATCCTTAATTTCCGTGAACTACAATTCCATATTAATCCTCACGACTTCTCCCACTCTGCCCCCCAGCGCCTGAACGACGCTTGGCAATATTCAATCCCAGCTTACTACAGTAACGTCGGTCCCTACGTAGCGAGACGCACCCTGTTACGAGACAAACCATAGGTACTTTGAATTCAAGCGGCTCCAAATCTGCGAATATATTAAAATTTCTATATATTTTTATTTTAGTTATGTTATATGCCTCTCTCGAACACTCCTGACCTATTAATTCCGAAAATTACGATCGCGTCGTCGCCGCCCACCTGAATTATAGAGAGCCTCTTATTATAGTGTGATAGGACCCCTCGACCCGCGATACTACTATTAAGCTCTTTTCGCTTTTTAAACTCATAGAACGATTAGATATGGATTTCCGAGTTTTATTATGATGCTAAAAAGTTATTCTTAGTGTTATGGCGGCCAGAGCGCGCTATATCATACGCCGTCGCCACATAGGCTGATACCTCCTCTAATTAAGCGATCAAGGATCCTGGTCAGCGACGGTGCGGTTATAGTAATCTCGGTAAAATTATATGTCGCTGCTAAACGTGTCGCTTAGCTGGCTAATGATATTGCAAGTATTAGCAAGCATCTCGTCACCCAGGAGAACGTGAAATTCATCACGAGTCAATTAACCTAACTGATCTAAGGTAGTCCCATATAGTTTCTTATCTCTGCATATTATACAAGAGAGAACTCTATAGTCCCCACTTTGCGTTTTCAACGCACCATGGTACTGTCAATACTTGCTTGGTCACGTGTGAATGTTTAAGTGAGTTATACATTGCTTAGTAATGCCCCCGCCATTGGCGACATAAGCGCGAGCCTCATCATGACATTTGACACCGACCGCTTGATGCCTAATGCGCAGAAAGTTTCCTCTTCATTCACTGGCAGTCGCGCATCGACCTCTGTGCTCCCTTTGCCTACTATTTGAAAGTCTATCTGGCCGATCCTGGTATGAGAATGCGTCTCCTGCACCTTGAAAGCGGTAACCTCAGCCTTACCGAGGATTACACCGAACATGTTCCGCCATACGCGATACTGTCTCATACTTGGGGGAAGGATACAGAGGAAGTCGCCTTCGACGACTTCAAAGCAGGAAATTACATAGATAAGACTGGATATACAAAGATTCGATTTTGCGGCGAGCAAGCAGCAAGAGATGGGCTACAGTACTTCTGGGTAGACACGTATTGTATTAACAAATCTAATCACACAGAGCTTTCGGAAGCTATCAATTCGATGTTCCGTTGGTATCAGAATGCGGTCAAGTGTTACGTCTACTTGTCTGATGTCTCTATACGAAGTGATACAAAGGAGTTATTCTCTCGGTCTTTGTGGGAACCAGAATTCCGGTACAGTAGATGGTTCACTCGAGCCTGGATACTTCAAGAGCTTATTGCCCCACGGTCAGTCGAGTTCTTCTCTCAGGAGGATGAACGATTAGGCGACAAGGGATTGCTAGAATTATTACTTCACGAGATTACGGGGATTCCAGTAGAAGTATTTCAAGGGAAGCCTCTCATTGAATTGACTATTGAAGAGCGGATGCTATGGGTAGCGAAACGCACGGCCAAGCGCAAAGAAGACGAAGCCTATTCTTTATTGGGAATTTTCGACCTGTACATGCCGTTGATTTATGGCGAGGGGAGAGAAAATGCCTTTATTCGGCTGGAGAAGGAGATTGGCGAATATTCAAAAGGTAAGGTTTATAAGTTCCATAAGGACTCGACTTATTGAGAGCTGTAATTATAGTTGGCTAACATGTTTGAGTTTGGTACAGGCACTAATATATATGGTAATGTATACTGGATGGTACCTCGGGCTATTAATAGGCTATTCACTGGGCGTTCTGATCTACTTTCCCGAATCCAGAGGGCTTTGCAAAGCGAATCAATATCTGCGGCCCAATGCCAGAGGAGATACGTGATTACGGGATTAGGCGGGCAAGGGAAGAGCGAGATATCCTTACAAGTTGCAAGCTTAATGAAGCAAAAGTACGTCCTTCCGATAACCCTTGAAGACTTACAAGTATTTTAGCTTATGCTATAGGTTCTGGGGAATATTCTGGGTCGACGTCGACAAGCCTTCCACCGCTGAGCGTGACTTTATTGCCGTTGCAAAGCTACTTGGGCGCTCAATTGAAAGTGTCCCCGAAGCACTTCAAGTTCTTGCGACAATGTATCGAAGCTGGCTCCTTATCCTTGATAATGCCGACGACCCGGGCTTCGACTACCAAATCTACTTTCCACCAGGTAATCACGGTGCTGTTCTCATGACATCTCGTATTACCGAATGCAAGCAGTATAGTGTAGACGCCTTCGAAGTACTTGGCGGTCTAGAAGAAGAGGACTCGAAAGAACTCTTGCTCAAAGCAGCCGAGCTAGCTCCAGGATCGTGGCTAGCATATGATAATCAGGCCCGAGAAGTAGCCCGCCTCCTAGGATTATACACGCTTGCTTTAATACAAGCTGGAGCGTATATCAGTCAAGGCCACTGCCAGCTCTACCAGTACCCTGAAGTCTACCAACGGCAGCGACAACGGCTCTTGAAATATAGACCTAAGCAAGCCCAGTCGAGGTATCGCGATGTGTACGCAACCTTCGAAGCCTCCGCAGATGTCTTGGAACAATCTCAAACCGAGTCTGTACGCGATGCTCTTCGCTTACTTGAGATTCTGTCGATGTTTGACTCTAGCGTACTTCCTTTTCAGATTTTCGAGGAGGCATGGAAGGGTTGCAGAGAGATCTCCCAGGCTAGTAATGAGGATAGAGGTATCAATGAATTCTCTCGAGACCACATCTTGCAGTTGCCAAAACTCATGGTCCCAGACGAAGATAAATGGGACCATTTTCGTCTTACCGAGGCCAGTGCTCTCCTTGTCTCGCTTTCATTAGCCACTCGACAAGATTTGAACAGTTGCGTGGGATTATCGATGCACCCACTGACTCACGCTTGGGCCAAGGATCGACAGGATTCAAAGCGTCAAGGCGTGGCATGGATCGCAACTGGCTGTGTTCTTGGGTTTTCTCGCTCTAATACTCGCATGTGGCAAATACAAGAGAGACGTCTCCTTCCTCATGTCTTGTCTTACTTAGACTTAAAGGTCAAGAAGGCATTCGACTTAGTATCGAAAACAGTTATCACTTCAATTCTTCTCGAGTGTGGTTGGGCTCTGCTGGGTATGCGACAAGATACTAGGCTTGGCCAATTGCTACAAGACATGTTCCTTGAGCTTAGACAGAAACCTGACAAGCCATCGGAAGATTTGTTGCCGCTCTATGACCTTCAAGCAAGAAGCTTAATAAACCTTGGGAGGAATGAAGCAGCTAGGGGCCTGCTCGAGCAGGTGATCAGGATCAGGGAGACTACGCAGCCCAAGACGCACCCTTCAACGCTCATGACTATGAGCAACCTCGCTCTTGTGCTCGACAGGCAGGGCAAGTACGCCGACGCCGAGGCCATGAACCGCCAGACGCTCGAGATAAGGGAAGAGGTGCTCGGCAAGACGCATCCTTCAACGCTCACGACTATGAGCAACCTCGCTGCAGTGCTCGACAGGCAGGGCAAGTACGCCGACGCCGAGGCCATGAACCGCCAGACGCTCGAGATAAGGGAAGAGGTGCTCGGCAAGACGCACCCTGATACGCTTACGAGTGTTTACTGTCTTGCTTATCTACTTCAGAAGAAACAAGAGTATGAAGAAGCATCGCTACTTTACCAAAGAGCATGTACTGGCTATAACTTATTATTAGGCTCCGAACATCTAATCACGACGGCCTGTGTAAACAATTATTCTATTATGCTTAGTAGTTTACAAGAGTCAAATAGAATATAGCAGTACTTTGTAGCGCTGCTCATTCACAGTTAATGTTTCTGATTCATTTATATATTAAGTATTATTAGAAGAACACTTTTTCTTTCACTTGTATATTCGAATCATTCTTCTCTAAGTTAAGTTAATATATTTTTATAACTATGATAAAGAGGGGCTTGGGGGAAGTGACATCTATATACTAAGCTTATAATATTCTAGAAGGTTCAAGTTTATTCTATAGGCGTTGTGATGTGCTTCGCGCTTGCTGGTCGTATGATACTAAAGTCAGCCACTTCTGGTAGGTGGGGCTCAGAAACGTCTAGCGAGTGCGGAGTGGAAGCCGATTTTGTAATCGACTACGTAGTATACCTAGAACGAACCTCTCCGATTTCCAGCCAAAGCCTCCAAGGAGAATCCGCTCCTCTTACAAAATTGCTGAGGAATTCGTAGATGACCTTATGGAGTCCGTAAAGGTCGAAAGACTGGCGAGAGGAGCCGGTATCAGCACGCAAGACAACGATGACTTAGCAAAGACTTTAAGAGCATTTCAGATGGTAATAACATGGCACGACGGCGACGTGCACGGCAATAGAGGCACCACTACCCAAGACACGTAATAGGCAGTCACACGTGATCTGGGATGTGAGGGTTGGAACCCAGAAGGGCTACGGCTTGGTCGTAGCGAGCACCTAGCATCTGAACCGGGCATTTGGGCACCGGCATCTGAACGACTCACCTTGCGCTAGGACTTGACTGGCTCTGTCCATGTTATCCCGCCGTCGCGATGGTGATGTAGAAAGAGACGAGTGACGGCGCTCCAGTGCCCAGGCACCAGCGTGCTGCCACCTGCCGATGGAATGTTCGAGAAACCTGCTCTTACGCCACACGCGTGACTAAGCCTGAGAATCATGGCTAAAGTAAAATATAGCGAGCCCGGGCGTGAACATAGTAAATTTTATCTAGGCTAATGTACATTACTAAGCACTAAAACAAGTGCACCCAGTGGTAGACCGTCTCATCGCACCGGCGTAACTCCCGGACTGTATTCTTTTCCTCTCTGAGTGTCTTTAAAATGTGGAGCCATATTATTTCATAATAGGACCTTTCCTTAAGTGCTCCGAATTTTGAAAAGACTTTAATAGTCGCGATTAAACAAGGGGGGACAGCGGAAGCAGCGATCGGTAGCGTGATTGAAACGATCGACAGCATAATTAACCGTATTCTTTTTCTTATTATTAAGTGGTCTCCTTAGGGAGAAATAGTTAAAGAAAGTAATATATTAATAACAACTTCATAGACTTACTAAGAAAAAATTTGTGATTCCAAAACTATAGATTCGTCTCGTGACAGGGTGCGTCTCGGGACGCAGGGACGGAGGTTAGTCAGTATCTATTTTCTTCTTCCGCATATGCGTATTCATACCTCACACAATCCAGCAAGGACAACTGCCCCCACAACAATGCCCACGACAATCTTGACCGGGTTATTCGATCCCATCAACTCAGCAGAAGATGCACCCGACGTTGTGGAATTCGTGATATTATTGTGAGGTGGCAGAGTTGGGGAAATGGCCACTGTGGTGATGGTGGTTCCCGGCAGCACCCCCACGTAAGTGAAAACTGGATTTGGAGCGACGCTCGCAGTGGTTTGTATCGAGGCTGTGAAATTCACAGGCGTAGAGCTTCCAGTGGAACTCGCGGTTGCCGATAGCGATGGGGTGGTGATGATGGAGATTGAGAACAGACTCGAAGTGGAGGGTACCGAGACGGTCAAACTGAAGGTGGAGATGCTTGCAGTGACGGCCGCAGTGATTGTGGAGCCTGAAGAGAGGCTCGAAGTGGGTGGTACCGAGTTTGATAAGCTTGACGAGGAAGAGCTCTGAGTATTACTCGCAGTAGCTGCCGGCGTGATTCTGGAGTTGGTAATATTCACCGAAGTAGATTGTGCGGAATTTGGGAGACCTGAAGAGGTGTAATTCGCTGTTGTAACGTACGTCAGTGTGACCTTCACGGTAACATTGTTTGTTGGTTGGACCGGAGGGGCTGAAGCTACTGCGGTAGATGGAGCTGTGAAGATTCTGACGTCCGGGCTGTCCTGGCATTCGCAATTGTAGATGGTTGTTGATGTGGAATGTGAGCTGCTGCGCGTGGGTGAGATAAGCGTGATCGAGGCATTGTCGATGGAAGCTGGAGTGGCAGTGTTGAGCTGGTGGGGTGGACAGGGGATCGTTTCCCCAACCACGAGGAATGAGAAGGTGAGGAGAGGGATGAGGATATCGACTATTGACCGCATGTTGACTGTTAGTTTAGGTCCTGTTCCTTTGCATGTGCAATGAGTCAGAAGCTCAATACGATTTGTGTTCCCTCGGGGCTGTGATGTTGAATGAAGGGTGGAAATAAAGTGAAGGTAGCCCCTGATTGGATGTAAGTGAGCGTATGAAGTTGGGGGTGAAGATTGCCAGTAAATCGATCAGGTTTTTTTATCAAGCCCCAACGTGAAGAGAGAAGGCTTATCCTCGAGGGAAACACAGCAGCGTAAGCTCGAAGGACAACATGTCAGGGAAGCAGACTGAGAAATATCAAGTGTATCTTTTCCCAAAAGCTTTCATTCACTTTCAGTCCAGTGCCATGCATATGCTTAACCCGGATATCAACCGATAAAAGGGATTACTTCCTTCCAAGACTCTAAAGATACCAAGACGGGTTAAGCACTTTCCAAATCATGAATTTATCACCTGATGGAGTGTAACGCAGATATGTTGTATGTCTAATGATATGAAGGCGGGAGGCAATAAGTTGTGTCTCTCGTTCTACAGCAAATGTTCCTCGCCATTCGGGAAACTTGAAGCTCAACAGGATCGCCTCGCTCCAAGTTCCTCAATGACCAAGAGATCAAGAGAAACACCTCACAACAAGCCAATTGCAATCAAAGCTGCTACAGCAAAAGGCTAAAGCACCAAAACACGTAACACGACACTTCGTAGCTCCCGAAGGGTACTTTCTTTCCAAGTGGAAGATCGCAGATGAAGGTAGGATCCATGCAACCAGAAGCATAGTAACACCCAAACCTTTGGCGACCTGACGTGATCACGCCCCACCTGGAAAGCTCGAGTCAGCATGGGTTTGTTATGGACTTCAAATTTCGGCTTACTTGCAGAGATCACGATTCGGGGGAGGTTGGATTGCATCGATGGACCGATTGTCGATGGTGCTTGCTTCGAAGATGAGGAGCTCGATCGAAGGGTGCGGCGGTGATGAGCAGGAAGAGGGCAAGGATGATGAGGGAAAAGAAAATAGTGGCTAATGCGAGCTCCATGTTTGCATGACGGGATAGGTGAGTTATGTTTGCTTTAATGAAATAAGCTAAACCAGTTTGTGTTGAGTAATAGAGAGGTGATCTGAAGTGCATGTAAAAGTCCTCTGATAAGTTGAGTAAGACTGAAGAGTGTTTTGAGTAGCCTGAAATTGAAAGAATTTGTCAGAAGAGCTGGTCTGAACGCCAAGTGAAAGTTCGTTGAGGTGAGTATTGTGATTGAATAGGAAGAGGCGAAGCTGACTAGGTAGGTTGCTTTATACTTCGTGCTTAATGTAGAAACCAATTTCCCATAATCGAAGGCAGGGACCGGCTAAGACAGTGTTGTTTATCACAAAAAAAGTAGCTTAAGAGCTTAAAAGGATGTGAATTTTGAACTTCAATTGTTTGGGAAGTTATAAGAAAGATCGTAGTCGATTCCTTAAAGTCACCTTCTCAAGTGAACACTTGGTAGTTCTTAAATGTTCATCTTGAAGAGAGGGTTTCACTTATAAACAATGATTCTCTTCATTACCTTCGACTTTACCTTTATTACCAAACCGTCTTGTCTCTACTTCTCAAGTGAATAAAGTCTAACCTCCCGACTTTCGTTGCACATCGTATCTTCTCTGTCGTCGGTCACCTTTGACTTCGTTGTCGAACCGGTTTGTCTTCAAGTGAATGCTTTATCCCTGTCTTGGGATCTTTATTGCACAGCTCATTTTCTCTGTCACAGGTCAGCCTTTGCCTTTATTGTCAAAACAGCTTTCCTTCAAGTGAATATGGGTAGCCTACAGTAGACGAGTTAGTGGGCTCGTAGCTTTTGAAAGTCTCGAATATCTGAGAATCCAGATTGGCCACGGCCAAACGCATTTGATTGGCGAAAGAACAGGATTGCCCTCTTGAGGAAGCTCCTTCCACATTAAACCATGGTACCAGAAGTCTCCCCTCTCAGATCTGCAACGTGGAAACGTGTAAAGCGGAGCTTGGAATAAGAAGGAGCCTGTTCGTCAAAGCCCTCAGCTTGAGGTGATTTCCAAGGTCTTGAAGAAGTATCTAGACGGCAAACCTTCGGTTGCTGCTTCCTCGGCTTCATTGGTGATGCAGGGTGGCCTACGATTCAACTCTGAAGGTGCGAGCGGCAGGAACAGAAGTGCTGACCAAAGGGCTGCGAAGCCGAAAGAATATTCGGAAATACCCTCAGGTCCGCCAAAAAACTTTTTTATAAAAAAGATTAACGTCCATCCCTGCGTGGCGAAAAACCCACCGTGCCGAAAATAATAATAGGTACTTTGACTTTACCCTCGTTAAGCATCTTAAAATCTGTGCACACCTCAATATCTCCTATATTTTTTATAAATTATATTCCGTGGCAACTCCCGGACACCCTAAACCCCTCCTATTAGAAAATTAGGTTCGCATTATCGCCCTTGCGCCTAATTTATAGATAGTCTTCGTTCATAGCATAATAGAGTTCCTTACCGCAGCTCTGCCATCGAGCTTTTATCACTTCTAATACTTATAAAAATGTTATTCCCGAGCCTTAGGGGCTTATTACCTTGCTAGAAATCGTTCTTAGCTATATAGCTACGGTGGCGCTAATCTTTATACAATATCGCGATGCTAGTCAGTACCTCCAATCAAATAGACCGAAAGCCAAAACAACTCCGCATATCCCGAAGAATTATTACGGTATATTTTATTTTAGTACGCTGTCCAGATCCAAGCTTGTGGCGGTAAGACTATAACTATGCGTTGTCTAACCAGTTGTCCTGCGTGCCGAGGGAAGAGTTCTAAGTTAAACTGAATCACCTTAACCCAGTTTTCCGCATCCTATAGATACCCTCCACTACTTCCGCCTTAATCGCAATACAGATATATGGCTTCCTTGGCCTCTAGCTCTCCTGTTCCTTCTGAGCTCAATGACGAGGTTAACGATGCCGACCTCCCTTTCGGACTCAAATGGGCCTACCCATGCAAGCTCCCTTCGTGCCCTAACTACAGCAAATCTTGGGGGCTACAAAGCCCCTTTCTCCTTTATTTGCAGCAGAGAGAGGTACATAAAGCCTTAGCAACAATACCTGCCGCATGCCGTACAATCGAGATAGATTGGCGGTATACTACCGATCCTTATCTGCCACCTCGGGCGGCCCCAGATTTTCGTTCTCGGGAGGATACTAGCGAGCATGTCTGGAACTATAGCTTCAAAGATAAAAACGGCAGAGTGATAACGGGGAGGGGCACACAAAAGCAGATAGAAATGCATATGGCCTCACGAGAGGAAGGAACGCCGGACGCATGACCGCGTTCCTATTCATGTATTGCTTCAACCTTCTACTCGGAGTAACCGCACATTTGTTGGGGGATTGGGCTCAGAGGGAGGCTCTGAATTATTGACATGGTAGCCGCATATTATGTCCCGATGAATGCCATGGAATCAGAATTCTGTTTAAACTCAATCTATATTTCTTCATATCAAATGTTTTGAAGCATAATTTCTAGCTTCCAAACATCTTTGAGCCGTCTTCCATCAACCCAAGCCTGATTATCCTCCCGTTGTTAATGTCTCTCTCGGTCTCTCCATATTCAGGATTTCCGCTATCGAGTATGTTAGGGAGCTGAGCAGAATTAGGGGGTCAAATTGCTTACGGCGATTGTTGGTCGCCGCAAGTAACATTCCACCACTATATTGGGACCGCGTCCACTTGAAGGACCTTTCCGCGGATATTGAAGTCGACGCTTCTAGTTATTGAAAAATATATTAATACACAATACCCAGCAAAGTCAACGTTATAGTATACAGGACAAGATCAGCGGGATTAAATTTAAACTTTCGTTAACGAAGATGAAATGTCCGTCGGGGAAGTCCACGTGTGCGTAAACGTTTATGAATATCCACCACTACTCCATTCATAACGCCATGAACATAAGCTGCTCCGACAAGTTTATGGAACTTGTCAAATGGTCGAAGTATTAAAGGCATATCAGCCCCGAACACTATACTTACAAGATCTCCATTCTTGATGTTGTCTGGACCAATCCCAACCAAGCCGTAATTAGTCCTAAAAAACCTGCGACTTGAAATCGCTGCTACTAGGCTTCTTTGCACTAAGGCCGGATGTTGCAACTCAATATTCGTCCTGCCCGTCTCCGGTGAAACTGGCACATGGCCGCCACTTAGCATAGCTTTGATTACGCCTTCATACCAGTTAGGAGCGGGTACATGTCCAGTCTCATCTTTATCTGCAATGAAAACTCGCCATAGCGATGCGCGAGTGTAGCGGCGGAGGCAATGAAGTGCGTCGTATAGATTCCCACTTGATATGTTTATAGGAGCGGCTCGAGAAATGCATTATTCTGCCTCTTGAAGATACGATTCGAGAGAATTGAACGGCCCAATTACTTCGCAAACGCGACCGAATCTGACTCCCTTGATAGATAGATGTCTGTTATCCGCTGAAAAGCGAATTAGTGGACGCGAACGGCCGGATGCTAAGTATTGGGCCCAATAACTTTCTGGCAATTTGGCTTTCATCTGTGGTTCCTCGAGATCTTGTGGGAGAAGGTGACTAGAGCCGCGTGGGTGTGTTAAGGAGAAGTCTGGTACCCATGATGGCAAGCCTTTCGGCTTCTTTTGTGTTGTCTGAAGTGCCAAGATGTTGAGGCTGCGGTCTATTTCAACGGTGCATTTGACAGCTTTGATATAGACTTTGACGTAAACTTCCTCAGAACCGTCTACTTTGTCTTCATAAACAACTTTTAGTTCCCGTTGGTATGCGTCTTGAGCAAGTCCGAGAAGAGCATAGACCCGGTCTCGTGGATCCTTCGCGCCAAAATATCTTGTTGCTTCAAGAAGATAAGGAAGGTGATAGCCAAAACATGGAACACTCCGCCGGATGTTTTGCATAGTAGAAACAATTCTCCAGTAATCCTGAGCCTCCCCAAAATGTGCAGATAGAGGACCGGAATGCTTGTTTTTGAGATAGTATCTGCGAAACTCATTATCCATCGAGCCAAGTCTATGGAATAAGTTCCATTATAAACGATCTCGACCACAGATCATCAGCGGACCATCGAAATTCGAAGCGAGGGCAAACTCTTGCAGCGTCCATACGCGTGTGAACCAGCTCCGGTTTAGAACCTGGCAAAGAGCACGGAAAGCAATAGCGTAATAATCTCCATTGTTTTCTACGTATTGCTGATATTCAAAGGGATGAAGATCTTTTTGGTTGTGTATAAAGTCGAATGCAGTTCGGCTGTCCATATTCGACATGCCAAGCCATATGAGCACCTGGCTTGCCGTTTGATATATCTCGCTCATTAATTGTACTTGCTGGCCGCGCTCAACCGGGTTCTTTTGATTAATACAAATCGCATCGATCCATATGTGTTTAATGTCGTCTGTGTACTCCCCGGCTTTTCGGATATGGCATAGGGCATCTATCAAGTTTGGGAACACGGGGAACAAATGTCCATCTATAACTATGGGCTTTTTTTCGCAATCCTTGTAGTCCTCTATTCCATCTTCTGGTGGGCCCCATGTATATGATAGTGCTTGGTATTTCGGAGCTTTACTGATGATATGTGTTGTAAGGACAAACTCGGGGGGGACGCTAAATGAGGCGTGATCTTTGGGCGGCAAAAGTCGGAGGAGACGAATCTCGTTGTTGTTAAGCGCTAAATATGAGAATTCCATAGTTGAAGCAGTGAGAGCCAATAGGCAGGTTTTAAGAAGTATTGAGGGCGGATATAGGATGATAAGGAGCCAATTTGACTGTGATGTAACGTTGGTAAGGCTGGAGTGGAATACTGAAATAGGCGACGGCGGTTGGGGCGGTTGCGTTCTGTCCACATTAATAACGGGCAACCGGCCACAGTACTGAAAACCGATTGTTCTGCGATTCACGGGCAGGAATTGAGAGGTTTTGTTGGAGTTGAGAGACCAATTTTGCACGTGCTGGCGATGTAGCCTAAATGAGCCGGCTGCACGCCACCGTTCGGATGTATATTGTGTAGACACGTAGCTGGTGTGGAAACTTCTAGAAGAACGCCACACTGCGCTACATATTCACGTGATACGTATAAAATTCGTAATAAAAATACGACTAGCGTGGCTGTGAATACAATATAGGGTAAGGACGATAAATCCTTCCTCGCTTATTAAGATGCTTGGCATTTTGTGTACCTCCCACTTTTGTCCGGATAAATCCAGTAGGTAGGTTTCCTTTGCTCTGTGTTTTCAAACTTGGGAGCAATATTTGAATGTAATAGAAGCTCTATGGCACGGCCCCGAATTCCGGGAACAGGTTAATAGTCATGATAAAGCAGGGGGTAATAGCTATAGCAGCTCTTGACGCTCTCAACAAGATGGTCGACAGCATAGCCAAACTGTAGTGATTTTCTAAGTGCAAGTCAAGCCCTTGTAGAGAAATAGCTAAAGAACAATCACGAACAGATTATAGCTTTATAAATGGATATGGTGGAGATTTAAGACCTCCAAACTATGAAGTATTTTCGGCACACCGGGTTTTTCGGCACGCAGGGATAGACGTTAACAATCTACCTTAAACCTACAAACATATTCTTCCGCAGTCTCTCAAACTTCACTACCACCAGACGAGTAATTCGCCACTCCTCAATTAGCTTTACAGGGATTTTCGCCCCCAGTCTCACCCATACTTCTTCATAGCTGACAAGCCACACGTGCTTACTAAATACTCTAAAGTGGCACAGTAGTTGAATTATGTGAGCATTTGAGTTTCTTGCATGGCTTCTTCTGGCATCTTCAATTGAGGGGTCAACAATCACCCTTGTCAACTCGCTTAGCAGCCACTCCTACCCCTGAACCCCTCTTTCACTCTCGGTGTCTAGTTTGAGCTTCTCCTAATTAGCTTGATATTCTGCATTAACACCGATTTTAGCGGTAACAGCACATGCGAGTGTGCTAAGGCGTCCTTCCTCATCAGCGAGCACTTCACAAAAGCTATCTGTTTATCTCCACTATCACCGGAAGGCGATTAATGATCAAGAAATGTCCATACTTTTAGCAATGATTTAAGACAGAGATTCCTGGAGTCCCAGCTCTCTCGCACAATTTTGTCCCAATTTCAAGCTATCAAATATGAATAATCGTTCCAATAGTGCTCAAACAAAGAAGCGCAATCGTGGCTTACTTTCTTGCCTGGAGTGTCACAGACGAAAGCAGAAATGTAACCGTGAACGGCCTTGTAGCGATTGTGTGGAAAGGGGTCTGCCCGAGAAATGCATCTATCGTGCCGCAAAGTAAGTCACAATCACCACTTCCTACTTGGGACGCTGTTCACTAATATACACAACCGCAAAGCAATCCCAATCGATTGGATCCAGCCAACGATGGCGTGTTAACAATCTCTCAGCTCAAGAGGATCTTGACGGGGGAGGAGGTCGTTTTAACCACAGAATCGGTGTACGCATTGGCGGAGACCTCTCTTGTGGTTGCTCCTCATCCGCGGCGTTATGCACACCCTGACCAATTTCCTTTTCTGGATTCCAGTAGCTCTAATACGAGCAACGCCGACAGTAGCTTCTCCCAGAATCTCACAGTGAGACCCAAGTCCCCGAATGTAGCTAGCGGTCTCTATTATGACCCGCCATTGGGCACGCTAAGCACCTTCGACCCTTTCTCAATGCTCCCCGAGATGATAGGCGAGCCAGTGCCGAAGCAGCTGTTAATAAGATACTACCTAGAGAGACTGGCCCCCTGGTTCTGTTATCTGGAAGACAATCTGGCAGATATTGAGCCCCGAATCGCGTGGCTTCCTTTTGCCTTGGTGTACCAGCCGTTCTTCTACGCCACGCTTCTGACTGCAGCGGTACACCTCAATCGGAAACGACGTTTTAGGGATCCGGCGGCACTCCTCTGGTTTAAGGCTGAGACCATCCGAGCCGCAAATGAGAAAATGAATGACCCTGCAGAGGCGGCCAGTGATGAGATGATCATGGTTGCATTGATATTGCTTGTTTTCAATGTAAGTTCACGGTTCTCATGGGCAAAGGTTTAGAGATTGACCAGATGCTCAGGTCGGCGGCCGAAACACCGAAGAGTTTGAGATCCATTTGAGGGGAGTTAATGAGATGGTAAAATTTCGGAGCGGGAAAGAACATCTGGGGATGCGGGGCATGGTAAAGAATTGGTTGGAAGTGTGTTATGGTCCTTGGCATGATGGATGGGAATACGGTCACTTCTCTTGATTGGGTGTCAGCTCTGGATTGCCTTGGATATTCGGGATCAGCTTGGGGATCTCAAAATCGGGAAATTTAACGGGACGGGCAAAGACGTTTATTAATGCTAAAGATTATAATGTTTTGATCCATTCTCCAACTGTCTTGACTTCATGTGCAAACAACGGCCAAACGATCTCGGTTGCGGCATCTTTCTGCTCCTTGGTGAAGCCGGCAGTGGTATCCTTGAGCATAGTAACATGATACCCACTACTCCTCGTTAGCATCCCTTGGACTGATTTTCTTTGGAAACCCACAACTCATATGCGTAACGAGCAGTTGTGTTGAATTGGTACTAGCTTACTAGTCCTTCCAGTACCAGGTTCAACTACTAATATTAGCTTCGCCACTCTCATTTATAATGGTTTACTATGGAAGCCTATGGAATAGCTCACTATGGAAGCTCAGGGAACGCTCACTAATATATATGAGTCATCTGATTTATAATATACTGGAGGAAATCGCCACCCACTAGTTGGTATATAAGAACTGTACTTTAGATTCCTCCTCTCCTTTTTTACTCTTCACTCTCCTGTATCTAGTCATTTTACAGATTGTCAACCTCCAATATATCGATTTTCCATTAATAAATCGATCACTTTCCAATAAGTTGACTCAAGACACGTATTTGAAGTCAACCCACCCATCACAAGGTTCGTAATATCCCTCTGTCGAAGCTGGTAATCAAGATCGGTACTATGGAACGAACTTCACTTCCCATCAACTTTCTCCCCAATAACTCATGAACAAAGACTAAAACAGACCTGCTAGACCAATGCTTCGAAACAACCACATCTCCATTCTCCAAACTTGGCTCAAGACCCTCATAGATATCTACCCCCCAACTCCCTTCCTCAAACGCCAAATTCTCTTTCTGACTTTTCTGTAAGGGAGTTGCGTGGTTCCAGCCTGCGATGAAATCGGATTTGCATTGCTGGTGGAGGCCGTAGTAGATGGGAATTTTGTGGAGACGTGCGGCGGTCACAAGTTCTTTTAGGTGGGTGATGGTATCTGTTTCTCTGAGGCTGTCGGCAAGGAGGCCGTTGAGCTTTCCTCTGGGGTGGAGGAAGTCGTTGTAGGGGTCGATGATGATGATTGCTGTATTGGAAGGCGTGGTGAAGAGAGGTTTGGGGCAAGTCAAGGGTTGTGGAGGTTGGAATCCGAGGAATGGGGAATGGTTTATAACTTTGGTTGGATTGTACAGAGCATATGAGGCGCTAATTCCTACTTAGTAGGACTCTAGGGGTTAATGCAGAAGGTATATTTCAAGTGGATGAGTAACTGGTTATCTCGACCCGGGTGTCTTTTCCCCACCCCACCTCGACTCTGTTGTCAGGGAGAGGGAAATAATAACTACGCCAAGAAGACAAGTCTGCAGCAACATTCAATCAACTGGGAAAGATTACTCGGCATTGCTGAATTCGGGAATATGGCTCAGTAGTAGCATTCGCTGATTAAGCATATGCATCGAGTCTTGCATTATCGCCGACGGACTGGGAACATGGTCTATGTTAGCATCGACGTCGACGGCGCATTGGATTCTCTAAATTTAACCTAAGGAAATTGCTGACACTACCTAAGCCTCTTTGGAACCCTCATGGCTTTTCCTGAGAGATAGGGGTAATGGGTGTCAAAAAGGGTGTAGCATCACGTGATGACCTCAAGATACGAGACCCCTTTACGCTTCTTGTTCCGCTACTGTAGCAAACGCATTCAGTTCATGGGCATGAGTGTACATCCTGAGAGCAGTTTGCTCAATGATATTCGATCAAGGCGTGATCTCATTCCCCAGCAAGCGTCCAATCTCCTCAGCAATAGCCATGATTCTCTCCTCTGTGAGTCGTCTTCCAACGATCTGAACGGCGACTGGTGCTCCGTGATATGCTCCCGGGTCATCTAAAATAAGTCAGCACTGCATCTTGAAAAATCAGTGGCACTCACATTCTTCTTGGATAATTTTGTCCAAATCATTCAAGGGCTTATAATTCTCTTGCTTCTTGTCAATGCTCTTGTCGGCAAAAGTCACCGGAACTACGACGCTGGTGAAATCAAGCAAGTTGATTGCGCTTGCGTATCCGTAGTATTTAAACTTGTCATGTTGCACGGCAGCAGTGGGGGTGATAGGAGCCAAGATCGCATCGATCTCCTTCCCAAGCTTTTCTTCTGCAATGCGGAACTGCTCGAGATATTCGGATTGAAATGCCCACTTCTTGAGTTGAATATCCCAGAGTTCGTTCATGTCGACTTTTGGCAGGGAAGGGTTGATGAGATCCTTGAAATTGGGGATGTCGGGTTCTCCCGATTCCTTGAGAGTGTTGAAAATGTCGGTTCCGCCATCGCCGGCGTAGATTCCGTTAATTAGTTTCACAGCGAAGTCATGCTTGTATGGCTTCCATTCAACGACGATATGTCCAGCCTTCTTCATCGTGGAGACAACGGTCTCGACACCCCGGAGAATAGGTGGGTGAGGTAGGACCTGACTTTGTTAATAACTATCACCTTTCACTGGAAGAAAGAAATTGGAGAACTCACATTGCCGTCGCAGTTGTAGTATCCCAAGGTCAAGCCGCCTGATCCTAGCTTTGTCTTGATTATGTCTGCTTCTGCCTGCCTCCACGGCATTGGAATGACTTTAGAGTCATACTTCCATGGCTCTTCAGCCAGAACCGAGGTCACGAAAAGCCGCATATCTGATTTTATCAGCACCAGCTTGGGCGTTTTGATGAATGAATTACCTTTGACACTGTGTGTTAATGGACCGCAAACCGAGTGAACCGTTTCCTGCCCCTCCATTGAATTTGCCATCTTTCCATATGGCAAACGGCCATGACTCGGCCTCAGACCATAGAGAAAATTGAACGCCGAAGGTACTCGAATTGACCCACCTGCGTTGTCAGAACGTGTCTGGTATAAATGGATTGGAAGAACAACTCACCGATATCTGTACCAACTCCTATAATACCTCCTCTGAACCCAACCATAGCTCCTTCACCCCCAGACGAGCCACCGCATGACCAGTTCTTGTTGCGTGGATTGACAGTTCTCCCGATTACGTTGTTCAACGTCTCGCAAACCATCAAACTTTGAGGTACACTGGTCTTGACGTAGAACACAGCTCCAGCTTTCAACAAGAGGTCCACTAAAACGGAATTCTCTGTCTCGTACTTTCCAATCCAAGAGACATATCCCATGGACGTTTCAAGGCCCTGTTTCATTAGCACTGTTCCACTCGGGTTCTGGATCCCGCTCACCTTGATACGGAATTGATCTTTCAGAGAAATAGGAAGACCATGAAGTGGCCCGACAGGCTTCCCGTTCTTTTGGAAATAGTCATCAAGTTCTTTGGCACGTGCTAATGCCATCTCGGGAAAGAACTCTAGAGAGCAGTTTACCTGGGGTTACTGATCAGCGAGGAGGGGAAACTCCAAAACGTTGTGAAGCGTACCAGCTGGTGTGCAAGCGCCGCTCTCTTGCAAAAGGCTGTTGTAACAGCGACCGATGTAAGCTTTCCCGCAGCCATCTGAGCTACAAGATCTGAAGCTGATGATTCGGTGATGGCTATTTCCTCAAGGGACATGATGCCGCTGACCTTTGGAAAGTTCATGACCGAGTCTTCGGTCGGCAAGGTCTTGATACGCCATTCTTCTGGGATCGAAGCCGCAATGCGAGCTTTCTTATCTGCAGCCGTCTTCTCCCACGCCATGATGAGGTGCAGATCGAGTCCCAATGTTAAAGCAACGCTTGTTGGATTGAAGGGTTGGGATTGAAAATGGAATTTGAGAACGAGGTGGAAAAGAGAGTTTCAACGAGAAAAAGGCGAAGTTATACTTCTCCAAGAGTGGAGTGAAATGTCTTCTGATATCATCGGTTCTCACCTAAAATGGCGTGTGATCTACCAATGACCTTGGCGGGGTTATTGCCGATAAGGAGGTGTCCGGGGTTAGTGGTTCGTGGGGTTTTACTGACAAATCGCTCCGGGGAAATGTCGCAGTGTTTCGGCTTTCCTAAAAAACCAGACAGGAGTTTCTAGATAATTTATAGAGCATCTAATCAACCTTTGACTCAGTCCGACACAAATGAGGTTGCGAAGAAAGGGAGTCAGACAGGAGGTTGAAAAGCACGGATCATGGAACGACCCGAGCTCACGTGATCGTCCAGGGGTACTCACTTTCCAAGGTCTGAACCAACATCTTTTCTCCTCTATCCTCGTTCACAGGGATGGCAGTTCGTCCGCGTCTCCACTAGCAAAGGAGGATGCCCGAGTTCAATCCGTCTTTAGTGTGTAGGCGTTTATAGCCTGGGCTTGATACAAGGAACGAGGAACACCGCATGCGATGCCAGCTCTCAGCCCAGAGATGTTTGGTCATTCCTTTGCCTTCGGGATCTGGAGATCCAAGACGTTATTTAATAACGTTTGAGGCGACAAGTAAAACAAGGCTAAGGATTGAGTCCGCAAATCATCGTCGCAAGGCCGACAAGCGTGTGGCTTAATTTATGTGAAGTGTCTTCCCCAATTCCCAATTCAGGTGTGCTGGGGACGGCTGACAATCAAACAATGCGCCGTCGTAAACTTCCATCCCGCATATTCTCGAAGCCGACTATTGACTTTTCTTCAAACGCAGGAACAGCGCGCGTGCATCTCTCTTTCTAGTACTATACATGCGACGGAGTGTCACCTTTAACGGCCATTGGGAGTGCCTTCCCGGCAATTGGTCCAAGGCTTTCAAAGAGCCACAAATACGGTTGGAGTTGGTGGGCGCACACACGTAAAGTGTTATGGGTATTATCGGAAACGGGAAGTAAAGGTACAGATGTTTTAATGTTCCCCTGAGATCCATATTAATCCCCAGTTTGAACCAATAGTGTGATGAATAGACACCAGCTTGTCAAAGATGCATCGATCCTGGCCTTCAGTGTCCAAGATATGAGAGGAAGGTTGAATTCATATATTTTCATGGTCAAACCCTAGCAAATCCAGTGAGATACGAGAGCCAGAAGGAACTCCACTCGTTCGAACGCGCAAGCATCAGCCAAATATCGCAAATCGGAATCTAGAACCAACCAGTCGTCGAGGTGATGAATCCAGACATCCTCGTGACTCTCGTTTACACCGACCAATGGTATATTGGTTCGCTCCTTGGCGATACCGCAAAACAAGTTGGGGCTGATCACCGCTCTTCATGGGCGGTACGTTCCTGAATACCATGATGCTTCAAATCGTGAGGGTTCAGGCATGTGTGCGTCCTGGATCCGGACCGTGGCGCCAATCTCGCCACCAAGACTGTGAACGACTTACTTCCATCCATGACGCCGAACAACAAGACGACACTTCTGCTCACAATCTTAGTCGAGGAAGGAGGAACTTCCGGGTTAAACCATTAATGCTCGGATTCAAGACGTGGAGTATCGAAGAGCGGAATCCAGGGAGGCCACGTATGAAGACAAGCCGAAGTCCCCTGGCTTTACATGTGATGATAGAGTGTTTGCTAGAATTAATTTTTTTTAGTTTGGAAAGTGAGCATCGTCCCCCGTGGGACTGGGAGACTGACAGCTGCCAATGCATTCTCCCACCATTGGTCTTATTGCTCATAGACGAGGAAAACCCAACCAACGCTTTACACTGAAGAACTTCCCTCCTTCTCATCCTTCACTTCCTTGAGAGGCGTTACAGGCAAGCCAAGCTCGATCCGGGTTTGGTGGGCCTGCAGCTTCCATCTGGAGAACACCTCTCGACGTGTCTCTCGGGGACGGTGTCCGAAGGAGTCATTGAACTTGACATCGGCCAAGCACTTTGCGAGATCCCATTCCTCATGCAGCTCTCCATCCATCAGCACTTTGATACTTCCGATCCTTTCATATAGTAGAGTCCCATATGAAGCACTATGATAGCTCATATTGAGCAACTCCCAAATATCCGATGTCACGTAGTCCAGAATGTAACCAGGATGAAGGAGATAATCTGGTCCGTTCTCTTTGCGATACCGTTCCTTTCTCCTCTGCTCACAGTGCTGCCTAGGTAGGATCTTGGAGGATGGGACATCAGGAGTCCGGATATCTATGACGAGCTCCTTGATGCTGATTTTCTTGTCGTCTTTCCTTGTTCGACGCCCCACCGGACCAAGTCTCAGACCTCGCTCGATGAGATTGTAGAACGACATAGTAATTTGAGGCGGCCCGCCATCGCCGCCCTCAAATAGCGAGAGTCCTTTCTCATAACACCCAATCGTTCTAATGGTCGCATAAACCCGGTCCACTCTCGCGGTAAGCACTGGAGCATAGAGCCATGTTGCCCACAATTTCCTCTCATGAGCGATGATGACGTCTAGGACATAGGAGTTTGTTGGTAGAAGTCGAATTGCGTCCTGGGTTTCTTCTTGTAACTGATGGCTGAGGAGCAGAAGTGATGTGGAGTCTCTCATCGGCGGGTGCTCAATATACCTGAGGATGTCGGAGTTAGTATTGCCGAATGAGGCGAAATTGGGGGTTGCAACAGTTATATACGCCCTAGGAGTCCCGCAAGCACCAGAATATTTGCACGCGTCAACCTTGAGGCACGTCTGCAGAGGAGAGAAAAATCCCGAGACCCGCGGCAAAGAAATACATGCTCATAGAAATGTACATACATAACATCTTCACCCTTTCTCCATCGGACGAGCCCAACATCGTCAAACTCTGCTCGGCCGCTCGCGTCGGATACATCTGTGGGAGCATCCTCGTGATGGGACAGGACGAGGCTGATAACTTTATCGCGTATTTCTCGAGGCAATTCGAGAAAGGTGACCATGTTGACGACGAAAGAGTCGAGATCTGGGTAAGACGGGATGTCACCTAACAGGATTTCGCCGCGAGTGTGAGGCAACGATCGAGATATATAGTCGGGGCGCTGCTGAATTAATCAACGTCCTCCGTTGACGTTCCTTGTTGCTCATAATTATGTGCAGGACGCTTTCCACCAGGCACCAGCTCACCGAGCCTGCATTAGGCAACGGCGAGGCAAGGAACAATGTAAAGCCTTGGTCGTTCCAACGTGGGTCCGGTGTATTTCTTGTTCGGTAGCGGGTGCCTGATTGGCTCCCCTATCCGGACGATCTACATCCTCGAAGGGCCCAGGCATGGCACTGAGCCGAAATTCGGTCTTCTTCGATTCTTCTGGACAATATATACATGTGTATATACCTAAGAACGAACCTCCAAGTACTTCAGAGGGGCAAAAGTTTGGATCGTTGGACTCCACCTCCCTGCCTGAGAGCGAGGTTCTTGCCATTACATTTTCGAAGTTAGTGGTCTTGACATAGATCGAGCTAGATGCCTTGCTTGAGCAAAAGTCCAAGGAGCAAGCCGGAAAGGCTGGCACAACGGCAGGGCAGAGCAAGAGTATCAAAAAGCACGTGCCGGTTCTTCCTCGTCTTCAAGGTAGAGGCGAGGAGAGGGTTGCCAAAATAGATGGTACGAGGCTTGGAGAGACCACTACACTGTGATGAGCGGTGTCCACCCCAAGTGGATTTCCACCGTGAGGAGAACATCTCCGGTAGCAACGAGGAGCAGGTTGAAGAAAGGGCCGATAAGGACAAGCGGAAGGAAACATGAATGGTGGATTTTACAACTGTTTCGGTAGGGTGCAAGCTCACTACCATACTCGCAGGCATTTCCGCACCCGGTTCGGGCCACAAGTCGGCCCCAGCATAGCGAGGAATTGCCGACGGGTAGCCGTATCCCCCTTTCCTGGAACTTGTTAAGAATCATAGACGAAAGGAAGGAGGCAGCACGATTCAGCCGATGCAGCATCGTCGCAGGGCAGGCCTTCACATGCTGCCCGCAGGAATCGACGCTCCCTTTGTTGGGCAACGAGACCGCCTTCACGACAGAACTCAGAGATTCAGCTAACGGCAATAGTAGAACCTTTTGCAAGTATCCAGAACATAAGGTACGCTCTCCAGCTGCCGAAGGGTGGTCCTCTGCATGAGAGCCTGTCTCCTGTCAGCGGGTCACACGATTAAAAAAACGGTGCTCGAGTTCCCGCTTATATGCACGGCCGAATTACATAGAAAATCGCGAAAACTTAGAGTTTTAATACCTTTATAACTTTTATATTAATTAATAAAAATACTTACTCCTTTAATATAATATATAAAAATAGAAAGGGTTCTATATTATAACTTTGAAAATAATAATATTAAAAATATAATAATTATTAAAAAAAACTTATATTAAAAATTAAAAATTTAAGGGCTTAAAATTCTTTTATAGTAGTATTAGAGAAATAGAACGAGCTAAGTTCTTTTAAAATGAATTATTCTTAATTATTTTTAAAAATTAAAAATAAAATTTTAATTTTCAAAAAATCAAAAGTTTAAAATTATATTTCTTATTTTAAAAGGCATTTAAAGGTTATGTTTAAATCATGAAATTCAATATATATTATTTTAAAAAAGTCATATAAGGATTTTATAAGATTTATTATTATTATAAAAGTTATTAATTCTTTTAATAAATTACTTATTTCTTAAAAAAGTTTAAATATTATTAATAAAACTTTGAAATTGCTATAAAACTAGTATAAAAAATTAAAATAGTGTACTTCGTAATTCTATAATAGCTTACTGTTTGTAAATATAATTTACGGTTATTTAATAATTTAATATCTTTGGTTTTCTAGCGAGCCGTGCATTTAAGCGGGAGATAGAGTAAGATGTTCAGCTGGAACTGGGGACTTAGCCGCTTCAAGGAAGCCATGAACGTTGAGGTTCATTGAATCTAAGGAAACCTAAATATATTGTTTTGTGATGGCTGCTAGCGATTGCTTACTCGCAGGCATTTCCCCGCTGTGTTTGGGCCAGCTAACGCCTGTGGTTACAAATCCGTGTTTTTAGGGCATTTCACTCAGAAATGAACCCCATACCCATTTTGGATGCTTTTATTTTATCTTCAGAATTACGTTTACCGGTATTCTAAACTCAATCTATCCTTGGCTACCTCTTTCAATCTCCGATTTACTAAATCGCAAGTTCTATTTATTTGTTGTTGTCTTGAAACAATAACACGGACTTCTACCAGCAGGGCAGGCTCGTAACTCGCTCGTACTGTATGAGCGCTGTGAGGAGGCCTAAGCAGGGTGAGGAATTGCCGACGAGTAGGATTTATATCGAGCGTGCCCGTACGATTCACCTTAGCATCGTCTTGGCAAACCTTCACATGCAGGCTTCTCCTCAATGCCCTCATGCTGCTAAACGGTATGTCTGGCGGACTTGATAAGCCTGCAGATCTGTTCAACTTTGAAACGAAAGCGAGAATCGGGAGGCCAGCTGATGCCATCTGATTCGACCTCAGAGCTTCCGAAGTTTCAGGCTTCCCGCCACCGCTTGGCTAATCACGTGTGGTTTGAGGAATCTACAACCTTTTTAGATGGTTTTTTCACTTCTATCCAGGCTGTGTTCCCAAACAATGTTTTCGATATATGATGAGACGAGCAAGAGCCAGCAAGAACCCAACAAGATTGCAACTCTCCCGACTTGAAGACGAACTCGCTCTCTCTCGGCGTTCGGACGTCGTTCACGTACAGTATCGTGCTGAAGGGTTTTCGACCCCTGCAGCAGTCCAACCACCGCACCGATAAGCCACGCGCATTCGTTATCGCTCAAAGAAGACGAAGGAGCCAATGAAACACGTGCAGAGCGGATAGGACAGGAAGAGAAGAAGTATATAGACAATGCAGCAGCCCGGCTCGCTATGGCGCTCCGCTCTCCCTCCAAAATCTTGCCAATATCCAGAGGCCGGCTGCCCGAAGCAGTTAGACGCCGGGTCGAAATATGCCCCGACAACACGTGCAGCCCGTGAAGCACTCACTCGACCTGCGGAGCACCTTCGAGGGCTTCCACACCGTCACCAATTTTAATGTGGTCGAGCGTATGAACGCGGTCCCGGGCTTGAAGACAAGTGCAGGTCAGTATGGTTCCTTCTAGAACGTCTGCAGACTATTTTGGTCTTCTCTCCTTTCCTATAAATATTTTGGTCCTGGTGTTGATCCGAGTAAACGATCCATTGTTTCTATCGCAGTCGCTTCCCGGGGGTAGAATAGATTTTCCGTTCCTTCCTTCCCTCGGCTGTTACTGTAATACGCTTTCTCCTGAGGTATATACTCGTCTGCAGCCTTGTCGTCTTGCTAGCTCTTTGCGAAAGAGTTGAGAAGAATACCATTAACTAACTTCAGCTTGCCTACAGCATTTTTCAGCTTCCTGCGCGCAAACCTCGTCTTACCGTCCTCGACACTGAATTCAAATATCTCGACGCCCCTCCTTCATCCCTCTTCCTCGCAAACCCTCCCGCCACTCTTTCCATCCTCTCTCGCAACAATGACGTCCAATGCCGAAGACGAAGTGGTGCCCGCACCGAACCCACTCGAGGGAGTACCACCTCTTGTTACCAAGCAATTGACGGATGAAAACGACAAAGTGGCCGCTCTCAAACTGATCGCAGACTCCATCGCACAACAGCGTCAACAAGCGTCTCGCGCTATAATCTTCAACCCCCTCACACTTGCCGGATACATCCTACTTCTAGCAATTGTAAGCAACTTTATATACAAGGACCGCAGTGATCTTGGTATTGTGGCTACAACATCTGCTGGAATTACCATGGCCTGTCTGATCGCCATCCGTGGCCTCACAGGTGAATATCTGAATCTGGCAGAAAAATTCAACTGGAAATTTGCAACGAATGAAGATGGCGAGGAGGATGTCATCATCGGCTCGAGATACGGAGAGGAGATTATGGGCGCTGCGGTTTTGCGCTTGGAGGGAAAGGGTAATGGCAGCGGGAAGAAGAAGACGAAGAGTGCGAAGACTGGAGGTAAGGGCGTTGTAAGAGCATGGACTGTGAGAGTCAAGTATCGAGGGAAGGGTGTTGGCACTGAGCTGCTGGAAGAGGCGGTTAAGATTACGAGGGAGAAGCTCGGGAACTCGGCTGAGATTGGGTTTGCGGCCGAGCATGCGAATAGCAATATGATCTTGCCGGAAATCTTCAATGCGAGCTTCAGGAAGAGAGAGGCGAAAGCTGCTAAGGCGTTGGAAACTGTCATTGAGAATATGGATACTGGGAGCAAGAAGAAGAGGTAGACATGGCTGGGCGGTTCTATGTGTAGATTGGTTTGGGATATATTTCCGTAATAGATTGTGGAGCTTGAAGGTGGGAAATAGGGAGGAAATGGGCGGATATACCAAGGTGTTAGAGGATGAAAATTCAAGATACCTTTTGCTATTACTTGAAGGAATCACCATGATCACTTCGGTTGCCCACTTCTTTCCATAATTCTCTTTCAAATTCTCTCCAAAGACAATTGAGCACACTGTTCAAATACTAAGGCTGGTCACGTGTAAGGCTACCATCCACTCCCATCGGCTGGTGCTCGCTAGAAAAGTTCGCTCACCAAGCCTTTTCCCTTCCTTCTCTTCTCAGCAACATCCAAACCTGAACACAAATTGCTATACCCAAGACCGAGGACGTGCTGCTCACCGCGCCAGCAACTCCCCATGATCTTTCGATGTAACTCCGCAATCCAGTAGGTCCGTCGCGAGGCATTATATAATGCCGCGTACCAGTTCCTTAAGCCGATCATCGTCGTTCGCGTTCGGCTTGTCGGTTGTGCTCTAACTTAGCTTGATTTGACCTCCCCATTCTCCCCCGCGTTACAAGCTCATTTAGGACAGCAGCCACCCACGTCTTTCTTTCGGAACGGGTGCTCTATTGATTTTACAGCAAAGGAAACATGAGGTCGAACGTCAGGATAACTACACCGCTTGTGCGGTCAGCGTTGCAGTCTATTCAGAGAAGAAGCTTCTCTGCGTCAGTGGGAAGGCAGGCACAATGGGGATTCATAGGTCTCGGGCAAATGGGTACGCGTTTGGCTCACGCGGCAACTTCCAATTGCTTCATTTTCTGACGGGAACATAGGGTACAATATGGCCAGAAACCTCCAAGCAAAGCTACCCTCGTCAGATACCATACGAGTCTTCGATATCAATGCCACGTCCATCCAGAAATTTGCAAACGAAACAAAGGCATTGGGAAGCGGAGCTGCTGTCAAGATTGCTGCCAGTGCTAGGGAGGCTGCTGAAGATGCTGTAAGTCTTCTCTGGAATCTCTTCTGCCAAAGCCGTTGTTACTCCGCCCCCCTCATATGATGAATTTGTCCTATCCATGATCTAAGTTGGGGTCACCCGTCTTGGGTGACTTTCGTATGATTTTAAATTTATACAATAAAGCCAATCCTCTGATATTCCTCCCATCAATCCCATCTTTACCTACTGTCCCATCAATTGGCACTTGCTAACCTGGGATACCTTCAGGAAACAACAATCACAGTGCTACCCCAGCCCTCGCACGTAAAGAACGTCTTCGGGCAAATCCTCAAGCCACCGCTCTCCCAAGAAGTTGTCTCAAACCCAGACCGCCTCTTCATCGACTGCTCCACAATCGATCCCTCCTCCTCCCGCGAAGTAGCGAATGCCGTACACACCACGCGACAAGGGCGCTTCGTCGACGCCCCCATGTCCGGGGGCATCGTAGGCGCCACGGCTGGAACGTTGACTTTCATGCTCGGGTCCTCAGACTCCCTCATCTCGCGCGTGGAGCCCATCTTAATGATGATGGGCAAAAGAGTCATCCACTGCGGCGACCAGGGCGCTGGCCTCTCGGGGAAACTAGCGAACAACTACCTGCTAGCAATCAACAACATTGCTACAGCAGAAGCGATGAATCTCGGTATCAAATGGGGATTAGATCCCAAAGTACTTGCTAGTCTGATTAATATCAGCACGGGAAAGTGCTGGCCAAGTGAGATCAACAACCCTGTGAAAGGGGTTGTTGAAGGCTCACCTGCTAGTAGAGATTACAGCGGCGGTTTCGGGATTAGCCTGATGAAGAAGGATCTGGGACTTGCGATCCAGGCGGCGAGTGAAGCTGGTGCGAGACTTGAGCTTGGTGATAGGGCGAAGCAGGTTTATGATGCTGCTGAGCAGCAGGAGGACTGCAAGGGCAGAGATTTCTCTGTGGTTTACAGATATATTGGCGGTGCTGAGTAGATGATACGTTTGGGTATCTTCATGGTTGGCGTTAGTTATTTTGGATACACGGTTTATATGCATGAAATGAATGGAAATACTGTGAATTCTATTTTCTTTTCTGTGACAAGTGCCTCGACGCCATGCTTGATGCTTTTAGTCTCCCTTCCTGCTATGCACAAAGTCAATTATGCTCCAGAATGATACATTCGTCACCCCATCCTTCCGTACACCTAATCCCTCCATCCCAATTTGAGCAAAAGCCAGCTCTTCCTCGCTCAGTGCCGTTTCAACTCCTCAACGAGGTTCCGCACATCCTCCACACTCGGCCCCAACCCCTTGCAAATCTCCTTCTGCACCTCCTCATCAACATCCAAAAACCGTTCAATCAACTCTCCATCCACGAACCGGAACGGCTCTATCGTTTCCCGCTCAGTGTTTTTGAACGAGCGGTAGGTATTGAAGTCGAGTCCGCCGAGCGTGAGAATCGTTTGAGCCATGCGTGTTTGCAGACGCATGAGTAAGTCTTGTGCTGCGGGGACGATCAGGGAGAAGAGGTAGATTGATCCTTCAGTCTAGATTTTCACCGTTAATAAAGAATTCTTGGGAGGGTAGAGGAAGAATTAACATACTGTAGCCAAAAACGCCTTCGGGTTAACCATGGCGTTTGGAGGAGGTTCAACATCAATCGTTTGGATCTTATTTACCATCTCTCCCAAATTCATCTCACTAATCACCTCCAGCCGTTTCCTATCTGTAAGCGTCACGCCCTCAGGATTACGTCTCAGCACGATGAGGTTTCCATCTTGGTCTGTCTCAAGGTAGAGATTTTCTTCGATGTTAGCAACCGCTGTTGCCCAGAAGGCTTGCTGGTGGCGCGCTACTTCTGTGAGCTGGCCTGGGAGTCCCACGCTTCCTGGAGTGTATTCTAACAACGACAAAGATTTCATGAGATCGGCTACCGCAATGATGTTTTCCTTATCGGTCTTTTCAACAGCGAGGTCGATTGGACATGTTGATGTCCTGTACGTAGCCAACTTCGTAAACTCAGCAGACTTCTCTGTCGTTTCCTCGTAGTCGAAGATGACCACAGTCTTAGTGAGCGCCGCAATAATCTGGCCACTCAGAACTGCGAGTTTTCGACATGCTCCTTTCAAAAGCATCTGTCCCACCAGATGCGGTGTTTTATTGCTGTCAACAGCGAAGACCATTATTCGACCTCGGACATCCTTCTCCTGGAGGAATTCATTCTCTTCATCAATCAAACTGGTTCCGACGATAAATCGTTCTGCAGGAAGGAAATCCCCATGCTTGATTGGCAGGTCGGCTCGAATAACGCATTCAATGAGTTCTGCTCCGTATTCCTGGCCTAGGACATAAGGTTCTCCAATCCCTCCAAGCTTCACATCTTCCACTAGAGAAAACGAGCAAGTGACAATCTCTTCACCTTTAAATAGTCGACGTTTGATCCCGCCGATGCCGAATAATCGTTCAGCTGGAGAATATGCTATCCTTCGAATTGTCTCTCCCATGGGCAGGGTGCTCACGTGCGTCCTTCTTTCGGTATCGATTTGAGAGATTTTGAGTTGGTTGGATGTGGCCACGACAATGGAATCTGGGAATGCTTGGCAGTCAAAGAAGCATACGCATACAGCGTCCTGCGCAGTCACAGCCGAGTAGACAATTCTCCCTTCGGATCCGTAGATCAAAGATGGGTGCTCGCAAGTTGCGAAAACGTTGAAGAGTCCATCATCCCTTGGCAAAACGTGGAACCGTGCCTGCTGAGTTCCTAAAACTACACTTTTCCTTCCGGAGAGTGAGTAATTCGACTTGTCGACATTGAAAGTCAACACAATGCCATCCTCCATGGCAACGAATAGTGATGGACCGAAAATCGCTTCCGGTAAGATTTGTGTCAAAGCGATAGCTCTTGGGATAGAAGCATCATTTTTCCGACGCAGCTCCTCTGACTGGATGACTTCAAGATTTGTGAGATCTAGAATGGAAACAGAGCCAGATTTCCAAAAGCCAGCTATCCCGATGCCAGGGATTTGACCAGGGACATGAATGCAGGCGATTTGGTCATTATTCGAGAGAGTTTGTACAGCAACCTCCTTGAGTCCTTGTTGAATGTCTAACGAGACAAGAGTGAGTCCATTTGTGGAGAGTAAAACATGGCCTTCATTTGCTGATGCGGCCGTAATGAGATGTCCCTCTGGAGGTAACCACTGTGCAGCAACAAAAGCCGGTCCACGTCCGAGTAATGCTGCTCCAGCGTCTGTGACTTGTAATATCAAGTCATTAGAAAGGTTGATAGCTAAAAGGGTATGATGATTCAGTGCCAAGCCTCTAAAGCTGTCCACTTCTTCGATGATTCCTTCAGGATCAAAGGTAAAAATCCGTGTTTCGGTCGGTAGTGACACGATGAGAGCGTCATCTGATGGACACTCTTCGTTTGACTGCAAAGCAAAGACTTCTCGAATGTCTTCCAAGTCGGCCAGGACACCCACGTCTCCGAGCCCCACGCCACTTCTAACGCTTCTTAAACTTCCCCCTTCGAAAGCGCCACTTGCAGTCACAAGACGAGCTTGCCCAGAAGAGTACTCGTTCGCTTGAGTCCCCCCGCCTTCTCGATTGCCCATATCCATAACTGCAAAATCGAGGATTGGGGCGATATTGTCCAGATATTGGACAGGTTCCATAGCCTCCGACTCAGGGTCTATTCTAACAATCATAGAGTCGCACTCATGAGAACCAATATAGAAAACCCCGTGTCCCATATTCACCATTACATTAGCTTTCGTGACTTGCCCCAGTTTTCGAACGTCGATTCCCATAACATCTGCCCCATCAACCCGAATCGTCAACATGTGAAGATTGTGATAGAGGTCAGCCAGTAGGTACCGCAGGTCGTCGTATCTTTCCCACGCAACAAAAATCGCAGCTTCTTCCATTGCGAATTCCACAACCGCTTTGCTCTCGTCGTCCAAATAGGTCATTTTCGTTTCTCCTACCACTATTACTCCACCCAGTTGAGCTTTCACTACTCTCTCGTTCCTAACAATATATCTCTTTTGGGAACCCTCCCCCTTGGGCACAGGTATGAGGTGACTAGCACCTGGGCACAATTCTCCAATATCATTCTCTCTATCTTTCCGGGGATCGAATGAAGCACTTTGCATTTTATCGTCCACTAGCCGGTAAGTCGATAATCGTAGGCACTTTCCCTCCTCTTCCTCGTATAAGAACGCGATTTTTGGTTGCTTCGTCTCCGTGTAAAGAAAAGTGCTGGCCCGAACCTTCAACTCCGTTATCCTGATTTGTTCCGCCTTGTCCAGATAATCCCCTCTCCCTTTCCTCGGCTTGAGAATCTTGATCAAATTTAAAACGCCTTCGAACAACTCCAGGACCAAATATCGACCTGTGGGGTCCACCATACACAAATCCCGGCTCTGCGACTCCCGCATATGTTTTTCCGAGCCATCGGAGAACTGCTGGCTTGTTTCGAGCTGCTGGGTCTCGGGATCCCAGAATACAGTGAAGTATTGGAATCGAATTGTGCCGATGAGGAGGTGGTCGGTTTTGGCTCCCATAGGCCGGATCTTTGCGAGCATCGAGACGGTTCCGAAGATGGCTTTCGAGTGGCGCATCTCCAGCCTGTTGCCTTCTGGTGCTGCAGTCCATATCTCTATCCGATTTGCCTTTCTGTGCTTGAGTTAGCAAAGTGAGAGGTTCTGAGGAGGAGGCTCTCACGCAAGAACGAGGCATTCCTCATCCGGGTCCAAAAGTTTCAACTTGAGAGCATGGCGCACACTGCTTGGCCGGTGGATTGGGGCAAGATACGCCATTGTGAACCCTCGTCACCAGGATGGAGGATGGGATGAAGAAAAAGGTTGTGGGAGAGCTGTTGCAGGTAAGCTGTGCAGCTCTCATAACGCCTTGTACTTAATCGCTTGGTTATCGTTCCTGCTTCGGACTTAAGGGATACCTTCCCCCGAATAACTCTCAAAACAGATTACCATTCGGGACTCTTTTTTCATGGCCAGTTTCAGACATCTGATCACTAGGAGTACGGAATCGTTTAAGTCAGGCGAGAAGTTTTGTTCTGATATTCCTACAACCAGTGGTCTAATTTTTATCTATGAAGTTCCAAGCTCCAAACCATGCGGGGTATCTTTTCTCCCACTCCAGAAATGCAAGTAATCAGCCACAAATTAATCAATCATGATGCATCCTCTTCCTCACTTGCCGAGTCCGAAGGTGGACCTGACAGAGTGCTTGAGGTATCACTCTCAGCTCCTTCAGCAGCATTCTCTTTCCCTTTACCCTTCTTATCCCTGTTCTTCCTAACCTTCTTACTCCTTGACTGCTTTGCTGCATCTCTCGGGGTACTGATCGTATCCAAGTATTCAGCATCATCCAACGTGCTCTTCAATTGTGGCACGCTGGCTAAGAGGTCTTCATTGTCTTCCAGCCCAGCATTTGCACCAACAAAGAGATGCTTCCCATATGCTTCCCAGGCCTCCACATCGTCTTCATCGACATATCTTTGGGTCTTCCATGCTTCGGCTTGTGCAGCTGAAATCCTCTCGGCCATAGTATCGGTCGTTTCCTCTTCCCCGTCTACATTTGTCTTGACCGTCATGTGTATAGCTCGAGCTTCCTGGACTCTTGCTGCCATTGCTGGATCTCTTACTCGCCCAAATCTTTCTTGCTCGGTGTGTGCGTCAATATGGTGGAACTGAGGTCTCATTTGGACAATGTTGTCAACCGGTGTAAGATGTAACTGGTCTGAACTTATTAGGAATGATCAAGAAATAATTTGAAAGAGTCCTACTTTTGCGGAAAGTCCCAATCATGTATTGGGGTGTAGTCTCCTCGTTCGAAATGCATTGTCCTCCCAAAGTCTGCTTGACCAACACCTGCTCCCTCTTCACAGCGTTTTCATAATCTTCCAATATCCTTTGCTGGTTGAGTTCTTCGTCCGCATTTTGCCCTCTTCCTCTTCCCCGGCCACTTGGTTGTGCCCCTCCAATACCAAACCCCCCTGGCATGCCATGGCTTCCTCCATTCTTCGACATATTGCTCTTCTTAACTGCTTCCCCCCATTTGATTCCCTTCTCCCTATCGTAATTCCGCAACGCGTCCATAGGAACATCCATCTCGACCATACCAGCATTGGGTTTGATTCGCATCTTGAAAGGCTGTGACTGGTGTGCTGCCGAGTAATGTTGCATTGAGTCACGATTCGGAAACTGGAGGACGTAGATTTGTTTGTCGGCGGAAATGCGTGGTTTTATGTAGACATCATATGAAGCCTTGATCGGATCAGGGTCGTTCTCCATCTCGATGTCCCCCATCTTGACTGGTGGTCGAATTTCCTAAGTTTCGAAAGTTTATTGGTGAGCTCGAAGCTTTTTTGCTCCTTGACGGAGCTTCTGATCTCCGATCTTTATCGATGGCGCTAGCCGAGGGGTAAACTAGGCTAATTTGGGCACAAGCCACAAAACTCAGCCACTCTCGGCCATTGAAGAGGTGACGACGTCCAGCCTCCCCATTGTTACTCGCCAGGCAGACTACATTCACGAGACCCCCCATCCATTCGCCTTAAATACACAACGTACCAGACCTCACATTCCATCATTCGACTCCTCAAACTTTGTACAACAATCCAAACCTCGAACAAGAAACCGAGATGTGCTCTCCTGATATCTTCTTGGGCCTGATCGCCATCCTATTCCCTCCTCTCGCAGGTAAGGCTTTGCCGCCGATCGGTGTTACTCGTGCAGAAGACATGCTAATAATCACGACAGTCTGGGTCAAATGCGGCATCTGCTCCGCTGACTCCCTCATCAACATCTGTCTCTGTATGCTAGGCTACATCCCCGGTCTTCTCCACGCCTGGTACATCATCGCGAAGTTCCCTGAGCACGACTACGACGCTCTCCAGGACGCGGAGACCGGCCGTGTAACATACGTGATCGTGCAGAACTCAAATGGTACTCAGCGTCGTGTGCCTCAGAACTCGGTACCATCGAATCAGGGTTATGGGAGCACTGCCCCGATTGCTCCTCCGGTTCATCAGGGTGCGAACGGGGCATGGAGTAACAACGCGGCCGAGGGAAGCAGTGGCGGTGCTGTTCCACCGAGCTATGCTGATGCTGTGAAGGGTGATAATAAGGTACAGACCCCTTAAGTAGAGAGCATTATTTGATTAGGGGCAGAGGGAAGGCTGTAAGGAGATGTATCGGATGGAGGGGCCGGGGAGGGTTTGTGATCATGAACCACATTACGACGGACTGAACGACTGGGCTTGGAATGACTGGCGTTCAGGACTTTAGGGATATTGGTATTGTACCTTTCGGATGGGGACATCGGAATAAGTCCTCGATTCTCTCAAAACATTATACTCTTCAAACCCTCCAAATCTCAAGCAAAATGATTGTCAAGTTTGGACGCACATAGCAAAGCATCGAGGAACGAATGACTCACAAATGCATGATTCATTAGGCGATTACGCTCATTGAAGCTTCGGGCCAGCTTCCCCAAATCAAAGGTCTATCTGTGATCCTGGTGTTCATAGGTGCCAGGACTTTGAATCTCCTTTTCTTGTCGTCGACTTCTGATACGTACACAAAGCCCATTACGCTCGCATCCCTCACTGTGTCTTGCGAATCTGAAGTTGTGGCATACATCACCGCCAGCATGCAATGTAGCATCCCCGGATTTGGCTCAACCTTTTCGTACAATCCCGTCGCTTCTTCCTCCATCCCACCTGGTAGGAACGACATCGCATTCGCTATGAAGTAGTTAGCTTAGATAAATCAATGTTTACAAAGCACGAACACACCTTCTCGGATTTTGTAGATTATGACATCGTCGAAGCCCATTTGTTGAGTATGTGGACTCAATGTGCTCTTCGAATCACCAAAGAAATATTCCTTGATGGCAGCCTCTTGTGTCTGTTGCATGAACGTATCATCTCGATCCACACAACCACCAGATTTGTCCAGCTTGACGAGAGTGATAGATTCGCCTGTACTTGTTCTATGACCGGAGAACCGCTTTTGCATCTCAATATGTAGTCTCTCTGAGCCCAATACCAGAATGGTGTTGACTAAAGAAATTAGCAAGTTCCTCTACTCCGTCTAGATTTCACTGACCTGAGAATTCCGACACAATATGTGATATTAAATCATAGCCTCCCTTTCCTTGACAGATGATTCCAGGGGTGTCAATAATCATTCCTGTCTCCTTGATGATCTGATCCTCGGCCAGCCTGCTTGTTGATGCTAAAGCCAACCTTGTCACTATCGGCTTGTAAAGCTTCGTATTGTCTTCCGGGCTCGCCAATCCATAGTAATAACATAGCGGTAGCTTCACAGGGACTGGACTCGAGGTACTTGTCGGGCTGCTGCCCCACCCTTGCTCAACATCGATGATCGAAGCAAACGGAGTGGCTGTCAAGGTTCCTGGTATTGAGAGCAATCCTTCTCTAGGGTCTGTATTGATGACCATTGGTTGTCTCCCCATTCGTATTGCATATGCTGTCAATAACTTCACTAAACTCGTCTTGCCAGAATTATTCGGCCCAACCAGAAGTACTCTCGGGCCCTCCCCTCTCTTCTGCTGTGCCTCGTCCCGCAGCCTTTCTAAAGCAAAGTGTGTGTTGGCGTATTGCAGCATAGGCGTCTCCTCAGCTGTATATTCCTCGCACAATCCTGTAACCTCGATTCGACAGCCGTGCCATGTGTATATTGAGGACTTCGTTCCCCAGAATGTGTAGATGTGGTTCAAGGCCAGCTCAGTCCCAAAGAGTTCTGCAGTTCCTGACATGACCTTGGAACCCGTTAGCTACAAATTTGGCCCTATTATAGATATACTGACTCGAACTTCAATTTTCTGTCCAATTGCGACCTCGAAGCGCCATTCTGATTCTGCTCGGAGCTCGTGAACAGCTACGGTTGCTGCAATTGCCGGGGCTGAGAATGTAGCCTGACAGCAGTCAATTATATGGTCTCTCGCCTTCAAATACAAGTCAACTTACGGTGGGAGCAGCATTCCCAAGGCCTGGGATCATCGCCATCTTGTCTTGCTCTTTCTTTGTCTGGTGTTAAAGCTTGCCGGTGCAGCCCTGGCAATAAGTTTTTAAGGCTTGGTTAGGCGATGGACCCCTGAAATCTCAGCCTTGCAAGGCCCAAGCGTTTATTTACTTTCAGACGCGAACACGAGCGTCAGCATTCCAACATAACCCTACATTTTTTGGAAACATGCCTCGAGGCGTCGGCAAAACGGTGAAGCGATCGGGTAATGGCGGCTCTCCTGCCTCGAAAGTACTCCAGCCTAAGTCGACAAATGTCTTGAAGCGGCGGCTGAGCAGTGTTTACGAAGGGAAAAGCGGATTTCAATACTCAGACCCAAGCTCAAAGCGTGTTGCCAAGTCTTTATCATACCATACAAGTCAGAAAGCTGAGTGGGATATTGCGGGCCAGTACAAGATCACAAGTGTCAATCAAGATGTGGATACGAGTGGGTTTTCTCTGAAGTTATTCCACTTCAATAACGGCGTCGACCACCATCTCTATGCTACGTTTGTCTTTGACAAACTTGAAGGAATCATGCGGATGGCACCCCGCGAGGCTATGAAATCAAGACCTCTGGGTAGATTTCATCTCGATGACTTTGAAAAGGCGTGTGAGCTGGAGCAGGCACTGGAGCCTGTTCCGAGACATGAGTCCTGGGTCATGAGGTGGAGAGCAAAAGACGGCGGGATGCGGTTGGGCGAATTGGTTGACGACGGCTTGAATAATTCGTTTAAGGTTTCGATGGATGAGGGCTCTTCAAGGAAAGAATATATCGGCGTGGAAGTTGCCTTTGATATCGACTACAACAACCGTGTTTTCAATTTCAAGGCGATGAAGACCGGGAACCTGGAAACCGAAATTGCAGTTCCACTACAAGTCTTGGTGTCGAAATGGGAGAGCCTGAGAAAATGTGATCAGGCCCATTCGAGCGATGATGATGAGCCTTCAGAAGAAATCCCTGTTTTTTTCTCGGTCGCTGACCAACTCAAGAGGATGAAGGCTAAGCAATGGGTCCAAACGGCACCTTCATTGGAAGAAAGCTCAGTTGTGCCAGCCGGTGGTCTTATGAGAACGATGACGAAGCAGGCTGAGAAATCGATCTCAAAGGCACCTCCTGTCATAGTGGCCAACGGACGCGGTGGAATGAGTAAAGTCATTGAAGCGCTTCCACGCTGGGCCTGGGATGTGGCAGGAGAATGGAAAGTTGAGCTTCCACATCTTGCCTCGGCCCTTGGGTTTGACAAGAAGAAGCCCTGGACGATGCATTTCCAAGTGTCAAACAACCCATTGCACACGAGAGTCGGACGTCAATTATGGGCACGTTTGAGTTTTGGAGACTTGAGAGGTTACATGAGGTTCTGCCCTATGCTCGGAAGCTTGAGAGATGGGCCAGAGACAGTAAAGAGGTTCGAAGAGGCATGTGTCTTACCCACCGGATGTTGGCCAGGTCCAGGTCCTGACGGACAACAAAAATGGCTATTAAGATGGAGGGGGGAGGGCAGTTATTATGGCACAAAACAGGGCAGCGATCAGCAGCAGAATAATTGCATTTTTGAAAAAGCGAAGGACGGAAGCCTCACATTCTCCGGCGTGATGTTCTATGACGGGCAACCTCTCCTCCTCAAGGCCAAGCAAGTGGAGGGGGCACCACTGGAAAAGGGCAACTCCGTGACGATTTCCACTTGCTGGAACTCCTCGAAACCAGTTGATCTGTCAAGGGCAAGACGTTATATTGTTTCTGCGTAGAACTACTAGCTCTGCTTGGACTAGCAGTGATTCTGGGAGGTGGTGTTTGGTGTTGGCGTCAACGTTCAGGGTTGTTATTTATATGCCTTTGTGTTGGCGCCCTTTTGAGCGAGCTGCTGCTCTTGTATTTTCGTGTTCAATCGTGGGCGGCTTATTTTATTTTGGTAGAGCGAAGTGAAACTTTCAAGACATAGAGGCTCACTGCAACATTTTGTATCATATAGGATATTGCGTTTCATTACATTGTCAAAAGCATAGCGGTTGAATGATAACAAGTCTGGAGGAGGCATCCTCCTCAAAATGCCACAATATCAGGAGATGTAAGAATGTTAGGAGAGACATAAGGGAAGTGGCAGAGTCCACAATGTTCCAGGCTTGGTTCAATGACTTTTGGAAATACAGGCAGAATGGTGGATGGTTCAGAGGCACCCCTGTGAATGCAGCCCAATTTAGGGAGTGCTATACTGAAAATCCGGTGTTCATGCTCTGAGCCATTGGAGTTTTTGCGCCTGTCTTGGTTGAAGGCTTCCCCCAAAAATTTCGAGTCCTGCCAATTCACACCCACAAGAAATAATGGCCAAAGCATGAAAACAACGTTCTATCAATGCTAAAAACAGCCGCAAGCAATGCATCGCCTCAATAAATTAAGCAAAAGCAACAAGTTCTATCTGTAACTCTCATCCTCACTCAAAGACCCTCAGAAACTCCCCAATCATGGACTCCGCCTCCTCAACTGGCAGCATCTCCGTAGGCGCGAAAACACCCACATCCAGTTTGTTATCATCCCTGTGATATCTGAACTCTAGATCAACTGATGACTGTTCTAGTCGTTAGCTCTTGACCCCAGATTGTTCGACATGGAAAGGAACAATACCAAATAAGCATCACACCTTCCGTCGCTCGGGACCTTTATATCCTCATTCACAACTTCATCCACAACCTCTGCTCTCTTTCCCAGATCTTGTACTGCGATCCACTCCTCTCTCTTGCTTTCTTGCTTCGATTTAATTCCAGGATTGGCAGACTTCAAAATATTGACGAAGAAATTTACTCGCACCCCAGTCCAGGTGTAAATATCAGCCAGTGAAGCAGACACCATTTCTTTGCTGCTAATCATGTGGATGTCTTTCTGTATCACTTTCGCAAGCTCTGGAATAGTTCTAGAAAGCGGATCTTGCACACGAAGCGGCAAGAGGTTGAGTGTTGGTGCTACTAGATTTGAAAGGTCTTCCCCGAAGGGGGACCGGTTTGCGAGGTAGATGCCAAAGACGACTTGGGTGGCAGAGTCGGAAGGAAGTTTGGAAGCGTAGATCTTGGAAGCTGCTGCGAGGAATAGGGCGTCGATGCTGACTCCTGAGTCTTGAGCGAGTTGCTTGATATTTGATACTTGGTTTAGGGGATGGAAGACTTCCATTCGCTTCTTGCTCTTCGTAAATGCGGTATCGTCGGTGCTGCGACTCGGAAATAGTGTACAGTGGTTTAGATATGACTTCCATTTCTCCTGCATCGAATTCGGGGATGACGCTGAGACTGACTGAGCGATGAATGATTTAAATCCATGTGAAGTTTCCGTCACAGCCTTTCCTCGGTACAAAGACTGGAACTCCTTTATCAAGATTGGGAGACTGATGCCGTCATACAGAGCATGATGAAGCATTATCTTCACTATGGATGATGAAGCTTCAGCTCCCTCCACCACCAAGTTCACAGGAGGGAGCCTCAGGTCTTTTCGATGCTTCCGAATCTTTGAGTCACTTCTCTCTGGATGATAGATCACCTCATTCATAGGGTTCTTGAACACAACCTGCGCAATATCTGTACCAAGTTCCAAGAAGCCAGTCCGAAGGATATCATGCCGTCCCAGAAGCTCACTCCAAGCTGTCTCAAACTTCGACCTATCGATTGGCCCAGATAGAGAGTAGATGAAAGTTTGATAGAACATAGCTCCTTGAGAAGCTTGCCATTGTCTGATCATAAACAACTCTCCAGCCGTCGCAGGCATGATGTACTGAATCTCTCCTACCTCTTTCTCGAGTTCGAGAAGCGCAGAAGATAATTCTTCAGCAGGCACCGCAGCTGCGAGGATGGAGTCAACATCTAGAGTCCCGTTGACGTCTGATTTCGAACCCTGTGCAGCGTTCGCCATACCATACACTGTCTGTTCCCTGAGGATATCAGAAACACTAAGCTTGATGCCACATTTCTTGAGAAGAGCAGGAAGCTTGAGGACCAGTATCGAGTCAAGACCGAGATGAAAAATAGTTGAGTCCTTGCGAATCGCATCCTCAGGAACATCTGAGATCTCATGAAGGGCTTTGCGAATTGTGACCTCCGTACTCGACCATTCACCGTCGACACCATTTATTGGCTGAGTACCAGCAGGCGCTGTCTTGGTCTCAGATTTCTTGAATTTCGGCAAACCGCAGACTGAAATGCCCTCCGGATCTGTGATGATTGTTTGAGTCCCGGGATTGCCAATAATATGCTCGAGAACACTCTCGAGTGCATCGATGATCCCTTCTGGATCTGTGGCAGCAACTGACTTGCAAGCCGTTGTCCATGAGACATATTCATCCTCAACAATCTCCATTTCGGCACAGACTAGAAACTCGACATCGGAAGCCCCGTAAACTGACTCGTACAGCCGATCACTTCCGGTTGTCGAACGGCGACCTTGGTAGATGAACAGAGTATCGAATAGTGCCGTATCCTTGGTTGAGGTTTGGCCCTGCCTTGAAGCCAGAGCATACGCTTGCGCGGTCCCCAGTGGGAAATGCTGATAACCTCTTGTCATATCGCTCATCTCTTGCATGTACTTCAGCATGTCGAGTAACCTTCCATGAAGTACCGATCTCACAGCCACAGTATTCATCAAAGGAAACATAACCTCATTGGCGTCTTCCGAATCACGACACGAGAGGACAGAGCCAAAGACGACATCGAGCTGGCCCATCAGGTGAGCCAGAACGAGAGCCCAGCAAGTCTGTCCCAGGGTTTGCATGGTGATTCTTGAAAATTTGCAAAGTTGCTCGATCTTCTGGAGTGGAACTCGAGAGCGCCTTTCCGATCTCGTGCTCTGACTCCCATCCAGATCATCAAAGAGCTCCTCTCGAGGGAATCTTGCAGGGGGGAGGTTTGACAAAGTTGTCCTCCAGAATTTCTTTGCTTCCTCGGTTGTTGATTGGAAGACCTCTTCCAAGAACGGCATGAACTCTGGTCGAGGCTTCAACTCTCCGTGATAGGTTCGCTGGATATCATCGTGAATGGAGCGGAGAGATGTTCCATCATACAGTGCATGAGAAATGGCAATCACCAAATATTTGGACTGTTCTGCGGAAACGCAATGCACCTGCAATAGTACCTGCTTCTCAATTGCCAAAGCCGTGGATTCGGCTTTGAAGCGACCCATAAAGTCCTCAAACTCTTCACCCGGTCTCAAAATGCGGGTTGAAAAGTTCTCAGTTGAAGAATTGAGCTTCTTCTGAACGATTTGAGCATAGCTGAGTGGCAATCTGGGATCACCAATCTCCACGAAAGTCGTTCGCAGAATTGGCGACTGCTCAATCACCTTCTTCACAGCTGCCATCAACTTCTCCTTATTGACGTTGTCTGCTAACTTGAAGCCATCGACGTTGAAGTATCTCGTATATCCGGATTTGATCATCTCGTTGACCATGCTCTGCTGCAATGGTGTTGCAGGCAAGACAGTCTCGACGTCTACCGGCAGCTTTCCGGTGTGCTCGAGATAGGTCCTAAGCTCACGGCTAATAGACTCCAGGGATTTCCCACTCGCGCGTTTGGCTGCATTGTATCGAGAAGAGATATTGCGAGACAGACTCGCAATTGTCTGTGATTTTATGATGGCACTGACCGGGATCACGATAGCTCGTTTCTTCAGTCGGGATGAGAGTTTGATAACATCGATGCTGTCCAACCCGAGTTCGAAAATGGAAGAGTTTTCGTCAATGGTCTCCTCAGAGGCTTTTGCGAGTAAAGCAATTTCTTTCCTCATATTGCGTGCTTCATTGGACCATGTATAAGGTTCAGTTGGGGTGCTTAGCAAAGCTCCCTGAGATTGCTCCTCAGGGTCGTTTCTTCCATTCTCAATTCGTCCACCATCGTGCTGAGAAACGATATTCCTCCCAGAGTTCTGGATCGTCTCGTGCAGCACCTCCAGAACTTGCCCCAGAAGATCCGTAGCTCTGGCCTGGGTGATTGCGGTACCTTGAGCCACGATCGTCAAGTCAAGCCTCTTGCTATCAGGACTGAGATTGGCTTCGAACGCCAAGGGGTACTACATCAACATTAGCACTCTAATTACCATTGAGACGCTCGAACTTACATCAGCAACCTGCCCACCGTCCACTTGCGTCCAAGTCCCCTTCGCAAATTTCTCGCTATCCATCTCCGGACGCTGGAAGACAAACAACGTATCAAAAAGAGACTGTCCCGGTTTCGCCGGACTCCACTTCTGGATATTTTTCAACGGCGTATGCTGGAAATCCTGCATCTGCATATTAAACTCGTGGCATTTCGTGATCAGAGATCCGGATGATGTACCAGGTTGAAGCTTGATGTGGAAAGGAATGGTGTTGAAAAGAGGCCCAATGACCCTATCTGCTCCCTCAAAGTCTATGGCTCGTCCGGAGGCGACAATACCGATTGTGAGGTTTGATGAGATCAGATTTTGAAGGACAGAGAGCCACACGGCTTGGATCACAGCTTGAGGTGTTGCAACTAACAGTTTGCGGAGAGCGTCGAAGCCGACGAGGTCATCGATGGTTGCAGTAGCAACGACGTCTTCAGTAGACCCCAATATCGTAGGCATGGTTTGATGGGTCCAATGTTCCAAGTGAGAAGACCAGAATTCTCGGGCTCCTGGTACCTGTGCTAATGGTCCGTATGGCAGAGACGATGTGAAAGACGGACCATACTCGATCGATCCGAGCTTACGATACTCCCCCACGACGCGACGGAGCAGCAGTGTAAGACTGTTGCCATCGTAGAGCCCATGGAAAATCCGAAGTGTCAGATTGTTTACAGAACAAAGGCTGAGCGTGTATGGCGTCTTCAGAGAGTGTGACTTCTCCGCAGAATCATAGTCAATGATTGGACCATCCAAAGAAGCGATACCACTTTTCAGCACGACTTGAGCATACCCATCGCTAGTCGACACAAACTTGGTTCGAAGAACCTGGAGGCGAGTCACAGCGTTGTTCCAAGCAGCGAGCATCTTCTCATTATCAACTCGTTGGTCAAGACGAAACTCAAAATTGTTGAAATAAAGCGGGTATTCGCTTTCCAGGAATCTGTAGATCATACCCTCTTGAACCGGGGTGCAGGGGGCAATGGTCTCGACATCCGCGCTCTCAATTCCAAGTTCGTCGCACACATCGGCCATGTGCCGCTGAGAGAATGCAGCCATGGCTTGTGTTGCTGCGACGTACGCATTTTCTCGTCCTTGATCCAAAGCTGTGCCTCCCATCAGAACTCTGACAAGTCCTCCAATAGAAGGATTGTTCTTCACGGCTGAGAGTTTGGCATTCTCCAGACCTGCATCCTGTAGAGCCCGAGAAAAGCCAATGATTGAGATGGAATCCAGCCCGAGTTCAAATATGTTCGAACTACGAGTCAATGCTGACCGTTCAATATGCATTGCTTCTGCCAAGATCTGAACGATCCTCCTCTCGTTCTCGGTCCATTCCTTGTCTTGCTGGCTTGACTGACTCAAGCTCTGCAAGTCATCCACGGTAAGGCTGTTGTAAATCGCAGCCAGTTGCTTTGAGTCGGCTTTGTTGTTCGCATTCAGTGGGAGTGCCCTGATAGGAATGAAGTGAGTAGGAACCATGTATCCTGGCAGACGAGACTTGCAGGCATCTCTCATCGTTGAGATTAAGCTGCCGTCCTCTTCAGGAGATGACTTGACAAAGAATGAGACAAGTTGCTCTTTCTGCTGCGTGGCATGTTTCAACACTAGAGTTACGACTTCTTGAAGATCGCTCGAGCTCTTCCTGATAACTTCAACAATCTCACTCAGTTCTAGTCGTTGACCCCGGAGTTTGACTTGATCATCAGCTCTACCAAGAAATACAAAGCATCCATCATGAAGAATCCGAACGAGATCTCCAGTTCGATAAGCACGCTGGTTGAATGACTGGAGAGTAGGGAATTTCTCCACATTCAAGTCTGGACGATTGAGATATCCCATTCCGACCAACTTGCCTGAGACGCAAAGTTCACCGATGCCACCACGCAGAACAGGCAGCTCAGTGCCCGGTTTCATGACAAAGGAACCCACATTATCATACTGTGGCCCGATATTGGACGGTTTTCCGTTCTTGGGAACTCGCTGGTACATTGTGCATCCGATCGTTGCCTCAGTAGGACCGTAGCCATTGTAGATGACTGCATGCTCGCCCCAAACATCTAAAATCTCTTGCTTCAGCTGCTCTCCACCAGTGATGAAGGCACCTTTGCATAGCGAAGGTACATCATCTGGGTGGATGAGGCGAGCAAGGCTAGGAGTGAGATCGATATGCGTGATTCCAAGTTGTTGGATGGCGCCAGTGATGTCCTCGAAGATCACGTCTCGGGGTGCGGAAGCAACGCAGATGCCAATGCTCCAGCTGAAGAACTGTTCCATGACGCTGACATCAAAGTGGAATGAGGCAAATTGCAAGTACTTCGAGTCCTCGCTCCAATGTCCAGAAAAGAGTCTTTGGAATGCCCGCAAGAAGTGTACCATGTTATCGTGAGTGATCAGGCATCCCTTCGGCGTTCCAGTGGTCCCCGATGTGTAGAGGCAGTATGCTACATCGTGAGGCGTGACATCTCGAGATAATTGTGGTTGCTCAGAGGAACAGCCTGCCAGGATATCCAGAGAATCCAGCGTGATGATATCTCTATCCAAAATTCCTTGCAGCATCTGTCCAGGCTTTCCCGCACTCAACATCAAACTCGCACCAGAATCTCTGATGATGAACTTCAGTCGTTCTGCTGGAGCATTTGGATCAAGTGCAACATAGGCACATCCAGCTTTCAAGATCCCGATAATTGCAAATGATGCTTCAGCACACTTATCGAAGCATATTAGAATGATCTGCCCAGGAGTGGCTTGACGATTCAAGAGCAGATGAGCGATCTTGTTGCTTTCATTGTTGAGCTGTTCATAAGTCCACGAACTGCTCTTTGTGTTGCCAGGTTCGAGACTCGTTGCGAATTGCAGAGCTGTCTTATTCGGCCATTGCTGTGCACCTCGTTCCACATATTCATGCAGAAGTGTGACAGGTCCATCAATATCGTAGTCTTTCGCAGGTGTAATTGAGAGTAGTTCGTTGTGTACGTCCGGAGCAAGGTCGCAGGGGCCGTCAGGATTTCGAAGAATATCCAGAAGAAGAGCATCGTACTGTCGGAGAAGCAATTCTGCATGTTCAGGGGGAATGAGATCAACACGGAATGTCAATCGAAGTGTCAGCTCGCCAGATTTCGCAGGTTGCACTTCTAACGAGACGGCGTAATCCACAGAAGCTTCCTCTCGGATCACTCTCCACGGGAACTCGACGTCCTCGAGGCTGCCTGGAAGTTTTTGGTAGGCAAAAAGAGTGTCGAAGATCTTGCCTTCAGGGAAGCCAGCCCACTTCTGTATTGAAGTGAGTGGTGTGAATTGATATTTGTGCAGGGAGACATTTGAGTTCATAGTCCTTGAGAGCAGCGCGGAATTTGTGCCAGTGACATCGCATCGAACCGGAAGAGTCACGATACTTGGGAACGAGATACCATCTGCTTCCTCGTGAATCGAGCGCCCTGAAAGTGTCATTCCGAAGGTTGTTGAACTCTCCCCAATGTATGCAGCAAGTAACTTAGCCCATGATGCCTGTGCAGCAGCTTGCATTGTGACGCCGTTTTGTCTGCAGAGTCCTTCTAGCTCTGTGACAGTTGATTTCGAAGAAACTTCCCGTACTTCACTTCTGTGGTCCGAAATTTGAAGAGAAGTGAGGTCTGGGAAACGGTTGACAACGATTTTGTTCTCCGCTCTCTCCCAAAAGAGTTTTTGGCCTTCGATGTCGTCCTCGCTGTTGTATAGAATTGCTCCGAGCAGCGAAATAATTGACGGACGGTTGGGGGAAGCTTGGGAGGCGGCTGCCTGGGCAACATCTGAGAGGATCATCTGGATAGACTGCGCGTCGTATAGAGCATGGTGTGCTGTGAACTTGATTGTGGACCTGCCATTCTCCTGTAAAAGGGCCAAGGCCCAGGGTCGTTCCAGCATATTTTTCAAGCTCAGAGTTTGATTGTCCTCAGTCTCCTCCGACCATGGGAGAGAGAAATTCTCTTTGGCGTAAATGACCATTACAAAGGAATGCTTCGGATCATCAAATGATGCGAATCCGGTCCTCAACATCTCATATTGTGTACACACAGTCTCCCATGCGGCTTTCACTCTGGAGACCGAATACTCTGGCAGTAACTCGAGCCACAGACTATTTGCATACTCTTGGCCATCAGAGTGTAATGTTTGGGCAAGCATACCCTTCTGCACAGCAGTGCATGGACGGACAGCCTCAACTCGGCCAGCGTCGAGATTATGTTTCGAGCAGATAGTCTCCCGGTGCTGGCGATCAAAAGCGTCGAAGTCGTATTCCTTGGCTTTGGTGCTCTTGCTGGCCAGCTGTAAAAGATAGGTGCTTAGCTGAGATATTGTGGGACGCTCCAGTATATCGCTTGCCAATACAATGTGGCCTTGCTTCCGAAGTCGAGCTGCAACCTGGACAGTACTAATGCTGTCCAGACCAAATCTGAAAATACTAATATCTCGTCCGATTCTTGCAGATGGAACATCTGTGAAGTTTGATATGACGTCCCGAAGCTTTTCTTCTTCTACAGACATTGTTGTCAATGACTCCTCAGTTCTTGACTCCTGTAATTCAATTGTCTCCCTTTTCTCACTCTCAGTGATTATTTCGTCTCGAATCGCAGCGGACAAAATCTGGCGACGAGGATTCTGCAACGACGTCTGGATTCGCTCCTCAAACCCAGTAAGAAGAGCAAATGTTTCTTCCTTAGAAAAGATTGAAGTGTATGAATGAAGTATAATCTCAAGGGTATCATCGCTATGCTTCGGTACAACTTCGCAAACAAGAGGGAAATCCATGGCTCCGTCATCCTCTGAAATTGACCAAATAGAGGAATCAAGGTCTCTGGGAGGCTGTTGTAAAATGAAAAGGGTATCAAAAAGACGAGAACCATCAGGACTGAACTTTGACTGGAGACGACGTAAAGGGGTAAGCTGGAATGGAAGAGAATCTGCGTTGAGGGTTTGCATTTTTCGAAATGCTTCGAGATAGGAGAGGGTATGAATGTTTTGGAGTCGAGTTGGAATCGTGTTGAAGCAAGGTGCGATAAGACGTTCAATCCCATCGATCGGTACTGTACGGCCACTGACAACATTGCCGAAACAGATATCTGTCTCTTGAAGGTGTTCAGACAAAAGGCGTGCCCAAGCGGTATGAAGGATGGCTAACAGTGACGTGCTGTTCTTCTTGGTGCTTTCTTCGACCCATTTCAGAGAGAAACTGGCAGTCGTTCTCTGAATCCGGGAAGGATTCTGGCTTCGCTGCTGCTTCGAAGAGTGTTGTAGGGCTCTTCTGAAACGGGATGGCACACAGTCTTTCAGAATTGTGCCCCAGAAATTGTCCGCTTCGTCCATGTTCATTGAGGCCATGTTTCTCAGGAATGGGGAGAATGAGACTGAGGGAGGCAAGGACTTGCTGTGGTACAGGCTTTCGACCTCTTCATAAAGCACACTCAGAGCGACCTCATCATACAGAGCATGATGCATGGATATCAGCAGCTTGGTAGATCCGTTGCTTTTGATCACGTCGATTGCATAGGGTGGCTCAAACTCTCGACGACCTGAACTTCTCCCGCACGATGATGTGATCATGCCAAATTCGAGATCATAATCAGTCAAGACAACTTGAGCATATACATATCTTGACATATCGGTGCTCACGAAACATGTTCGCAGAATTTCGTGTCTCCGAACCATTTCCCTCCAGCATGCTTTGATCTTCTCGAGCTGGCCGCTGATATTGAGAGCAACATGGTTGTCATAGAGCTTCTCCGACGACGATTCTGCTGCCGAAAGCATTGCTTCTTGGAGCGGTGTACATGGGAAAATAGCCTGCACGGATCTCCCAGCTTTCTCAAATCTGCTAGTCGTCGATTCGAGGAAATTTTCGTCAAACCCGAAATCAAACGAATCGGCAGAAGTGTTTTCACTCGCTGTAGCCTTTTGACCACGAATTTCCAGTCTGTTGGCTAGTCTCACCACTGATGGATGCTTCAAAATGTCTGAAATCTCGATCTCAAGGTCAAGACTCTGTCGCAAGACCCTCGATAATGATATCGCGGAGATAGAGTCGATTCCTAAGCTGAAGAAAGATGTCTCTGGACCAACTTCGTTCAAAGAGACCCCTGCAACCTTGGCCGTTGCCGTCGCGATTTCTTGTTCCAAGTCCGTCCAGGTATGGTCTGAGGGAGACTTCACGGTTTTAGAAGCCAGATTCAGGTAATGTGCATTAAGGCAGCGAAATTGTCCGATCAGTGCTCGTCTGTCTATTTTGCCCTGTGATGTTGAGGGGAGGAAGGAGACCGGGATCAATGACGAAGGAATCATATAAGCTGGGAGAGCGAGTTCGATATCTTTGTACAACTTTTTGATGATTTCTGGGTTGGGGTGGATGCACTCGAAGATCTCGGAGTTTTCGAGACCTGAAGTCCAGAAGGAGACCAATCGCTGCGAGGTGCCATCCTCACTGATAATTACCATCGTCACACAATCTTTGACAGCCCCAGATCTAAGCATCGAATTGGTTATTTCACCCAATTCTACTCTTTGGCCTCGAATCTTGACTTGATCATCTTTTCTTCCAGTGAAGGCCAGAGAGCCGTCGGGCATCAGCCGACCAAAGTCGCCACTTCTGTACAGTCGCCCATATTTGGGATGCTTGATAATCTTGCTAACTTCTTGGCTTCGGTCCATGTATCCCCGAAAGACTTGCGATCCGCCAAAGCAGAATTCGCCCTCTCCGCCTCTTGGCACCAGTCCAAACTCAGGCTCTGGGCTTAGAACAAACGCCGAAGTGTTTCGAAAAGGTGGGCCAATATTGTTGATGGAGTCATATCTAGTGACCTTAGGATTGATGGTGCAGATGTTCGTGGTCTCACTGGGACCATAGCCTTGCCAGAGACCCCTGTCAGCCCAGGCATTGAAGACCTTTTGGGTGACAGCTTCTCCAGCAGTAACTAGAAATTGAACCTTCGGTACTTTCTTTGGCTCGATCAGCGATGCTACGGTTGGCGTCAAACTCAAGTGAGTCACTTCGAGGACCCTGGTAGCATTCTCGATATCTCGGAAAAGAACGTCCTTGACGGCAGAGCAAAGGCAACCACCAACTCTCCACGCAAAGAAAATCTCGAAGACCGACACGTCAAACGCCTGAGAACAGGATTGCAAGAATCTCGAATCCTTGGATACAGGATAAAGGTCTTCCAGAACATCTAAGTTGCTTAAAAGATTTCCTTGGGTCACCAATACCCCTTTCGGGGTGCCTGTACTCCCAGAAGTGAAGACGCAATAAGCGATATTGTTTGGGGAGGATCTCGATAAAATATCCTTGGATGAATAATCCGCGAAATTAATTTCGTCTATGTAAACGATAGTCAGGCCTTGCACAGCCTTCAGCAAAGGTCTAGAAGCTGCCTCCGCCATCAAAACTTGGACCTTCGCTTCACGAAGAATGTGCTCAAGGCGCTCCGGTGGTATATCAGGTGTGACAGGAAGGTATCCAGCTCCAATCTTGGCAGTGGCAAGTATAGAAGTATAGAAGTCGGCCGACTTCTCTAGACATATACAGACGAGTTCATCTGGGAGGACGTTCTGTGCCTGGAGGTAATTTCCCATTTGATTCGCTCTGGAGTTCAGTTCGCAATATGACACGTAACTAACGTCGAGTTCGTCTTTGCCGATTGCTTTTGCGAATTCTATTGCAGTTCTTTCAGGGTCTTGAGCGGCGATTCTCTCGACCGGCGATGAGAGGGACCCCCCCTTTAAGCCCAATTCGGGTGTTTCATTTTCAATGGACAAGACGTCGCTACTCAATCTATCGAAGACCCCCTCCAACGGCGTCGCTTCATCTTCAACTACGACACGTACAAGTTGTTCAACTTGCTTCAGAAGATTCTTGACCTGGGACTCGGGGAAAAGCGAACGCTGAAAGTTGGCCTTCATTTCGATGTTTTCGGGACTCGGAATAATTTCAATGGTCAAATTGAATTCCAAGTTGTCTACTGTATCAACCAGTTTGACGTGTTTCCTGGTATGGCCGTGGTCGTGCAAGGTTTGCTGCCAAATGAGCAGAGTATCGAAGAGCAGTTGTCGAGGATGTACACAGCCGGCTGATTTGATATCGCGTAGAGGAACATCACAGAATTCAAGGTGTTTCCGATTTGTGGTGTTTAGCTCTCGAATCAAGTCTTGCATCGTCGTAGACAAGGATAAGTCTACCCGAACTGGTAAGGTTGCAAGACATGGCCCAGCAATGTGCTCGATTCCAACGATGGGAAGTGTACGACCAGAAAACACTGTGCCGAAGCAAATGTCTGCGGAACCAAGATATGATCCCAGAACTAAGGCGTAAGCAGCTTGGAACAGAGATTGGGGGCTGGATGAAAGGCGTCGGGCTGCTGCCTCTACCTCTGATGTCGAAATCGAAGTCGCTAGGCGAGTATTAGACAGCCCCGGTGGTGGTGCGTTGCGACTGTGGAAGCTCGGAATCCGTCTAACATCTAGATGTGATAGATGATCTTTCCAGTAATCTTTCGAAGTCCAATCATTGTATTTGAGGATACCGTTAGCGTAGCCTTCAACAACATCGGCGAAGGGAGGACGTTTGGCGAGTGGCTTTGCCATAAGGAGAGTATCAAGGTCATCAAGAAGGAGCTCCAATGACCAGGCATCATATAAAGCATGATAGATGTGTATTAATAGTTTCATACTGGAAGAACTTTGGAGCATCTGGATTCGGATAGGATGGTGTAAAGAGGCATCCTTCAAAGGATCAAACTCATAATTGAACATGGCGACTTGTTCGATGTTAGAGTCCGGAAAGCTTTTCCAGATGATTTGGACATAACCATCCGAGTCTAGAGATTCCGTGAAGCCGGTTCTCAAAATTGAATTCGCTTCCGAAAGAGCGCGGATGTTTGAGATTACGTGTTGTATATCTGGGGTCTCCGGTAGGTCTATCTCAACCCAGTTCCGATATGCTTTTTCATCCACAGCAGTTTCTGCCAACATTGCCGTCTGGAGTGGTGTACAAAGCATCGTTGATTCAACATCCTTGGCATTTCCGTTCAAAATCGTTACGACGTCTTCTATGGTGTGCCTTTGAGGACTGTCTGAGACTTGGGAACGTTCTGTTCTAGAATTTTCGCAGAGGCGCGTCAGAGAGCTCAATGTATCACAATTTAATATCGCAACTGTGCTGACGTTGAATCCCAGCACTCGTAATTTTGATGACACTCTGATAGCAACGAGAGAGTCAAGACCAATAGCTGCCAGGCGCATCTTTGCTGGAAAGGGTCCCAAAAGCTCTTCGAGTATTTGCTTAACGGCCTTCCCTGTCTCATTCAGGTTAGCGGCGCTTTCACTGCCGTCGATGTCTCGGTGTTGCTGGTAATCGGCCACCAGCTTCTTCTTGTCCACCTTACCAGATGGTAGGTAAGGGAAGTTTCGAGACAGAATGATCTCGCTGGGCAACATAAACTTAGGGAGCCATTTAGCGCAAGTCTTCATCACGTCTTCAGCAGACAGTGTTTCGTCACCAACGAGAGTAAAGACAACGAGAACACCACCAAGCACAATCGCTGAGACTGTCTTTACACCTGGATGCTTGTAGACGGCCTCCTCAATTTCGCCTAGCTCAACTCTTTGACCTGTTTGCCAATAAAACTGAGTCAGCATACTTCTTCAAAGTCTATTCGGGAGCAGAATGTTCCAGCAGCTGCTACGAAACCTGAAATGGACACAGAAGAGGGAATAGTATTCCAAGAAGTTGGGCCTTACCTCGAAGTTTGACCTGACCTCCACTCATTCGACCAAGAATTTCAATCGTTCCATCATCAAGCTGCCGAGCCTTGTCACCTGTTCGGTAGTAATTTCTACCTTCGAAGGTCACGAAGGCTGCTTTATTTTGCTCTTCCCTGTTCAAATATCCATGAGCCAGCTGCGGTCCCCCAAGGACAAGCTCTCCGAGTTCCCCAACTGGAAGGAATTTTAGATTGGCTGTATCTTCCGGGCCAGTGCTAGCAGCTGCGATGAAAGTTGAGACAGTATCAAATGGAACGCCAATGTTGCCCGGCTTTGTACTGGCTGCCATTTCAGGATAGATGGTACAATGAATGGCCGCCTCTGTCGGTCCATACATGCCATATAACATGCATGGCTTTGTCTCTGAGGCACCAAATTCCCCAACAATTGGTGTTGTCAGCATTTCTCCAATCGTCAACAGCAGTTTCAGTCCCGGCGCATTCGACCTTTTTTGGAGAAGAGATCCAACTACCGTCGGAGTGAGCTCGGCAGCATCAATTTCCAATTCATTGAGAATTCCTGGCAAGTCATTGAGCAGCTGACTTCGATTACAGCCAACCAAAGTGCAACCACGAATGAAAGGGAAGAAGATCTCGAAAACCGAAACGTCGAATGAGGGTGCTGCAAATTGAAGGAATCGTTTAAATTGAGGAATGTGTCTCTCATGAGCAAGAAGAGATTGCGAGACTGCTAGATGGCTAACGGCCACACCTTTTGGCGTTCCGCTCGACCCAGAAGTGTACATCACATAGGCAAGGTCCTCAGGAGTCATGTCACGTGACACACCTGGTTGAAGTACCTCTCCCTTGGGTAGTACGGGAAATTCGTCAACAAGGATGACGATTGGACCGTTTTCCCAAGATACAACATCTTTGAACTCGGAAGTTGTGATGAGCAGGCCCGCCGAGACGTCTTCGACAACGAACTTAATCCGTTCCTGAGGTGCATCAAGATTGATAGGACAGAATGCACCACCAGATTGTAGGATGGCGAGTTGGGAAATGTAGAGAGAAGGTGATTGCGGAAGTAGGATTGGAACGATATGTTGGCGATGTGGTTGCTCCGTCTGAGAACTCCTTTTGGGTAAAGACTCCTGTATCCGCAACACCAGAGAGTCAACAAGACACTGAATATCTCTATAGATGTATCGTTGCCGAGTACCGCCGCTGGTAAAATCTAGAGCGCATTTCTCACTGTGGCGATCCCACCGTATCAGCTTGTGAAGGAGTTGTGGCCCTTCTAAGACCTTGGGAGGGTCGTTGAGTATGGAGAGCCTCTCAGACATGTTGCAGAATAGCGTTCTAGACTCAAAGTCTATCTATGCTTCTCCTGTTCTAGGCGAGGTTTGTATCTCGATCCTGATGCATGAATGGGAAACCCTTCACGACTTGCCAACGTGGCAATGGCGATACTGTATGAGGGGTTGTTCAAAGGTCTTATCACGTGCTGAAGAAGTGAAGAGTGGGCGTGGAACCGAGAGTATTCTCTCGGAATCATGATCGGTGAAGGCGATAGTCGAGCATTTCAGACGTGGGTAAATACTGAAGCGAGTGAAGCTTGGTACCGTCTCCTTGTGCTTTTTCTTGATGGCTATGCGTGGGAGCCACGGCGTGCTCTCCAAATGGAACGCGTGATTTGCTTGCAAAGAGCGCTTGGGAAGCCCGCCAATGGTCCATGACGTCCGAAAGGCAAAGAGCAAATTTGACACGCAACGTGCGCGGGATGTCACTCGGAGCTTGACAAATCACACGCAATGGACCAACGCAGCATACCAATGAGTCAGGAGCGATGTGGAGAGCGGATGCTTTTGACATTCTCTGATGATTGCTTCTTTCACGGTGTGAGCAGGTTCAATGGCCGAAGAGGCTGGGACATACTACAGTACGGTGGCCAGGATGACCATCTCGGCAGTGGCCCCTGCCAGCAAAATATTCCACTTCCGCTTCTCGCGCTCCACGTCTCTTTCCTTTACCTAACACTATCCCGCCTGCCAAACCATACAACAAGCCGTGTGAGCTGTCCCGCAGCCAAGCTGGCGAGGCAGGGAAGATTCTTCATCTTTAATCTTATCAGATCATCAGATTGCTAGGGGGCCCGCAGGCTCCACATAGTGGTCCGGTCTCGGTCTCAGCATCCTGTACGACATCCATGAATCTACACATCCAGCCATTGCAATACTTAACGCCCCGAGACCCTGTTGGTCTGGGGTACTTGATCTGATAATCTGGCTTGGCATCGTGCCCCTCTTTGAACCCTTCGGCCCCTTGGCCTCGGGGCGGGGACGCCACTAACGGCCAGTCCTCTGGCTTGGACAACGTTGATCTTTGCCGGTTCAGCGGTCCTTCCCTCCGATGCTGATCAAGAAATAATCTCCCGTCATGATGCCATACACGAGATGAAGCTATTCAGATGAAAATGGACATATTGAAATTCCGGAGAGAACCAGATGTCACAGAATGTCACTGCTAAAGGAACGAAGTCGTCCCAACTCAACACCTCTCTGCTGCAAATCCGAGATACTATCTCGAAATCAAGTTGTCATCACACAGGCATCCAAGCCAAGTCCAATGTTCTACTGGCCCCAGATAGTTCTCCAGCAACGTGCTAGTGCCGGCTCCTGGTGCGCCACTTTCCTAATCTTAACGTCTACGTTAAGATGCGGTGCCGAGGTGGACCAGTTCTCCCACCAAGGGGACCCTTCATCATGCATTGTGACGGCAGGACAAGTTGACCGCAGACTACAGTAGTCCTTGCTTCTGCAGTGGCCAATCTGATTTTTTGGGGGGGGAATTCTGCAATTTCCATTACCTGATGGCTTCCATCCAAGTCGGCCATGGGGAAGGATAGGGAAGTCAAAGTCTTGGCCCGGTCTCATCCCTCGCAAGTATTTTTCACTTTGCTAGAAGCTCCGTTGAGCCAGTCTATCATTTTTGCCATGTGCTGAAAGATTCAATGACACCTCTGGGGTGCCACAAAAATGGCAAGTCAAGCAAACGGGAGACAATGCTCGATCACCGCCCCAGAACTGGTACATCGAAGAACACGGGTGCCTCGTACTTCGCTCTCTTCCGGCCCCTCCATGATGTGCAATCGCGACTCGTTCTATTTTGCGGAGTCGTCCTAGCTGTCGCTGCTGGAGCACCTCTCCCCATCATCGGCGTTATTTTTGCGCGGATCATTGATGCCTTTCCACCAACAGAAGATGAGGTCCATCAAAGAATCTCTCAGCTCCTTGGGGTTGGTAAGTTGTCCCTGCAATGCTCTGTACTTTCACTAACATTGGAAGCAACTGCATATTTTGCAGTCACGTGGGGATGGGCGTCTTGTTGGGGCATCGTTGGTTCTCGCATATCCAGAGGTTTAAGGATTGCGATGGTGGATAGAGCTCTGGGAATGGATCTAACCTACTACGAAACGGAATGCCCAGATGTAACTTGTCCTTGACTCTTTTGATACATTGCTAATGCCTCCAGATTGCCAGTCGCCTCACCGTAGACGCTCAAACAGTTCAGTCCGGAACCGCTGAGAAAGTTGGTATTTTCGTACAGTCTGTTAGTTACTTTGTAGTCGCATTTATTGTTGGATTCATTCTCAATGCTCGTCTCACTGGCATCCTCTTTGCCGCGGTTATACCGGCTATGGCCATGGCGGTTTTCATCGGGACCACAGTTCTCAACCGGTATTCCAAGGATAGTTCAGAATGTACTACCTCTGCAGAATCAGTAGCTGAAGGGGCTATCAAGGCTGTGCAGGTAGTCCAAGCATTTGATGCATTTGAATCCCTGACAGACCAACACAAAAGTCATCTGGAGAAGGCCATGGAATTCGGTATCTTGAAGGCCGTGGCAGGCGCCATTCTTCTAGGAAGTGTATTTTTTATTGCGTAAGCAAATCTTCGAATCCCATTAAATATAAATTATTAACGAACAGCAGCTATGCCGCAAACGCTTTGGCATTTTGGCAAGGCTCCCAGATTGTGAAGTCTGATAGATCATCTGGAGGGGCTGGCACAGTCTATGCGATTGTTTTCTTGATACTAGACGCCTCCTTTGTGATTGGACAGGCAGGTCCGTTTATACAGTCATTTTCGCAGGCTGCTTCTGCAGGCCGTCGAATTCTAGACCTCATCGACTATCCCGATATACCAATTGATGTTTACTCTAAATCAGGACTTCCAGCATCACAGGAGACCTTTGGAGAAGGCAAGGAAATCGTCTTCAAAGACGTTACTTTCTCATATCCTGCACGGCCCTTAGAAAAAGTACTGGATTCGGTCAATTTACAGATCAAAGCCGGTACTACTGTCGGAATTGTTGGCGCATCTGGCAGCGGGAAGTCGACGATCGCGGCGTTGCTGCTGAGATTGTATGATCCTTCGGAAGGGGTCATTAGCATTGATGGCCATTCCATCCCTAGCTTTAATCTTCCTAGCCTTCGCGGTCAAGTCAGTCTCGTTGATCAAGACCCAGCCGTCTTCTCTGGCAGCATTTACACCAACATTCGAGATGGATACAAAGGGCCAGAACTCCCCGAAGATGAAATGCGAGGAAGATGTGTCAAAGCAGCAAAAGCCGCTGATGCATGGTCTTTCATTGAGCTGCTACCGAACGGTATTGATACCTGGCTAGGAGAACCAGCCGGAACGAAGCTTTCTGGTGGCCAGAAACAGCGCGTCTGCTTAGCCAGAGCTCTCGTGGGTGATCCATCTCTACTTGTTCTCGATGAGGCTACTAGTGCTTTGGACGCCATCAGTGAGCAGTCAATATTGAGCTCACTCGGAACTTCAAGATCGTTAGGACATCGCACAACAGTCATGATTGCCCACAGGCTTGCATCTGTCAGGCACGCAGACAACATTATTGTTATGGGGAAGGGTCAGATTCTAGAGCAGGGAAATCACGAGTCTCTGGTGTCCAACATTGGCGGTGCTTATTATCAACTGATCGAGGCACAAAAACTTGGTTCATATGATTCTCCAGACACATTTACGTCAGACGAAGACGGATTCGAAGTAGAAAAATCTGCAGGAGAAGAGATGAAAGCGGAAACAGCTCCATCTTCGTCCACGGAAACCCTGGTCGAGAACGGCAAATCATTAGGGACTTTCACAATCATTCAGCGATGTCTTGCCCTTACTCGTTCCAAGATCTTTTTCACTCTTCTTGCACTAGTCGGATCTGTCATAACTGGTGGGCTGATCCTGGGAGAATCAATCATTTTCGGCCACTTAGTTCAACTTCTCAACTCCTCGGTACCATCCGGCCAGGTTGACTTCTACTGTTTGATGTTCTTCGTGGTCTCATTAATCGCGCTCGCGGGGTATGTTACTTCTGGTTCATGCTTCGGACTTGTGTCTGAGCATCTGATCTTTCGAACCCGCGACCTCTCTCTCCGAACAATACTCCGACAAGACGTGGAATGGTTCTCGCAATCAGGACGATCAACATCCTCTCTTATATCAGTCATCAGCATGGATGCTGGGCATCTTAGTGGCCTCTCGGGCGTGATCATTGGTACTATCGTCTCTGCATTGGTCTCTGTCGTAGGTGGAGCTATTCTAGCATTCGTTGTTGCTTGGAAGATTGCCATCGTGCTGTTCGCTACATCGCCAGTGGTCATTTCGGCTGGGTTCCTCAGACTGCATGTTTTGTCGAAGCTCGATGAGAAAAATCAACTCGCTTATACCGATGCAGCCTCTCTAGCGACTGAAGCATGCTCATCCATTCGCACTGTTGCTGCGTTAGGAACGGAAAAAGTTACCTTAGAAAGGTTCCACATGGCTGTTGATAAGTTCCAAAAACAGACTTTCAGGGACACGGCCCTCGGGAATGCCATCTTGGCGTTCGCTCTTTCTGTCACGTAAGTCTTCCAGACCTCAATGTACAACCAAAGACTGATACAGTCGAAGATATTATGTGTATTCACTCGCATATTGGTGGGGATCCAAGCAAGTACGATCTGGAGAATACACCACGTAAATATTTATCCTTAACCCCTAAGCTCTACAAGGACATAACTAATAAATTCCAACAGCCTCCAATTCTTCATTGTACTTCCTGCTATTCTCTTTTCTGCGCAAGCTGCTGGTCAAATATTCAGTCTGGCACCCGATATTGGCAGAGCAAAGGGTGCTGCTTCACGAGTCTTCACACTACATGACCAGAAACCCACAATTGACACAACATCGAACACTGCTGCACCTCGTCTATCAGCGACACCAATGTCAAATGATAAGCATACTCCTACCGGTTCCATTGCGTTCCAGAATGTAAGCCTTGCATATAAGTCGCGGCCCGACACACCCGTTTTCGCAAAACTCAACTTGACAATCAAAGCGGGGGAGACGGTTGCGCTTGTTGGACGATCTGGGGCAGGAAAGACATCTATGATTTCTCTCATTGAACGATTCTACGACCCTACTTCGGGCGCTATTCTTCTGGATGGAGTTAGTATCAAATCAGTACCAGTCTCACAGCATCGAGCCAGAATCAGCCTGGTAGCCCAAGACCCCGACCTGTTCTCGGGTTCAGTTGCTTTCAACGTTGGTCTGGGAGCAAGACCCGGTCATGTGGCTACAAGAGAGGAAGTCATTGAGGCATGCAAAGCTGTAGGAATTCATGAATTCATTAATTCGCTTCCGGATGGCTATGAGACGTGAGTGCTGACGTTTTTTCGGGGATCACTGTACTGATGATTGGTAGTCAATGTGGGAACAATGGTTCACAGTTATCGGGAGGTCAAAAGCAGCGTGTTGCCATCGCTCGAGCATATATCAGAGATCCCGAGATACTTCTCCTCGATGAGGCCACCTCAGCTCTGGGTAAGTTCTTGCCTTGCCTGCAAAGGTACTGAGTACTCATAAATCAATCCCACAGATTCACAGTCTGAGGCTCAAATTCAAGAAGCAATCTCGAAAGTCTCACGACAACGCACAACGATCATGATCGCACATCGGCTCACCAGTGTGCAGAGAGCAGATCGAATTTTGGTGTTTGATCAGGGTACAATAGTCGAAGAAGGTCGACACGAAGAACTGGCGAGAGGGGGAGGCATATATGAGCAAATGATTAAGGCACAGAGTCTTGGATGAGATCGATCTATTTTATATGAGCATTATTGGCGAGGAGTCATAGAGGATACAAAAATTTCGGCATTATCAGTACACAAACACACATTTGACGTTCTACAGCTTTGAGACAAGCTGGTCATCTTCTATGTCCGCCTCATTACACTGCGTTATCTCCCATGCATGATGACACGTCACTGGCACTCATTGATCTCGAAGTCCTCCGCGGATTCCAGAGCCACCGAGGAAAGTGTCACTCAGGTCACAAAACTAGCAGTTGCAGATCTCCCCTTGGCACCTTCCTCATCTCCGAGCACCCTCGCTTACAACACTTTCTTCTACACTCCTGTTCTTGTCCTCTTCATCGAACTTTCAAACAAAATCCCTCTTACGTGACACCGCTCTTCTGCCCCCGTCTTTTCCCAAGGGCCCATCCACAGCCAAGACGACCAACTGCCCTCCATCGTCCAAGTTCATGCCGCCAGCAAACTCGGACCGCTCCTCTCCACCTGCCCCATCAAGATGGGGAGCGATTATCTATTTGATCTGATAAGACACAACCCTGGACATCTCCACCACCGGCAAAAAACGGGCATCCGACATCGCTCTCTGCAGGGATCCAGCGGATCAGATAAAAAGTCTTGGCACTTTGATGCCGGGACCCGACGAGACCAGCGCTACGCAGGTGCATCGATGGATCTTAACGCTCCGTAGCCATCGCTTGCGAAGCTTCTGAAGTCTAATTCTTGGTGATGGCAGAAGTGGCTTCACATTGGTGAAAAAGACTGGAAAAAAGAAAATGTGCGAGTCGACATGGGTCTTTAGCAAACACTTGCGTCACTGGTGGGCGGAAAAGGGGAGCAGGGTCGAGGAAAAATTCCTCCTCCGTTCTCTTCATGTCCCTGGCCAATATACATGAACGTGGACACTGACCTGCAGTCACACGCAAACAGCTGATGTCTGCAGCACAGCAGCTGCAGGAACGGTGCCATAATCCAAACGAGTAATTCCCGGAACGCCCCCTGCCTCCCTCCCTCCATACATTAACAAATGTCCTCTCACCTCGGCCGTGCGACCTTGCCACAAGAAAACAAATGTCATACACAACTTTCTGACTCCCAATCATCGCCACCAATAATCATTCTTCTATCCATTCTTATTTCAAATACTAGCACCGACGCTCCGGAGACGATTTCAATGTAGAAATAAGCTTACACGCCATCTATTTCTTCTCCTCGGTATCTGAATCTCACCAATCCCGAGCCGGCGAAGACATCTCCCTCAATCCGTACCCGAGCAAGGAAAATATACACTAAAATTGACGACCATCAAACCTCGCCTTCATTGTCCCTCCAGTGTCGGAAGAAGGTTCTAGTGAGAAGGAAAGTGTTTCATCATCCACATCTTCGAATCTTGGTGCAAACGGAAGTGACGAATCACCGTTCGCTGGAATAAAAAGCACTTGTCACCACACCCAAAGTCAATTGCCAGTACGCCATTAGGACGTTTGCGATTTCATATCTGGGAAAACTTGGTCGATATACTTTGTGTGTTGGCTTTTGTACAAACGCATTTGCGAGAAAGGAGTCATTTTTTTGTCTTTCAATTTGCTGTCCTGTTACAAAAGAGAGGTCTTGTCCAGCTTGATTTCATTGCACGGCATTCTAAGCACAAAGTTTGTGTCTGATATCAAGGGATTGGCTCAGTTTCTAATCTGTACTCTTGGAGTCACGTTATCCTCCTTTCGGGGAAACCACTACCAATGGTTCCCTCAGCAATCAGTACACCCACGGGAGCTGATGAGAACAACGGCCAATATTCCAACGGAATCTCACCATTTAATAGTCAACTAGACGGGATGCATCTCAATGGCCACTCAAACGACAATGGCCGCGTTCACGCCCATTCGTCAGACGAACCCCTCGATCTCCTCTGCATCGGATTCGGTCCGGCATCCCTCGCCATAGCCATCGCTCTCCACGACACCGAAAATACTATCACGCCTTCCCCAAGCGCTCTCTTCCTCGAAAAGCAACCTCAATTTGCCTGGCACGCAGGAATGCAGCTCCCTGGCGCGAAAATGCAAATCTCATTCCTGAAAGACCTCGCAACGCCCCGGGACCCTCGATCAAAGTTCACGTTCATCAACTATCTCTTCGAAAAAAGGAGGCTGAACCAGTTTATCAATCTGAGCACTTTCCTCCCTACGAGGGTGGAGTATGAGGACTATCTCCGCTGGTGCGCGAGTCATTTTGAGGAGGAGGGGAAGGTAGTTTATGGAATGGAGGTTGACTCCGTGCGGCCTGGCTCCAAAAATGCTGCAGGGAAAGTCACAAACTGGGAAGTCACAGCCCGCGACACTGCAACTGGCAACTCAGTAACTCGTCGCGCTCGACATGTCGTGATAGCAGTCGGTGGCCGCCCCTTCGTGCCACAGAATATGCAAGGCCTGAAACATCTTGCTCATTCCTCTCAATTCGCGTCCACCATCACATCTATCCAGAAACGAGAGGAAGGGCGGAAGCTCAGGTTTGCTGTAATCGGCAGTGGGCAGAGCGCGGCGGAGATATTCAATGATCTCTGGGAGAGATTTCCTGATGCGGATGTGAAGTTGGTGATTAAAGGGGCTAGTTTGAGGCCGAGTGATGATAGTCCTTTGTGAGTCCCTCCCCTATATTACGTCACGTAAAAGGCCTGAAATCAAGATTAATACTGCCCAGTGTGAACAAGATCTTCGACCCCGACCGTGTAGACGCTATCTACACCCAACCTCCCTCCGAGAGAGCAGCCGCCATTGCCCTCGATCGAGGGACGAACTACGGCGTCGTCAGACTAGAGCTTCTAGAACACTTGTATCAGAAACAGTACATGCAGCGTCTTGAAAGCCCCGACGAGACTACGTGGAGGTGTCGAATTATTCCAAATCGGACGGTGCTTTCTGCTTCTCAATCCGTGAACTCGGGCGTTGTGCTACGTCTAGGCGATGCAGACGAGACGAAGCGGGGAGCAGAGGAGGAAGTGGAAGTTGACTACGTCTTCACCGCTACAGGGTATGTGAGGAATGCACATGAGAACATCCTCTCTGAAGTCCGGCACCTTCTCCCAGAGGATCTACGGAAAGAAGGGAAATTTAATGTTGCACGGAATTATAGAGTGAAGCTGGATGTAGGGGAGGTTGATGGAGGCGCGGGGGTATGGTTGCAGGGGTGTAATGAAGGGACGCATGGCGTGAGTTCCCCTATCCATTTATGATTTAAAAGTATTGGAGGAGAACGCTAACTTGAATAGTTGAGTGATACTTTATTGTCGATTCTGGCGGTTAGAGGGGGTGAACTGGTTAACAGTATTTTTGGTGAGGTTAGTGGTGAGGTTGTGTGTGAGGGGCTGAGCTCGCCTGCTTAGCGAGCCCCTGAAGACTCTCGCTTGAGGTGGCCGATAGGGAATTCACTGTTTTCCTTTGTTTAGAGCATCGCAAGAGGCGTTTGGCATTCATAAACCCTGTGAAAAGCGTCGATGGTAGCTGAGAAAGGAGTGAGCCATATTTTGGATTGGACTTGGTAGACATGTCTTCCAAATTCAATGACCAAATCTATCATTTCTATACCGATCTACCTAACTCCCGTCAAATATGCAATCATCACTTCATCATCTCGCAACCACATCCACTTCTCGCTTTTCAACTCTTCAACTCTTCCAACAGTCCCTCCAGCACCTCCCACCCCTCACTCCCCTCCCACGCATCCCGTCCCCTTCCCATAACACCCTTCACCGCGGACCTCGCCTTACTCCTCCACCCCCTCTCCACCTCCTTCCCATCCACCTCCATCGGCCCATAATTCTCATACGCACTCACCAAATTGTCCGTCGCGCCCACAACGCCCTTCCACGCCTCTGCATCCAACATCCACTCCTCGCCAACCGTCACCATGCGCCACGCTCTCTCTGCGCACTTCAACGCATTCGAATAATCTCTTTCATAAAGACTTAACTTCTCTGCTAACACCCAGAGTTCCGCGCGTTTGGTGATGAGAGGTATGATTTCGGAGTCTACCATTGAAAGAAGAGCGCGAGCCAGGCTGCCGCGGGGCGGGATGTAGATGCCATCATTGTTCTCTGGACTTTCCGCAAGGTTGTTGTTTTCGGGCCGTTCGGAGGAGGTGACTTCTAGCACGAGAGCGCGGAGGATGTCAGCATCTACAGCCGCTTCACCTACACTCGGTCCGCGGATTCGAATGACGGAACGGAGACCGAGGAGGAGATCGGGGAATGAGGGGGGAGAGAGACGGCCGGCGATGGTGATGACGTTGTCCCAGATCTTCCAGTTGTCGTGAGCGAGGGAGGCGGCGCGTTTGTATGCTTTGAGTGCTTGGTGGAGGATTGCCTTTGGATCCTCTTTTTTGTCCTTTGAAAAGTCCACCTCTCCCTCATCGCCCTCGTCCTGAGGAACGAGAACGCCTTTCGCCTGCGCCTTTTGTAACTTCATCATCTCAGCGTGTTTGGACAACAACGCAGATCCAAGGTTTGAATATGTTTTGGCGTCCGTATCATCGATCATAATACTCTGCTGAAAAGCAATAACAGCACCGTCCCAATTACCTACCCTCAAATCGATGTCACCCATTCGAGACCAGGTGTCGTTATTCTGCCTGTTGACAATGGTGGCAGCTAAGTAGCTCTCCCTCGCTTTCTCCAAATCGCCTTCCTTGGTCCAGAACTCACCCAACGAGCGCTGCGCACGCGCATATCTCTTTTTCGAGATTATCCATGCGCGGTCCCAGCATGTGGGGTCGTTGTCCAGATCGCCAAGGATACACCACAGGCGCGGTGCATGAGGAGGCGTGGGTCTGAGTTCGCCGTCCCATTTCTCGTTTACGACTTCTTCTGCGTCGATACCATACTGATCCATCTCCGGACCCTTGGAGGAGGAATAGAGCTGGCGTCGGATGATTTGCCGAGCTTTATCTTCTTGTCCAATGGAGTGGTAGCATAAAGCAACCTCAGCCCACAGCTTCAGCCGCTTGAAGATCTCGAGCGCAGACACGAAACTGCCTACTCCGCTCCAGGCGTAAGCTAACTCGGTCTCGATCTCCCATCTCGTTGGCGTGTTCAGTTGGAAGATATACTTCAACCGTTCACTGACGGGAGCGGACTCGGATTCCTTTGCTCGGGGCAGGAATTGCGTGACTCTTATCTCGGGAACACCGTCAGCTCCAGGAAGTGATTCTTCTTGCGTGTCGGCGATGATCTGGTCGACGATGACTTGAAGTTGTAAGACAGAACGCTCTTGTGTTCGAGAGCGGTGGGCTTCGATTCGAGATCGCACGAGCAGGGCTTGGGTGTAAATTTGCCAGTTCGTGGGTTTGTCTGACAGGACGCGGACAGCGTAGGGGAGGATCTCTTCGCTGTTTAGCTTGTCGAGGGGTGACAAGGTGTCTTTGAGGGTAGCTTCTGTGAGCAGTGTAATCTGGTCTAGGGGCTTGAGTTGGGGTTGGGAGTCTGGTTTTAGGTCTGCGAGTTCTGGGGGGAGAGCTGAGTTGTCGATTTTGTCTGATTTTGCGAATTCGATGGACTCGAGGAGTGTGTCGTCGTTGAGTTCCAATGCTGTGGGGCCGCTTCTCTTTACACCACTAGAGAGAGTCGTATCCTTTAAACTCCCTACCAGCTCATCTGAAGTGGCCTCCTCCGACTCCCTACTTCTGGCAAACACAACCAGCTGCGAGGTATCATTCTGCTGAAACTTGGTCTTCTTCCCCAACGCCCCGGACAGCGCATAACTAAAACCCGACACCGCCTTCGCCATCCTCACATTCTCCCTGGCCTTAATATCCAATCCCTGCATGATATAAATCTGCGCCTTCTCCAGCAAAAACTGTACTTTCGCTTCCGTCCCCAACGACGACTTCTCACCAAGAATCTCCCCTTCCAACTCCTTCAAATCCTTTTCGATAACATTCTGCAGCACCGAGAAATCGCTCATGCTCCCACCAGATAATCCAGACAGAAGACGTTGGTGATAAGCATTAATCCTAACGCGCATCCACTTGCAGTCCCTGAACTCGCCACCGATGATCCGTGGAAAGAAAACAGTGAAAATGAGGCGCGCAAGGCAGAAGAGCTCTACGTAAGGGATATGCTGATACACAGAGACGCCATCGACATCCAAGCTCTTCAGACACTGCTCCCTACACGCCGCCTCGTTGTCTTTCTTTGGAAACACATTACCCCAATCCGTCGGCGGTCCCGTGACATTTGCTTGCAAGAAAGCGTTGAAAGCCGCAAGACCTACGATTAAGACCTGTACAGCGCCAACGTCATCGCGAAATCCAGCGTCTTGAAAACTCGCATCTTGATCTTGTCTCAAGAGCGATACCGTTTCAACGAGCTTCCCATACAGGGTTTGCGAGGTAGGATTCCGAAGTATGGTTTTGTAGTCACCTTCAAGGTACGCCTTGACCACTTCCGAGAGCTCTGGATGATCTTTGAAGGATTCGAGGTTGAAGAGAAGGGCATCGAATGTTTGATCCCGCAGGACATCTGTGTTGGGAGTCATTTTGGCGGTGGTATCAAGATCGTGTATTTTTCTTGAAGAAATTTGGAGATTTTTGACGGATTCAAACGGTGCATTTGTAAGCGACCTCGTTTGAACGCCAGTGAGATGCTTTTCAACACATCAGGTATTCTCTCTATTTGTGGGATTTATTCTTGTTTGGTAGGATAATTTAATAAATAGTAGGCTTAATTGTGACGATTTGGACGTTGCGGCAAACGCCATCAGCACCTCTCATAAAGATTGATTCACAACCCCCTATAAATTTAGCGATGCATACGCTGCAACTGCCCGAACTCCAGCGCAACGCTCGCTAACGAGCCTGGCAGCATAAGTCTGTGTTTTTAGCGACTCGACATTTCCAGGCTTCGTTTTATATTACAATTATATAGGGACTATGAGGCGTATTATCTTTATCTTTGAACTCGAGCGCGTAAAGGAAGAAACTAACTCGAGTTTAAAATTCTTGTTCTAAGTAATTGCGACAGAAGTTAATATTATTACTTGTTAGCGAAACACCCTAAATACACAGCCTTATGCAACCAGGCCCAACGAGTAACTCGTAAGGGCTGCGCTTGTTCCTTCCAACAACTGTAAAAGGTCGTCTCATGCCTTTGGTCTCCCTTCTAGCTTTTACCACTGTCTTCGGACAGATCAAAATTCCAAACCTCAACTCTTCCCTCCTCTCCCTCTGAGCACTCTCCAGTGAACTCGAGCCGTTTCGGCAAGCGCGCACCCCTCAATCACACCGCTTGCCCCCGCCTCATACTCTCACCAACCAACCAGCCTTCTCACTCCTGGTGCTCTGACCTCCAACAAACATGGTCCCCAACTGGCCACCCAAAACTATGGTCACGGTGACAATTCCTTTCACTCGCATGAAGTTGCTAAACCCCCATCCCATCTCTTCCTTCGGATTCGTTGGTTCCTTCGCTGGGCCGCTTTAAGCGCAGGCGAGGCTGTGTTCTGTCAGAATACCGTCAGAAGTGACAGTGCCAGGAGCCCAATCCCCAATCCTGACGCTTCTTCCTTCCTTTGGCGCTTCTTCCTTCCTTTGGCGCTTCCTCCGCTTGACAGGCTTCGATAATTGGTCTGGAAAGGAAGCGGAAGTGCAACAGATCCAGCAGACTGAGGGTGGGTGGTATGGATGTTGGGTCTTTTTCCAGCACCCTCCTTTGGGGCCATTTCCCCCGCAAGCCTTCTGATTCAGTGGTCTTATTTTTAGGGGAGCTATGTTTAGACTTATTTTGCGATTTGCAACAAAGGTTCTTGATCATCGCTCTTTTCGGTTGATGATCTTAGAATACGTTCCTAGGTCGGTGAGCCTTAGCCTCTGATGATGGCTCATTCCGGGGACTTCATCATGACTAGGAGTTCAAGATTATGTAAGCTTTAAAGATCTCTATCCTTGAATCTGAGTTGCGATACGCAACAAAGTTTTAGAATTGTCTTCTTTAGGCGTGATGGTCAGGGTCAGGATCAGGGTTCATGTTCCTCAGCCTCTGACTGCGGCTCGCCCTAGACCTTCGTCATGACCTCAGTCCGTATTCGAGATGATTTTAAGAGTGCTATCTTTAGGCATAACAGTGCGAGGTGCAACAAAGAAAGATCCAGCTTGTTTTGACATAAAGAGAGTTGGTCCCTACTTGGAAGTTCAAGGAACCCGCTCCTATATATCTAAGCTTGGTTGGTATCCCTCCAGCGCCTACGACCTCCAGAACATCCTCAAATCTACGAGCATTTCCGTAATTCTATCTTTAGGCATAAACTTGCAGTAAACAATCATCTCTCTGGAATTCTGCCTCGTTAATCCCAGGTTCTATTAGCTAACCTCATCTCCCTCAAGCTCAACGATCACGAGGCCGTTCCAACGGACCCCCTCCGAACAAACTAGCACCATTCGTCCTTCTCTCATCCTAAATTTCAAATTCCTCGCCAAAGTGGCTCCTCCATCAAATCCCCAGACCGAAAGTTCGAGCCCCAACACGGCATCCCCTCCTTCAGCTTCATTGCTAGCCCCCGATAGGCCGTTAGATCTCCGCAGCCTGATTCTCAGCCGTCAAGTGCAACCAACCCTTTTCCTTTCTTGGCTTCGGAATTCTGCCGTCTCGAGATAGCCAGCCAGAAGGGCAGATGGTAGACAGACCCTGGGCATCTAACTTCCCGCCTCAAGCCCGCCTATTCATTCATCCCACGTCCCTCTTCCAGACCACTGCTCCACTCCATCCTCCTTCCAATCCTCCACTCGCTCACGTCCGTCCCCACGCTTTCGAATTAGAAGTGTCGAGGAACACACGGCTAGTTCGCATGTTGTACGATTGATTACTTGGGGAGTTATCTGCCTGGCAGAACATAGTAAGAGAGAGACGGGAAGGGGACGGATATGCCTTGCCAACTTGTTGGATGTGATAGGATTGCATGAATGTCTACATGTCACCTGGCGCGAGAGGGGAAGAGACGAATGGGAGCATGTTCCGGTGTTGGTTGAGGAGAGCAATAGGATCCTGCAGTTCCATCCACTTGGCAACGAATCAACGGACTCTTGTGCAATCTTCACCGTGGTCTGTAGACAGACCTGTGTTTGAAACGCCGAAGTTCTGATGGCTCACCTCCTATTTTCGTCTGATTGCTGAGATGAAAGGGGATAGAGCAAATCGTGCAGTGAGACCAGAACTTTATTTTTACTATTAAAGTATATATATGCCAAACATATCCCTCTACTTACACTCCAACACGCCCAAGAATGAGGTCACCGTATATACCATGCCAACATGTAACGCCCCAACCTATATACACCATCATCCAACCATATCCTCATTACAGTACGCACAACTCAGCGACGAATGCAACGACCATCGCTCCAATTCCAGGCACAACCTTCACTCCAAAGCTTGATGGTGAAGGGATGTTGTTCGTAGCCGCACCACCTAGGTACCAACTCCCAATATCCGTCAACTGCCCCTTCTGCGTCAACATCGCAGCGTTGGGTCCAACGTTGCTGACATCGCTTCTGAATGAGCCAAAGTACGAATAGCGGCCGATATAAGAAATACGATCGAAATATTCGGCGGACGTGTTGTAGAAGGACTGGGTATCAGAGAGCGACTGATTGTTGAGAGCATACTCGGTGATCCAAATGCTCTTGTTTTGGTAACTATTTCAACGGTTAGGAGGATTTATTGATCTAGAGGTCAGGGGAGAACGTACGTTCCAGCCACCTGGCCGACGTGGGAAGCCAATCCCTCGAAATTCCCATACCAATGAACTGGGAAGAAGTCCGCAGTACAGTTCGTCCCTTGGCTGTGGCAGGCATCGAAGAACATCTGTAACCAGGTGAAGCCTGACGGGCTGCCGGTCACCGCGGGAGCACCCGTCTTCACGCCCAATTTCCGCAGAGGCTCAACTTGCGAGATCCAGTTCGCTGCTGCTACCGCCGGTTGGACGTTGCTTCCTCCAGTGGACGATGTTCCGTCTGGTTCATTATACGTCAAGATATGCGTGATATTCCTCCCTCCTGATATCATGGATTTAACTTGAGATAAGAAGGTGGTGGTGGGTGACCAGAGCATAGGCACGAACTCGAATTCGCTCTGTGTGCGGTTGGAGTATGCCGGTGAGGGAGCCACTTGGTAGTTGTAGTACCATGTCAGATCACTGTTGCCACCAACCCATATTTGGTTGTCCGTAGGGTGTTTTTCGGAAGGCACGAAGACCAGACCCCGTTTCGAGGAGCGTGTAGCGGATGTGAGGGTTGCTGCTGCTGCTGCGAGCAGGACGGTCGCAGAGATACGCATGGTGAAGTGTGGTATTGAAGAAGGAGCGTGTGGAAGGTCGGAAGGGCTTGTTGTGAGCTCTCACGGCGTCTTTCTCGAAATCGAAGAGGAAATTAGTGGTTGCAGGTTTTATTATGGGGGAGGCTGCATCCAAGACTCGAGATCTTCGCGGGGGATCCAAATCAGGATTCGAGGAATGTCTCGATACGAAAAGGGAATGGAGCGCTGTGACTGCGCACAGAAGATGATGAAACGAATGTCGTGAAGCAAAGACAGACAAAACTACATCGCGAGAAAGAGAGGATGTGCAGAGAGGATGGAGAGGACTGCCAATATGAGAAGAGCTAGCTGGGCTGCACGCAGCGGCGCGCATGTTGGAGTTGGCGTCCGCCGTCTGCCCGTGTTCGGGATGTGCGGTCTTGTTGCCACCAAGTTTGGTGGATTCCTTAGGGCCGCCCAAAGGAGGATAGTCCGCGCCAAGAATTCCAAAAGAAGGTTGATTTGGAAGCCTCACGAGGCCCCGCAAGCCAAGCCCCCCCCCTTTCGAACCACAAGAGTGACAATGTTCGAGACTCAGATTGAGCCCGCCGTTGTATTTGATTATTCTTCGAAACAACAATTCTGTAGCAAAGGCCACAAATGAATGAAGCTGGGCATTTCGAACCGCAACCTTTCGTGCATTTTTAAGTGCTGACAGAGATCGTGGCTGGTTACGGATGTATGCAAGTCTGTGCCCATTTTGCTGCCCCTGAGAGGCCAAGTTACTGGCTGGCTGCGTTGGAGAGTTCACAGGGGGCTCCAGCTGGCGAACATGGTCTGTAAGGTTATTTTTAATTTTATATACGCGATTACTTAGCGGGCCCAAAATTTGTGGAGATGTTTGTGGAACGGCGGCTCGCAGAACGAAGCTAGAACGAAGCTATCGAATTCCTTAGCCGGCGCCTTGCTTTAAGATGGGGCCCAGCCCCAGCGCTGCAGCCTCGCTTTAGGTCCATCCACGAACTGGTAATTTACAACATGACTTGTGCGAGAGATCGGATGAAACAGTCCCGAGGCCGAGTGTCCAAGAAATAATATGGAAGTGTGATTGGTTGACAATTGCGAGCACCTTGGACAATTAATTATTCGCCTCATAAAAGACCGGGGTGGTGCCATCTTGTGTCATGAAGATCTTTCCATCTTGAATCTTGATGAACGATTTTGAAGTCAATGTTGATACGAAAATTCCGCGTTTTTCCTTAGTACTGTAGCTCTGAAATTCAATTTTTACAAGTGCGGATTCTACAATGTTTCTGCTTTTGTTCTGTTTTCATCAGTCCACTCCATTCAGACCTTTTCGTACAGACCCCGTCGTTGTCCTCAAATCCCGGGAACCTCACCTCAAGTCGACAATCGGTCAATACAGCTCGAGTGATCCTCAGCACTTTCTGAGTGAGAAGGACTTGATCTTTGGTTAAATTCGGATCTCTTCGTCGACTTTACGCAAGATTCACTGGATGCAGCCTGCCAGAAGCTGGAAGTATAGCAGAAACCACCCGCATTTCGTCTCCACGATTATTGGGCCGCCTTACATTCATAGTATGATGGCTGGGAAGTTTATCAAAGAAATAGGAACCTGCACCACCGTCTTTCCCATTAATATAAGAGAGTACTGCAGAAACTCAGCTGTAACTCAAAGCAGGCAAGAAGAGATGACGGATGTTAGCAAGGAAGTACCGAGTTGTCTGAGATTTAAAATCAAGTCTAGCGGTTTGATGACTGTCATGTTTCGTTTCACTTAGTTTCAGAGCGGGCAAAGTTGTTGCAGCCTCAAGGGACGATGAAAAGACTGCCTGGAGCTCGCCTGCCAACACAATTCGTTTTCGCCTTTTACCTACACGGTCAGTTGTTACCAATCCCACGGAGCTGACAGCGATACTTTTGAGCATAGCGTGGGTGCGGAGGCGGTATTGAAAATGATACATGAGCAATTTTTTCGCGATCACAGTACAGTGCATTATATATACAGATAGACATGGTTATAGTGGCATGGGATTTCTGTTATTCTTTTAATGTAATCATCCCGCCTGGGCAACAATACGGTCACTGGATTTCACTTTCGTTGCGATCCCTTTTGCCCTCATCCTAAAAGAAATGGAACACTAAGTGGAAGGAATTGCTCTGAAGAAATCGGTGGGGTTCGAGTTGAATCCATGATCAGCTGGATGAGAAGAATGGCAAATTGAAAGCCGATGAACACCAGATCTAATTTTGACCGTAATCCCCAAGGGGAACTCCAGCTGGAGACGAAGAGGATGCTTGACCAATAGCGGGCAACAGATGGAAAGTGGACATATTCAGGGGTCTTCGCTAAAAACGGCGACGCTAGCTTAATTTTGGGGTGAAGCTTGTCTTGTCCACATACTTCTTCCCCACTCATTGTCGCAAGGTGGACGGTCTCCGATGTTTAGAAAGATGAACTTGCTCAAGATGTCGGCTTCTCTTCAATTGAAGATTGAGAGACTCGAATCTCTTACCCTGGTATCGAGTGTGCAGCCGCGTTCTCTTTGGCATCAACGCGACAATGAAGACGAAGCTAGATAAATCGCATGGCAGCGGCAATCCCTCGAAATGGACCTGGAAAGGCACTGTCGAGGTGACTGACAACTTCAATTTATCAAACGCAGAAGAAGGGTGCTCAGAGATTATATTTGATTACGAACATGCAGTTGGAGGTTTACCTTTCATTGAGACAAGTTCAGTAGTGAGCAATGGCGGGGTTGTTGAGATTGAGGTCGTTTTCAGCGAGACGTTCGCTGGACTGCAGAGTGAAACCGGTATGTTATGTCGTGTGTACTTTTGAAAGGGGCTGATTTCTCGCAGGTGACGGACCCTTCTTCTTGTTCTCGAACGCCATGGATACCTACAGAGTCCACACACAAACCCTCGAGCCCTCCAAAGTCCGAAAGCTAATTCACTTGCCGTTTGCCCAGCGATCCCAAAGGTATCAAAAAATTATACTGAAGACACCCAATTCATCGGTTTCTATAGCCTCTCTTGGATGTACCCATACTCGCCCTCCTAATCCTACGGTGAATACATTTTCTTGCTCAAACGAGAAACTGAATAAGATATGGACAGATGGTGTGCGGACAGTGGATGGGTGCACTGTTGAGGCGGAAGAAACTACAGAGGCCTGGGAAGTGACTGAAGAAGGTACTCAGATATTGGGACAGCATTGGGCACCATGTCGGCATGGCACGAGATGGGGAGACACAACTGTGGATTTCGAGGTCAAAATCGAGAAAGGAGGTGCAAGTTGGGGAGTTCATATGGTAGCCAACGGGTTGATCTTCTGTCTGGACATTGCAGAACGATCACTTGCAGCTTTTGAAGGACTTTCGGATACGAATGGAGTCTTTCCCTCCATCCCCCGAGGACAATGGGCTATTACTGAGGAGTTGGATCTTGAAGACTGGATCTCAGTCAAGACAGTCACAAAGGGGTCCTCAGTTTCAGTGCAATTAAATAGGATCGAAATATCGACTATTGGAAATTTGGATATTCATCCGATTTTGGGCGGCAGCGGTAACAATACTGGCTCGGTGGCTTTCGGTGGACCCCAAGGTTATATTTCAGTCTTTCGGTCACTACAGGTGACGGGCTTTGCAGGCCAAATTCTTTACAGAAACAACCTTCTCCTCGAAGACAAATCGCGGACCTTCACGGATTTCGCTGTTGGAACCAATGCTCTGGCATGCACAATTGATGGGGCCAAACGAGACCGGGCTCTGTTTGGCGGTGATTTGTTCGTTATGGGCCGTTCTATCTGTTATTCAACGGCCAACATGGATGCGATATTGGGAAGCATCAAACTCCTGACCAGTCATCAAACTGAAGATGGATATCTGGGAAATTTATGCCCAATTCAAGCCCAGGTGTACACGGATACTGAAGAACCTCCAACATATGCTTTTTACTCTCTGAGATACGCTTTGCTTCTGGTTGTAGCCATTAAAGATTACTGGATGCATTCTGGGGATATCGCTATTATACAGTCAGTATGGACAAGGCTCGAGAAGTTGATTGCTTTCACGGACAGGTTTACAGATGCAAGAGGGCTTGTTATGGCACCACCTCCCCTCTCCAGTAAGCGCTCTATATTAACCCCATCATCACCAAAGTTAACAATATCAGTGGACTGGTTTCCGATAGGAGGACCGATATTCGGTGCTTCTGGGAAGGTCAATCTCGCTTTCTACGATGCATTGAGATCCATGAGCAAGATGTGCAGCGCAGTTGATATCAAGGATACTTTCTCAGCTCGAGCAGATCTTCTAAAAGATAGCCTCCTGTCTCACCTGTGGAATGGCGAGGCTGGAATAATGCGAATGAGTGACATCTCTTCAGAAACAGGTATTTGTCAAGATATAAATGCGTATGCAATCACGACTGGCATCGCTCCGCCGCATTCCAAGTCGATAGCGACTTTGGCCGCACCAAAGGATTCCACACTGCCTCGTGCATTTCTAGGCATTGACCGATGGGACCAAAAGAAGGTCGTAAGCCCATATGCTTCAGGGTTCGCAGCTGAAGCTCTGTTCGAACGCTCGTGTGGAGGCGAGGCCATTGAACTTTTGGAAATGGTTTGGGGTATCATGGCAGATAGGACAAATCCGAACTATTCAGGAGGTCACTGGGAGGCCTTAAAGCCTGATGGAACCCCGATTACTGATGATACATCCCTCATGCATGGCTGGTCTACTTGGCCAGTCTATCTTCTCCCTCGTTATTTGGGTGGTGTCCAGCCACTTGAGGCGGGTTGGTCGAGCTTCATGGTCAAGCCCGTCCTCGCCAGTTTAGATACGGTTGATGTCCAGCTTTCGACACCAGCGGGCAAGATCGGCGTTCATTTAGACATCCAAGAGTGTTTGGGGGCTGGAGACATTAAGGTGACGGTGCCGCTTGGCTCTCATGCGAAGGTGTTCGCTCCAGAAGGATGGATCATTGTGCATTCGGAGGAGAACGCTGGGCCTGATTCATTGTCCCAAGATATTGTTGGACAAGAGGCAGAGGTAATTATTAGAATACGCCTTGTCAGCGAAGATCTTGAAGCATCGGACAACACTCCTTCAGAAAGGCGGAAACCGTCGAAGAAGTCTGTCAGTTTCGTCAATGCTGAAGAGACTGAAAATATTTCAGTCTGTGGGGACAAAAAGCTCCACAGAAGTTCGTTCAAACAGTCTAACATACTGAAACGGTTGCATAGATGGCTCACCTAAATATATTATAGAGTTTTCATCCAGACATACAAATCAATCTCTGCCTCCAGCCATGGTTTCGAGAAGCCTATTGAACACCCCTGTCAATGCGGGGCAAGTGGACGGGTCGCATCCTGGTCAGCGCGACGCTCCTCAAAAAGGCTGTCCACTTCCAACATCAAAATCCACCTCAGATCAGGACCACGGTAATGGTACACTACAACTCGGCCTAACATGGACCAGCACAGCCATGGACAACGCGGACATGTCCAGCAACCAGCGGCCTCTGTGGCCTATCCCAACCCGTCAGCTCTGGATCCCTCGGCAAAAGCACTCGAATCACGGCCCAGAGCACACTGGACCTCTGAAAATAGGCCAAAGGAAATATTTACCTGTCAACAGTGTTCCAAGATCTTCAACAGACGAGAAAATCTTAGTCGTCATGTGAAAACACGTAAGTATCAGTCCAACCCTTGACCATCACCTCATCCACGCCAAAAAGCCGTGAGCGAGAAGTTCATCGAAAGTCTACTGACAGCCTTCCTTTTTCAGATGATGCCTCACCCTCCCATTGTTGTAAGAAATGCGGTAAAGGTTTCTCGAGGAGTGACCTTCTGAAGCGCCACGAGGCTGGCCATGACCGGTGGGACCGTAAAGGCGTTGAAGAGCGTGACGAATCTTCCAAAAGGAGAAAAGTCAATGCTGATGTTGAATCTCCTTCATCGTCGTCGAGCTCCTCCTGGGTAGCAGCGAATATGAGTCATGTTCCTCCAACGCAGAAATCACCGGATGGCGGTTTCCCAGCTAGCAGTAATGTGCCCTCTGCACACTTATCTTCAACAGAAAGTCAACAATTTGGACAGCATGCGGCCGTTTCTCAGGGTTACCAATTACATCCCGGACAAGCACCCAATTATCAAGCTCGAGGTCATTTGAATCAAATGCAAGGCCATGCTCCCGCCCATTACCCCCTAACAAACGAGCAGATTTACAATTTCGATTCAATGAATACATCATTCATCCCATTCGACTTTTCATCATTTCTTCTCCCACCGGATCTGGAACCCCAACCTGGAAATGAATGGTTCTCGCATGACTTCTATTCCGCAATGCGTGAAAATGGGAATGACTGGTCTGGCCTTGGGGAGATGATGGAGCCGAACACTGTGACTCCTCACCAGGAATATGACAACAACTGGGCTCAAGGTCAACAGCAGTCTGCTGGGCAACTGCACGTTCAGCCTGCTCCTGGAATCACTCAAGACACACAAGAACGCTTAGATGAGGGCCAACAGGGGACAGGAGCATATATTAGCCGTGTATCTTCCCCGCCAAATGAAGCATCAGAAGAAGACAAATGGCCATTCCAATGGAATCCAAGCTCGACTCCAATTCTCAAAGCTCACGCCATCGAAATCCCCGACAGCCATCCTTTGTTCCAAGCCCACTACTCGCGGTTCGACATCTCCGACACAACTCTCCTCAGACTTCGAGCTTTTCTCAAACCACCATCTGGACGAGAATATCACCGATCTCAGAAAGGCTCTTTTGTATTGCCATCCCTACCTGTCGTCAATATCTTTATACGCATATACTTTGAACGGTTTTCTCCTCAAATGCCAGTCCTTCATCACGCGACAGTCAACACCAACGAGGATTTACCAGCGCCGTTGCTTGCTGCTATCATTATCATCGGCGCAATCTATTCTCACCTAAAGCATACACGGAGGTTCGCAATTGTTCTGTTGGACATTGTGAGATGGCATCTGCAAATAGCAATCGAGTGCGACAACAGTCTCATGAGAGACCCCATGATCATCTATGCTGAAGCACTTATATGCCATACCGGTCTCTGGTGCGGCAACAAACGAGCCTTCGAACTGGCAGAGGTAGTTCGCGGGTCTCTCGTCACCCATATACGCCGCGTCCAGTTCGGTGAACGATTAATTACGGCTGAGAGGGCTCCTTCACCCCAAGAAGGGAAGAACAACCTGAACCCAGAGTGGCGAGAATGGATCGTTGAAGAATCTCGAAGAAGGCTAGCATGGGTTGTGTACGCCATCGATTGTCAGTTTCCATCCATCCTCAATCTCCCATCCACCATCTCTATCGGGGAGGTGTGCAATCTCGGATGCCCTTGTGACGATGAGTTCTGGTTTGCAACGTCGGCCAAAAACTGGAAGAACCTCTTGGGACCCGCTTCGGTGCCACCATCGCGGTCCTTCTCAGCTGCTGTGGGACCCTTTATTCTAGAGACGTTAATAACTGGAGATGCGCGACTACAAGGTTCTGGGAGAGTGAGCAAGCATCTCCCCATACTAAATCTCAATCCCTGGAGTGCGTTTCTTGTTCTGTTGGCGGTTCAAAGTCAGATTTTCGAGTTCTCCCAGGACTCACTTATCACGAGGACGTTCATAGACGACGGGGAGTCATCGGATGAGGAAAATGGTTCTGGGCATGACAACGAGCCTGCCCAGGATGGTGGGTATGAAGGTGATCTAACGAGAATGCTGAGGAAGCTTAAGCATCGACGTCGATTGCAACTTGCAGGTATGTTTTCGTCAGCCTCGTTGTACTATCACTAACAAGGACAAGATGCTCTTGCTTCATGGGGCAAAGCATATCAAGCCCCCTCACATTCAAATACCCACATGTCATCCCGCCATTTTCACGCTTGCTCAATCATCGTCCACCACCTGAGCACAATCCTCCTCGACATTTCCCTCTCAGACCTTCAAAACGCCATCGGCAAGGAAGGCACAACTGGCTCCACGAGAGCATTTACCAAACTTACAAAATGGGCTCGTAAATCCCCTCAATTGGCAGAGCAAGTCGTTTGTCACGCTTTCAAAACTATTATCATGCTTGCTCCAGGCAAAGATAATGGGGACGGAGGGATCAGAAATATTGATACAGCGCCTTACAGTCTGGTCACCATCTTCCTGTGCCACATTGTGGTGTGGGCGTTCGCAAATGTCTCCACGCATTCCCAGAAACTGCAATTATTCTACGGGATTTCCAAGAACATGGAATTGCGATCAACAGCCTTTTTCTATACTTTACAGCGCAGTTTTGGGTTCGATGAACATGCAGCACAAAGACCAACGAAGACGGGTCACGAATATGAAGATCAGAATGAGCAGAATTCGACAGCAGCGGCAAATTTGATGTTCAGGAGTGCAGCGGAAATGATGATAGGACTCGGAACTTGGGGAGCTGCTCTGAATCTGGCTCAGCTGCTTCATGAGCGGGCTGAGATGTGAAGGGAAGTATCTACGCAAGTTGCATTCCATGGAAAGAAGCCCGGGATTCTTCGAGGAGCTCGGGAGGTCGCCAAACCATCTTCTAGAAGAAGCCACTATTCCACTGGACACGTTCCCGATGGTACCAACTCTGCGTCTCGGCAACCCTTCCCGAGGCAGTGGCCTTCGCCCCCTTGGACCAGAACAGTCCCCTAAACAGCCTATCCACCTCGCTTAAATTCCGAAATGCAACGAAAAGGGCGGAGTTCAAGCTAGTTCGAGTCAGCTTCCCTCAATTGAAGTCCGAAATGCAACGAAAAAGAACATGCCCCCCTTTCGTTGCACTTCGGTCTTCTAAACGAGGCTTCCCCCTTTTACTCTTTTCCAAAAGAGGTAGGAATGAGAACGTCGCTTAAACCAAGACTTGCAACGAAAGGGGGGAGGTTAGAGCTAGTTCGAGGGAATGTAGCCTCGCTTAAGGTCCGGAGTGCAACGAAAGAGAACACCCCCCTTTTAGCTGCATTTTAAGCGAGTTCCTGGTTCGAGCATTCCACTTCAGAGAAGGCAAAGGGAGCAACGAGGCAATTTGACTGTGATAGAAAGATAGGTATACGATAAATCCCTTGCCTAATTATCTTATATCCCAGGCTTAGAGGAGAAGGGCACGTTAGAATCATAAAGTATTATATTTAAAACCGAGGAACTGCTTTGCTCGTTTATAGCCAAAGACTAGAGGGGCCACATGATTACTTCTATCTTAGAAGTTAAACTAAGTAGTGGCTTTAAGATTAGCTCGAGTTAAGACTATATAAACAAGACACCTTATTGGAAGTTCTATCTCTAGCTTTGATAAAAGCGACCTAACAGGCAATTGTCATACTCTCTGCATTCCAACCTTCTTCTCCTTCCACTGGCGATCTTGTTAGTTTTCTCTTCAGAGGAACCGGGAGTGGAACTCACATTGAAGGCCACTTGGACATCCCGGAAGAACGGCTCTCCAACAATCCAGACATCTTCTAGCCCGTTGCCTCCTTCCATACTTGTCTTAAACCCCATGTTCGCCGCCTCGGTCCCAAGAGACATCCCCTTGCCCATCCTGGACTCAACAACAATCCCAAGACAATAGCCACTTCCGGATGCCATTCGCCCCAGTGAGAATCTCCCTCCTGGCGAGAACGTTCCCTGTTCTCTTTTCCCTTTGAGCACCTCCACATTCCAGCCCGCAAATTCGAAGTGTATCTTTGGTGGGTTGAAACACGGATATGCATGGAACTGATCATATGGAGGGGGTAGTTGTCTGCTCCACGAGACTGACGAGTAAAATGCCCTCGCAGCAACCGGAGGTGCGAGGATGAAAGGTGTGTTAATCTGTTAAGCGTTAGTTTTGAGGAGTTGCCAATCTCGATAATACTCGCATCCAGAACAATTGGTTGGTTCTCTAGGACTTTACTTCCATCCACCCAAATGCCTCTCATTAGAATCTGCCACCACCCCTCTGCGCCTTGCACCTTGCTCCACTTCCATTCATTCGCCGACAGGTCTGCTTCCATTTCGATGTCAGCAGCCGATCTAGAAGCCACCACCCCATCTCTTTTCATCCCGTGATTTCCAGCTCGAGCCAGCTCATCGTCCGTCTCCATCTTCGCTCGTCGAACTGGTGGAGCTGATGTCCCTCCAATGCTAAATATGCCATCCTTGCCATTTATCAACACTAGAGACCATACCGGAGTGTTGATAACATTCTTTTCAATCATCTGCATCATTAAGGGGACTGTTTTCGTCTGGCTGAGGACTGTGGAGGCTGCTAAACCTAAGTATGCGCCGGATGGTAGAAGGGTGCTGACCCATTGCTTCGCTGGCCTGCAAAGCGCAAAAGAAATAGGAATCGATCGTTTGATTGTTGGTAGATGGATGATGTCTTTTGGCTCACGGCAGGTTGGGACCGATAATGGTGACTCGGCATCAACTTGAACTCTGTCAGCTCAGGGACATCTAAAGGATAGGGATGTCTTGCCATATGTTTTGCTGTTGAAGTCTAGATAGAAAGATCCCTTTCCACTGCTGGTAGAGAAGATCCACCAGTCTGCGGTCAGCATATCAAGATCCATATCCACCTCCTGTATAGGATCTCCGATATGCAGACTGGCTAGCCAATTCCCATCTCGACCGACGTCTCCAAGCAAAGTTGACAAAGCTTGTGTACCATGCGGACGCTTTGGTTTACGCACCACCTTGTTGCCAATGAAGTCGCGCGTCGTGGAATTGTACCGTTGCTCCACCACACGAAGCTGCTCTAGAAGATATGTCAAATTCGCGATATCTGGCGCAGGAAAGCTGCCACCGCGTCTTGAGATTGTGTAATGAATTGGTGGAAGATGCTCTAAAGCAAGAGAGCCCAGGGTAACGAGAGCAAATGAAAGATATCGCATCATATCAATTTCATATAGTTGCTTGCAGAGATGCTGGTGGCAGCGAAAGAGAACAGTCGTGCAAGAAAAACGGAAGACGTGGAATTTTATATTCAGGGAGAAAATAAATTGGCGGGGCGCGTTCTGCAAGTGAGGGAAGGAGCCATCCAAACTACACCTCTGACAGATTTTGGAAGGAAAGCCCCGTGGTGGATTGCCAGCTCAATTGCAATTCAAATGATATTTTCTTTAATAAAAAAATAATTTGTTGAAATGAGATGGATGGCCCACGCTCGTGATGTTGTCCTCTTTCAAAAAACTCATCACTTGATGCAACCGATCTTTTCAGTGAGTGCGTGAAGTAGTGTAAAACGGCTCAGTTTTGAATCGTTCATAGCACTGAAATGCAGTATTTCCATCGCTATTGGGCCCTCGTTGCTATGCCATACTCCAATGAATGCTTGGTGCGGGAAAGCTGTTTTCAGCCTACTTGTGCCTTCGGCCCGAGTTTTAGAAGTCTCCAGTCATCAATCTACCTCCATTTGCACCAAAGAATATCCCAACCCCATTGGTAAACATATGGACAAATTAGAAGGTAATATACAGGAGAACCCCATGCACCATTGAAAATCGTCACTCGTAACACAAAAACTTTTTTCTCATCTCCTCTTCACCGCGAGATTCAGGCAATCCAAAACCTGGAAGTATGTTAGCAATACGTCAAGTCTATGCTAGCAAGCTTGATACTTACTCCTTCAGCAATAACACCTTGGTTGTGCAGATGTTTGCTGATTCCCTTGACAAGCTCCATCTGCTCTTCAAGAGTGAGACCAGTGATGGCTGTCTCAATAACTCCACCGAGGGATACCTTGTACACCGCAATGAAACTGTGATAATACATGTATGCAAAGAATCCCATAATAAATTGACAATCCATGCGATCCGTGATTCCACCGTGCCCGGGAATGGAGTCCCCAAAGTCCTTGATTTTGAAAGTCCGTTTGAGACCAGAGGCAAAGAAGCCACCGAATGGGGCAATAAGGGAGGCGAATGTTCCAAATACAAGGATGTGAATCTGCATTGGTGCCATTAAGAAGGACTTGACGTATGGAAACCAGATTGGAAGGTGGTAAAGGTGAGGTATGAAAACGGGATTGGGTGTGCATTCAAGCCCGGTGAAAATGTTCGCTCCGAGATCCTAGTAATTGTTAGAAGATACATAAGGGTTCGGCCGTAGTCTTACATTGACCGGGCATATGAAGTATTTGTATCGCATCAAAACATTCGTCATGCCAACTCCAAAGATAATTGTCAAAATCCAAGCTCCGACAAATCCTTCGACGGTCTTCTTGGGCGAGAGTTTGATGAGTTGTGTACGGCCAAATGTAATACCACAAATATAGGCAAAAATATCGTTGCAAATGACCAGAGAGACAGGTAGGAAGAACCAAATCATTCCCTCAAAGACATTATTCATGATAAAGTGCGCCTGAACCACAATAAGGTACAGAGCCATATGTGTCCACGCGAATTGGGTAAATTGAAATCGATAATGGCCCGCTTGCAAGGACGCAACGAAGAAGACGAATCCTAGAATTTGTCAGCCCCTGAATATGATTTTGCCGGAAGTCCAAGTACCTATAACGTAGAGCACAAAGCTGATAAATCGATGATGGGTCGCAAAAGGCAAAAGCACTTTGTCGACCAGTACGATGTGCTTAAAATAGTAGATAACGCTCTCGCCGTACAGGAAGTACATTGTTGTCGCCAGCCAATACCAATTCAGAGCTTTTGTAAACCGTAGTCGCCGGGCTCGACTGGGGACGTTCGCAATAGCAATAACCTCTTTGAAAGACACGATCTGAATTGCAGTAACGATCGCTATTATGTAGATGTGTCCCGCGAACATGGCACCGAAGAATCCGCCTATCATAACAAATGTCCATATCGATCGAGTGATAAATGTTTGTTTCTTCTTCTCATATTCGGATGCTTGGGTTTCTAGCGCCTGGACGAGAAGTTAGCAGAAGTACTGAGCCCTGCGGCCTAGATATCATACTTCTGATGCAGCATTTCCATTTGCAGCTTTCAAAGGGGAACCTGGCTCTGAGGCGGCCTCGCTGATGTCGGAGAAGCTGCTTCTTCGTCCATCCACACTCGTACTGCTGCCATTGCGGTGGTTGAACTTGACCCCACGTCGAGGTTTCGCCATTGCCACGGTTCGTTCGTACTGTGAAAGAGAATCAACGTATTCCTGCGTCTTCCGCCGAAGACTTGAGGCGCAGAGTCTGAAATGCCAAGGTTGGGTGGGGAAGTGCCTATGCGCTCTTGTGCACACTTATGTAGCGGACTGGAAGTACCTGGCGAGTGTAGATGGAGGGAATAGTAGGTCGAAGGCACGAGTAGGACTTCGGAGTCGAGCTGTCGTGGTCGTTAGAAGGTCGCGGCGCAAGCTGTGTTGTGCAGTGCTGAGCTTCGTCTGACGTATTCCTTGGAAACCTGGTTGATTTGTTTTAGGGGCTTGGGAGCTTGTGAAAGTCGCGTTGTACTGTTGGCCCGAGAAGACGGCGGAATTAGTTGGGCATCAACTTGATTTCATACAGCCACCATCAATGGGTTCTTCTTTGTCTTGGTAGGATTTCATATTGTATTTATCAAGTTATAGGACCAGATATATGGCATATCTCAAAAAGAGGAAACCGGAAACATAGGAAGTCCAGCCCGGAGCCTTTCTTCTCCGATCCCGAAGGCTCGTACCTTCCTCACCGCCTTCTGGCAGAACACAGTCGTCCCTTGACACATCTAACGCGGGACAACGTCTTTCATGTTTGGAGTTTCCAGCTTATGAGAAGACAGCCAATGAATGCTCAATGACGACTTTATGGGATGGCGGGCCATGATGATGGAGAGAGTAACTATGACGATGATGATCTGGATGATCTTCCCAGCGACGCCCTGATAGAACTCGAGAACAATGCCATCCAGTTTACTCAGGCCCAACGTGTGAAGGCGGCTCCTTCCTCGGATTACGGTGATGACTTTGAGGATGAAGACTTGGACGATGCGGTGGTAATTGATGAGTCACGGAGTACACCAGCTATCGTTCCAACCCTTCGGCAAACTGTTCCGGGACCAGCAATCCAGCATGAACAGTTTCGGCAGCAGCGCTATGGGATGGCCAATAATTCTAATCTGGCAAACCGACAACGATATAACCCCCCTCCAAAATTCAACGAGTCGAGCCGTTTGCCAACGGAACCAATTGTTCAACATGCAGACAAAGTGGAGCAGGGAACCGGCGAGCAAGCTGCTGGATCCGATGTTTTGAGCTTGCAGAGACAAGTCGAGGAGGTAGTGTCTCCCAACCTCAATTGTTTGCCTGATCTCACAATTTCCAGTTGCTTAGAGAGCGAAATGCCCTCAAAGAAGACCTCAATGCTAAGGCAGGCGAAATTGCGATCGTCCGGAGCAAACAGGAGAAAACGGTGAAGGAATACGAGAGGGAAATGGCTGTTCTTCGAAAGCTCAACGAGGACAAACTGGCGAAGCAGCAGAAATCCCTCGAGGCGGCCCGGATTGCGGAGAAGAACGCTGCAACAGAGCGCGATTTCATAAAGCAGGACTTGGCAGAGGAATCGGAGCGGGTACGGAGGCTGAACAGACAAAAGGCTGCGGAAAAGAAGGATGGCCCGAGTGTGGTGACGACGCCCAAGAAAAAGAAGACCTTTTCACATAGGGATGGATTTGATGATGACGAAATTGAGATTCTCTCGCCGTCAAAGATCTCCCCATCAAAATTTCAGAAGCGAAATATTGGGTCTCCTTCCAAACCAGGAAAACGAAAACGGAAAGCTGCTGAGAGTCCTGCTGGTGCTTTGGAAGTTATTCAAATCGATGAACCATCCGCTGTGGTGCCAGATCAGAAGGCTACGGTTCTTGATGAGGCCATCATTGCGAGTTTACAGATACAAGACGACAGATTTGATGTGAGCCCACGTTACCTTGTCATGAGAAGCAAACGCTGATAAAAACCAGTTTATTGGGACTATGCTAGATCATCGTATCGATTCCAATCATCTTCGAACTCTAGAAGAGTTGGGGAAACACTCTTTGCCATCTGCGCCGAAAGAGTCTTTTCAGTCGATAATACTTGGGCGGATACCAGAGCTAGGAGTTAAGAAATCTTCAAAAGATCTCCCCATCGACTTTTGCGAGCTGCTCGTCTCCATCTGGAAGAGCTGCCTGGAAGAAAAATATGTACGTGACCAAATCTCTGCCTGAATTTTTTTTTTTTTGCCTGACATGCTTCAGTACAAACCAATATATCTCTTCATGGACATGCTTTCCTTTGCTTTGGAGCTGAAGACCTCATTGATAGCCCCTCATATAATCGACTCACTTGTTCCGGTCACCCAGCTCACCGCTGACCTGATGGTCATACCACGATTCCAAAGGTGGCCAATAAAAGAATTTGAGAATGATATCGATGTAGGCGTCTGCATGTCTATTCTTTATCTTGCAGCACAGGGGTGTACATCCTGCCCGGAACATATTACCCGATTTTGGAAATTGTTCCGCTATGACTTCATTCTCATGCTGCTGAGCACAAATCAACAACAAGCAGATTTCGAGGTCATGCTACAGCTACTCTCAACCAGTGTGTTTCGAGACTCTTTCGGGGCTATACATGTCGATGTTCCCCAGGATGGCCAAATCAGCTGGATTCTAGATCGTTTTTCGTATATCCTTTACGAGGTACCGTCTTTACCAATGAGTAATGACAAATTTAATCTTGTCGTTCTATCAAAAATGCGGATCCAGATTCTGCAGCTGCTGACAAGCATGACTCGGTCTCCGTTTGCTAGCAAGGCTGTGGCAATACATCCGCTGGTTATTGGGCGACTTGTCAGCCTCATAAGTGATGAGCTAGATCTCTTATATGATTATCAGCCTCGACATGAAGAAAGGTATGTCGTTGCACCATTCTTTCGAAGCAAGTGGCTAACCGTTCCAGTGCGCGCATAATAAGCTTAGCAGTACGGCTTTTATACCATCTTGTTACACGGTATGACAACATGATAGACATGCAAAAGAAACTGGCCGTCATCCCGGGCGGTTCTCAGAAACACCTCCTCTGCCTCTCGAGATTAAGCTTCTCGGAAGATAATTTAGTCCTAGAATCAGGAATCGGTGCCGACGTTGCACAATGTGCCATGGATATGTTAGACATGTCTATCACTCCCGAGGAAGGCGAGGCTGTGCAGTCAGCCTTCACGAGTCCATGAAGTGTACGAAAAAAATCGTAGATGTGGTAATCGACAGTGGCGTAGGAGTTAGGCATTACATGGGTGGCCTTCTTGTGGTATTTCGAGCATGTTAGAGTCATTGAATGAGTACGTTGCATTCCCATTGTATTGTACGTAACATCATCCAGGCGTACAAATACAACTCCCCGTCGTCGAAGGCGCTCCTCCAAGGTTCCCACTAATGAACACGACCAGCACTGCTGCATAAGCAGCGGTGGCACCGAATATCTAATCTCGCCGAGCATTTGTCAACAATCCTACGCAAGCTGCGAACAATACAGTCCACCCACTCAACATGCCCAGCAAAGCATGTTTGTTTTGCACAATATACAAGGAGATTATCGCCCCAACCAAAGCACAGCCGCAAGTACGGTGCTGAATATTGCAACGAAATGCGAGATTGACCGTTCGGAAGTGTAGGTCGTGCGGCCATCAGGAGCACTTGTCTGGGAGAAGAGTCCAAAGTTGTTTTGAATGAACTCAGAGAGCCGGTCTTGATCAGCTGGGACTCGCAGAGCGACTAGGTCGTGCAGATCATCGAAGATCGTTGCACTTGCTCCCCAAAGTCGGGGCATTTTGTCTCCGGCAGGTTTACCAGACGTGTTGTGTTGTTGAAGAACCAGTTTCGCAACGCTTTGATTGTACTATTTGAGGGCGGTTGACTGTTTAGGAGAAGTTGGTGGGCTTCTAGCGCCGCATCTGTCCATTCTATTAGCGATGCAGATTTCACAAGCTGAGGTCCACCTACGGTACTTCTCTAGCTTCTCCCTAATTTTCATAGCCACCCCCATCTTCTCCTTCTCTCTTTTCTGCACCATCCCGTCCTCCTCACCAGCATGCTTTTCGAACTCGCTCCAGTCCCTCTGGCACTCTATACTCGCCAGATCCTTCGCATTTCGATCCACTTCATCATATTCCCTCGGCGCACCTCAAGCTCAGTAGCTCCGCCTGGTAAAAGAGCAAATTCCGCGCGGACAGCTCGTCGAAGCGTCGGTATATGGTCATTATTTTGTCAATGTCACTATCTATTTTAGAGGCAACCAGTGCGAATCCTCGGGTAGGACTCTCCGTACTTTGGGGCGCGAGCTCGATGTCGACGGTCGACATGATTGTTCGTGTTCTGGAAGGAGCTTTTGAGGTTGAAGAAGTTGTTTCAGGAATTGAGGTGGGGTGGAGACAAGTCATTGGTAGGATAAGAATGAGGCTGCAGAAGTCAGCCCGGCTATATGCCTTGGGCGTGCACCAATGCCCTGGATCTTATCATCCTTTGCAAATCCTTCTCTTCAAGGTCGTCAATATTAGTATGGAAGAGCAGAGAATCGAAACGGCCCGTCTGCTCGGAGAGAGCGGTGGCAGAGAGAGACAATCACCGTTTCTCGGTAGATCAACTCTCTATTTCGCGTCAACTGGTGTGGATGACTGCGGTGGAGGGGTTCCTTCGTTGGGAGTAGCATCCCATAAAACGTTATCGACATCATCTCTCACTTCTATGCCACAAAGATAGTCGAAATGTCTACCTTCACACTCCCAGATACAGATTTATCAGCCAGACTCGTGGACAATCTCACGAAGGAGCAACTTCTCCGATTTTGTCGGCTTCAAGGTAAGTCCCTTTCCCAACATCCTTATCGCAAGAATAATATAGCCTCACCATCTTCCTTAACACAAGCACTAACAATGGTATAGAACTGGATCAAGCCTTTCCAAACCAACCCCTCTCTGGGCTCTAACGCTCCATCGTCTGGGTTTTTGAGGCCGCATTCCTCGTTCTGGACACGTGCGTATTCAAAGACAACGAATTACAAGCGCAAAGCTCTGCGTTGTCTAATTGGTGGATCAGAAGAATGCTTTGCTCGACCAGATTCTGCCTCGGATAGGGACATCGTCGCCGAGATATTCGCCGAAGAGAACGGCAATCCTGTTCGGCGTGGAGACGAAGACAAAAGCTTCTTCCAGCTGGGAAACGGCAATGTGATACAGTCAGTTGGGAGAGCCTTGGTGCCGTTGAGATTTTTCGGCGATGGCCGGTCCACTGAACCTCTCTGGTTCGATGTTCTTGCAAAGTGCCCTGTCCCTTTGATTTTGGGTTTGAACTTCATTCGAACATTTAATCTCTTCACCGAGTATTAAACACCTGCTGGTGGACTGTCCGTATAGCTTTGGGGATCTGCTCGCTTTGAAGTGGGTCGGGTCGCCTCAAGAAAGAATCAATTTCATCGCAGACGGAAGGTCTCTTACTGCCGGCGCTGATACAGCGTCTGATCTTGACTTGATGTCTTGGGAATGTGCTCAGAGAAGAGGGTTTAAGATCGACACTAGCGAAAGTGCACGCACCCAAGTGTTTCTAGCCGATGAGATGATAGTCGAAACATCGGGCGAGTCCGCATTTCCTCTCTTGGGCTCTCCCAATTCGACAGCTTCGGCATGTCTTTCCACGTCTTGCCTGGCCTTCCTTGCGACGTTATTTTTGGCGAAGAGTTCTTGGAGCAAATGGATGCATTCAACACTTGCGACATGGTACGTGTGGACGAGAATGTTCTTCATAGCTTGTGTCCTTCGATCAACCTTGGTCCTATTCAAGCGTTCTTGACCAGAAAGTGGGCGTCTAAGACGAGTGACACGGTGCAGCAGGAGCATGACAAAGCTATTGAGGCCGAAATATATCGCCGTAACAAAGCAAATCGAGCACTGGCGAAAATCAAGGACGGGATCAGAGTTGCTGCTGCAAGCAAGGCCCAAGAGGCCAAGAGAAGAGCTTTTGATGCTGGGCATTCAACATGCATGCACTGTATTGGAACCACGGAAGAGAACCTTCAGGAGAGTAGTGCTGAATTCTGAGACCCTTTTCAGCGACAGCAGACTTTCACATTTGGTCATCTCAGCAGACGGAATGACATTATGAATTTTACTTCGGATTTTTTCTTTTTCTAATGTATACCAACTCGCATTCCTCCAACTGTCTGACTTCGTCTCACGCAACCAAGCTTGGCCCTTTCGAAAAGACATTCTCTGGATCATACCGCGTCTTCAATTCCGCAAGTCTCGGGAAATTCACGCCAAATACAACCTTTCCTCCTTCACCAAGAGCTGTCAAGTGTCAGACAAATACCATCATGCGGAAGTAGGAGGAACACATACAATCGTAGTTTCCATACTCACCCACGGCCTGCTGGGTCTCAGCATCCGTGCCCTTCGCCTTCGCTTTCTCCAACTCCGCCCTCGCCTTCTTCGACATAACTCTCGTCCACTCCCTACATGCACTGTCGTTCTTGGGGTCCGTCCATCCGGGCCCAAATACAAGATTCCCATAAGCACCACGATTCGCGAACGCGGTGGCAGTTTGCGGTACTTCAAGAATCTTGTTATAAGGCATGAATTCCCACCCCACGATCGTCATGATCGCATCAGGCACTTGAGTGATGAAAGCTTGATAGTCATCGAAGATTTCTTCGGCGAACTTGGTGTCGAGTGGACCGAGGAAAGCGGAGCCTTTCATTGTTCTGCGGGCACCATGGAACATGGCGCCGTTAAGCATCTCGTTCATTTTCGCGAAGGGGACGACGGCCGTCATGTCTGCCAGTGGACCGAGTTTGAGAATTGGCTCGTAGTATCCTTTCCCTTGCTCTTCTGTACCGTTGTAAAACAAAAGGGCCATTATCGCAGGCTGCATGGCTGGAGGGGGAGCCCCGAAGGCCACAAGCATGAATACTTTCCCACTTGTGTCGGTGAGCAGTTGATTTCCAAATGCCAAGACTTCGTGGAGTTGTGTCCTGGGGAAGACTACCATGCCTCCCCAGACAGGCTCTTTCTGTTCGTACGCTTGGTAGACGAAGGATGTAGCGACTCCGAATCCAATGCCTGCTCCCTTCGATGCCCAAAAGAGATCTGGGTTCTCGGTGGAAGAGGCCGTGAGGATACTCCCATCGGCAAGGACGAATTGTACCGAGAGGAGGTTATCTACCACCATTCCACGTGCTGCAGTCAGGTAACCATACCCACCTCCAAGTGTTAGGCCTCCTATTCCAGTGTGGTTCACAGTTCCTCCAACAGCTGCAAGACCATGCTCCGCAGCAGCGTTGTCAACATCAGCCCAGAGACAGCCTCCTTCAGCGGTGATTGTGTTGGTTTTGGGATCAACGGACACGTGACGCATCTTGGAGAGGTTGATGGAGACTCCTCCGTCGTTGAATTCGACCCGGAAGTCCCGTGGCCTCCGCCCATGACCGCTACTTCAAGGTTGTTGGCTTTGCTGAAGAGAATGGCTTTGGAAACATCTTCGGCGGTTGAAGGAAGGACAACCAGACCCTGGAACCTTTCAGTGAAATGCTGGGTGAAGAGATGGAGATGAACTTCTATATGGATAGAATGGGTGACTTACTGCCAGTTTCTCTGCTGCACTCGACCATCTCTTGATGCTCTCTTCGTAGCCTTCGGAGTCTGGAGTCAGGACTTCAGACGAAGAGGAGAGGCTAGCCTTAAGCTTCTCTACTTCTTGCTTGTCGATTGCCATTTTGCTTAGGATAATTGCTTTTGGGGTATAATAAGAATTGCTAAATCAATGATACCTCTCAATTCAGTTTGAACAGAAGTTTGGTGAGGAGACTTTCGGTGAATATATAGAAAGGTACAACACATTGTGGTCCTACGTTATGATCCTCCATTGAATGTGCACCCCGACAGCTCACATAAGCCACGGTAAGCGCCAACTTCTTCTCCACTAAGCCAAAGCCTCAGGAAGCTTCGGGCTTAGAAAAATAGGGTGAACTTTTAAAATGGCCTGATATTCGCTATACCCTGCTGTAGTACAGTACCAGTGAATTTGATCTACCCTTACTCAACCCCGCATTAATTAAGCTAATGAAAACAACTCCACCTAGCACAGAGCCTTCCAGCGCACCTTTCACTAAATTTGTAAGGCCACCTCGCCAGCTTCTAGCACTCCTTCCGCTAAGTCACAGCGCAAAAAGTATATCCTTAGTTATAACCTACCCTCTTTGTACCTAACTTCTATAAGAGATATATATATTAGGGGCTCTCACTGCCCCCCGGATCCCCGGGGAACCCTAACTACTCTAACCTTGCAATTAGATAAAGGGGCATAATACGCCAGAACTTGGTGAGGGGTATGCTAAAATTTAGTAGTACATACGCTACAGGATAGTGATACGTGCCCTGAAAGTCGCTATAAGGATCTTTAAGAAATCGCGATTAATCTACTAGCTAGCTTAATACAGCAGGTGGGTAGGGTAGATCAAATTCTATGATATGAGAGCAGGGTATATCAAATTTTAGGCCTTTTTAAAAAAAAGGGGGGAGATCAACTGAAGTCACACTAACTTGTGGAGGTTTTAGGCGAAGTTGGTAGGGCTGACAAGCGTTGCTGACTGGCAATTTCGCTGCGCGTACAGCCCCACACACCCTAGATTAGGACGGAGAGATTACTACTCCGGAGTATCCATGAAGCATACTTGTAAGCGCAAACCATCCATCGGCTATGAACAAGCACCTACGGTCCGTACGAGGACGTTGATTCAATATGGCACCGAAGTGGCGGCCGCTCGGAGCGAAATTGAGGAAACTATTCTTGATTACGCATCAGTTGGCTTGTGCCACCAGTGCCACGAATGTCACCAGTATCGCTTGTGGGCCGCTTGTCTCAGGTAATCGGGCGGAGCTGCGCCTCAGCTCCGAACGGAAGGTGAGCCGGCCAGCGAAAGCTCTCACCATCTCTCAAAATGGAGTGGCAAGGTTTGGAGCAGGAAGTCCGTTGATTTATGTTGAATCTGAATTTCCAGGCGGTCAAAATAGGTCCCTCATTGAGGTTGAAATAGCTGTCAGCCCTGCAAATTTAGAGGTATTGGCTCGCTTAAGAGAGCCTCCCCCTCATTCGACCAACAGAACGTCAATTCTATCTATTATGTTTCGTTAAGTGTCATAACAATACTTCCCAGGCCGAAGATTATGGGGATTAATGAAAACGAACAGGATATGACTGCTGCATTGGTGCTCGCTGTGACTGATGGGTGGTTGTAAGGCATCAAGTCTCAAAGCCTGAATCAAGAAGTTGAGGATACCATATTACACTGACAATTGGCTCCATGGTGAGTAAGCCTCTTTTGATTAAAATGGGTGTAATTGGTATGCCATATTCTAAGATTGTTGAACAGGGCTAGATGAATGCAAAATTTCGGGGAGGGGGTCCAGAGGCATTCGGGCACGCCAATATCGGCGGTCATCCGATCAGCCCAAATAGGTACTGCGTGGTATAACAATCATATGGACAACGTGGCTTGTGTAGCTAAGTTTACATTCAATATAGCCGACATTGTATAAGAGATCGTGTACCCTGAAATCCAGAATTGGTTCCAAATGGAGAAACTCGATGAGAGATTGATTGAGATGGGGTATTTTCCACGTGAATATTCTTTGCCACGCACGGTAGACGACGATGGCTCCTCAGAAAATAGATCTTGGGCGAGAGCCTGTATGTTCGGCCGTAAAGTCGGGCCGGGTAGGGGAGTGCTTCCTCCAACCGCGATCTCTAGCATCGATCACTGTATGGAGGCGAGAAAGACGCTGAGCTGAATAAATGCAGTCAAATTTGACACTACCTACAGATGTTTAGAAAAGAGTGACATCAAGCCTATCAGCCCCAAAATTGCCACCAAACCAAAACCAGCAGCCGATTCCTCCAACGCTTTGAAGTTATCGCTGCCAACTTGCTATTTAAACCACGAATCTTCTTAAACGAAAATCATCAGTGTAGATATCGAGAAGAAATAATTCCTTTGCACCGCTTAGGTGTCTGACTTTTGGCTCGTGGGAGACTCCCTGACTTGGCCGTGCCATCCGCAGCAGCCATTTAGGCATTTTCGGTGAGGTCGACTTCAGTATTCTCGACATCAGCTGAAGGACCGGCGGGGGCAACTGCTGCGGTTCCTGTGGGTCGAACTCTGACACTGCCACTTGGTTTCACGCGGGTACCAGTGGGCCGAACACCAGGGGTGCCAGTTGGGCGGGCATGGGGGTATGTAATCCGGTACGTGATCTCGTGTGTGATCCCGTGTGTGGTCCCGTGTGTGGTCCTGTGTGTGATCCGTGAGATTGAGTCTCTGCAGTTGGTGCCTCCCAGCGTTCAACTACCGCGGTGGATACTGGTGGTGCATCAAGACGGGTACGCGAGCCTGTACGAGCACCTGTTAGGAATTAGCGCCCCTTTGAAACAGATTATCGAGGAGCAGGGACTAGACTAACCAGTGGGTCTCACACCTGTAAAAGATCCTGTAGGTCTCATGCCTATTGGTCTCGCAAAGTTCCTGTGAAAGATCCAGTGGGACGGATGAAAAATCCTGTTCCGTGAGGACGACGGGTGAACGATCCTTTAAAATGTGTTAGGAACGTCTTGGGAGAATTTTTAAGATAGCCAGGGACTCGACTAACCAGTTCCAGTTGGTCTCACGAAGGCCCCTGTGAAGCTTCCTGATAGCATAGTCAGCGCCGTTCACTACTGTCGAGCTTGATTCGCACCTGGTGGAGGAAATTCTCCAGTGGGAAATCAGACAGGAGGTGCTCTTGCAATGAAGCCAAGCGTATCTGTTTGGCGCTTCTCCTCCAGGACAGGTGCTGCAGCGACAAGGCCGAGCAAGCCGGCGAAGACAACAAAACGCATTATGACGAGCGGGGTCTGAGTTAGAACTGAGTGTTGGTTTCTTCAAGGGGTATCGAGTTGATCTGGTCTACCTGTACTTCAACGATTGAGGTCGGAAAGGCCTCTACTTATGAATTCTAGACCCTGGCTTCATATATTTCTGAATAGAGGTCAAGGACAGCTCGACAGTTTACCGGCCAGGGTTTTCAAGCCACGGTTGGCCAAAGAGATTGCGGATAGCTGTAACCGCCATGGTGGCGGCCACATGTGGATGGAAGTTTTGTTAGGACGTTCGCTGGTGGAAAAATTTCCTCCTTCCATTTTGCAGATTTCGTCTAAAACGAAAGTCCATGGCTGGAGCTTTTCAAGATACCCTTGTGCTCAGGGGCGAGATGGAGTGGAGGAGTGTTTTGAGCCGAGGTAAGAGGAGAACGACAGTGACATTCTCAATATCACCCAGTGATAATGGGGTTTACCCATATTGCCATTGCCTTGTCAATGTCAAGAGAGAAGCACGCCACTAGGGGCCGATGTGGGGAAGAAAGTAATAATTACCTCGAGTTCGGCGAGAGGTATCATAATTGGAAATCGAAGTCCGCATCACAAGCTTCTCGGCCTTTCCCTGGTAATTGGATATCTGGGGTAATCTGCTGGGGCGTCTCGGTACGGGCTTTTAGCTCCGGTAGACGTGATAGTTGGGCTGATAACGACGCAGGGTGGACAGGATTGCCAAAACTTAATACTAACTACACCTTAAAGCTCCGTAACACGTGACGTTACAAATTTGCCACTGCAATACACGACTACAGCCGCGCGAGAGGCGGGGTCTAAAGGAGATTGGAGGAGGAGGAGGAGGGGTCCTCACACTATATCCGATGGATGTTTAGGCTCAGATCCGAACAAATGAAACAAAGATGCTTATCCATGTTGTCGCAAAAATACAGGCAGCGCATTTGAAAGTCCACTAGGTGAAGCTCAAACAAATTTTATAAGTGGAATGATGTTTCTAATAACATAGACTACATAGCTCGATGGTGAAATTATCTCCGTAATGCTGGATGTCCATACAGAGAGTCGGAATTCCTTGAAATGCCTTCTCTGCGACATTTGTCAAGAAGCAGATCCGTTATAAGGTTCCTCTTCGAAGGTTGCAGGAGCTCAATAGCTCCACAACTCTGAAATTTCTGACAGCCAAATAAAATTACATGTGGGGCTATTAAACAAAGCACAGTACAATGTAACCAGAAGAGAGCATCTTGCTTCTGAACAAGGCAGCTAGCTACAGCCTACAAGAAGCTTGTTCCCTGTGGCGATCGAGTTGCTATTTTCAGCACCATGCGTGTGGTTTGACAGCCGAGTATACAGCACCTGTATGAACAACGCCGAATCGCAAAAGATCAAGGCACCTGGAGGCCCACTCGGGCCATTATCCGGCCCACGATCCGACTATTCCTTTAGAAGGGAAACAAATAATCCGCCTCCGTCCACCCCAGGTCGGAAGGAATAGGGAAAGCAATCAATTCCAGGTCATCAGGATCAAGGATGAGAACGCAATAAGCTCGCGGTGGGAAAATTTCGCTCAGGGATAAAGGTACTTTGCACCTGACGTGACTGACGTCTGACCGTTGAAGTGACTTTTATATTGGTTGTCCTTGGTCTCGGGGCTCTCAGGTACAACACTACCAGGGGTGGAGGTCATACGAGTCCACGTCCTCTAGCAGAGAACGAAACATCTAGCGCAACACCATCCAATGCATGCATCCAATCCACGCTCGAATGGAGGCATTCTCCCAGAAAGTTGAACAAATCGCCGACCCTGTCATTTATTCCAATGGCGAATTTCACCCTCTGCCTTCGTCGCCAGCCAAATTCGTGTAACAAACGTCATCCCCTTCGTCCACCTCTGTCAGACGCAGCGCTTCTCCAACGTCATCAACAAAATGATCCTTGCCTCCAATGGTTTCAAGAATGCCACTTCTCTGGAAGAGCTCGTATACCGGCGTTCCCTCAAGGGGACCACGCGAGAAGAAGACACGAACCCCTCGCTCTCTGTACCCACGCACGATTTCCTCTAGCACTTGTGTGCCGGAACCGTCTAAACTGGTCACGCCATGTATATCGAAAATGATATTCTTATTGTGTTCCGGTGACCGCACCCTTGGCAATGCGGGGTGAGCGCTGGTCGTTCCGTAGAGTTCAAGTCTTCGGAGACGATTCTTCAGGTCGCCTGTGTTTGCAAACGTCAAGGGCTCTGGTATCTTCACGATCAAGCATCCTTCGATGAACTCCAATTTATCCGGGTTGTCCTCTGCATTCTCAAATCGGTTCGTTCCCGGTATCCGTCCTAATATTTGGATCCGAGGTCGCGTACTATGCTTGATAACGGAAAGGAGGGAAAGCCCCACGCCAATAGCAATGCCAAGAGTAAGTGAGTAGAATATTGTGGCAGCGAAGATGATGAACATCAGACCGAGCTCGGTCCAGCCACGTATTTGAATGAAGAATAATATATCATGTGGAGCTTCTTCGATGAGAGACCACGCAACAACAGAAATCATCGAAGATAGGACTGCTTTCTAAACCAAGGGGTTAGTTGGGCTCGAGATAGCTGAACCGAGCAAACTATACTTACAGGAAGGTAGTAAAAGGCTGGGAGCAAGAACAAAATGCAAATAATCGTGATGATACTGAGAAAAATACTGCTCCTAAACCACAGTGTTCGGATTAGTGGTGCCTAGAAGACCAATCCGAGAAAATGGGAAACTTACATCGGAGTCTTGCCCCCCGTGCTTGCGTTGACTTTACTTCGTCCGTAACCACCGAATGCAGGAAGAGCTGAGAAGCACCCACCAACAAGATTCGCAACTCCGAGAGCTACAAGCTCCCTGTTTGCGCTGAGTGCAATGCCCTGGATTCCGTCTTTCCCTTCCCCTCCGCCCAGACTCTTGGCTGCGACAGATGATTCGAAGAAACCCAAGAGCGCTATCAAGAAGGATGTTCCCATGGCCTCCCTCACGTGTTTCATATGAGAAACTTGAAAGGGCCAGTGGAATGGGAAGGGGTTCCCATTTGTTGTGGATTTTACTTCACCGAGTACTTCCAAACCCATTTCGTCCCATCTAAGCTGCCACGTCAGAATTGCCGAGAGCACAACGACCAGGAACCGGTCGGGAAAGTATGCAACGCCGGGATATCGAGGTTGAAGGCGTTTCTTTCCTTCCCGGAACATCATAATGGTTGCAAAGCTGATGCCCGCAACAGCACAGGTTATTGCAGAGGCTTTGTTGATGTTCCCAAAAAGAAAGCGCAACTTGTCAACCGAGCTTGCGTGGCTCACACCACCCACCTCTGAGGCAAGACCTTGCAGCCCCAGCTCTGGGATTAATTGATCAACAATGATAACGAATCCAATAGCGGAGATGAAGCCGCGAAGAAAGGGTCTTGAGAGAACGGAATCCAGGAATCCAAGTCGGGTAAGTCCTGCGATGAAGATAATCGCACCTGCCATCCCGGTAACCACACCAGCGACCCGGGCGTGTATCTATCCAGAAAATCAGTTCCACAAACCCGTGAAGATTCTGAAGGGGCTAAGAGCTTTGGGGCTGTCTCGTCTCCAACCACACAGTGCAGATGAAGGCATGGCGGCTCTTGGGACAACTCCTAGGCCGTGGTTGTCGTAAAGGAAAGATAATGAAATTTACCTCGTCATCGCCCTCGTCAGCCCTCCCATTATCCACGCTCGATTTGACCACCGTTCCTACCAACAGAGATCCAGCAGCTTCTGGTCCAACTACCATCCTGGACAGCCTCGGAGTCAGTATCGCCTCATGGAAAGGGAAATAGTTAGTCGTTGAGATACTCGAAAGGTCTTTCTAAAGGGGTGTGCATAGTGCAGAAAACTTCAAAAAACATTTCACATAGAAAATTGAGTTCGGAAAAATGGACCCACTGACTGTGGACAAGATCCGAGAATCGCATATATGATCTGCACTTTAATTAGCACTCCAAACTGGGAAATCAACAAAGAAGCTAGAAGCTCAGCAGTCCCGGGGCCTCAGATCTTGTAACAAAAGGGAGCAAATATAATGAGGGTAAGGCCTACTGGGTTGAAAACGAACGAGTACAGGCCGTTGATAGCAGGGACATGTGCCAAATTCGAAGCCAATGATAACGCCATTGGGATATAAAACTGCTCAGCGAGTTAGCACTGCAAAATGGAAAGGTGGAGTTGGCTTGGTGCTCGGACCGACCTACAGATGCCATTGTGATCGCAGCGATTAAGTCCCCTTGGAGATGTTTCCCTGCCATCGAATTAGTATTAGGTTCCCTGATTTTCAAGAAGGGGCTCAGGAGCTAAGGAGCTCTCAAACAAAAGAAGAGGAAATTTGTATGGGAATCAGTCTTACATCTGTACTGAGGAATCCAAGCCAGGGCGGGTATATAATATGGGAAATACCTAAGACGCAGAGCATCAGCATAATAGCAAGGAAACATATTGTTTCCGATAACCGTACATTGTTCTTGTATCTATTCCATGCTGTTCGGCCAAGTAAGAAGTCGTGGATATCTTCTTCTTCCCTCCACTCCCATTCTTCATCCCCACTGTCTCGAAGATGCTCGAAAACATGCTCCGACCTTCACCTGAATCAGGCCGCCCGAGAGCTCGCGCAGATCTTCCAAAGCTGTAATCGCTATCGCCACTTCTCATTGAGTCAGCCCGAGGGCTAAACGTGCCATGTCCACATGGTCCTTCGTGGGGTGGGCTCGAGAGTAAAAATTCAAAAGGCTTCTGCAAGAGAGGTGTGGACTCTGACGCTCTTCCAGTCAAGTCTCCTGCCTCACGTGTGCTGCCATCTAATGCATCGTCTTCTGCTGCCGGGTCTGTCGAGAGATGCGTGGGATATGTGTTCGGGGAAGCCTCTGAACTGCACGGTGCTTTGTCTTTGTCTTCGACTGAACTGATCCGTGTGTCCTCCCCATCTTCCAATGCACTACCCCTTGTGTCTTCTGGAGAGCTGTGGGCCGTCTGTGATTCGCGCAAATGCGATGGGGTACTTGGGGCGTGTGGATTTATTGCCTGGCTGTTGATGGAGGGATTTCGAGAAGAGGATGCGGAACCCGGCGATGTCGGTCTTCGAGAGGTCATTTCGGGAGGCTTAATGCTATCTTTGCATGGAGAGGAAGGATATACATGAATAAAGGGCCGCAGAACCAAAAAACCCTCTGCCAGGATCGGGAAGAAGGCGGACGTGTTGCACAGGAAAATGCTGAGCTCAAATTTAGGTTGCTCGCTAGAGAATGCTGTGCCGAGGCGTGCGAGGTGGAGTAAAGTTTGAGGCAGGGGGTGAGGATCTTCCTTAGACACAAACCTTGCGGTGCTGCTCTGTTATCAAAGATTAGATATCATCGTCGAAGCTCAACAGAAGAAATATGCATTGTGTCTACAGGCAATGGCGAGCAGGTGTCCCAAAGTTGGGCCCTGCCTTCATTGGTCAAGGAGGCTTGTGCAGGGTCTCTCCTTCCACGGGGTCAGTTTACTGGTCTGTATGTTTTGCACGTTATCATTTTTGATCGAGATTCAAACCAAAGACACACCTTTTATCTCTAATCCTTGGCATGTCATGAAAAGCTTGTTTGTCAAGTGGGCTGGCTCTTCACCCAGGAGCTACCATTTTGAAGGCGTCAAGTACGTCATTAGTGCACCATGTGGTCAGAACCCTTGTAAATTTGTCACGTGTTGGCAATCTTCCGCTGAAAAAATGACCAAAAGGAAACAGATGAAAGTAGGCCAAAAAGGGGGAAGAAACTTTTCCTTACCATTAAGTTGCAAAGAGCAGTGGCATTTTGGAAGAGCCTGAGATCCATATTAGCTACTTCCCAATGCATTCCTTAAACTCTCGCTAGGAGTAAGACGTTGTAGCCTATGAACGTGAAGGCGAATCCTAAGCTTTCCCGATTCTTTTTTTGATGGATTCCCGCCCCACTAAACCCTCTCGAGTCTGCTTATTACGGGCCTCCATCAGTTTAAGGCTTCCTTGGGCTGGCTGCGATGGAGTTCACTTCCGGCTTTAGATTTGCATACTTTCTGTTCAGCAGAGATCTTTCTTAAAAATCAATTCCTGCATCTGGAGTTTCACACACGGCTACACAACCCACGAGTTTTCAGACCCTGAGAGTGAATGGTCAAGGTGTTTTGTTGCACATCACTTCAATGTTCCCAAAGTACTTTGGGACAATGAACCCCTTTTTGCATCAACGCCTGCAGTCTCTCCAACTTTACCACTCGCCACATAACTGACCCTCTGCTCAGCCACCTATAGCGTCTCCTGAGATCTCAGTGTCCGGATTATACTACTCACAATGAGCATGGTGTGCAACAAAACATTGATGGTAGTCATTCACTCAAACGTAGGGGTCCAGGGGCTTGATACTGATTGATAGTCAAGCTCGTACATTGCAGTGTGATGTGCAACAAAGCTGTTTCATCCAATATTCACTCAAAATTGCCACCCACTTTCAAGTTTGACATGAAAAACCAGAAGATTCTCAATGCACCAAGGAAAGGTGGAACTTTGAGCGATGTGCAACAACAATATCGCTTCTCAGTTCACTCCACTGTCAATGTGGATTGCCCACCAGATCAAAATCTTGTAATACCAGGTAAAATCAGCGAGTGGATTCTATGTCGCTCTTAATGGGTATCTAAATACATAACAATCGTAATTGTATGACCCATGCTGATGCCAGAAACTCCGTGTCCATGCCCATCGTAAAGCTCCGCAAATCAAACGCCGCCTATATGCTCGAGAACCTTGGCAACACTCCGAACGCCGAGCAGAGCGTTCTCGTCCGGGCCCTGGCCTGGGACCCATGTAGCATGTGCAAAGTCAATGACCTTGACAACGTATATCTTTGGGCCGACGACATCATCGTCGTCTTCCTCTGAGTTCTCATCGTCTCCGTTCACCAACGTTGCTGGAGACCTGCTAGCTTCTTCCATAGCCAGCCTTAATGCTGCTCCATCTCCCTCAAAAACAAAGAGTAAACTTGCCGAAAACATGCGACTCTCCTGGCCCTCTAAGACCGCTTGAATCCTGGTGACATCTGCAAGAAACGCCTGCGCCACCAACTTCCCTAACTCCTCATCGATACCAGCCGACTCGGAGAAGATGAAGTTCTTAAATGCCTCATGAACATTCCCTCTATGAATAGAAAAGCGGCCGTAATTCTTATCGTAGATTTTATATCCCTCTTCGTCTATGTCTGAGCCCTTTGCGCCGTGACCTTGCCAAACCCTCATGCCAGCGACTCTAAAGCCGAGTTCTTTATGCGTAGTTTCTTCTGTGACTTTATCGAAGCGAATCTTCTTCTCTTCTGCCGCATCGTCTGCCCATAATCGGACCCCAAGCTTCACATCCAGGATATTCGGCTTGACGAAACCGTGCGCAGCGTTCTCGAGTACCACCGCCAGGTTGGTCTCGATTCTCTTGCCTGTCTTGACCGGAACAACGACCTCAGGTAGGGACCGTTTTGCAATCAAAGCCGCGCCCACTTCCTCGACCGTCTTCCCATTCTGGTTCTCGTCGAGGGTCAGGGTACCCATATACGTAGGCATGTACTCGGCGAATTCAGGATGCGTCGCAAGCGAGGACTCGTAGAAGGCGATCTCGGCCATGGTGCAAGGCTTAATGAACAGTTCGCCGTCGACATCGGAAAGCGTGCCATCACTGGTCGTGTGTCAGCAATCTGCTCAGGGACCACGGGTATTGCGCGACGTACTGCCCTGCGACGGCATAATTGTAGTCGATCAAGTCTGCGCGCGACGGCAGAGCTCTGGCCATTTTAATGACTGGACTGGAGTCGCAAATGCTATGACTCTATCATGATGGGGAAAGAAGGTGTATTAGAAAAGAAGAGGAGCGCGGGGGAGACAGAGTTTTGCGCAGATTATTTCTGTGTGGAAAAAGAAAGCCCGAACGGGGGAGATTGGGGGGGGAGCAAGGCTGTGTAGAGAAAGGAAGACGAGATGCGGCGTGTGCGAGTGTCGTGGCTTCAATGAGCGAATTCCGGTCGCGCTTCTCTGCAGTGAAATGGGCTGCGCGCCAGGGGCCAGGCCACACGGCAGGCCACACCCTTTGGAGCCGACACGATTTCCGGGCACTAACCTTAACTAAGCCGCCCCGACGCCCAATCAACAGGCGGTGAGAGACGAAAAGTACGAGCCAAGCGCAAGGCCAGCGCGAGGCCAGTACGAAAGGTAGGCCAGCAACGAACAGCACTCCGCCCGACCCAACTACATCGGCTGCATGTATGCACTGCGGTGTGGCGAGCTTAGCCACGACGACGACAACAACATCGTGAGACTGACTGCAGCTGGCGCACTCAGCGGCTGACAGAACGTGACCGGTGGACGAGCTGAAGGAGCAGCTGGCTACAGTATGCAACTTACCCACGGCGGGACAATTCCAGGATCACGGCCAAGCTTTTCCCCGCAATATCGCTACGTTCCCGCTCTGAGACAATTGAAGCAAGGAGGACTGTTTGCTCCCGGCGAGGCACTCGGTCAAGACAAACGGAGGAAGCTCCTTCTAGACCTTCAAGCTCCCTCTCGGGATCGGACCATGTAAGTTGGCACGCTCCAGGAAGCGCCCTCTCCTCTCCTCTCCTCTCCTCTCCTCTCTTTAATATCCTTCATTCCCCTCGAGACTGTGATCATCTGGTCTTCTTCACCTCGAGGGCTGCAGTTGTCTCACCAGGGGACGACAACTTCATCACACGCACAATCTCCCTTGTTCTGTTTGCATATCCGATCGTTTCTCACCTTCTGCAACCTTTCGCGTTTGGCACATTTCCCCTCCCTCTCGCCGTATCATTCACTTCTAAACTCAGTCGGGTACTCCTACCATCATTGCACAGCCTTGCTCAACCCGCCTCTTCCTCTCCCACCCAATCATTCCACGGATCGCCCTGCATCAACCATCACGTTTTCCCCACGGAGATCTTTCCCCTGGCGCGAGACTAACCAGTTCAGAGCTTTGATAGGTTAGGGAACCCTTGCAACAATGGCCGGGTACCACGAGAAGAAGCTCTCAAGAGCCGTTAGCCAGGTCGACCTCGCTGCCGCTCTGACCTCGCTTCCGAAGGAGCAAGAGAACATCGTCAGATACACCCAGGAGGAGCTGCTCAGCTTACGACCAAAGGACAAGAAGAAGAATGGAGCACATGTTGAGTTCGTCGAAGTTGGCCTACCTCCAACGGATGGGGTAATGACGCCACCAAATTTCGTTGCTCCAGCACCTCCTCCCCCAACTCCTGCTTCCCCTGGGACTCCACCTACCCTGGATGAAGGCGTTCTGAAGGAGAAAGCCAATGGTCTCGCGCCACTTCTTGCAGAAGGAGAGAAGAAGAAAAAGAAGAAGAGCAGTGGCAAGAATAGGAAGGCGGCTCCTACGGGATTTGAAGGTTCGTGCTTATATTGACTTTTGGAATGCCAAATATTCATATCATCTCTCAGAATTCTATGCCGACCCCCCTATCACCCCAGATGAGCATGAGGAAGAGGAAGATCTTTATGATGAGTAAGTGCCCCAGCTCGTGCTGACAGACGAATTCTAACAAACTACAGATCTCGCCCGTTCCCTGAGTAAGTTCACAATATCGATTTTATCAAGTACGCTGACCCCTTTAGTCGCGTTCAAACCTGCATTCAACGCTACCGGGCTCGACGTAACCTCGATTCGGACCGGGCCAACATCTTGACAAAGTACCTGATGCTCGGAGGAGTCGATTCCACGGCCAAGATGTTCACGGGAGGGCTCGATAAAGAGACTTTGGAGAACTCGACAGCTGCCGAAATCGCTGCCATCCAAGCAACTGACTACGTGCAAACTGGTACTAAAAGTGCCAAGTTTTACGATGGTTCCGATAAATGGGTTGTCGATTTCGAGGTGGTCGCTAAAGGTTTCTTGTGAGTAGCTCCTCCACTTTCTCGTGCCTTGTATCTAACTTCCACAGCTCGTATCGCATTCCCCGTATGTTTAGCATCGATCATGAGCGGGAGGTTAAGTTGTACAGCCACGTCATTCGCAACTTCCTCAACTACGTACTTCATCATCGCGTCTGCCCGGAATACACCGAAGATGTCATGGCTGCCCGAAAGGTCTGCGATCTAGCTGAGAAGGAGTTGTGGGCCATCCGACAGCTTCAGTCAAAGCTTCCGGGAGACTTTAATGTTGCCGCCTCAACCCTTCATGGCGGTCGTTATATGCAATATCGACTCAATGCGCAAGCTTGGGGTCTCGATGATCCCGATTCCCAGGACTATGCCTCTACCAACCAAGGTTTCACCGATACGGAGGCTGAAAGAATCTTCAAGACTGCTGTCGCGTTCGCCGGCGACGATGCCCTGTTTATGAAGGCCATGAAGCCCGACATCATAATTACCAAGACGGCGAGGAAGTTTTACGAAGTTGCCGAGGTTGAGCGTCCAAGCCTCAACACGATCGCACAGTACGCGAGCGTGAAAAACTCGAAAGGCGAGACTGGATACATCAAAGCTCTGGGCGTTGTTAGGTTCAAGACTTGGGAGGGTCCCGGTTTCGAGCCTGAGGACTTCACTGATGACGAGGATGGCGCTACTGCGGTCAAGGCTGAAGAGGCTGGTTTAGAATCGTTTTGGCTTGAAGATGAGATCTTGGAGCTTTTCTTCATTGGTCTGAAGCTTGAAGTTGAGGCCCATGAGCTCAATGTTGGCATCAAGTTCTTCGACACTGTTCTTGGCCTTCATTGCTCATTCCATACCTATCTACCGAATGAGAAGATGATCTATTGGAAAGAGCCTGGTAAGTTTGTTTTAAAATCTCAGATAATAGATGATACTAATTTGCTCTAGCACTCAACACTCGCCCACCACCAACGGAGGATGATCCCGATGTCGAGGAGAGAGCAATGGAGGCGATCGCAGAACGAGAAATCGAGGAGGATGAAAAGTGCCTTGGGGGCAAGTAATGCGGAGCTTTCCTTGAGCGACGACAACGGTAATTTGCATACACACGGCGTTCCTGGCATTTGCATAATACCCAGGGTCGGCATATGTTGGGCACGGCATGCCGGCAACGCATCCAACCCGGTAAGGTTCCTTCGTCCATTTCCATTTCGATACCCCTCTTCCCCTCATAGATCGCAATCATTTTCCGGCACATTTCCCTGTTTTTCTCCGCACGCAAAAGTTCGGCCTTGAGGGAGGGATGCTTAACGCTAGCTAGTTATCATGAGAGTTCATAGAGAAACAATACACGTCTTTTCCTTTCACCCAATTGCATCTCGCCCTTTCTATCTGATGCAGGGAAGGGAGGAAATTCCCGAGAGTGTGGTTGCACGAAATTTTAATTCCTAATGCTTGGATTGCTTGATTTTCGCTGATTTTTTAATGAAATGGCGGGTTTCGAGCCGGGAGGGGCAATATAACCGAAGCCCAAAGACGCCACGTTATTCGCTGGTTTGGGAATGGGCCGCCTTTATCTGGCCTGAGAGAAGGGGAATTGTTGGTTGGTGCTTATATTTATTGGCGGTGAGGAGTCGGAGATATTTAGGCGGTGTCTCCTATGTGGAGTGGCCTATCGGAAGGGCATGGCTCCATGGCTTAGCGAGTGGCAGGAAGGGGAAGGAAGGGGAGTGGTGAGAGAAGTGAGGGAATGGCTTTAGTTGTGTCACGGGAAGTCATATATGGTGAGTTGCTGGTTTGGCATTTGTGGGTGCCTTTCCCTTTGGAATTACAATGGATTTGGAAGATGGTGAGTGGAAAACTAGGGGCTTTTTTATGGTAAAGACAGTTATTGACTTGTTGAATTTTTTAGGGGTTCAAGGTTAGTGTTATGAAGAAGGCAGCCGCGGGGTCGGTGGCTGCTGTTACAGTGTTGGTGCTTGCGCTCTTTTCGGTGCAGAGACCTTGCGAGTGGAAAGGTTTCCTGGGTGGCGTGAGGAAGGAGGACTTTGCGTGTAAGGCTGGAACATACACCACGGAGATTATATCGATCGATCCGCAGCTTATTTACATCAATAATTTTTTCGATGTCGGCGAAATATAGGGTTTAATTGCCGAAGGGTTTGTGTTCTCTCCTTCCTCTCCTCTCGTTCAATGCACCCTCTCCCGCGCCCAGTCCTTCATGGGCTCCTTCATCCCTCCCGACGGCGACTTCGGCAAGCCACAACTAGTGCACTACGAAAAGGCAAGAAGATCGATGTCCATCACTACTGGTATGACGAGTCTCAACTAGTTCGAGGGATGAACAGGAGGTGGTTCTCTCGCGTGGCGAGCTTCTTTGTTTATTTGGAAGGAGGGGAAGCTGGGTGTAAGGGAAGCAAGACGTGGTTTCCGCACCGGATGTTAAGGGGGAAGGGGAAGGGAAGTAGGAGGAGCACAAGGAGGAGGCACGAAGTTTGTCCCGAGGAGTGGCAATGCGCTATTTTGGATTAATTTGCATGCTAATGGGACGGGGGATGAGAGGACGGTCCACGCGGGGTTGCCGTTGCTGGAGGGAAGGAAGACGGCAAGGAATATTTAGCCGAGGAAGTTGTATGGGAGGGCTGGGAGGTGGGGAGAGGGATGCTCATCAATGCTGCTTGTTCATCGAAGATAGATTGCAATGGATTACTTGCTTTCTCTCTTCGCTACTTTCAGTGAAGTTTTTGTTCGAGGCAAAAGAGAGGTACTTAAAAGAGTACTTCGCTTGCTGACGAGCGCTCTTTCCTCTTTAGCAGTACCGGAACCGGGCACCAAAAAGAGATGTGCAAGGGGGCAAAAAAAAATTGTTTATATTGTTGAGGCCAAGTTGTCGGACAATAGAGGCAATTCGAACTCACCGATAATTGATGAGCCTCCCCGATTAGGGTGGCCGAATTAGTGAATAGTCAAAATGGTGCTGGTATTGGCTACACACTGTGCAGCTCCCGAAATTTATCCCTCAAATAGTGGGAGGAATTGAACACTGGGGATTACTCAGTGTTCTTGAATTTGTGATTGGTAATTGACACATGTGTGTCGGATAGTCCAAGAATTGTTGAAAGGTGCGAGAATGGTCTAGCATTTGATGTTATTTTCGTGAAATTCCGAGAAATTAATAAGTGAGACAGTTTGGCAACGAAGCAGTTGAGACCGAAAACACTTATACTTGATTCTAAAAGTAGGGCCAAAAGAATCCGAATTCAGACGTCACTTTGTTGATTTGAACTAAGCGAGAGAAGCCCCTTGATTGCACCGAAGACTGATTGAACATTGAAAATTTTCAAAAGATTGAACTGCTCTTACAGGGGACTAAAGGGGAAGGCGCCAAAAAGAATGTGGTTGTGGCCAAGCTGTCGGAAATTGAAGAGAGTCTTTACATACCTTTGAAGCCAATGAGAGGGTGCTACAAGGTGTTGTACACTAATCCGCAAATTTTGTACTCGAGTGCCGTGAAAGAATACAATCAACTATCCTACAGAATATGAAGTCTAGGTCAGAGAATGTCTCCTAAGACCGAAATGTTACACTTTAGTGCCCAGATTCCTGCCCCCTAGGTCCTAGAACCAAGATATATGCGAACAGTGTTGACCTATGAACGTTAGTTCAGTGCAATGTGCGATTTTTTTGTTCGAAGCAACGTAGACAGCTTGACCACAACGAATTTGTGGGGAATAGCTTATTTCATATAATGAAGGTAGAGTTAGAAGATGGGGTGGATCAGACGAAGAAGGGAGTTTGTTGTTTTCGTCCGGTGTTAAGCGAGACGACCCCTGATCTCAACTGCAATTCAAGGGGTGCATTGATTGATTAGGAGAATCTTCTTTCTATTACTTACAAGAGGTGTGCTCTTTGGGTATTTCAAGTCCAGATGTTTCCTGATTTGCAAGACACAAACCTGCAAGCGTCGACATTTGCCTTCTTGACTAATAATCAAGACAATCGATTTCCATTATTTAAAGATTGACTTTATATAACAACTAGCAGTGGTATTAAGGATGGACTCAAAATATCTACGAGAGAGTCGAGACGCTGCGACGGCGAGGAACGAGAGGGCTCGAAATTCTTCCGCCAAAACGTAGCTAAACTCGAGACAGGTCGAGGACTTGCAGGACGAGTTTGATGCTTTGACTAGGAAGATCGCACGCTCAGACAGGAGTGGTAAAGACGAGAGGTTGAATTTGAGGCTGGCAGGTAGCACGTGAATGCTGTGGTTGACACTTTTTGGCATGAAGCCCAGAAAATGTAACAACATGATCACGGTACCGGGTTCCATACCTCTTGGTTATTGAGGCAAGGGCTGGCTTGGTCTGCTGGTGGACGAGACTTCTGACGAAGACCATGAGCTCAGAGACTAAGAGAGACGCTGCATGGGGAGTCTTTCATCGATAGCAAGCATTGAACTTCCAAACACCTTTCAATCCACACTACTCTTGCTTACGTGTATCATCCCAAATCGGGGCCTCCAAAAGAGGGATTCCGAAGAGAAAGAGAATGAATTGAAAGATGTTTTGAAATCAAGATAAGTTGAAGCAATCCCCCCCTTTTCAGCCCCTGAAACAATACCCCCTGTCAGCAACGTGGGACGGCCTTGGCGCTTGCGAGCTCGGCATCAAAAGAGGGGCTCTCCAAGAAATGCCCCGCAGAACGTCATGCACAAAAGTGGTGAACAACGCCCACGCCCTTCTGTTGCGCCAAATTTCTCCCAGGACTGCTTAGCATTCAGTAAACCTTTGTCGGTCAATTAGTTTTCCCTCGTTTTTTCAAAACCTACCGACTCTTTCCTTCTGGCATTGGAGAGTATCTGCATGTCTACAAGATACGCTACTCGGCTCCTGACCTCGAGATTCCAACCCACTCTTCGTCTCAGACAATTCAACAACCACTTCCCCCGCAAGATGGCGACCTCGGTCCCCAAAACCATGAGCGGTGTCCTTGTCGAAAAGACAGGCGGCATCGAAGTGCTGCAATATAAGACGGACCTGCCAGTTCCGACACCAAAAGAAGGCCAGGTTCTGGTCAAGAACGACTTCATTGGTGTCAATTACATCGACACGTAACTGCCTCCCGATCCTATCCCTTCAAACGTCGAACTCCGCATCCTGACAGCGAGCAGCTACTTCCGAACAGGTCTCTACCCCTCTCCCAAACCCGAGATCCTCGGCCGCGAAGCAGAAGGAACAATCGTCTCCCTCGGCCCCTCAGGCGACATGTACGGCTTCAAGCCCGGTGATCGCGTCGTATGGATGGCGGGCGGCGCCTACGCAGAATACACCGCTGTCCCTGCTGTAAAGACACACATCGTGCCCTCTAGTATCGAGCCTGGGATTGCCGCTGCTTCAATACTGCAAGGTTTGACGGCTTTGACGCTTATAAGAGAGGCGTACTTGGTGCAGAAAGGGGATTGGGTTCTCGTTCATGCTGCGGCGGGAGGGGTGGGGCTGTGGCTTTGTCAATTGTTGAAGGCTGTTGGTGCGAGGGTTATTGGGACCGCGAGCACGAGTGAGAAGATTGAGCTGGCGAAGAAGAATGGTGCGGAGTTCATGATTAATTATAAGGAGGAGAAGGATTTCGTGGGGAAGGTGAAGGGGATTACTGGTGGTGAGGGCGTTGCGGTGGTTTTTGATAGCACGGGCAAGGATCAGTTTGAGAATGATTTGGTGGTTGTGGTTAGGAAGGGGACTGTGGTTTCTTATGGGAACTCGGTGAGTTGTGTCTGATATTCGTATGTGAGTTGTGTGAAGCTCGTTGGCTGACTGCATGCCAAGTCTGGCGCTGTTCCCCCGTTGGCAATCTCGCGACTTTCGGCGAAGAACATCAAGGTTTTGAGACCGACGCTTTTCAACTACATCTACACGCGGGAGGAGTTCGAGAAGTATACCGCCGAGCTTTTCGATTTTATCACAAAGGATAAGTTGAACGTTAGGATTCACCACACGTATCCCCTAAAGGATATTGCCAAGGCACACACGGATCTGGAGGGAAGAGCGACAACAGGGAAGTTATTGTTGAAGCCGTAGATTTGGTACAGCTACGAAATAAAGCAGAACTATCTATATGATGAATGCTAATGCTATATGCATGGCTTAAGAAGAAAGTGCCCAATCGAAGTACTGAAAAGATACCGGATCTATTTCTTGCTTTCCTTGACGACCTTGATCAATGCTTCAGGAGCATCTTGGCGATAGCCCCGTGGGTTGTTGCTGACCCACCTCCAGAGGTCCTCGCAAGCATCCTCGAGCGTAAGTTCTGTCTTCCAGCCTAATTCCTCGTTCGCACGTGCCGGGTTGGCAGTGAGATCTAAGACATCACCTGCTCGCCGTCCAACGATCTCATATTTCAAGGGGTGGCCGACAACTTTGCTGAATGCGTTGATCATCTCGAAGACCGTGCAGCCACGTCCAGAGCCCAAGTTCCAGGCTCGAACACCGGGTTTCTTTTCTCGGAGGTGGTTCAAGGCTGCAAGATGGCCCTTGGCAAGGTCGACAACGTGGATGTAGTCTCGAATAGCGGTACCGTCTCTGGAGGAGTAGTCTACGAGAGGTTAGTCTTGTGTTATGTTTGCCAGTGGCTTCTCGTACCATCGCCAAAGACCAACAATTTTTCTCTCTGCCCAGTAGCAACTTGGCCCAACAATGGGAGCAAGTTGAATGGTACACCAAGAGGGTCCTCGCCCATTATTCCGCTGGGGTGTGATCCAGCCGGGTTAAAATATCTCAACAGAGCACCGTTCCATTGCTCGAATGGCTTACCCGCCTTCTTAGCATTGTTGCGCTGAGCATCAATGTGATCCGTGATGATCAATTCGATTGTGCTCTTGGTTCGTCCGTATGGGTTGGTTGGGCCAATTGGGCAGTGCTCGGGAATAGGAATCATATTGGGAACTCGAGTCGCATCGCCGTAGACGGTCGCGGAAGAGGAGAAGACGATATTTGGAACATTGTGCTTGGTCATGCAGCGGAGTAGAGTGATGGTTCCGCCAACATTGACTCGGTAGTATTCGAGAGGGATCTCTGAAGATTCGCCAACTGCCTAGACACAAGTCAGTTCTCTCGTCTGATTTCTTGGGCCAAATTTACCTTCAGAGCAGCGAAGTGGATAACACTGTCAATATTGGGATGTGCAGCAAAGACCTTGTCCAATGCTTCTTCATCTGTGATGTCGACCTGGTAGAAGTCGGGTCGCTTGCCGCAGAGGAGCTCGATGCGGTCGAGGGAGACTTTTGAGGAATTGTACAGACTGTCGACGATCACGACCTGATAATCATTCTCGAGGAGAGCGAGAGAGGTGAATGAACCAATATAGCCGGTGCCTCTGTGCCATTTACTATTAGCATCCTCTAAACCATTTTGGCGCATGGATGGTGGGGCAGATCAAGAGCCAGCCCTCACAAGTTCATGGAGCAAAGGCATAGATTGAAACTAACTTACCCCGTGATGAGAACGGTTCCAACCGTCATTTTTGCTTTGTGGAAAGGCGATTGATTTGAAGAGAGGAATCAGAGGTGCTGAGGTTGTGAGATGTTCTTCTTCGGTCAAGAAATACGAGGGGACTTGATGGTGGGCGGACACAAAATTTCCAGGGACTCCCTCGTAACAGAAAATCCCCGAAAATAACAGGCTGCTGGGTCCCAGACTCGTCACCATGGTTGCGGTTACAGACATCAGATCTGATGAGACAATCAGCAGATGGAGAAATGGAATTGGTGCCCGCACGCTATTCTTGCTTCTTTTTGCAGATGTGTGTCACTGGAAAAGCAATAAGCCGTTGCGCAATGTTGAGGAAGTGACAGCGTCAGCTTCACCGCCAAATTTTAAGTTTCAGCCTCGCTGCCGCTTCACCAGCCTCATTCACCCGCCACCACCAAACCAGCTCCCAGCCACCAGCCACTGGCAAGGAAGCAGCACTTCGCGTTGCAGAGGCCATGATCGCAAGAATGCAAACAAACCACATTCGGACATCCGCAAGATGAAAAAGCCCCTTCCGCTACCTTTGTTAACATTGCTTGTGCTCGCCGAGGAATTTATTTGGGCAGCTGCATGTCCATAGCAATAAATGGCCTCCCATTGTCCTGCACTTGTCGCCCCCTCCCGTCGCGACTCGAGGTCAACTTCACCACCCTGCGCTCGATCGCTGAACAATCGATACAATACTGCGCATGAAGCGCTTGTGACATAATATCAAGTATAGTAGTTGGGGGTTTCGATTGGGACGCGTAATTCAGCTTTTTGGATTGGGTTCCGGCGGAGTATTGTGGTTTTTGGAGCTTGCTATTGTTAGCGACTGTGAATAGCTTCAAGACAATAGTAAGTGGGCTTATTCTTCGCACAATGTTTTCTCAGCGCACAAAACCTTTGCTCCAAGATTCTTTTCCGATCTTCCTCTTCTTCTTTCTTTAAAAATCATTCGAGGCAAGAAATGCGCGTCATTGACTCCCTCAGTTATCGACTGCACGGAACTCGTCAGCTCCCTCTGTGATTTGTTTTGCTGTGTTCTTTGCTAACACTTCTCATTAGGCCTTGATTCCGAACCGGGAGACTTTGATTCCAGTTCAGTCCATAGCATCTCCGATTACACGCCGCTCGACCACCTTCCTCGATCCGATTTCCGTCACTTCCCTCCAACTACAATGTCGACCAGACGCAGCACTCGTGCCACGAGCAGGCAAGCTAGCGATCGAGGTGCTTCCCCTGCTATCTCAACGGCTGATATCCCTGCAACCCCGAGACGTGCCTCCCGCAGAGGTGGAAGTACTGCAAATGCCCCACTGCCTGCGGTCGGCCTTCGAACAAGCACGGCCTATGGCACCAATACAGTCCCAGAACCTGCGAGAGCAGCTGGAGCTCAGGTTGGAGAGCAACTTAACAACATTCTTGGAGGAATTCTCAATCCCGTCCCAGAAACAACCACTTCAGACAGTATGTTTTTGCAGCTTGAAAATGGATATTACTGACCAAATGTGCAGGAAATAGATCTCGTACGCCTGCTGGCCGTGGTGGAAGACACAGCCGTGGAAGTACGCCTGTTCAATCGGATGCAAACCGGAGCTTCCATCATGAGAGTGGTATCTTCAATCAAGCTGCTATCGATGATTCAGTTGTCCAAGATTCTCCCGAGTTAAAAGAGATTCCTGAAGAGCGCGAGTCGGTTGCTTCGGGTCCTTTTCCCATGAGCATTGACACCAGACTTGAGCGAGAAGAAATTGCTATGCGTCAAGAACTCGCGGCCTTAGCTCGTCAACGTCTTATCGAGGCACGAGCAGCCCGTGGTCAGACGACAGTAGCAGACATCTGGAATACCAGAGAGGCATCCTGGGCCTGGGCAGTGTCTTTTGGCAGATGGGTTTGGTCCTTCCGTAAATTGTAAGCTTCCTATATATGGTTTGTTCGGCTCTCCATTAATCGTTACACAGTTTCCTCTCGTTGGGCAAGGAACTTGGCACCTTGGTCGTCATTGCCATCCTCGCGTCCACGGCCATTATGGCCTTCCGGAACTCAGATGTCCAATTTTATGGCATGGACATCACCCACAATATTGGCCAGTTCATCCCATATTCAATCCGCCACCCCTTCGACAACTTTAATCCTGCTGAAATCAAAGACATTCATCGACGTTTGAATGATCTCGAATATCAAGCGGCCAGGATCAAAACCCACTCCGAAATTGATCCGAAAACCTTCGCCAAACTCGAAAAACTGATTCCTGATGCTCTCTTGGTTAAAAAGGATAAGTACGGAAATCTTGTCATTCCTGACGACTTTTGGCATGCTCTTCAAGGCAAGATTCGATCTGACCAAACTCTCATCTCCTATCGATCCGATGGCAAGAGTACTTCACCAGGCACTAGTCTTTCTGTCAAAGACGTGGAACGGATTTCCGGAAGAGAGTATGAAAAGTTCATGAAGAGCAACCAAGCGAAGATGACTGCAGTATTGGGGGATGAACTTGCCAAGAAGTTTCCTCGCCTCCTCGAAGACAACCATATCGCCTCCAAGCCAGAAATCCTCCGAATTATTCGTCAAAGTTGGGACGACAATCAAAAAGAAATCAAACTGGAAATGAACCAGTTAACGAAGAAGCTGGAGAACGCAAGTCGCCTAATTCAACAGCTTCATCAGGACCCTGCCGGTCTCACCGCAAAAGAGGTCAAGGCCATTGCCGAAGAAGTTGTCAGGAAGCTCCTTCCACATGCACAACTCGAAGCTCTGGCCAGATCAAACCTCCAACAAACTGTCAACTATGGCCTTACCCGCGTCAACCATTTCTCCAAAGGCACTGGTGCAGTCATCGATCCCTACAGCACATCCCCAAATTACATCTTTCCAAGTCAGAATGTCTGGTTCCCTAACCGATGGATGAGAGCCATGATGCTCAATTCCGTCCCAGCACCCAAAGCCCCGGAGACTGCACTTACAAGATGGGATGAACATGGCGACTGCTGGTGCTCCCCTTCAAACGATGCCGATGGTTTTGGAACGAGTCTCGGTGTCATCATGGCCAGCACCATTTACCCAGACCAAGTTGTCGTTGAGCATATTTCGCCGTCGGCAGCACTTGAGCCAGGAGCTGCTCCAAGAGAAATGGAGCTCTTTGCCTTCATGGATAGTGCATTGGAAACCTACAGCAGCTTCAAGACAATGTCAGACGACATGTTTGGTGTCGATGCTGACGTGTCCCTTCCATACGGCTGGGTTCGTATTGCCTCCTTCACTTACGATATCGAATCAAATCAAAATGTTCAGTCCTTCCCAGTGCAGTTGGACATGAAAGCTTTGGGCGCCGCCACGAACAAAATCATTGTTCGCTCTAAGAGCAACTGGGGCGGAGAGAACGTAGGATATACCTGCATTTACAGAGTTCGCTTGCATGGAGAGATAGCTGCTTAAGGGATGATTATGAGTTTCAGCATACGCATTTGTTGCTTCGGATGGCGTTCATGGGGTGATACCCTGTTTTCATGTATTTAAAATGAATGACAAGTCCTTCTAATTAGTCCTCTTACTGGATGGACCTGACCTACCACACGATAGTTTCGGACGATTGGGAATGAACATTGAAAACCCAAAAATTGAGGTCCTCGGCTCTGAGCCGTGCAACCCCTGAATGGAGCTTGCCGCTTCCAACGTTCGTCCCTGGTCCCCCGCTGCTCGCTTGTTTCAATCAGATTATCATCGGAAATCACTTGTGGGCCCTTCAACTCAATTTTGTTTCCGAAAATTTTGAGTGGTGGAACCAACTGCTCCGCCAGTTCGTACCCTTATGATTCAGCAGTTCATGGTGTCTCAGGTGTCACCATGTTCCCACTCTCCCTGATGACATCAAATTGCAGGGCTTTGAGATGGCCTGCAAGTTGTGTTAGCACACCAAGGTCGTCGAGGTTTTCCGAGAGAGTTTGAGGAAGATGAGTAAATAGACTTTAAAGCTTTTTGCAGGCGCGGCGAGGCCTGGGCCTAAATCTCCACTCTCTTGTCCTGCGTTTCAGACATAACGTACATTGTTTGTTAGTCTCACTGAATTGCATATATAATGAGGAGTATCATCTCGTTCTTGTTTCCTCACGGTCTTCAAAAGCCATTACATTCTTTTCGAATATTGAGCGCTTGTGCTCTGGTCAGTCCTTACTTTTCAAGATATGCATTTCACATCTGCCCTTTGTCTTTTGCTTGGCAGCAGCGCTGGTGTCCTTGCTGATCCTATTCTTACTTCTTTTCCCAACTCTCTTGCCCTGCCGAGCAGTTTCGATCCCATCAAAGAGGCCTACTGGACTGGACTTCCTCACCATCGAAGAACACCATTCGCTGTTTCCCCAGATGGAAAGTCGGCATACTTGGCTTACCTTGACGCTGCATATGCTAGTGTCATTGTCCAGCAAGTCGATCTCACGACTTTTGAAGCCGTCGGCACTGCGTACGAAACGACGGGCTATGAAGCTGCAGGTCTTGTAGCCCACAATGATGGGTTTGCGTTAATGGTAACGATCCATGCAACAGGGTCAACTAACTTGCCACCCACTGGAGATTATGTCACAGCAATCATTCGAGTTACGAATGGTGTGGAAAGCTGGAGAACTCCTGTCAATGGCCCAGGTGTTCACCCTAATACTATGGTATGGCTCTAATATAAAATAACAAGACATGCTAATCGTCCCAAGTTGACTGCTACAACTGATGCCAACGGAGACTTGGTCTACTCGGAGACTGCTGGTCTCTACGGTGCTTACTTTGTTGTTACTGGTAATTATTATCCATGTCCCCTAACACGGTGAAAAGCTGACAGTGCAGGGTACACTGGTGATGCCTCTGGTCACTTCGGCGACTCTATCCAATACGTCAACACCAAAGGAGCTCTACAAACCATCACCGGGGCGAGTAGTGACTTCGGTTGCTCTCACAACACGGGTATTGGTCTGGAGGCTGCTGATGCCGCACCGTTTGCCAGCATCTGTGCCGAGGATCAAGGCGATATCTGGTTGAACACTGAGACACAATACATGTCCGGGGTAAAGATTGCAAACGAAAACACCACGAATGGCTGCAGCGGAGAACCTATGGGAGGCATGTCTGGATCATATTCAAATCTGGCACTCTTCCCGGATACCACCAAATACATCTTCGCATGGCAATCACGGGGAGCTCTCGACTTGACGGAGAATGCCTGGCTTGGAACTCCATATACACAATGCAGTCCCCGCTGGTTGAACCACAATGTCGCTATTGCGACTATGTCGGACAAAAATACCCTCACTGGAGCTGAAGCCTCATCCACAGTTGGCGCGCACAACGGTGATGGACAGGTCAACTGGATCACGTACTCCACCACCGAAGACCACCAAAATGTCCATGTTGCAACCCTCAACCCCAACCTCGCTCTGGTCACCTGGGAAACGCTTACAAACTTTGATTGTCAGCCAGTTCCTCTTGGCTGCTCTGGGACTTATGCTGGAACCTCGTTCCAATTCGTCGACAGCACTGGTGCCAAGGTTGGCTCACCAACCAGCTCAACAAGCTTCTTTGTCAGTGGTGATATTGCCAATGTGGGTACTAATAAGGTCTGCTGGCCGTATGTCGACATGACTTGGGATCTCAGTCAACCATTGGCTTCTGGTACTCCTGTTAGCAAGATGAGCTTTGCTTGTGCTAGCTCAGGGGACAGCACAGCTGGGACTGCTTCATCGCCCTCATCGTCCTCATCGTCCCCATCGTCCCCATCGTCTTCATCGTCCCCATCGCCCCCATCGCCCACACCGTCCACATCATCTTCATCGTCCTCATCGTCTTCATCAGTTGTATCTTCGACTGGCGCTGGAGCGGTTACTTCTTTAAGGACTCATCATCATGTTGCATCCCGCACATTTCAAACAATTACAATCCCAACTGCTCCTGTTGCCGCATCGAGGGCTAATGAATATGGTACTTGTGTGTGGTGAAAAGAAGGATCGGACCGGGTAAGAGGAAGCCCTTCGTCGTCGTTGTCTTATTGTATATATTTTTGGGCTTGCATAGTCTAGCACCTAGACTACTAGTGAAGAAAGCCATATTATGAGATTACTTTTATGCAATACAAATCTCGACCGCCATCAAGCAAGAATATCCCTCACCAAGCCCTCCAACTTCCCGTCCAGAAGCCTCACAGCTTTCATCAACTCCTCATCTTTATTCAACCCTGCAATTAAGCAGCTCGGCAGCGTATACAACACCTCCGTCCCACCGCCTTTCTCTTTCTCAATCACCAACATCTCAACAGGTACAAACAGACCCGCAGTCAAATCTCTCATCAACATCGTGATTGCAATGAGAGGATTGCCGAGGATGATTCTCGTCATCTTGAGACCGCCTCCGACACCAAAGAGTGGGATCCAAGCTCCGTGATTGAATACCTAATTTATCAACATTGGCGCTTTACGCGGATGAGTGAGGTTCATACCTGGAAGATCATGAAGCCGTGAGGTCCAACTGCCTTTTTTGTAGCAGACGTAAACTCTTCTCGGGCTTCATCGGAGTACGATTTGATGCTCTTGGCGATGGCCATCCATTTTCCAGTGTCCGAAGGTGAGCCAATGGATGAGTAGAGTGTTGTGATGACTTCGTCGAAGGGCTTGCTTGATTCGACGGTGATTCGTGTTCCTTCGAAGGATTGCGATTTAGTGCTGGGAGTTTGGGCCATGTTTGTTGCCGTTCGTGAGAGTTAGAGTCGGGGTTGGTTGGTTTGATTTTGACGGAAATGTTGCCAGGGAAAACGTTCCACCCCTGGCTTTGGGTCAGTTTCCTCTCAAATTCAGCTGAACCAGGGCGATTGAAGCATTTAAGGCTCTTCGAGAATCTGGGGTAAGTCGAAGCTGATGGACTTAGAATTTGTGCCGATGGAATGATCAGTAATCAACTATCGGATGCGGGGAAAGGCAGCTGAAGTCGGCCCATAAGACCTGTTCAGTAAAACTTTCTTGGAGTATGTGGCATTTTCAACTAGAACATGGGTAATATAACGTGTTGGGATTGGAATGGTTCCAACGAGATCCTCTTGGGTTCCAAAGACCTCGGTCAACTTATAGATCCCCCGTGGACCCGGCAGCTCCCGAAAATCTAAAAAGCATGTTCGGTCAGAAGACTTGAAATTTTACAGAGGATAGCATTATATCTTGGAGGAACTTTCATTGTGTGTTGGTAGTGCCTATTTCAACGAGGCCCATGACCTGAATGCTGACTCCTGATGTTCTGCATCATATCTTTCCTTTCCGAAATTATACGTCATTCCCGAGTTTCCAATGCAGATTTATTTACAGCACCAAAATGAGCACACCAAACCAACCGAGAGCTACGTGAATGACATTGAAACTAAACGTCTTTCCAGCCGCACCCGGTTGTACAGTTGAAACGGCCGGCGTTGACGTACTCGTCGAATTCGAAGAAGGTGTTGCAATTTTGGGTGTAGTTGTTGGAGATGCTTTCGTCGGACTAGGTGACTCGGATGCCGAGGGAGTGGTTGGACTGGCTGGGGTAGTCGGAGTCGGGGTCGAAGAAGGAGGGGGAGTCAAATTAGAGCTAGAAGAGCTACTTGTAGTGACCGCAGAGCTCGTAGACGATGGGCTGGGAGAACTAGGCGATCCGGTGGGAGGTGGAATGATGCTCAAGGTAAAGGCTGCACCGCATTCTGCGAGTGAAGACCCGTTAGGACAGCAGCCTGCATTTGTACAGAAGTATCCCTTCGGGCAGTAATCTACAATAATAAATTAGTGGCGCTTGTCAACAAGAGGGAGGGAGAACGGACCTCCATTGGAACAGCAGGTCTCCCCAGCACTTGGATTGTAGCAGGTGGGGAATGAGATGCATTCAATGTTTCCTGGACCGCAGGAATGTTCGCAGGTATATGGTGGTGGGACTGGTGTACACAATTGTATCTGCCGCTCGACGATTGACTTTAATGCCGTCAAGCTTATGCGCTGCCCAGCTGATAGCTCAGCAAGAACAGAGCAGGCTGAACCGAGTAAGATAGAGACTGAGAAGAGATGCATTTTTGTTGCTTAAACGAAAGAGTTTGTGGAGAAAATGCTGGTGACTATTCTGAATGAATGTGATCTATAGATCTCTGGAGAGCATACGAGGAAAGGGGGAAGCATCGGGGGCTAATTATATCCATTGAGAACTGATTTGTCATGTTCAGAGGATCAGATCATGAGGTGCCTGACTTGCCGCGCTCAATATTGAAAGGCTCCATGTCCCTGTACCTGGTGAGGCAAGGCTCATGGGGAACGTTCTCCTCGCGGCCAATTAAGTGTTCCTCTAGAATGGGCTCTCAATATCTGCAAGGCTCCCAAAAGCCTCATTCTGCAGGTTCTCGTATTTCAGGAAACAGAAACATCCGTCCTGCATCGGTCAGAACACCATTCGAGGATCAACCCGGCAGTACGGATGAACGTTGGGGCGAATTCCCCGTGTCTTACACGATTGATCGCCAATCGAGTTCTTTGTTTCGCGCCAGAGAAATTTGAAGGATTCTGTGGCGTTCAGAATGAGGCGGTGTGGTGGAGCCGCGGCTGGAAAAATGCAAAATGCTCGCTGGAGCCGGAGTTCCCCTCAGAGCCTTGACGGCCCTTGAAACAGCGACAGTTGAGTTGAGTGACAGAGCTCTGGCTTTGCAAGAGATGCTGTGTTGTATCTCCGCGGCGGTTTTTGGCTTGGTGATGAGTTCTGTGACACCGAGCAGACTAATGGTAGTATGCTCACTGTCCAACGAAAACATTCGTGTTTCTTCGTCGTTGTGGCTAAAAAGTGACTTCGACCTCCCGAATACATGGGTACGATAGGTTAAAAATGGGGAGATGCTGGCAAAGGCTCGAGGATATCATATTGAGATAGATTTAGAGTGCCGACGGAGCATGTCTCCGAAAGGTTGAGGTTATTAGAAGGCATGAAGTTGAATTAACCTTAAAAGCTGGAGGCGGTCTTCCTTTAGCGAATTTCCTCCAACATTCCAGTAACCCGTCACCATTCAACATCCACCTGTCAAGGCAGACTTCACTGAATAATTTCACTCTTCTTATGATCCACAAATTGCATTCAAGTTTCTGTCGAAAATCGCCGAAACGCGTCGAAAACGCGTCGATTCGACTTGCAATGCACAAGTAACGAGGATCAGCCTTGCACTGCGTCCACAAGACTCCACACCATAGTCTTGATTTGTCTTCATACGACAAGAACTGGTATATCTCCAAGCACATAGCCAGGGGGTCTATTGTCATCTGCGGAGAAGACCCTTCGAGCCACGATGGCTCCAGAAAGCCCGAATAAGCAGTACCCTCTTTACAACACCACATTTTCCCTCTATCGAATCTCTCCTCTCTTCACGGGTAGCAGTCTGCTACTCAATCATGTCGCTCTACACCAACATGCACGACGATTTCGAGACATCCTTGCCGGTGAGGTACTGCGCGGGGTACGAGTTGGTCTGGGACCAGATGACAACGTGCTCGCGCGTGTAGGAGCACTGCACACTGTAACATGGAAGCTTCTGCCGGAGGAAGAGGCGTGGGCTGTGGAAGACGAAACATATATAGGGAATGACGATACAATTACAAGCCTGGCGATCAACAGAGGGGTGCTAGTTACGGTTACGTACGAGAAAATGGCATATCGAGCGATACTATTACGAGCTCGACAAGAGGGCAAGGTTGACGAAACCGTGGATAGTGCTAGGGGGGAAGATGATGGATTTCAGCATTTTCCCCTGTTGCTGTCAAAGATGCCTGGGCCTCTACGAGAAACATTCGTGGATTACCTCTCTACAACATTCGACGCTCGGGTTTCAGCTCTTCGCCCATCGAGCACACATTTGACGGATACTTTTGAGAAGTATCTTTCAGATATCTCAATTGGAGAGGACGGTGAGGTATTGGATGTGGCAGAGAGGAGCAGATCGTTGAGAAATGTCATCAAGGAAACGGCCGTCTTTCTTAGTTTTGATTTACCTGATGCATCTGCTTCTCTCAAGACGATTGACATTCAGATTGCACGGGAGGACCTACCAAAAATAATCACAATGGGGAAGCAGATTGGAAAGCAAGGCCCGGGAGGCAATCCATTTCTCGACGCTCTAACGATATACATTAAGGCCCACCTGGCTCTCAATATTGCAGACGAGAGAGTCAAAATTGTGAGGATAGCTTGCGGAGCTTTTGTATTAGGAGGCGAGGGAAGAGTCAAGATTACGCAACCTTTGAACGCTCCTGATGGGGACAGTCCTCAGAGTCGAGCTACCCGAAGATTGGTGAATGATTTGATTAGTGTCGCAAGTGGAGGGGCTTTGTCTAAGGAGGATGGGATATCTTGAACTTGGGGGCTACTTTGGTCATTGCAGAAGTCCGAGACCGAGATACTTTAATGGCTCTTAACCCACATATCTGGGACACTCCTGGGGAGACATAATACCGTTGTCATCAATTTGGCCGAGCCAACGAGTAGAGGTTGCTGGGGAGGAATTAGGTTGTGCTAGTACACCACACAAGGGTACACCGCAGGTATGTAGACCACGCACGTAGCGTTCAAAATAGTTGAATTGCAATGTCCCGAGTCAACTCGGATCATTCTCGATACTTACCCCGGGAATCGTTCGTCGAATTGTGGTACATTCGACGTCTGCTTGTTCCAAAATCTTGAATCTTCTAAAATACTAGACTCCTGTATACCCCCACGTCAACTATGACCTGGAACATTAAAAATGAGTGCCGGTGTTCTGGTCCACCACGAGACACTTTTTTGCTTAACCTGCGCACAAACCTCTTACTGGAGTGGTGTCACGTGTGTTCCGTCATGTGACTCATCGCCGGTCCTTCCTGCCTGGTCGGCCTTCTGTTAAGGTACTTATAATTTAGGTCCTTGCCTCTCCCGTTCCTCGCCATTTCTCGTCAACATTCGCAGTGTTGTAGCCTTTATCTTAACTTGCCACTGATCAAAGTTTCCCACGGCAGGCAAAACCAAAAGTGAGACACGGCAGCCCGACGAGTGGGGGGTGCACAACCGCACCTTGTGGTCCCACTACATCTTCTTGATTTTCCTCCCCACTACACCCTCATAATGTTCTCCGAACGTCTGTACAATTCCCCACTTAGCATACTGTACCTGTGTCACTAACTGTCAATAACAGGGTTCAGCACACTTGCCGCACGGGCGTCCAAGCCTGGCCAGCTTGCCGTCCCAACGCCTGATACCGATCTCGACGCCTCTACAGAACCATCTCCGTTTCGATTTCTTGATCTTCCAAAAGAAGTCCAATCCAAAATCATTGAGACAACTTTGACTATGGAGCGTCAAACATTCCGCCGTCTAAACCAGCCTCCTGAAGATCCTCTTGACACCAGTTCCCCTAGAATATATGACTTTAATATCAATGCTTTCGGCATGCGAAGCCATACTCTCCCCCCTTTCGGTCTACTATTCGTCAATAGAGAGGTATCTGGCGATGCTCTTGCCGCTGTCTATCAAAATTCGTCATTTGCTGTCTATGCGGAGATATCACGAGCTGGTGTGCCTGATGATGCCTTTGGATGCATTCCGAAAGTGGTAAAACACATCAGTCCCATGGTGAAGGAGAATGCCAGAGAAGTTACATTCAGAATTTCAGCCATTAACGAAGGACCCAAAAGACTCCCCACTGACCCAGTGACTATCAACGACGGAAGAACTCTGAGGCGTGCACTTGGTGATCTTCGGGTCCTGTTGAACGAAGCCACATTTCCTTACGCCAAAAGCTTGAATCTCGTAAGTTACATGCTTGGAGTATTAATCTCTCTTGTCGTATTGTTCAACGCCCCCTGGAACATTCTACCCCGAAGAATACTTGAGGTATGCTAACTTCGATTGTTGGGGATTAGGTGCTCATGACTTACGGGCTTGTTCAACAGCACCTCAACATTATCTTCAAGCTGTTTGTTGCTACCGGTTGTACAATATCCCTGGAGGAGGTCTGCAATGTTGGTTTGGGGCCCCACTTTTCGGCAAGTCAGCCAGATAAGACGACGTTCGGTGGAATGGTGGAACTTGCTGCTAAGGAGTGTATGTACTTGGAGAGAATCCCTTTCGTAATTTTGACTGTTTTGTGATTTCCACCCAAGACAATGTCTCAACTGCCTCGGAACATTCTGTACCGAGTAATTACTAACTCATCTTACCTAGGGGGCCAAGAATGGGTGTCAAAAGATGAACCAATTGAGGAGTCGACTTTCGGTCGAGGCGTTTGGCGTGCACAACAAGTTGCCTGGGTCCACCATCGAAAATGGAACAGAGTATTCGCTAAACCAGGACCGGCTCAACTTCCTTTCCATCCATTGTACAACTAGTGGTGGTTCTTTGAGCTCGTGGATGCTCTTACACAGGCGTAGATTCAGATTCGGCCAGGGAGATGGTGGAAATTGCAATTTTACGTTCAACCGTGGATACAAAAGAACAATGAAGTGGCGCAAACCATAATGTTCTCCGATATCTCAAATGTCCCAAAAGTGTACCCTCATTTCCCTTCTAATACCAGCCTTCGAAACATGCCCACATGTCTAATCCCACCCTCAAACCAACACCCCATCCCCTGATCAGTGACAAACCCATGTCTATCCCAAACACCCACCGCATTCTCCTGAGCGTGCACACAAACCAATCCCCTCCACTCCGGCACTCCACTTCCAACCCCTTTCCCAAGCTCACTAGCATTTGCCTTCGCCCAATCAAGCGCAGCATTAATCAACAAGTCCGCAAATCTCTTGCCCCTTTCCTCTTTAACCACACAAAGCCTTCCCAACTTAATATAACTCTCAACCCCATCATGCAAGCTTGTCTTCCTATCCACATCATACTCTGGCAGTGGCATATTAAACAACATAATCTGACTGAAACCCTCCGGTTCCTCATCCGGAGCCTCAAATCTTGCTCCCTCAGCTGGATGCTGATGATGCGGATAAGGAACCAGACGGATAGTACCAATAGGTCTTGCAACTGGAGATGAGGAGTAGAGGGCCCAGCAGAATGAGCGGGTGTCGTCTCGATCTTGCTGGTATTTTATCGGGACAGCTTTTTGTTCTGTGACGAAGACGGTTTCTCGGACCGTTTGGGAATCAAGGTAGGTTTGCGGGATGCCGGAACTGGGAGATTGAGCGGTTGAGGGAAGGCGGACGTTGTAGTTTAGGAGGATGATGCCGGGTGGTGGTTGGAAGAGGATTATTGGCGGTGAAGCCATGGGGTGAGTGTGACGCGGAGAGAAAGGAGAAAACGGAGAAGAAGATGCTGATGAGCAATCCAAAGAGATTTGTGAAGAAAAAGTTATCTCTTGTTTCAAGAAGAGGACTTCACCACTGAGATGAAAGATGATTGTGCAAGTGGGCGGCACGGTTTTCAGCCACGGGAGAAGCCTTGCTATTGGTCCTTCCGGAAACCTCCTGAAATCCACATGATCTACCTGGCCTTGCCGCTTGGCCGTATAGCCCGATATTAAGTTAACAAAGAGAGAAATAATCCTTCCGATCTTCAAGAACATTATTGTAATTGACTCGAGTATTTGCCATTGTGGCAAAAGTGGGGTTGAAAGATTTCTAAGCCACAGCGCGGGGTTAGGGTAGCTTCAGCACTACTCGTACCAAACCTAAATCCAACAACTCTAATTATTTTAATCCTCTTGATATCTTGCCATTTTTCACTGTGTATATCCTTTTTTCGATTTTCAATTGCCTTTTAAAGTATAGATCCCTTCTCAAACCCAGGATGCTTGACGTCCTCTGCTCCGGCACGCCCGAGGAAGTGGGTTATCATCACGGCTCAAAAGGAAAACTTCAAATCAGCCGCTCAATCACCTTCTACAAGGACCTCTTCCAATCGAAATGTAAAATGGACTGGGAAGAAGTAAAACAATTCGCCTTAAAATACGAGCCTTATTTAAAACAGCATTGGCCTCAGTATATCGAGGAGATGCAAGGCGTGGCGAAAGGAGCTGAAGTTACGTATCCTAACATTCTAGCCCTGAATGTTCGGACTGAAGTCGCCTTTGGGAATTTCAATGATGGGTGTACTGCTTTTTCGTGGAAGGGGGCGAAGAGTTCGATTTTGGCGCAGAATTGGGATTGGAATGTTTCATGTCCGACTCCACATTTGACCGACTGGTGCAAAAGGCAAGCTGAAAATCTCATCTGTTTGAGAATCAAGAAATCAGATGGTGTGAATATCCAAATGATCACAGAAGCTGGTATCATCGGGAAAATAGGAATGAATTCCAATGGTGTGGGGTGCACTCTCAATGCTCTTAAAGCGCATGGAGTTTCATATGACAAGTTGCCGTGCCATCTCGCACTACGGACCGTGATGGAAAGTTCTTCGCGAGAAGCTGCTGTTCTTACTTTAGAGAAAGCCGGAGTGGCAAGTGCTTGCCATATCTTAGTTGGTGATGCCACTGGAGGTACTGGTCTTGAATGCAGCTCTGAGGATTTGGTCAAACTGGAGATGAACAGAGAGGTGATTGTTACGCATACGAATCATTATGTACTGAAGCATAAGGACGGTGTCGTTGAAGCGCCTGACTGGCTTCCAGGTACTAGGTTTCGGTTGAGCAGGATCAACCAGCTGTTGAATGGAGCAAAGGAGGAAGAACTCAATGCGGAGCTCGCCGCAAGGCTTCTGAAGGATGAAACGGAGGGCGACGGTGCTGCAATTTGCAGGTCGGCCAAGTCTGCAAAGGACAATCTGCAAACCCTCTTTTCCATTGTCATGGATTTAGGGAACAAGAAAGCCAAGGTTGCTGTGGGGCGTCCCGCGAGTTCCACTGAGATACTGGTTTTGGAATCCATGAATAGAAAAGTGTGAAAATTTTGAATCATTGCAAATGCATACTATTTGCAATGCAGGTCATGAAATCGTGACTTATGTCATCGTAGGGCAACAACAAGCCGGTCGGCATATCCCATATCCTCAACATATCCCCAAACTCCAACGCTATGCGAATCCCGCGAGAACTTCTTGGAGGGCTATCAAGCTCACTCCGCATTCCATCATGCCTTTGTTAGATCAATCAAATCTGGTACAGGTGGTCCCACTCCTCTCAACAGCACAATTCGGTTGCCGCTGACAAGTGCACTGCCAACTTTCTCATTGAATTCCAACAACCTTCCACCCTCAACGTGGAATACCCTGAGCTTGTCTTTCTCGTCCATCCCTTGGTTATTCACATTTTGTACTTGTAGGCTCTTAGCAGCCGCATCCAAAACTCTGCCTATCACCCAATCCTTCGAGTAGAAAAAGGCTCCTTCGGGAAACTTTGATTTCGTTGTTGCCGCTTCTGCCTCAACATACAGATATACACGCTTTTCCGGAGGGAGTTTGTCGTCGCCCTTTGCCGTCTTCTTCAGATTGTTTGTAGCCACCAGCCTCGCAGCTGCGGACGTTGGTTTCGGTTTTGGCAGAGCTCTTGATACGCTGGCCTTTTGTGCTGTTCCCCATGCCTTCAGCTTGCCAAAAGCGCTTCGGGCACTTTCTGTTTGGCTGTTGAATTTGCTAGGCCGGGCACCGATCGGGATGAGATTCTTGCAGTCGTGATCTTCCTTTAATCGATGCTTGAGACAGTAGTCTCTATTGCAAGTCGGGCAATGCACCGCCGTAGATAGGCTCGTGCCGATTACTGTCTTGCATGCCGGTGATGCGCAAGGCTTTTCAACCTCAGCCATTGACCTCCCGGCGCCAAGGCTGGGTGTTGACAGATTCGCCTTCCGCCGCCGCGCAGCCCATTCTCCAGCTTTCGGACATCTATGGCCGGTCTCGGATCGGTGGTCGAGGCAGAAGGTTCCTCGACATGATTCGCAGCGGAAGGGAAGGAAATCAAGTTGGTTACAGTATGCGTACTGGCAGTGCTCACCGATTAACGTGGGGTCCTTCTCGTTCATTTTTGTGAAGGTCGATTCTTCTGGAGGGTCTGAACGCGATGAGGAAGCCATCTTGAACGAGTGGCCAGATGGCCTTGATATATGCCGGGTCGACGTACTAGGCAGATGGCAATTTCGTAATGAAAGGCGAGGCTGGTATGAGATCTGTAATCATGGTTCGAGTCTTCTGGAAGTTCACGAGGCTGAGCTAGTTTGGCTAGCGTGCTCGCTTAGGATTAGCGTCTTGGCCCCGCTCCAGGGGTTTAAGGGGTTCCAAGTAAACACCTGTATACCTTCGTTTGTCACAATGACTTTCCAGTTCTCCATTTAAGCGCAGGACTCCAGGCTGTATTAAAATTGCAACCTGAAAATGACTGCTCTTGTTTTTTCTGGCAAAGCTCAGATATGATGAGCCTGCAGATGTTCTGCTCAAGGGGAGCTTCAGTCTTCAGCGAGCGTGTATAAAACGCGAATACAATTGTGCAAGTAATCAAGGGCATGTTATGAGATTAGTGAAATACGGGCTGTGGTCATATGTGCATAAGGAATTTCGCTATCACGATCACTTACTGACTTCGTGGCTGAACGGTAAGTTACTTTCCCAAGTACGTTAGCGAGTGTCCGGTGAGTGGTCAAGAAGAGAAATAGTCCTCGAGCTGAAACTCTTCCTGAAAATCCAGGGCAGATGTAGGCACCGGCAACCTTGGAGGGAAGGATTAACTAGTGCCGAAATGTTTTGCTACTTTAATCGCTTTTCTTTTTGGAGTCCCTTGATTTTTTGTTATTTTGTGGGGCTTTTGATACTCGATTAAGGGAGATGTGAGAGTCAACTTCACTACGAAAGATTAAGGTCGCTCGGTAAAATTGTTATTCATGCCCAATACAAAAATTGAAACTCTATGTCAGGCTTCAGCGATGCTCATGAAATATTCCAAAGAAATGGTAGACGAGTTCTCGTCCAAAGAGAAGTGGAAATTTTGGATAATTCAAGAAGAGGACGCAGAATATCCACGACTGCCTGTACGAGGATAAAGCTCCTTTTTGGCCTAGCACCTCTTCAGATAGTAATCTATCGACCTCAACTTGGTGTATCGAAAATCTTTCCCGGATTCAACAACCAGTAAGGATCCAACGCCTGCTTAATGCTCTTCATAACTGCCACGATTTCTGGCCCTACTTCCTGGAGGAGCTCATGCTTCTTGAAGAATCCAATCGAATGCTCGCCCTGGCCGACGTTAGTTTGAGCAAAACCACAAAGTTGAAAGTGGCACTTACTGTTGATGTTCCATCCATTTCCAAGGCACGTGTTATCATGGTCTTGACATGTTTCTCAACTGCAGCCGATTCCACGGGATCTGTCTTGTGGTACATTATCGCTTCGTGGAAATTGCCATCGCCCAGATGGCCAACAATTGATGAGAACAGGCCGAGATCCTTCAGACCCTTTGTTGAGGTCTCTGTATTGTGTAAGCTAAAGCCGGGACATTGACTTTGCTGGACTCACCAATCATCGTAGCCAATTTTGAATATGGTACCGCAACATCGGTCGTCCATAACTCAGTGCCTTCAGGCCTAGAGGCAAGTAAACTCCACAACGCTTGTTTCCTCGCTGACCACAAAAGATCTTGCTCTTTATTGTCCCTTGCAAATCGGAATGCCGCTCCATGATGTGATTTTGATATTGCCTCGACTTCCTTAATATTATCTGCAACACTAGCCTTCGTTCCCGAAAACTTGAAGAACAAAGTTGGCTTTTCTTCAAAGACAATCGGCGCAGTATATTCGCCTCTGTTCAGCACTCCCATCTGGACCTCGTCTAGGAATTCCAGAGCAGCCACTGGGACTCCTGCACGTACCACAGCAGAGGCTGTGTTGGCAGCGTCGCGGATGGTGGGGAATGTCGCAGAGGCTACACTAAACTCTTTGGGTATAACTGCCAGCTTCAAGGTGATCTCGGTAATTAGGCCAAGTGTCCCCTCAGAGCCAACAAAAATACCGTTCAAATTGTACCCAGCCGCGGATTTCCGAGGGCGATTCCTTGTTTTGATGATCGTTCCATCAGCCAGAACAACCGTCATGTTCAGTACCCAGTCCTTCATCGTGCCATATCTGACAGCATTTGTGCCAGAGCAGTTTGTCCCTACCATTCCTCCAAACTTGGCACTAGGACTTGGATCAACGGGAAAGAACAACCCCCTGTCAGCGATCTTGGTGTTCAGATCCACCCATCCGCACGATGGTTGCACGACAATATCTAGATCCTCTTCGTGAAACTCCACGATTTTGTCCATATGCATGAAATCAACACTGAACCCTCCATGGGGAGCGGAGTAGTTGCCTTCCAGACTGCTGCCACCGGAATATCCTATGATTGGGACTTTCCACTTGTGGCATGTCTTCATGATACGAGACACTTCTTCGGTAGATTTTGGGTAAACAACGGCAATGGGGAGAGTATCGATATTTGATGGGGACCATTCTGAGTAGCCATGTAACTTGAGATCCTCGTCGTCTGTACTGAGACTCTCATCCCCAAGAACTGAACGAATCTCCTTGATAGCCTGGCCGGACTTAGCGAACAAATTTTCGAGCGTCTTTTTGACCCTTACTGCTTGCATATCTTTGACACTCCCATAATTTGGAGCCGGAAATTTGGAGGCTCGAGAATAGTTGATATCTTGGCCGCTGGATTTATTGTATGTAATACCAGCCGCAAATCCAGCCCCCCCAATGGCTATAGCCAGGAATCCAGCTCGAGCAGGAGGCCATGGCGATGTTGCCGGCTTTGGTAATGCCGAGGTACTCTTTCCCCTCCGGAAGATAACCCTAGATTTTCGTGCACTCGTAAATCTGGTGGGTGTTATGAAAAGCCTCGTTGCTCGTGAAGCCATTTTCACAGGCTCTGGGGGGTGACTGTTCTTCAACCGATGGATATACGCAATTCTGTTTTGCAATAGAATGGAGTTTCTTCTTGGGAAGCTCCTCAGTGGGGGAGCGAGCTACTGCATTCCTACAAATGCAAGAATTTGATCAAGCTCGGCGTGGCAACTGCAACTCGATGTCAACATGAGACAATTCTTTCCCAGCCGGTCCCGGATGCCTTGCCTATCTTTATTTCGTAGTACCGCAGACTGAGAAATAAAAAGCTTGATATACTCCACAAGGGTGGATCGGATTGAAGTGAGGTTCGGCAGTTAGGGGCCAAAGTCCGTGCGCAGCCCCCTGAGATGGCGCTGACAGGGCGCTAACCTCGAACGGGTACAGTCTTTTCAAACATCGGACTTCAAATGTCAAAGTTGACTCCAACCCTCAAACAAACGACAACATCTTGAGATCAATAGGGAACTCTTTCCTCAAACCAATTCATACGAGTGTATGCACAACTGTGTAGTTCCAGCCCGCACATTGGGGTAGAAGTGTTTTGATCGAATAGCATCTGCATTATTTGATGGTTTTTGATATCAGCTGTCTTTCAATATCCCAATAGCCATGCCCATAGCCTGTCTGCAATCTATCCGCTGTCGTACAACGCCCGTCTCTGACAGCTGCTGTGGGAGTCTGCTTTGAGCTGCGCCCTTCAGCCTCGCGTTGATTCAGCCCTCCTCAACTCGAGAAATCTCACAGATATCCCCTCTCTAAATCCAATGCCTTCAGCAGAATGTTCCTACATGCGACAGGACATTCCCAAGCCGATCACCTTTTGTTCGTATTCTAGCCTCTAGCAACGTCCCGATGTGAGTGCCACCAATGTCGGGCCTTGAAGTAGTGGGCGCAATTGCCGCAGTTGTCCAATTGGCATAAGTGGTGTATGAGATCTTTAAATCTTTATACGAGGTTGGGAACGCCTTGGCCAATGCATCTTCAGACATTCTAGACCTAGCTCATGATTTGGAAATTTTCTTGGAAGAACTATACCTCCAGGCATCCCTCGTCAACGCCGCAAATCATCGATACTCCGATCAGGTCAACAGACTCACAGCAAAGATCATTGGCCATTGTGCTACGAATGCGGAAAGATTGACCGAATTTTCAAGAAGCTCCGAACAGGTGGCGTTTGGACCACGGTAAAACAGCCCTACAAGGAGAAAGAGATCAAGAAGCTTTTGGAAAGGATGAGGGATCTGAAACCGAGCTTGGTCGGGACGTTGAGCCATTTGAGGTTCTTGAAAGCAGATTACATGATGGATGCCCTGGGAGTCGCCCAGTCAAGCTTGTTGGAAGGAGAAGAGGACGAAGAAATGTCGAGAGAGATGATGGAGGATATCAATGAGACGAGGATGGCTAAGCTTACCGTAAGCCACAAGCTTGAAGATTCAGTGGCTTGCAAGGTCCAGAGTAGTGCAAGATCTTCAGGCTCGACGAAGACAGCTTGCACCGAAGACTGCTTTCACTCTCAGAAGCCCCGGGACGATGTCTTGTCGCAAAGTACTTCTTCCACGCTACCGTATCAAGACCATCAATTTTCCTGAGGGAATATTCTTCTCTTCGTCAAAGTCGAAACATCATCAATTGACTGCAAGGCTTAGGATTTGTAAGTATTGATCAAAGGACACAGCTATGATAATCGCAAGTTCCCTGTCCCAAGCAACTCTAATTCCAGGGCGTGGAGGAATCTAGCCGATAAGATGAATGATTTGGCTTGTGGAAATGTTAGCATACTTCTGGTGAAGTGGATTGTGGAATTTACCTTGGTTCATTCTCAGCGTGGCTGATGAAGGAAGTCCGCTTCCTGCCTTACTCGCCCACTTGGCTCTATCCTAGCCAGTGCGAGCTGATCTCCTCGGCCTGATAATAGTTCACCAATATTGGACGAGATTATTCTAATACCACAACATGCATACTCATATGCTCCACCGCGTCCTTGATGCTCCTCATCCACCGATGATTAATGCAATACGGACACCTCACCGGCTGTTCGCCCACCGCATTCAGTGCAGCCTCCCTTCTCGTAGGCACTTGAGGAATAACCACCCCAGACGCGGTATGCAGCTGAAAGCCTTGCGGACTCCCTTGCGGATTGCCGTTCCCATTAACACTCATCGCACTGGCATTCATATCCCCAAACATCTGACTGTTCCCATCCCCACCAGCCTCACTCCCCAGTCCATCCAGACTCTGACCCTGCCTCATATCCTGAGGCTGTTGTTGCATCCCTTCTTGTGACCCTTCACCGCTCTCCTGCTGCCTCTTCTTCAAGATCTCCGTCTTCGCCCTCCTGCACTGTTGTAGATGCACCTCCGCACCATATTCCCTCAACAGACACTCCCTAATCTCCACCGGCGTCGTCTCCTTCGAGATATTCATCAACCTTGGCAGGATCTCCATCAGAAACGGCAGTCTCGACGCACTATTCCTCTGCACCTTCGGCAAGACAGGCACAACCTGATTCCCCATCTCATTTGGGTTCGGGACCCTTCCATCACTAATCGGGCCCAGCACCCTCACACCACCAACAATATTCCCCTCCTCATCTTGCCTTATCTCCAACTGCGGCGCGCCACTCCCAGGGATCCCATTCATGCCACCCGGCATGCCTCCTTGAGCACCAACACCATTCATCGGAAGCGGTCCTCCAGGACCACCACCAGGCACGCCGCCACTCCACTCCAGCCCGTTCAAACACGTATGCCTATCCCTCAACACCGTCACCCGTGCCAGCGGTTCCCTCCCATTCTTCCTCTCCCAATTACAGCGTATAACGAATGGGCAGTTCGGATCTCTCTTGCAGCCCACGCGCACTCTTCCTGTATCCGACTTCAGGATCCGCGGCTCGAAATGGGCCTCGATGGCCCAGGCGTGCAGCGCCTCCTTGAAGGCTTTGAGGGTTGGGAATTCTTGGCGCAAGTGCAATGGCGGCATTTCGATGTTTGGATGTGGGGCACAGAGGGGGGTCGAAGATAGGGGAGAGGATTGGGGTATAGAGGGATGGATTGAGGGAGGGTAGTTGGGGATGATGTTGGGTTATGCGAATGTGGCATGATGGAGCCGCCGGGGTAGGCGAGGTTAGTAATCGTGGCTGAAAAAGGCATCAAAAACGAGGCGACAGGGGTGTGGCGAACCCCTGAGATACACTTCTCCCTGCCGAGATTAGCTGGGCATGTTCTGTCACCAAGGCGAGGTCATTGGAACTGCGGTATTTTTCATAGTTGCTTTTGAATTACCTGTCCTGTAGCTCATATCTCGTCAGGTAACGCAACGTAGTCCAAATACGCGCTCATGATAGTTTCCATCCTGCTTCGCAGCCTAACAAAAGAGAAACCTTGGTATGTCCATCGTCCAGAAGTATGCAATTCATTCGACTAAGAGAAAACGTGCCCACACTAAACACCGTGAAACGCCGCGGATATCCCCTGTATTCTCTCACTCCTCCCCTAAAATTGTTGTCGAAGAAAAAAGGAATCTGCTAAGAGAAGGCTCAATGAGCGTGGATTTGGTTGCGTGAGTAGCTATTACCAACCCCACGTGAAAGGTCTTACATCCGAAGCAGATTAAGAAGTGTAAGTAAGGTATGCGGTTTGAACGGTCTCGCTTCATCGAATATAGCGAGTGTGGTATCCCGCCAATCCAGCTCGTCACGAACGGACGTCGACCGGTGGTAAAGCTGCCAGCAGTGGTTGTGAGCCGCAGGCCATAGGCCACAGCTGATCTCACAATGAATTTAATCGACGTAGATGATAAGTTTATCGTTTCTTTCGATGGCCGTGTCCAAGTCTTTGTCGCTTATCAGGTTGGGGGTGGTTGAGCTGCTCTCATCTCTGTATCTTAACGCAATCTCTTCTCCCTCTGGGATCTTCAGCCGTTCTCGAATCTTCTCATAAAGTTGATCAAATTGAACGTTTGTGGGGACCCGTATAGCTATAAGATCATCACCGAAGTAAATCTTAACCTTCATTGCTGCTGGCTGCTGGCCGTTTAGACCTGGAGAGAGAGAAGTAGATGAGGGTTGAGAAAGTGATGAAGTCTGGCGGGTAACTCCTTAAATGCCATTAGCTGAGAGTGACGGCTGACCTCTTTGATGGGGGACATTACGGGCAGGTGCAGCCGATAGGCCTGCATAGTTTCCACCATTCAAATTACCACGAGAAGACTGCCGTGAAGCTCCATTTGTGGGAGAGTCTGTAGACGAGTGCTGTGATCCGCCTGACAATCGATATTCCTCGTTCACAGCATTTGGTTCCATCTCATAATCACCTTCCCGAGGGGCAAAAAACTGCTTTACCAAAGTACACCTGGAAATGTACGGTGGCTGGGTGAGAAGATTCTTGACATACGCATCCAGGTTGTGTTGTCTTCCTTCGGTGATCGCATCAGTAACGTAATTGACGGGTCCAGGCATGTATGGCAGCGTCCTTTTCTGTGTTCCCGTGTTACCAGCTTCCGCAGGAAATTCAGTCAAAAGCTGAATCTGGAAATCATAAAAATCTTCGTAATACCGGGACAGCTCCCAATGCCGGCCATCTTCCAGCGCTGCCTCTATCACAAACCAATATTTGTCCTCGGCAAAGCAGTATCGTGGTATCCGGGCAGAAATGGGCGCATATAGCTGAGAGTTTGACTTTGCCGCGTAGAGATTCTGCTGAACTTGTTGGCCGGGCCTGACTTGTTGCGATTGTCTCATCTGTTGCTGGATCAATTAGCCACTGCTGGACCATGAGATCATGCAAACTTACATAGCCATTCGGTTGCTGAGATTGTCGGGCGCCCTGCTGCAAACTCATTCGGTCCATACTCTGCTCCAATCCTTGCTGAGAATTTGCCGCCTCGAACTTCCCCAGCGTAATGCTACTATTCTTGTAGTCCGCAGCCATTTTCTTCCACTCCTCGACCTTCGGCACACCTGCTCGTTGGACGGCCTCTTGTGCATCCGTGACCGCTTGACCAGAAGTCATGTCTCTTATCTCAATAAAGGATACTGGAATCAATCCAGGTCCGCCCAATCTGCCAATTGGTTTCGCGACAAACCACTCTGGATTCGATTGCGCAATCACAATGATTGCCTCTCCAGCCTTCGCATCTAGTTCGTCCGGCCGCTCCGCAGCAAAGTCGTACATCACGATCCCATATACCATTGCCCCCGATCCCTTGCCCATTGTCTTGGATGAGCGCGCCGTGTTTGTTCCTGTCCCAACCAAAGTCCCGGAGGTGTCCGAGTATCCAGAATCATGGTCCGGAGCCCTTACAGCTTGTGGTGACTCCTCAGACTGTCCGCTATCCCGCTCGGTCTTCCCCAAAGCTTGAAAGAAGGCCACTGGTACCAGTCCTCGAGCATCGGGGAGCGCTGGGTTGCATGCTTCGTACCAATCTGTGTCATTCTCTCGGCCAATTACATGGAAAAAGTCGCCCTTTTGAAAAGATAATTCTTGGCTCGATTGCGCCTCGTAGTCATATAACGCACGGATTACCTGAATGATCACGACCTGTCAGCACACCCCTCGGGGATGTGGGAGTCCTGGACGATGGCTACATACCTTCTTTGGTGGCACTATCGCGACCGCGGACTTTGGTGTTATTGATATGTGGTTGACTTTCTCTCGGTCATTTTTCAAGCTCCTCCTGAGGGCCTGCAAGAATTGCATTGTTAGCACGAAGCCGCCCTGGCCAGCCGAGGATTGTGGGAGGAGCGGGCGAAGAGACTGACCTTCATGGTGTGTGTGGTTGCCCTGCTTTACGTCGCACACCTCCCAGCCAGGCAAAAAGCAAAAGTTGTTCCGAGTGAGTCTTCCGTGTAGCAGACTGGATTGATGGTAGTCACACGCTGATCCCGTTGATTGTTTGTTCTGCGCGATTCGCTCAACTCCTTCCGGTGAAAGCAACAAAGGATAGCAGTACAGCAGCCGACAGCAGAGAACGCGTGAATGGGGGGGCTCGACAGGCGAGATGATTCCGGCAGCGGAAATATCAATTTCAAGGTTCCTTGCAGTCGCAGTATCCTGGTGGAGCGAAGGAAGGCTTCCTGGGAGGGTGGATTTCTGGAAGAAAGAGGGCGAAGCGCGCTATTCCTGTTTGGAACACCCCTCAGCTCAAGAAGCGCAGGGGGCCAAAGGGCAGGGATGGGGCGACGGAGATGGGGGCTTGGAGGATGGGGATGGGATGGGATGGATGCGAACGGCTGTGTGTGTCCGTCAAATGTCAAGAGGCTGTCGCGCAAAACAAGAGGCAGCAAGCGTTGCTTCGATGGGGGAGTGCGGTGTAGTGTGGTGTGGTGCGTGTGTGTGTGTGTGTGTGTGTGTGTGTGTGTGTGTGTGTGAGTACGTTCGTAACTTCGTGTGCAGCGACTTGGCTGGATGGGTCGGAGGCACTGGTGGAGGAGAGGAGGACGACGACGAGAGGAGGAGGCCTGGCAGAGGAGGTTGAAAGGTCCGTTTTTCTGCACCCCAGCGACTGCCGACCCGAGCGACTTGAGTGGCCTTGCCTTGCCTTGACTTGCGTCGTCTTGCCTTTGCCTTGAGTTGAGTGGTCTCTTGCTGCTTGCTGCTTGCCTTGCCTTGAACTTGAACTTGACCTTGGCCCTGCACCTGCGCCTGCATTGCACCTGCACCCGCGCCTGAACCCGACCCTGGCTCGGCCGCTCGACAATTTTTAGAGCCCACGTTGCTCGCGTCTCAGGACTCTGCGGGCATGCGCATCTACGCCGGGGAGGTGTCCCTGTGTGACATCCCGTCATGCTCGGGTTCTCAGATATACTGTATGCCCACGACGTGTGTGGGAGACGCACAGGCTGCGTGCCCAAGGACAGGGCCCGAGGATCTCGTGTTGAGCCCTACAGAACAGCACATTACAGCACAGTACAGCACAGTACAGTATTACGACGCGACGACGATCCTCCTCCTCCATTCAAACCGCCTCTACTGTACTGTATCAAAATGCCTCAGCGCATGAGCAGGATCCGTGAGTGGCACCTACCACTTGTCGCCGCTGCAGATCACCCGCCCCGAGGGCTTTTCACTCCCGTCTTCACTCCCTCTGAATCCCCCATCCAGAGCGTGACCACAATCTATCAATGACATTCACAAATTCACAGATTCGCAGATTCGCGGATTCACAAGCTCCCAGCAACGCTCACTCCTCCGGCATGCGCCTGCAGCTGGCGCTCTGCAGGTCCTCAACCATCTCTATGGGCTGAGGTCCGCAGGCGCACCCAATCAGGCCCAAAGACGAGCCTCCCCCAACCGCTTCAGCTCCAGCAGCGGCACTGTCAGCCTCTCGAGTGGTCGCTTCTTGCTAGGCTGGGGTGCCTCTTCATGCTCAGCACATCAATCTATATCGCGACTCGTCAGGTCATTACTTCTTCGTACCATCAGCTCTCCGTTGCCACTCGCCACCTTGCCTCACCCAGATGACTTTCGAACTCGATGGACCGTCCTAGAAAGTCTACAGCCTCTCCCGCAGCACAATCCGGCACGAGCAACAGAGTTTGCTGGGCTGAAGCAGATAGATGGATGCCAAATTACGTCTCCTCTTCCAAACGACGCGCTGAGGCCAGGAGGCGGTTTCTGCCCCCACCCCTACGCGGCGCCAAGGCATCAGAGGCTCACGAGCTATTAACAGGATCTGCTTCCCATCTCCGGAGAGGGGTCCCTGGGCTTCTGGTATTGCCAGGATCCTCTAGTATCGTTCTTGGACCTGAGACAATCGATAAACGATTGCCATCTCAGGGACCAGCCGTGAAACAAAACGGCACCCCTCGCTCTTCATCACGATCATTGCACAAGCGGGGTGCCATCTCAGAAGGAATCCAAAAGGAATGCCATTATTTTCGTCGAAATGAGGCTAGATCAGTCATTCAGACAAAGGAATTCACTCCTCGAGGACCAGAAGAAACTACATCAAGGAATGGCCTGACTTCGACCCCAAATCCAATTATTCTCACACCTTCTTTGTCTCTCTCAACACGGCAAAAGAATCTTCTCCCGCTTCCATCGCATAGACTTCTTCCAGAAGCATTCCCTTCCTTGGGCCCTTCCTTTATCGGCACCTCCAAAGTGTCAAGGGTCTCGAATTCGGGTTGTCGCATGGAAAGATTTCGGTAGCCAACTATCCCCACCGGGAACGCCGCGATCCGCACGCATGATTGTTACAGATTTCCGTGTAAGTGGAAATATGTGATCCGTGCCCAATGCCACATCGTCATTTTGCCCAGGGTATGCACGGTTTTGGGGTGCCGAAGTCTATGCATAAGGCGGGGGAAGCCTCTGAAACGGGAAAGAAGTGCTTTTCGGGAATTTCTGTGCACATCAAGATGGTGGACAAAAAGTCTACAAGGTAGGCCAAGACATGCCATGAGGTTGTGTTTAAGTCTCCGATCTGTGGGAGATTACAGAATGAGTTGTCACTTGTTGGGATTGAAGCCATCCTAATTGGTCAGAGGAGTGTGTTTTGTACCGCTCGAGTAGTGTTTTCCCATGGACTCGAGAGGGTATTGTGGACGACGGCTTTTCCGGCTCATTCGAAAGTTTGCCCCAAAACTTCACCCTGATAGGTTCAGAGCTTTACGCTTCAAGAGCTTGAGACCGCTTTGTATAGTGGCAACGTTACCATCTTGCATCATGCAATTCGGTATTTCGATATGGCTTGAAATATTCCCAGTCTTTTGGAAAACAAGCTTCTTACCTCGATGATTCTTCATATAATCATAACCATGCCGCCGTTCCAATGCCCAAATATTTACATCTGGACCCTCATCGTCAAATCTCTAGTTCCTGGTAGTTTCGTTTTGAACGCCGGCCTGCCACCACGGCCACTGACGCCTTCAAGTTCTGAATAAGCAAGGGTTGTGATCTTGTGACCTTGGGCAATGTTCGCTCGATTGTTATTGTACTTCTTCAATTCCCGTGCGAAGTAGACGAGGGCTGCTATGAGTGCCAAATCGAAAGGTATTCCAATACCCAGACTAAGCCCTCAAGCTAGGGAGTTAGGTTTCGAAGAGTTCAGAGGTGGATTTGTAGTCACAGATTGTGATGTCGATATGCCCGTGACCATGCTGACACTCGAAGTGAGTGCCGCAATTTGATCAGGCCGTAAAAGGATTGTCCCAATCGGAATTGAGAGCAAGCTCGCAGTGTTGTTGCAAACAGAAGCATCCAGCCCATAGACATAGGAAATGGCGCCTCCGTTCTGCTCAGTCTTCGGACAAGGAAAAAGGGCCTATGCAAACCCCACAACTAGAACCAGTCAACCCCGGTTGTGGAAGGATTTCGGACTCTTTGAAGAGGAATAGTCCTACCAGGGCAAATGTTGCTGCACGAAAGACCCTATATCGGATCGGTGCAGCCTTTAATCGAGAGCAAGTTATTCCGGAAGCCGTTGAAGCGGACGTTGTTGGATAGGCAGTAATCTGCTGCCCGGCAACACATTAAAACCACTGCGGTTGGATTGCATGGCACCAAACCGGACTGCACATTTCCTAAAGGATTATAACAAGTCGCAACCGCGATAGCCCTGGAGGCAGGCATTAAAGCAAATGTTCCCCATTTGAGATTTATGATGGCATTAAGATTGAGGTTGGGCAGGCGGGGAACCATTCAGAATGGAAATACGTGGGGAAATTCCCGGAGATGATGCCGCAAACACAGCCCAGACAGACATTTGGCTTGAATGGTTGCAGAAACAATCAAAGTCAACAGCCACTTGGCACGAGAGCATCCTACAAACGCAAAGCGCTTAATTCAGACCGCTCGGCAGGACTCTCTTATTTACCATGTTTCTTCGAATTCGCCTTTGTTGAGCGTTTCGATCGTGCACTAAATATTTTCTTGAGGCCATTACAAGTGCGCTTAGTCTCAGGCCTTCTTAAGAATATTTCTTCAATGTAGCAAAGCAACTGCCACCATTTTACTAGATAATTCCTTGAAGTTAAGACAGCTTAGTGGTTTGCGATCTGAAGTTCAAGATTCTGTTTTCCTTTCATAAAGATCAGGAAATGTCGTAGCACATGACTTTTCGTTCACATCACGCTCATCTTGCAATTGCATTTATAGTCTCTGCTACTCGCCATTCGTTTTGATCGCTATAAGATAATCCACCAAAAACGCCCCTTTCTCAGCTGCTTCTCACTCGGGCAGGAAGAAACTACTTCGCCCCTGTAATGACTAATTTCAGCGAGAATCCTCCAATGAGAAAGATAACCTGCCCCTCAGCTCTCTATGGGGATGAAAGTTAATCGCCAGAGCAACGCGCAAGTGTAAATCATAATCTGTGGATATGACACCCGGACTCGTATACTTTCTCCTATTCTTACTGCTCGCCTGACTACACCGTCCATTTTGTAACTGAATGTCCAGACGGTTGTCTTTTGAAGCGCAATTGGCCTTGCAGGCGAGTCACTCGATCAGTGGCGCAGCAAAGCTCTTCCTTTATCCTCAAGTTATACATCGAGTTCAAAAACAAAGGTTTTGCCAATTCGGGGCTGAACACTAAATGAATTGTTTCACAATGGGGGCAGATGACTCAAATAGAGTCCAGAAAAACATCTGCCTGACCCAGCACGAGTTCCACAACATCATACATAGTGATTGTTTTCATTCCGCTAGACTTCAAAATACACTTGCACCTGACCATGCACCAGTTCCACAACACTTAATAGAACTTGATTGATCTCATTCTCCCCAATATTACGATTTCCCTTTCCCACATCTTGCTAACTCAACGAACGAGGAATCCCACCATTAGAAACCCTTCGAGTGAAAACCTTGAGAACGCAATTGCCAATCTGCCCCTCGATACCAGTTTGCGAGTAAGCCAGGATTTCCACCTGCCTATAAATACAGGTATTGAGTAAGGATATCCGCTGTAATGTACAAGTAACAAGCTCCACCCACTCCTAAACCTATAGCTTCCAGTCCAGGCTTTACTTCCCCTCCATCCCTCAGTTTCTCCATGAGTTCCAATTTGATGAGTCCCTTCCCTGACCCCAAGTTTCACCACAAAATCAACCCAGTCTTTCGAAAGAGCGACCTCACTGCTTCTTCCACTCCGTGCACGTCTCGCATTTGCTGTGCCCGCAAGCGGCACACTTAACCTCCTTCAACTCATTAATTCCACCACACTGTACCTTGTCAGCCAACCAATATTTTAACCCCTCTCAACCAATGGTACTTACAGAAAGAACATTCTCCTTCGGCGTCCTGCAACAACAGATCCAGAACGCGCTGGGGTAAGCAAATAGAGACATGTCCTTTTTCCTGGTTTTTGTCGCCGGACCAGCCGGGAGCTCTCGTCTTCTATTTCTTGAATGCAGATTGACCTCGCTCTTCTAAGCAAATATTATTGATTGTAGAAGGTGGGTGTTTTGTGTAGGGGCGGGACAATGAGAGAGGAAGGAAGAAGGAAGGAGCAGAAACGTGGGGAGAATGCGGGATCATATACGGTATTAGGAAACTGCCCACGTGCTCAAGTGCAAGAACGTTCGGTGGCTTGGTGCATACAGATACGTGGGGAGCCGTGATTAGGCGAGCTGTAAGACAGATCTCGAAATCGCCCGAGAGGGTGGTGTGGTGATTCCTAAATGTCACTCTATTGAAAGAAGAAAGTCCTTCCCAGGTGGCTGAGTGCAAGTGCAAAAAGTAATTGAATGATTCAACACTTGGTATCTTTCTCTCTACGCGGCATGAATCGTGATCTCATATAGCGTTGTACAGCCTGCTTGCTTCAGGAGCGTGCTTTTCGTCAATCCAGTTCTCCCAGAACTTGCGGCCTTCGATACCCTCTTCTATGCATAGTGCGCCCCTTTCCTCGGCCATCTCGAGCTCTTCTTCTGCAACGCCGAGGCTCCAGCCAAATCGCTCGGCAGTATCTTGTGCGGTCACACCTCTACCGAAAACTTGCCAATCCCAGGCTAGATCTTTGTCCGGAGGGAAAACATGTAGATCGCTCAACCATGAGAGAAGAGCCCTGATAGTCTTTTCATCGGTTCGGTCACTGGCTTGAACTACCAGGACACCGCTCTTGAATTGCCTTAGCCTCACTGGAAGCTTTAATTTCTCCCACAACCTTGCAGCTTTCTCAAAATCAAGAGGACTGACGAGCTCAACGCCTCCTCGAGCACGGTTGAACATTGCCCAGAGATCGACCAGGCTGATGATTCCTCCAGCTTTCCTCAGGACGCCGCGAGCATCGTCGGTCAAGAATTCGGCCAAGTTGCGGGACAGCTCTGAGATATAGAGGGATTCTGAATTGCTTCCTCCACCTAGCATGTCTTTCGTAGTGACTAATCCGAGAGCATTCGCAACTGCACTGGATTCGCCGTTTACGCCTCCGCTGGCAGCAAATGACTCGGCAAGAGCGACGATCTCTTTGGCTGATGCCATCAGGGTCTCGAGATCCTCAAAAGCGTTTCCAATAGCAAGCTCGTTGTTCTTCCGTACTTCCAAACGTCTCTGTTCAAGGCCAGCAATACCAGCAGTCTTCACTCGTTCACCGGTTGGCGTAGATGATCTAGAGCTAGGTGACCCGGGTTCTGGACCACGAGAAGGTTTTGGAACTGGTGGTGCACCCTGCAGAAGCCACTTGCGTTGTGTCATCGATCCCTGCAGACGCTCATAGAATATCTTTTCTCCTCCACCACGAAAAGATAATTTGATACTTTCATTATTCTCCGTTCCTGGCGCTGGAAGTCGGTTCAGAACTGGCCCAGGAGATTCTGTGCGGAGATTAGGATTGCCTAGACCGACAGGAATGTCTTGTGAAATCAATTGTGCTCCACACATCTCGCATGAGAGCAATGAAGGATGATTTGCGAAGGTACATCTCGGACATTGAAACGATGCCCCTTCGCTCGCTTGGGAGTTCCCACCTCGGCTGGAGTTCTCTTGTGGATCTGGCCATATATCTGATTGTGGCCGGGTAGCATCTGAGCGTGCTCGAACTGGTATTGGAGATTTCACCGGGCCTTCGGTTGATTGCACTGGTCGATTGATAGTATTTGCTATTGCTGCCTTCATAACAAGTTTCCAAGTTGGCTTTATTCCGCAAGCTAGACATGGAGGGAGTGGTATGGTTTCGGGAGCCGTGGAAGGATCGAAGTTGGAAGGAACGGGATTCGAGAAGGAGCAGATAGGACATATCCACGTCCCGGTACTTTTAGGTGCAGGCTCTGAACTTGGTAGATGGAAAGGGCTGTCGACGCGTGCTGGAGACGTGGTAGCGCTTCTTGAGGGTCCATTGAGGCTAGATACTCCTCGAGTTTGTATTGATGATCTTTTGGTAGGTTTTGGGACGAGCGTGATCTTGGCAGACGATTTAAGAAAGCCAGCCTGCAGAATAGTTAGAACCTGTGCAACATCCCAGCATAGTTCGCAGACGTACATAGAAGTCATATCTGTCTACATCCTTCAGATCAATGGCTGTGGAGTTCTTCCGTGGATCTTCGTTATCGACATAGCAGATTCTGTGGGACGTCAAGTAGACCTGGCCATTCTGATAGTCCGGAATCTTGAACTTCCTGCAGGCATACTTGTGAGTGTTTATTCTCTTTGAGCAGCCTCCTGCCTTTGTGGCTAGGATCTAGGTAGCAAACTCACCCCTCATAGAGTCCCACATTGTCTTGGACAAACAGCAAGACCTCATCTGGCAAGTAAGACGGCCTCAGCGCAGTAGTGAGGTCGATGCGTTTTAGAAACATTCGGTCGAGCCATGTAAAGGGGCGGCAGTGGTTGTCTGAGGAGGTTGACAATCCAGGACATCGACTTCAGCAACGACACAAGACCAAGCAAGACCAGGGCCAGGACCAATTTCCAGACGTCGGCCTTGTTATCGCCGTGCAGCTTATCGCTATTCCAGTTAAGACTCATATATACGCGGTGGCTGGAGCGTCCAGCACGCTACTAGGCGACCACCTGCAACCGAAGAATTTCACCTAATATCGACTGCTCAACTCGATCTTCCTTCTTTCCCTTCCACTCTCCATAATTGAACCACTTTGCGATCACAAGTATCGCGTCACTAACTCTCCTGCACCCTCAAGCAAATTACCCTGGATGTATTCTGCGATGAATGCACCTTGGGCGAACGTTCCGCCACCCCCCGGAACGACAGGCCAGTATGGCTACCCACAAAGTGAGTGCGACCGCCAGAGTCATCTCTCTTGCCACTGGGGAACGCGAAGAACTAACCCTCGTCCAGATCCCCCGGCATATCACCCCGTCCAAGTTCGACAAACCTTTAACCCTCCTCCCCTTCATTATATCCCGATGGTCCAACAGCAGCAATTTCCGCCACCGCCTCCTCCACAGCTAGCGGAAGCGCCCGTTCAGAGGAAGAAGATTGACTGGCCACAACCCGTTCGGAATTACGTTCAGCGGTCATTTGAGCCCCAAAACCTACTTGATGATGTCCTAAGAGCCGATATGGAAGTCAAATTGAAAGCGACCATCACCCGTGCTTCTGACAATAATACCCTCGAGACCATCGATTGGGACAACCTTCCTCTTCCCCAGCAAATGATCCGAGCCGAGCGCGCCCAAGCCGCTATCTCATGGCAACAGCAGTCTGTGGATCTTCATATTGGTGGAAATGGCCAAATAAATACCAGAGATGTGAATTTGAAGAAGAGGAAGTCCCAAGAGATTGGCGGTGACGAGGATTCAAATTTCACCTCACCTTGGCGTACAACTAACACTCGCAATGCCTTGGAAGACCGCATCACATTCGATAAGCGCCAGCAACCCTTTCATGAGGATGCTCACAAAGGTACCAGTAAGTTCCAGAAGAATCTGGAGAAGCGACAAAAGCGTTTCGATGGCGGCTACAAATCTACATACAAGCCATCCCCATCTCCGGAGCCAACGTCAGGTCCGGTAGTCGGAACGTGTCAAGTCCTCGAGAAACAGTATTTCCGCCTCACTTCAGCACCCAATCCCTCCCAAGTTCGACCCGAGCCCATATTGAGAAAAACCCTAGACCTGCTGAAGAAGAAATGGAAGAAGGAAGGGAACTACGGTTACATCTGCGATCAATTCAAATCCATGCGGCAGGATCTGACTGTTCAACGGATCAAGAACGAGTTCACCGTCACCGTCTACGAAATCCATGCCCGGATCGCCCTTGAGAAGGGGGATCTTGGTGAGTATAATCAATGCCAAACTCAGCTTCGTGCGCTTTATGCACAGAAGCTGGGAGGAAATCCAGTGGAATTTAAGGCGTATCGTATCCTGTATTTCATTCACACATCTAATCGCACCGCCTTGAACGACGTGTTGGCGGATCTAACCACAGCAGAGAAAGAAGAGAAGGCCATCAAGCATGCCCTGGATGTCCGTTCCGCACTGGCCTTGGGCAACTACCACAGATTTTTCAGACTTTACCTTGACACCCCCAATATGGGTGCCTACCTGATGGACATGTTCGTCGTCCGCGAACGTCTGGCGGCTCTATCGAATATTTGCAGAGCGTAAGTCTTTCCCTGTTCCCACCATTTTAGAGCGACTAACAATTCGTAGGTACAAGCCAGATGTCAAGTTAAGATTCATCACCGAAGAGCTCGGATTCGAATCCGATGGCGACGCCGCCCAATTCATCTGCGATTACAAAGGACAGCACCTTCTCGAAGAAAAGGAAGATGGCCTTCGTTTCATTAGTGGGAAAGCAGGCCAGATCTTCGAAGCTGCGAAGAAGCAGGCCTTCGGAAAAATCGATATCAAGGGCCAGATCTAACACTTTCGTACCGTCGATCCCTTCTAGCCTGCCATCTATCTAAGCTCCGTTTCTCGGATCTCTTTATTTTCTCACACCTCCCAGTGGGTTGCGTTACACCGCTTACATGGTTGTAATGCATTTGCGATACCTTCGAGTCACTGGTTGTTCCTTTGGTCGTTGGTGGCGAAGTTTTCGACTAAGCATTTGATGATGGATTGGGCTACGGATTATCACGTATTCATCTACGAAGTACTCTGGTCTCCCTCTAGACGGGCACCGAGACGAATTGGATGGACGGATGTTGTGATTTGCGTTTTCTCTTTTCCCTTCATCGATTCGAAGACCCTTTACCGATACCCTTTCCTGCATGTTCGACGACTTTTGTGCTTCGGGCGTTGGTGGTGGAACGGCTACATAGAAAGGAGTTGTGGGCATCTCACTGCGTTGGCGAGCATTATGGAAAGTTCTCATTGCATTGAGGTTGGCATTGTTCATGTATATACTGAGTCCTGCTGCCATCACAAAAGTCATTTGCAGCAGCGTGACATCATAAAATAATATCAAGGTGTCCTTTCTCACCAATTTGTCCTTTACATTAAGTTGTTATTCTGATCCTCAAGGAGCGAAGCTCATGAGAAGTGAATGAAACGCATTGCTCGTGAAGTAATTCTGGCCCGATATGTGGCCCGTCTTGTCTTCAAATTATCAGGCAACACATCTTGCCGAGCAATACTAGATGTGAACTGCGTGGCTTTACGTATGTCAAGTTTCTTTCTTAAATCGTATCGCGATACCAAAATACTTTTTCACAAGTGAGAGATAATCGACTGAAAGTTCAAGTACGACCACGACCATCCTCAAAATAAGCAACCCACCTCCCTAGCCCACCCCTAAACCGCGAGTGTTCTACCCCGACAACTTCCGCACCTATCTCGCAGTCCTAGCCATCTACCACCACACCTCAATACCTCACGGCGACCTCAGCTCCCGGGTCTACACCTCCCCTCATAGCTTTGAATGCCATCAACCAGTCTTACTTCATGGGCTCGTTCTTCCTTTCTGGGGCCATGCCCTATGCTGCGCTTAATCGGAAAGGCAGGAGAGCGTTTCTGAGGAGCAAGTGGCTGAAATTAGGGGTCCCTGTTGTGGTGTATGCGGTGCTGGGACCGCCGATGTGAGTTCGTTTTTGAAGTTGATGAGGGGTAAGAAGTTGAATGTGAGGGATTTGGTGGCATTTGAGGGGGCTGAGAGGTGTCAGGTCACCAGTGTGGTAACTTCTTTAGTGCCTGTTTTCGATACAGCATACTCCTTCCCCCCACGATCCAGTCTGGAGCATCTGGCTGGAATGTCTTCTCTCCCGGGCTTTTGTACGCGAACCCACCTAAGTACGCGATCAGCTCTGGAAGTGGCGCGCCGAATTTGCGCGCTCAGTATTACGCGATTTGGAATGAAACGACGGGATACCTCCTTAGGACCTCAATTCTGGACCTTTTCAGGTCTTGAAGGTTGTTGAGTGGATCCCGGGGTAGTGCAGGGGGTAATTCATTATTCTGTTTTCTTGGTCCCATCCGATGCTTTGTGTACGGATACAGGATTTGCGCGGATGGATGAAATGTGAATAGTGTGTTGGAGACAGTTGTAATTGGAACAGCGGGTGTCTTGGGAAGCTGGGGGATAGGGTGGGCGCTGCTGAAGTTTCCCAGAGTGAAGAAGGTCCTTGCTTAAAGCATTCGAGTGTTAAATCCGAGTTCTGCGGAAGCTTGCGGCTCAGTTCCACTCTTCTCGTTTAGTTTATCTCCACGGTGAAACCTAGGTCTGGATTAGCCTCTTGGTAGAAGGCATCCTCTAGTAGTTTAGGATTCCTGGCCTTGTGTAGGAAAGCATCGATATCGGTGACTCCCCACATATATGCGTGGAGTACCACGCCAATTCGTTAGAACTGGCCCCTTCTCAACCCTGTTGGTTCGAGGATGAGACTACAATAATTCGGAGCCATGTCAGATGGTGTATAATGCGATTGAATGATCAAGAAAAAGCATTGTTTATTTTCAGCTGCTTCCTCGGATGCTGAATCGTCCCAAACTGCGTTCGACCCAGCCTTTGCTGTCCAGAGGAAAGAATCAGGCCGATGCTGCAATTGTTCCTCTGATAATTCGTCAAATACCAGAGCGGAGACTGGCCCCTGCACTTGAAGATGGCCTCCTTCAAGCTGGCCAAATGGATTTCCGTTTGGGTGGATGTAATGATGAGAGCGGCGAAGCATATCCCCATATCTCAGCTTGAGATTGCTACTTTGGCATTTGTCATCTGTGCAATCATAATATACCTCTTTTTGGTCCATCCCGCAAGGAATCACGGCCTCCGTCGAAATCAACCTCTATCGACCAATTCGTGGACATACAGCGCACCCCTTCGCATCCAACCCGCTGAATTTGGGTGGCTACTGTGGGTTCGACGTGCACTTTTAGCCGGGAGAAACCTTTCGCCCGGATCTGATGTTCCCTCCCCCTAACGATGTCGTATTGAAAGACGGTCCCAGAATTACCCAACATCCGAATGGTTTGCAGCATTATCCATACGCCAAGATTGGGATTGCTCTGGCTGGGACCCTCTTCGGAGTTGTGCATTGTCTTGCGTGGGGATTTTCTTTCCCTAAATCAGTTGAGAGGATCGTGAGGAGGTCTGCGAGTTTATACTTCGGTCTTCCTTTCGTTTCCTGGCCGGTATCATTTATTCCAACTTCGATATTTGCTCCAGGGGGACCGGGAGATCGACTCTTCCGGGTGATATGGTATCTAACGTTGATTGCGAACGTAATATATGCTGTAGCACGACTGGCTTTGCTTGTTCTGGTGTTAAGAAGTCTGTTCCCCCCCCCAGCTGGCTCATTTGTGTCCACATAGGCGGACGAGATTCCTCATTTTTCTTAAAACGTCTGCTTGTCTTATCCATGCTGGCATACAGGATAGTATCCCCCTTCATCGGGCGAGACATTGCTAGGGTGGGCAAGGGGGTCTCGTTTGGTTGGGGAGCATAAAATTATGTGACTTCTGGAATTTTATGGGGTACCACAGCTGTGGCTAATACGCTAGCAACGTCTCGCCGGGCGAAGGGATAGCAGTGGTTTCTTGCTTGTCGTGATAGTTTTGTGTCCTATGTAGTTCAGTAGGGATACAATAAGACGGAAGAAAATGCAGCATCTTAGGAACACAATAACTATAGTTGCTTCAGGGAAAGAAGCTATTTTTAGAAGGGAAGTAACATTGGAGAGAGATTCAAATGAGATGGAAAGAAAAGAACTGAGACAAAAGGGGGTAATGATTAAAGGCCACGAAGCAAAAATCACCAGAACCCATGTAAACACTTAGCACAATGGCTCCCCAAGAGTTGTCCCACTGGGTGACCTGTGACGGCATAATTTCTTGATTCCCAAACGCCATACATAATTCGTCCACATCATCCTCAATTGCAACCCCGACCCACCAATCACATTATACAGACATCTTCATCGCAATTCCCTTGTGTGGCTCGTATCCTTTGACCACAAAATCTTCAACCTTCCATCCATCTATGCTGCCACCCTTCTCGCGGGCGATGTCCAGTTCAGGGAATCGCTTAGGCTCTCGGGTCAGTTGCACCTTCAGGGCATCCACATGGTCAAGATAGACATGAGCATCGCCCATTGTGTGTGTGAACGTGCCAGGAATCAGATCGCAGACATGCGCAAGCATATGGGTTAACAGAGCATAACTTGCGATGTTGAAAGGGACTCCAAGCCCCATATCGCAACTCCTCTGGTAGAGCTGACAATGAAGTCTTCCCTGGCCCTTCTCTCCATTTTCGCTCTTTGGAAACGAGACATAGAATTGTGCGAACATGTGGCATGGAGGAAGTGCCATAAGTTTCAAGTCCTTGGGATTCCACGCGCTGAGGATGATCCTTCTGTCGTACGGATTATTCCTCAACTTGTGGATGACTTCTGCCAACTGATCAACGCCCTTCCCAGTATAGTCTGTTTCAGCATCCACATATTCGGCGCCAAAGTGTCGCCACTGGAAGCCATAGACTGGTCCCAAATCACCAACTGCACGATGAGAGAGGCCGACAGAGTCGAGGTATTCGCGTGATCCATTGCCATCCCAAATTTTGATGCCGGCAGCAGCAAGTGGGAGCGAGGAAGTTGAACCAGAGACAAACCACAAAAGCTCGCCGATCACGGCTCGCAGAAAGACGCGTTTCGTTGTGAGCAGTGGGAGGATTGGGGTCCCTGTCGGCGAGGAGAGCTCAAATTTGAGAGGCCGAGGAGCAAAAATAGAACGTGTTCCCGTTCCAGTCCTATAATCATCAGCGATAGTTCTAAGATGCCTGGTCTTGAGTTACCTGTCGGGTCGATGCTCTCCCGTCTCGAGAATTTCGCGAATCAAGTCGAGATACTGGTGCTCTTCGTGCTGATCAACGTTTGTTGCAACACGCTCGGTTTCGAACCCCTTAGACGTGACTTGAGCCGCAGGCTCGGGGTCTAGTAGTGAGGGGGCCATTGCTTTAAAATGTGCTGTAGTGATATGTATGTTGTGGAAAGAAAATCACCTTGCAGCAGAAGACGCGTTGAGGCGTTCAGTAGCCTTGCAGCACGCGCGAAGACAGGGGTTGAAGCCGCGCTTGCCATGGATGGGTAGCCTCGAATTTGACCAATCGCAGCTGCCCGCTCTTCTTGACCTTGCCATCGTCACTTTCGTTCTTTTTGTCAGCGACCACACTTCCCATTATTCTTCAATATGGCCCTCGGTGCGTGCTGAAATCAAGTGTGCAAGCCTCTGTAATAATTACGATTGTAACTTTCGAATCAAGGATCTCCTACATTGTCACCAAGTTTTTTTCCTTCTTTCGTTTTTGACGAGTCGGCTTGTCACACAAAACCCATCCCGACTCCTGCACGGACTGAGGTCTATCCGCCGCTTCAAGTTTGAAACCGTGGCGATGCCGAGGGACGATCCTGTGGTCACTGTTCAGCTTTTTGCTGTCGTACGAGAGCACATCACGTTTGATAAGTATTCGTTTCCGCCTCACAAACTGTCCTGTCTGGATTTACATTGCCTTTCCATCGTGATTTGCGCACGTCTTTTCTTCATTTCTATAATCTCATCTACCAAAGCCTCAAACGAAAACCACGAACCCGATATTGTCTATTTCCACTCGACAATGGGACAGAAATCAGTTCTGATTACTGGGTCAAGTGAAGGGGGAATTGGAGACGCCTTGGCCAAAACCTTTCACAAGAAAGGACTCCGAGTATTCGCAACTGCTCGAAATCTTACTAAAGTTCAACACCTCAAAGAACTCGGACTGGAAATCTTGCCTCTAGATGTCACAGATGACGCCTCGATCAAGCAGGCCGTTGAGAATGTCAAGGCTGCTACCGGAGGAACTCTTGACATCCTAGTCAATAACTCTGGCGGAGGCAAGTTGAGGTTGCACTGATGCTTTGTATCCCAGCTAATGCCAGACAGGATATAACATGCCATTGTTAGACTCTGAGGTTGCTATAGCCAAAAAGATGTTCGACGTGAATGTATTTGCCCTGATAGCAGTAACGCAGGCATTTTCACCGCTTCTCATTGCTTCCAAAGGGACAGTCGTCAACATCGGCTCTATTGTTGGAAAATTTCCTTTGCCTTGGCAAGGTTATTACAACGCCAGTAAAGCAGCAGTCAACCTTCTCAGTGATCAATTGCGCATTGAGCTCTCTCCATTCAACGTCAAGGTCGTCAACGTAGTCACCGGATCAGTCTTAACCAGGTTCATGGAGAACCTAGCAAGCCCACCTCGTCTACCACCAAATTCTCTATATTCTCCAGCGAAGAAGGAAGTCGAGGAGCTCATGCTAGGCGAGCTTGCATTAGAAAATGCCATGAAAGTAGAAGTATATGCTGAAGGCGTTGCCAGCAATGCGCTGAAGTCGAATCCCAAAAAGATTCAGTGGATTGGGGGCGAAACGTTTCTAATTTGGCTAGGGGATACTTTTGGTTGGGCTACCATATGGGTGAGTTTGCTTTCAGGATGGATCTGAATTGTGAGCTAACGTCAAGCAGGATCTCATCCTTCCAAGAGCAACGAATCTTGGGCTTGTTCAAAGAAAGATCCGAACAACGTCGCAGCCGATTTCGAAATAAGCAATGCCTCAGAAACAAGCAGCTGTATTTTTATAGCCTTTTTTTTTATTTCCTCACGTTGGAGCTTTTCCTTAACAGATGATAGATCGATTTAGAGCGAAGTATTTACCCTCCATTATTTAAAATCCCGACTTCCTCTCCCATCGCCATTATTTCATAGCGTCATCCATCCTCGTTTTCACGCCACATCTATCAATGCACCTCCCTCATACCCCCCCTCTCTCTTCCATTGCCCCTCCTCGCCAACCACAAGCTGCACCACCAACTCCGCCCCATCAATCGGACCCTTCGTGCCCCTATACCCATTAAAAGCAGTCTTACAATGCCCCGGATTTGCCGCCCAAAACTCTACCTTTCCCCGTCCCTTACCCTCTCCGCCTTCTTTCAACACGTCTTCTGTGTTCTGCAACTCGATAGTTAAACTGTTCAGCGCGGCCCCACTCACAGTGTATGCTACAACAGCTGTAGGTGGTAATTTCCTATTTGAGGATTGGGTGAGAGATGCACGGTCCGATGAGATGCTAATTACTTTTGGATTTGGCGAGAGATGCAGGAGTGAGAGGAAAGTGCTGGTTACTGCCGGCACGGAGGTGATGTTTGCGTTGAATGTTGAGTTGAAATTTTCTCTCAGATTCGGTAGTTCTTGGCTTTTCAGGAAGGATGCTATTCCTGCGTTGTTTACGAGAACTAGTGTCACAATTTCCAGCGTGCTTGATCACGTGGGGAGGAAAAGGAGAGGAGCCGTCAAGACTTCCGTATTTCTTCTCGACGTATTCCTTTGCTGAAACAATAGTGATATCATTTGTGACATCTGGTGTTACAACATCGAGTAGTGCAGGTACACCTAGCTTTTTGAGCTCGACGATGGCTGCGGAGCTAGAAGAGGCAGAGTGGCAGACGAGGATATAGGTGGAGGTTGGGTTGCGGAGAGCGGTTGCTTAAACAGTCGAGAAGCCTATTCCGCGATTTGCCCCAGTTATGAGAGTTAACTGAGGGGCTGTCATGATAAGGGAGAATGTAACTGATCAGGTATCTTGCAGAAGGATAGAATTTGTGGTGGGGTGCTATGAAAGTAAGCGCTGGGGTGTGGGAAGATGTTGGGCATGTGTAGTTCTTTCGAATATCTGTCAAACCAGAGACTTCAAAATAGCATGTCTGATATATTTGCCTTCTGTGAACTTGATGCCGGACTTGTCGGCGCTGTGTTGTTGAAGATGGAGTTAAGATTATAATCCCGAACCGAACCAGCCGCCATACCACACTTTAACGGATCACGTAAAAATGTGAAGATATTCTCTTCACGTAAAAGCCAAAACAATAGCAACGAAAAATAAAAGAGGAGTTCTGCTAATAGCACAAAAGAAGCTTCTTCTGGCTCAGTATCAAAGCTTGAGCTGGATCCTTCCTTGAGGCAGGGTTTTGCATGCTGGATTCATGAAATCATGGCATATACCGGAGAGCTATCAAATCCCAAGTAGGGCACCTTTAGTAGTCCTAGCCATCTGCAATCTCCATAATTTCTGTTCAGCACAAAGGAACATCTCTCCGTCCTTTCCAAAGCAGAAATTAGCAACTCCTCCCGGAACCATGATCCTGCCAATAAGAGTTCCAGCAGGGTTCCAGACTTCAACTCCGTCACCACAACCAGAATACACATTACCATAGACATCACACTTGATGCCATCTGGGATACCTACTGCTGCAAAAGCGAACACTCTCCTATTAGTAAGGAAAGGACCACCTGCCACCTTTATGATATCAAAAGCGTAGATAGTTGCCGCTCTACATACAATCAGTATGGCCGCAAAGTATTTAGCACACTGGGATTACCGTGTGAAGTCCTTGCTTCCATCGCCATGAATGTAATCCGTATCGGTAATGTAGCAAAGGCTTTCATCTGGACTAAAGCTAATCCCATTCGGCCTCCCAAATCCATCAGCAACAATCCTTAAATCTCCATTCTTAGGATCAAATCGATAAACTTGATTTGGGAGTTTCGGTCTCTGTCTGAAGTCTTGCTCATTTCCATAGCACGGATCCGTAAACCAGATACAACCGTCCTTAGCAACAACGACATCATTCACACTGTTGAAGTCTCGTCCGTGGAAATTCGTCACCATGGCTTTTGGCGGCGCTTTACGTGGCATATAGTAGAGTCCTCCGGTCCCTGTTTGTGCTGAGCCTTGAGCGCAGAAGAGAATCCCATCTTCGTAGTTTACCCCTCCATTGGGCATCTCAATGCCCGGCGGAGGCCGTAATTTGGCCCATTCTACCGTATGTACATTATTGTCCCCATTCAGCCGGTCGTTACGTTGTAGTTTGACTCGTGAGATGAGGATTGTTGGAAAATTAGAGGATTTGGTGGCTTGCAAGAGGTGGGAGGTTATGTAGACTTCATCGTGGGCTGGTAGAAAGACGCAGGCCTCGTGAAAGAATGGATTGTTGCTTGTCCCCGCTGTGGAGAGGAGGAGAGAGTGCGTAGGTGAGGGTCCAGTCAAGTCTGCAAAGGCAGAGTCGTACTGGAACAATGTCACTTGGTCTGAGGCATTGACTGAAGCCCTATAGCGGGGTTAGAGCCGGTGGTGGGGTTGAGATGTGGGAGACGAACTTGATTGTGCCATTGCTTTCAGCTAAACGATCAATGAGCTGTAGATTTAGTATAACCTTAGTCACTGTAAACTCTAGGGAGCATCCATACCTGCACCTTCGTGGGAGTGACTGGGATATCTGAGTTGGTCACGGTCGCCATTGTTGCTGTTGATGGGGGAGATGGATGTGGATGTTTTCAGGCCAGGCAAAAGGAAAGAACTTCATGAAATCAAGCGAGTCTGAAATAAGAGCTCAACCTACAAAAATCTTTCAAAGGCGGAGGGGCATCCTTTGGGATAGTTTTCATGCCATGTTCTTGTGCAGAATGGGAGATACTTTGCAAACGGGGTTTGATGGAGCAGTTGATCTTGATAGCGATCACGTGTCAAATAATGAAAGTTATTCTCTAAAAGCTAATTACAACCCCGCAGCAACGAAAGAGTCCAGCCAAATGATGGGCTTTCGTACTCGGTGGTATCTTAAAGTTGATATCAACAGGGGTGGCATCTTTCGCGACCATAAACGGTTCTAACTCGAGCATATTAGTATAAAGGGCCTACGAAAAGGCAATCAAAGACCACAATCGGCAACTGGCAACCGTCTCCTAATAAAAACCACAAATCCAAGTAAGAGAGCATGTGTCTAAGTGATGCCGGGACAAAAAGGGCCACCGGTCCTCGAGAGAAACCTAGGACAACGTGGTCAACCAGTGGTTACTCTAATCTCCTCATATATGTACAACGCAAAGGTTGTCCCAATGCTAACCACTCTCGAATCCACTTCCCCGGGTGTTAGCCCATCTCTCTATCGTCCTGCATCCTTCTTCGTAGCATCCACACTGCTGCCCTTCTTCTCGTCCGCTTCGGCATTCTTCAGGAATTCCCTAAAAGCAATTAGATTACGTTCACTGGCTCGATGTATCAGACGGCAATTGCTTTCCCAAGGAAACATACTTGATGAAGGTCTCCTCATCTGGACTTTGGGCATTGATGGGTGGTCCTTGGGTCTTCTTCGCGGCTGATCCTCCCATAAAACTGGCACTGAGACCCCCGAGCGTTCCAAGAGTCAACATCGCAAGCTATGGGACCCAAAATTGTCAGCACATCATTTTCAAAGCCTTGAAACACCTGTGCGCGACCAATTGGCTCGGGGAGGCAGTGGTGAAGAGCTTCTCCTGGAACCAGGGAGAGCTGACATACCCAGTGAGAGCCAACCTGGCGACCGGCAATAGTATACATTGCGACCATCTTGGCGGATTGAGGCTTCGAATTGTTGAAGAGAGAGAGAGAGATGAGGTGGCTATGTAGGTGACTTGAGCTTCGGTCGTTGTTCCGGGCTGTCAATCTTCAAAGTCGAGCTCCAAAAATCTTGGCTGGTGACTAAGCGTTTGTGGATCGTCACTTCCCCGGACGCAACCGAAGCTCCCTTCTTCGCCTCCGAATTCGATATCCGGGCCAAGATACCTCGGTATAAAAAACACCTCGACTTGCCGCGAAAAGCTCACAGTTTGGACTTCTCAAAACCGCGGTACCTGGTCTTGAAAATTCCTCAATATGGCCAAGAATGATTCAGACAAACCTCGAGGTCCTCCTCCAAATGGACTTCCCGAGCCAGAGAAGCTCCCCCCGGCGCTACAAAAGATAGTTGACAAGGCAGATAAGGAGGACAACTTCTATGACGAGCTGTACGATGGAACGTAAGTTTACCTAGGCCTAAGTATAGAAACTTGCGAGTTCATATCTGATACTTATCCAATATTCACTGCTGCACGTGCTAATACACCCACCAGTGCTCCTCAGTCTACAGAATCCAGCATCCGATATGCAGCATATACCACTCGTATACGGACAGCTCTGCTGGCTGCTCAAAGATATGTGGCCTACACCTCAGATATTGGAGAGTCTTTCAGACCAGTCGCCCACCCAAACCTCGTACGGACCGCATACGGAATTTCTTGGGCATACATCCTTGGTGACGTGGGACATGAAGGTTACAAGGCATACTGCAGCAATCAAAGGACCTTGCACCCAGAACTACCTCGAGAAGCTGCGCACGAGCGGTATAACGACGCAAAAACAGACATAAAAATGGTTGCACATGATGCTGGAGTTGAACTCGTTCCGCAAAAAGTCACTCCCCTGAATGACTACAGAACAGTCATGGCACAACGGTTCATCTTTCAGGCCATTGCTTCTATGGGTCTCCCTGCGTTCACCATCCATTCTATCGTACGGTACTCAGGCAGAGCATTGAAGAATTCCAAGAATGTCAGACTTCGGACCTTTGGCCCGATAGGGTTGGGGTTGGCAGCTGTGCCCGCCTTGCCCTTCCTATTCGATAAGCCTGTGGAGGATGTCGTTGAATGGGTGTTCCACAAAGGATTTGAGACCGTGGGTGGAAAGGAATACGTTGGAGATGCTCCATCGATTGGTAGAGAGCAGGCTCTGGAGCAAAAACATCAAAGGGGGAACAAGGAGAAAGAGTTGTAAATATCATGATGAGTATGAGTGATGACGAACAGAACATAAGGGATATATGGCGTTAAAGGGGGCGAATCTCGACTTAAACTGATGCTACAGCATTGCTTGTAGAATACCACTTTTGTTAGACCACTGGAGGGTTCCATTTTGCATGTCATAAAGGATCCGGTGGTGAATAGGTAAGTTTATACACCTGGTCGCGATTGTAGTGTTGTAGCATTGTAGCATTTTTTAAGAGTCTGGGTTACAGAAAGTCCTGTTCCAGTCTCCCAGCCAATTACTTTGCACTACCAGCTATGGAAAGGATGAAAACCGCGGTTTGAGTGAACGTCTTGGGTGTACAATAATGCCCTCGAGGCCAGAATAGAGCGTTTGGGAATTTATGTTGAAAGGTAGAACCGACAGCGGGTCATCTCGGTAGCTCATCTTTGACCTCTGTGGACACAACGGATTCACGGACACGACAAATGCGGTCAGAAAAGTAGGACATTCGGACTGCAATAAGTGCCGCATTTAGTTCCCGGCTATTTATACGATTTCTCGTTCTCAGGCCATTTAGATACTTCGTTCCTTTTCCGCGACGTCTACAGCATTCATCAAAAGCCACAATGTCTGATCAACAAGCTGAGGCTTCCAACGGCGTCAACAGGCACTTCCTCTTCATCTTCAATTCTATCTTTGAGCCCCGCCCGGTCCGCATCTCGTCGCTGTACAGATTCTTCTGGGAATGCTGCCGCTCAAGGGCAGATGGGCTATATTTCTGCTTTGTAAGTGATTTCAATATCCAAAGACTTTTGAAGTCAGTAGCCTAATGCTTAAGCAGCATCCAACCAGGCGAATACTGCTCTCTCATCCAATATGCAGATTCTGTTTCCATCAAATTTGCCCTCGATGCCGCAAGTTCGTTGTTCGAGACGATGGGGACTTCGAAGACCAGCCAGGAATAATTGCACAACTCAGTATGAACCAGAATGCTCCAACACCCCGTAGTGATTCATGGTATTGGGACTGGGAGCGTATTGCACATTCAGGATGCTAGGCTGAGCTAATGTGCGCTGATTGTCATCTATTTATTAGCCTCTCATACCCCTCAGTTCAAAATCAAGACTCTCCACCATAATATCTTGACCCAACCATTTTCGAGAAAACAAAAAGTATCCGAAGACTTAAACCCACACTCAAAACAAGAGTGATCCAAGACCAACTTCAAATGGATCAAAAGGCACCAGACAACATACCCGCCTTGGTAAAGGCCAGCCCATATGCTGCTTCCAGCGGGGACTACTGGCTGTGCTGCAATCCTCCCCCGGGAGCTGTCAACTTCTCGCCTGTAAGTCTGCCTCTTTGTGTTCTTTTAGCATGATCTAATGGGCATTTCAGTGCCTTAAGAGGATGCCACTTGGCAAGCCGATCTGTTCTCGTTGCTCCCACCGCCGGTGTCCCAAATGTCTAGATAGCAGGGAGTACAGTGCTGAAGCAGCAGTGCTTGGTGATTGAGGAAAGTTATTTTTGTTGTTGGGGTGGGTTTGGAGCCGGAAAGATGGCGGAGTGATCAGGGAGGTGGTTTCGTTGCCGGGGTGCACATTGTCATCAGGCAATTACGTTTCTTTCATCTTCTTTGTGTCATTGCGGGGGGAAGAGCTTTTCGCGAATGTGCATATTCCAATCACTGACTGCGTGAGTCACCATTGTTCCATTCACATGATAGATTCGCCCGCATTTTCTAGGAAGTCATGCCTAATGTTCCTCTTACACAGTAAGTCAATCAGACTAACCTCGCCTTACCACATTCGCCTCCTACCCTCTTGAACATTCAACAACAAGTTAACGATTGGCACAAGCAGGCTAACGCCCCCCTCATACACTCAACACTCCCGCGGATTCAACATCCAAGAAAAATCAGTCAACTACGGACACAATATGTCCGCGATGTCGTCGACTCAACAGGCAAACCCGGCGCATCACCCACCTCAAACATCCCCAGATAAATCCTACTGGATTTGCTGCCGCAGCATCCAAGGCCAAACCCAAGCCGGTCAGGCTACTGAATCCCGTGTATGTTTAGCTTCCTGGCTTGGCTCGCAGTTCAATCTCGCGAGCTCCACTGAAGGATCCTAGTGCCATACGTACAACCCCTCAATCGCAACTTCTTGCACGAGATGTCACCATGCGGTAATTCTCACCTTCCCAATTCTCTCGTAACAACCTTTACCGAGTGGTTCCTAACCACCCGTGATCTCAGAAATGCTTCGCATGTTTTGAAAGAGAGAGCTCTGATTCCATGGCTATGCCGTGGAAGCATCCCTGAATGCACTTCGAGTTCACTTCAGGTTTGGCCTTGCTTTGGGAAGATTGATGCTCTTAGAGGTCAATGATAATTGGGAATTGATTTCGGGGAGTTGATGATTCTTGGGAGGTTGTTGCTCTCGAGGAATTGGTGATCTCAGGGAATTAATTCTTGGAAAAGCAGAGCTAGGTTGTGATTCAGTTGTTGCCCTTCAATGGATTTCGGGATTTCGGGTTGCATTCAGAAATTGTTCGGGCAGGTCCTTTGAATGCGATCATATCCTAATGTTGTTTATTGCACTTGATCTTCAAGACCCATCCACGGAGACCATACATAGAGCCTGTGTAACTATTCGTGTCTCACCTTGCCAGGTATTTAAGTCCATCTTCTCCTTCGCGTTACAGGTACTTGGTTATTTCAAAATCCCCCATCAGGCCAAAACTCAAGAAAATTTCAAAGTTCAGTCAAACACCTCCAAACCACGTCAACCTCGATAAAGTCATACTGGATCTGCTGCAACAAACTCAAAGATGAGTTCCCACCAAAATTTCACTCTCTCGGTGTGATACGGGTGTCAGGTGGGGGCACAATGCTGAGCCGATTGACAACACCGATGTGGACGTCGTGGTGTTCTCTGGCATCCTTATTAATGTGAGACTTGTTCCCGGAATGATTTGGCGGTCTCGCAGATTGAATCCAATTCCTGAACACATTAACATTATAATTTGAGCAGCGGTAGGGTTGTCGTGTTATGCTTACTCGTAACAAAAGATGGATCCGTAAGTAATCTTACCAGTTAATGTCCTCACCTATTCATTCTGTTTGACCGCTACTCAACCCTAAAAGTCTAAAGGTACCAAAATGCATCGCAGGATGTCAGGACGTGCATACTCATCCATGCTTGTTTCAAGTAGCATGTCTATTAACACTTGAACTACATTTCTAGAGCAGAATTGGCGGACAACTTGAATCACAGAGTTGTGACATACATTGAATAGAAATGGCCTGCCGTTTCCAATGGACATAGAGCACCGTTTGGGGGTCACCCACGCCACGTGTAGCCGTCACTTCAGCACCTTCTGGGATATCTTCTAGGGAGATAGCATTGTTGCCGTCATTACTAAGCTTTGGCTGTTCTGTAGACTCCAGAAACCCAATCTGCACCCATGGTGTGGTGCCCCGCTCATCACCAGCACTTTGGGCAATATCGAAAGATACCGTGGCGTACAAGTCATGGAAAGTAACTGTGAAGGACTGACCTCTTTCTGCGAGTCGTCGGCATATATGTTTGCCGGGGCGCAGTGTTTCGTATTCTTGAAAGATATTCGGCACTGGGATTGGGAATAGTGAGGGTGCAGGGACTAGGACAGTACAAGAAGATGACCGGGAAGGAATCGGTATCTATGTTTCAAATATTTGTTATGTGTTCTGAGGGCTTTTATAAGAAACACGATAAAACGAAGCTAACTTACCTCAAGTGATCCTGGGGCTGGCGGGTACTCAGAATGGCTCGGACCTAGCCCTCTCCCTGTTGGAACAGTGGCAGTCATATTTGGGCTGGGGATTGGCTGAGACCAAGTTGCCTTGTCGACAGTAGAGCAGGACCAATGCGCGGATATACCAACAGAACTCTCGATCGGATCAGGCTGACGTTTCATATTCTTTGAGGCGAGTCTAATTTGAGAGTCTAGGGCCGTACTGAACTGCTCAACCACATTCTTCAAGGCCGGAATCTGACTTGGGGGAACATGTAGCCAATCAGGCAAAATCCATCTCTCGTTCATCTTTCCAAATGTTCTTGGTAGCTGGAATTGGCCGTGGATCCTGAAAAAGAGGTCGCATAAGTAGCAGGCGCTCTTGTTGGTACATATTACCCTCGGTCTTACGTGTGCAGGACGTGATTCATAGTAAAAAAGCAGCTTGATTTCGGCGTGAAGTTTGATGCCAGCTCTCTCACCATTCAAGCGATTAGTCAGCGCGGCGTCGACTGCAGATTTCGAGCCTGGGAATCGGTGTAATAATTTTGAAGTTTTGTGTGATTGGAGTAAATGGTCGACCAGGGGAAGGGCGGACTCGGGTTTAGATGGTACCCTGACATTTTCTGGAACACAGATTTGAAAACTCTCAACTCGGATCTTTCGAAATATTCGACATCTTTTTCTTCTTGCTGCTAGCACAAGTTCTGAGGCCGCCTTGTAATATTGCCCAAGCTTGGCCACGGAATCTCCGAGAGAAGCCAATTTCGACGAGCTAAATTTCGAGGACTTATTCAGAGCGGCTGAGAATCCGGAGGACTGATTCAAGCTGTGAGCCAGTCTCGTTACTTCCTCTATCATTTCGTATGCCGTAGGTTTGTCGAGAGGTTGTGGTGTCTGTTTTAATCTTCGGTAAGCTTCAACTAGAGCTGTGACCTTTTCCCGTAGCGCTATCATCCTGAGCTCTTCAATTTCGGTTATAGAACTGTCGTAGAGAGTTTGGTGTAGCAGCGTGATGGGGGATGCTTCAATTTGGTGTTTCCTACCCAACCGCAATCGTGTACAAATACGGAAGAAGTCTAGTATGACGACTCGTCGAAAAAGGCTTTCTATATCATGTATTTCCGATTGCTCTAATAGGCGTCAGACATAATCATAGCTTGCTTAGGTTGAGCCTACCAAGTCTTGAAACTTGCTCTAGTGTCTCGCTGATCTGAACTAATCCTTCTTTGAGGTGCACGACACTGTCACCATTGACAGCTATGCGAATGGTCATTCCTTGACCGTCTTCATCCTCCTCAATGGCAATTGCGACTACCGCTTTGGAATTCTTGCGGCGAGAGGCCAGGAATGCTAAATTGCTCACGATCTCTCCCTCTTGTTCAATAGTCAGGCATGATGCTCTCCCAGGTCGGGGGATTAATTCATGCTCCTTGGTGCCTTCCCGTACCCCACCTAGCATAGCGAGAAGGGTAATCTTCTGCAGTATATGTTCTCTGGTGACATTGCTTCCCCACATTCTGCTTTGTGAGAAGGATATTTCATAGGACGTATCTTTTTTGTCGTGAGTCAGTTAAAGCCGTTAATGTTTACAGGTGATTTCTACTGTACTTTCGATATGTTGTCGCGATAGGATTCTCGACAAACCTACCCCGCCTTGTGTAACCTTGCTCTTTTTTGCGAAACCCTTCGTATTCGGCATGCTCGCTTTGAACTTATGGTCAGGAGCTGTATCCTTCCAGTAGATCGTTCTATATGGAATCTTTGATGCTTTGTAGCTTATTTTCTAAATTAAGACCATTGAGTTAAAATTTCAGTTTATTGATGCCAGGAAGATTTCAAGAGGTAATCATGAGATTGGGCGTGTTCAGAACAGAGATGGCGCTGCACAGCCACAAACCGAAGCTCTATCCTTAGCCTTGTCGCGTCCACAGGATCAACACCCTCGACGCTCTAACAACACCTGAACAACATGTCTCAACCAGCTCATCAAGATGAACTCTCCTTGATAAGCTCACTCAAAGACCCTTAGAGAATCAACGAATTTGCTTAGCTGAGCCCCCTTCACACCGTCCTCTGCGAGCTCAAAGATCGTACGGACGATTCAATATCGCTTCTCAGCTGCATACCAGCTATCCATGACTTCAAATGTAGCTTGGCTAGGAGTAGCTCTCAGCCTTGTACAAGAAGGTCACGACGCACATCGGATTGATCAATCAAGCCACGGCAAACCTTAAATGGACGCGGTTGGAACGATGATATCGAAGATATTTGAGCTTCTGTAGTCGGGTGTGCGAGACGACGAACGGAAAGCGTAGACAATCGTGAGCGCATACGAAACAGACAATAGGCAGACTTCAGGACCTCTTGAGGCGGAACTGCAGACGGAGGCCATACCAATCCAAACACCTTCAAGAGCATCGAGGCAACATTAGAGAACTCTTCAGCAGCTCCCTTCAGGAGCATGGCCAGCCTTTCGATCTTCGACGTCTCCCTCAGCGAACTCGAATTCTACATTATATTTGCCATGAACAAGCAAGCGCGCTACACCGACTAAGAATCGGTCTACTTTTCGGACACAACGAGCAAGTAGCACAGGATCGATACTGAAGGGCAAATGGAAAATAGCATGGTTTCTAGGCCTGGCAGGAAGCAGCGTCTCTCGCCCATCTCAATTCGAAGAAGTGGACTACGATGTTCTGGCGGCGGAAGGGCGACTACGCCACAATCTCACCTTTCCACCCCCCTCGTCTCACGACTCTCTGCCTCCCACTCAACCCTAACAACCTCCCACAATTACCCAACAACAGGCCTCCACCACCGCCCTGATCCTCCTTCAGGGCATCTAATTCTACACCCCCCAACTCCTCGACATCCCCACCATCACCGCAGCCGCAAACTCCCACTCCATCCCGGTAATCTGGGAACTCGCCCTCACGGTCGGCAACGTGGCTTTTCCCTGCGCATCTGGAACTATAAATACCTGGATTCTGACCCCGGAACTGGTGCTGTCATTTCGTCTACGAGAAATATGGTCAAGCCGGGCACTTTGCTTCCCTCCTCTCTTTCCCCACCTTAATACCTCTGCTGATCCAACGTAGTGTTCAAAATGTAACGACATAGATACACCAACTTGCGAGGCGTGCGAGCACAACAAGTGTAAATCATGCATGACAGTTGATTATCTTCCGCCTTACATTCGACCTCCGTCGCCTGTGAACCAATCTGAATTCTTTTAAAGGGGTAAGCGCACAGTATCGCTTGCGGGGGAGAGACAGATCTGCATAGAGATTTGCGATGCTATCGTCAGCTTGGTTGAAAGCAAAGGCGCTTCATACAGACCTCCGAGAAATATGGTAGAATGGCTCCAATGTGGATTATGCAATGGTGTGAAGAATTTGACACGCTGGTATTCAGAGTGTTACTGACGTCAAACATTTGCCTGGTTTTGATGACATCCTACGAACTGAACTCCAAAAATATCAACGCGGCAGGAAGGACATTTGGAGCTGCGGTTAGACCTTGAATGTAAGTCATATGGAAGGAATATTTGAAGAGGAAGGTCAGATTTTGTGATGCTTAAATTAAGATTGCTAGAGACCCACGTGTTGAAATTCGGGCTGCGTGCGGCGTTCAAATCGTGGCTTCATTTGCCAAATGCCTGGTGAACGTTGAAAGCAGAGGCGTTGTTTGGTGGAGTCGTGACTGCAGATGTTCCTTGAGCCCAGGCAAATTGAACTATTCCGGTGCCATTGATTACAGCCTGCTCGCCGTCGTTGCCTTGGTAGGATGTGCAGCCGCTGCATTTGGCAATCATGGTCCAGTGAGTGCTGTTTACCATTGTGCCTTTCAAGAGAGTGTACAGTACTCTGCGTCGTAGGCCTGTGGAAGACTCAACCCACCGAAAACGTCAGAATGCCCAATGAATGCTGAGGGGTTTCATACAATGCAAAGCGCGAGGAGGCCACTGTGGTCTTACCATTTGCCCATGCTACTGTGAGCGGATTCCACACCATTGTCCCTCCCCAGGCGAATCCAGCCCATGTTGTGTTTGACACCGGTGCTGTAATTGATATGATGGCATCATAAGGGTCCGAGACGTTCATGGGGAGCGCAACGCCGAAAGCAATTCCCGTGTAGCCACTTGTATATGCCGAGAAGGTGATTCCGGTTAAGAAATCATGGACCATTTTGGAGTCTGCTTGCGCACAGTGGCACATACCGTGCGAAGTGCCACAGCACCACATACTGGCTGGTTAACACGCATGATTCCCTAGTCGTGCGAGAGCACACGGCAAGAATTTGGATTCCACTGCTCCAATGCAGGAGGTTGTCCCACTCCCTTTATAAAAGTCGCCGCACTTGCCGGCGTCCGGATACTGTCACTTTTTGACAGGCCATGTTTTAATTTTCTTAATCTCCATTCCTGCCGCAGTTCCGGTTTTCCCCTAGTATATATAGAAGAACCGTGGATCGCAGAGAAGAGTGCGGCGACTGGCCAATGTTTTCTATTGATTTTTGGCAACATACGGCGGAGGCGGCTGGGAGATGACCTGGTATACTTGGCCCTCATAGGCAGAAAATGCCAATGAGCCTCGGCCACGGGACCAGAGATTCTTTCCCTTAGATTATATTGTAATTTTGGCTATACCACGCAAGGGGTAAGATGGTTGAGGGCTAATTAGAAGAAATAGACCACGAATCGTTTTAAAATAAATTGGAAGTGTGGTTGTTACCCAAGATTCTGACATGGTATCTCTTGAGAAGGCCAGATGTAGGTCTCAGCAGTTTATTGCCGCCTAGGATAATTCCCCCCTTTGGTGACGAATCTGATAAACATGAGAATTAGGCTATTGTGTTTGCCGTTCGCTTGATTCGAAAAGGGCCAGGGTAAACATGACACAACTTTTGATGACTATAGTTGACGAAGTATGTAGAGCTCGCGCTGGCGGCCATATACCTCGACACTGAGAGGCTCCCCAAAGTCTTGGATGCCACCTAGATACCGAGGAAGGCCAAGGTTGAAGATGTGGGATAGAACACAACTTGTTCATTGAGTGATGCGATGCAAGCAAAAAAGTATCAAGTCAAGAGACGTAGGAAATCGGCCCACTTCTTACAAGTTCTCTCTCGATTCCCATGCTTGCGAGTCACATTTACCAATGTCGGTGCCATTGAAACCGGGGAGGACTGAGGTTTTCATCGACTTTTCTATGATACAACGCAATGCTTGATAAACCGCCTAGCTATGCGATTCGGGGAAAAATCGAAAGATCAGTGCCGAATGTATCCCCGGGAATGACCGTTGAACGCCCTGGAAGAAAATGCAGATGCAGATACTATTTTGCTACAATCATTCTTCGTCGGACTCTTCCTCGGCCACCTACGATTCGTTAGAAATGATACGGAAAACGTCAGAAAACAAGGCAACTCACATCATCATGGAAAGTTTTTCCCTCGGTTGTCTCCTTGATCATGCCAATACGGATGACAAAATCACCAAAGTGCTCTCCCTGCTTTCGTTCTTGCGAATATCGTTTCAAGAGAGGTCTCATGATCTCTAAGATCTCGTCCTCCTTGATACTGCTGCGGTATAACTTGTTCAAGCGCTGGCCATGATAGCCTCCGCCCAGATACATGTTATAGGCACCGTAAGCCTTGCCAACAAAAGCCACTTCGGCCAACCAAGGTCGAGCACATCCATTGGGACATCCTGTCATTCGCATGACGATCGAGTCTTGTCTCATACCGTTCTCTTCGATGACACCCTCGAGCTTAGTGATCAACTCTGGTAGATATCGCTCACTCTCAGCCATGGCAAGACCACAGGTCGGGAATGCAACACAAGCGGAAGATGAAAGACGAAGACCAGAGAACTCAACGTTATCGAGCTTGTACCTGGCCATCATCTTCTTCATTGCAGGCATATCCTCATCAGCGACATTGCTGAGGATTAAATGCTGGTTACCAGTCAAGCGGAATTCGCCCTTGTGGACCTTGGCAATCTCCCTCAAACCCGACTTCATGGGGAACTCGGCTGTATCTTCGATGCGTCCGTTTTCGATGAAGAACGTGAAGTGGTTCATTCCAGTCTCATCTTTCTGCCACCCAAAAGTGTCAATATTACTTTGAAACTTGAACGGCTTTGCCTTCTCGAACTTCTTGCCCCAAAGCTCCTCAACCTTGCCCCGGAAAACATCGACACCCATGTCGTCTATGGTGTACTTTAGCCGAGCGTGCTTACGGTTCTTGCGATCACCATGATCACGCTGAACCAGCATGACCTTCTCGCAGGCAATGTGAACCTCATCCTTCGAGACATATCCAAGGGTACTACCGGTTCGTGGATACGTCTTCTTGTTGTTGTGAGTTACACCCATACCACCTCCAGCAAGAAGGTTGAAACCGGATAAGCGACCATCCTTACCCTTGATCGCAATGAGACCGATATCGTGTGCGTAGACATCAGTATCGTTGTGGGGTGGAATGGCAATTGTAACCTTGAACTTCCTGGGCAGATATGTCGGACCGTAGAGAGGCTCGAAATCCTGCACAGCATCGCCAGCAATCTGAATCTTCTCGTCGTTCTCATCCTTGAGCCAGATCTCGTGATATGCTGTGGTAGATGGGAGAAGGTGATCAGAGATCTTCTGCGAGCATGCATAAACATCCCTATGATACTTTGATGCTGTTGGCAAACTACTGCACATGACATTTCGGTTGACGTCACCACAAGCGGCAATGGTGGTCATCAATGCCTTATTGATACCCCGCATGGCGGACTTGAGCTTTCCTTTAACGACTCCATGGAATTGGAAGGTTTGGCGGGTTGTCAGCTTCATCGTCTCGTTTCCGAAACTATTGCTGACATCGTCCATCTGGATCCATTGCTTTGGAGTTGCAACACCACCAGGTAACCTGCATCGAATCATGAACGAGTAAGCAGGTTCAAGTCCCTGCGCCTTCCGCTCGTCTCGAAGATCGCGGTCATCTTGCATATAGGTACCGTGGAATTTGGTGAGTTGCTGATCAGAAGCTGAGATAGCGCCAGTTGAAGGATCAGCAAGGCCTTCCTCGATTGTTCCACGCAGATAGTTGGATGCAAGCTTGATATCCTCATTTGTGATTGGAGCTGAAATATGTGTTAGTGGTAGAACTAGTGTCATTGATGATATGTCATTGATGAAAATCATGATGGCCAAAAGAAATCCGGTAATCTGGTGGTTAGCTGAAGCTCCCTGAGGAGCTCAGCAGGTCGCACCCCTCAAAAAGAAAACTCTACTTACGCGGCTCTTCTGGAAGTCCCTCGACCTTATCAACGCCTAGAGCTTGCCAGATTAGAGGCTCCCAGTTTTGGTAGCCGGTCTGGAATCCATCGGGATCTTGATCGTCACCCAGGCCAATTTCTGCTAGACGCTTCCCACCAAGATTTGTCAGTATGCGGTCCAGATCCTTCCCAGGTTTGTTGTAATAGTGTTTGTCTTCCTTTCTAGGCCAGTAGTGGCTGTCGCCGAGTGCGAAGACAGAGAAGTTGACCGAGGCGAGATCCAGTTCTGTGTTGTCTTTGATAGCATCCCAGAAGGCGCGACCATTCTGCGGGAACTCTCCCTGGCCGGCGGTGCTGGAGAGAAAGACGATGTTCTCTTCACTTGGAAGATCCTCCAGTGGGTAGTCTTCCATCGCCATGACAATCGTCTTTAGACCACGAGCCTTTCCTCTGTTGCCAAGACGCTTTGCCAGCGACTCCGCATTGCCGTTATCTGAAGCGAACAAGATTGTGAGAGGCGCGCCAAACATGCCTTCGAGGAGCTGCGCGTACGCATCCTTTGCCTTTCGCTTTTGAAGTGCTCTGACCTCGGAACCATAGTCTTGCGAAAGATTGGAAGAGAATTCAGGATGCCTCTTCATGAGTTGTGTGAGGTGATTGTCACGTGCCAAGAATTCCTTCAGTTCGTTCTTGATCCGCTCGGAATCCAATGAAAAGTTTGGCCCTCCTTGCTCCTCATTCCGGGGACTCCATCTATACAAGGGCCAGTAACCGAGATCTACAGCCTTCTTGGTCTCCTGCAGGACCGTCAGGGGGGAGTCGGTCTCTTTGAAGTAAGGCAAATAAGCTAGGATGACCGAGGGGCCGTCAAATTGGTCTGCTTCGATCATAGCTTGTAATACCTGGGTATACGAGCTGTAGACAGCAACTGAAGCAACATACGCATTGCCATAGTTCATCGCATAGAGGCCGATGTCCTTCTTTCTTCGGGCAGCGTCGCCTGCTGCTCGTTCTGAATATGGAGTCGAGTCGATGATGAGCATGTTAACATTTTCTCCAGATGCAATAACATGATGGACGCCAGAGTTGCCAAGGTCAAAAGCCCAAGCATCGGAGCCTACGAGCCACGGCGATTCTTTTCGGAAGAGGCCTTTCTTTGAAAGTAGGTTTCTAGATAACGGCGACCCATCCGTCTCAAGTCGTGCAATAATATCATCGGCCAATTGATCCGATTTCTTATCATCATCCACACTTGCCACCCATTTCGATAGCCATGATTTCGGGGCTTCTGTGATGAATGCGTTCGACGTAGATGCTTGTTGGACCTCGCTAACAAAACGTTGGCGATGTTCCTTTCTGGCCAAGAGAGATCCGAAGCCAAACTCAGGATTAGATGCAACTGTGGTAGAAATACCAGCATTTTGAGATCCAATAACATTTGCGAGATACAATTTTTCCCCGAAAATCTGGTCCAAAATCTTCATGTATGCGGATTCGACTTTGGGCTGCGAGAGGTCATATCCGCCCAGTGATTCGGTTGGCCCATTAGGGTTGCCAACTTCAAGATTCTGGATAGGCTTGTCAGATTTCAGATTTTGGAATACACCACGCAAAGCTTGTCGAACTGTTTCTGGAGCAATGTATCCTAGCTGATGTCCCACGATCGTCTCGACACCTCCACCCGGTCCAGACTTGAGAGTAGTGAGTAGGTCTAAAAGGAGAGGCCCCCATTTCGTGGTCTTTCTTCTAATTTGCTCAAGAACTGCTATCCTCTTGATTGACTTAGGGATGGCTTCGATAAGCTTGGATCCAAGCCAGGGTCGATACAAACGCGCGGTAATAACTCCGGATTTTGCGTATATATCGCTGGATTTGGCCGCATCGATAGCTTGTGCAAATGTACCAACATCGGAACCAAAAATAAAGAGAGCATCCTCAGCATTGGCTGGGCCGGAATACTGGAAGGGCGTGTACTCTCTTCCCAGCCCTTCCTTAAACTGGTACCAGATGGCAGTAACGAAATCGTAAATATCATCCGATGTGACAGGTCGCACACCGGAGAGTTCAACCGTAGTCGCAGAGGATACGCTGGCCTTGCTATCCACGCTGCTTTCCCGTCCGGACTTCGAGGACCCTACCGAGGAAGCTTTCGATGGAGTGAGCGGTTCACTGGGCAATACAGGTGTCGACTCAACCCCTTCCATGGCGCCGGGAAGGGCCTGGATAGGAGTACTCGTCTCTGGAATGGTGGCAATTCTTCCATCATCGGCATAAATGCTATTTCCGCCAATCTTCCTGCTCTGAAAGGTCTTGACAGCATCCAGGTTGAGAATGGCCTTAACAACCTCCAGGTTTTCAAAGGAAATATGGTTATCCTGTGCTGACGATCCTGCATCGAAGAAATGTATGACGCCTTTGCCAGACTTGATCGCTAGTGCGTGTGCGGTCAAAGCAATATCTTGTGCCTCTTGCAACGTCTCGGACTGCAGGAACGTGAAACCTGAATTCCGGATCGAGGTGATGGAAGAGTAGTCGGGGTAGTGTGCAGGTTGCAGAGACACGTGAATCACAACGGGGAGGTTTGCGAGTCGGTATAGGTGGGGCACCGAGGAGACGAGGATGGAAGAGCTCGTTGTGACGGAAACAAGTCTGCCATTGCGAATTGGCGTGAAGACTGAGAGGAGAGGGTCGGCATTGTGTCTGACGACTTGGACCTAGACAAATATGTTAGTATTTCCAACGCCCGACGGTTGTGTTGACAGACCTCGGGGACACCATCTTCAGCAGCAGCAACAAGACTCCGGTCCTTGCGCCCCGCGTAGCGATGCAGATGCGAAGAGAATTCTGACTCAATTGCTTGAGCCGGTTGGACGGAGACAATGACATCGCTGGCCAAGTAGGCAATTCTTGCCACTATTCAGAAGCAATTGCCGTTAGCAAAGGGTCACGGAGCAGACAAGACAAAGGTCTGGGGAAGATTCAGACAGACTTACCAGCCTCTTCAGGCGTGCGAATCTTTGGTGATGCTGCAGTGGCCATGCTGTCAATGTGGTGATTGTCCCTCTGGTTCGGGTTGGAGGAGGAGGGGGAGGAGGAGGAAGAGGAAGAGAGCAAGAGGAGGAGAGGGAGAAGTCACAGAGTTGTCTGGGCGGCGAGGGAGACGGCCATTGACATTTTTCTGGATTATTTCACCTTGCCATCCTTAGTGCGCTCCGTAGCTGGACTGGGCTGGGCTGGGCTGCGGGGCGTGGTCGGAGTGTGAAGGGAGGAGAAGGGAGGAGAAGGGGGGGTCGACGGCGATGCTTCGGCTGGATGGAGCAAACAAGAGCGAGAGAGAGCGAACGAGCCAACCACAGCGGGTGAACGACCACAACTCCCACGAGTGGGCAAATCTCTGCAGCGGCATTACCAACGCTGCCGGCTGGAACATTCACCCGCTACTTACTCTCAACTTCGTCTGTCTCGCTCCCCCGACCCCCATCCATGATTCCATGCCCAATACCCATGTTGAAAGCTTCCCAAGGGCCAGGGCCCAGGGCCCACGGCAATTGACCCGCCCCACCTGCAGCGAGCACGCCATTTTGCTACAGCGAGGCGTCGCTTGAATACATCGACGCTGACCCCCGACGCCCCGTCCCCTTGCTTCTCCGATCCTGCACCGACCCAGCACCGATCGATCATGTGTGTGTGGTCTGCTGCAGGTCCGGAACAGAACAGGGCAGAACAGAACATCTTCAATTTAGAGTGCTACTTGAAATCCTAGTAGTCCTCTGTAGCCGGGCCCGTCACTGTCACAGGCATGCATGCATGCATTCATCCATTGCGCTTCCACTCTCAGAACTTCGCCGCCAATTACCATCTAAATCATTATGTTATATACTCCTACGCTGCACGTAGGTAGCTCGAGCGTACAGTACACCAAAAAATGCTTGCCTGATTGAAGCAGTCCCTCTGCCTACCCAATAACGCCTATGAACACTCCAAGCGACTGCCTGGCCCCTCTGCCACGCCGACAATTCCCCGTTCCTCATGTCTTGACCATATTCGGAGGGGGAACAGGCGGTCCGGTACCACTTCTTGCTCGCCGCTCTCGTTCCAGCGTTCCTGGTGGTCCACCCGCAGTCTTTGTAGTCTTGAATCGCCCATCTAAACCCTTCGCCCAGGCTTCATCAGCCTGACCACCCAGCCAATAGTTCTCGCCAACCTTCACCATGATCCTCCCCAGCTTTCCCCTCCACCCTGCACCTTCAGGAGACCCGACCGCAAAAGGATTATCCGCTATGGTCTCGGCCGCCCCATCCGTGTGGAGATGCAACTTCGCTGGTGAAGAAGTGTACATGTATTGCCGCAACGCCTGTCTCGCGAAAGCCATCACCACGAAAATGAAATAGACCCGAACCAGGGTTAAGAACACTACGACGACGATGCTCGGAATGCTCTCCTCAATCCCCACACCATGGCCCAAGCTCGGGCTTGATGCAGTGGCTGCTGCAGAGCTGGCAATCGCGTATGCTACTGCTTCTTGTCCGGTTGTTGCTCCAGCGGCAGGAGACGTGATCACATTGACCTCACTGACATTGTGCTGTGAACTCGTGAAGCCTGCTGTGTCGTCGATCATGCTACTCCCTGGTGCGCCACTCGGGATGCGTTGATTCGCGTTGTCTGCGCTGACCGCCAGGAACCATGTTACCGCAAACGCGGAGGTGAAGGCAGTGTTTATTATCGTATCGAGAGCGTAAAACCACGCAAGCGCCAGACATTGAAATGGGCTTTGTTTTCGAATATGTGGCATGAGGAAAGCGACGAGGATGAGCACTCCCACAGAGTAGATGTACATCGAGAGTTGAAGGGGCGAGAGGCGCAAGCCGGTGAGGACGGCCAAGAGCCCGAAGAAGCCTGTTAATTTGTTGAAAACCACGGAGAGCGAGATCATCTCTACTCCTGTTCGCAGACTCATGAAGTAGAGGAATCTCTATAATCGCAGTGAGCATGAGTTGGCAAGTGAACCCGCCTCACAGGGCAGCAGTTCTTATGTGATGTTGGAGAAAGGATTAACATACCCTCGGGCGCGGTACGCGCATGTATCGCGACAGAATTCCCATCTTGAAAATGCTGCAATTCCAACTCTGATTGTAACAGGATGCTGGGTATTGAGGGTTGTCGTCGAGGGAGGGGATGGGGAGGTGTCGTCGTCAGAAACAAAATGGCTGACCGGCAGCTTCGGGAATACTAACCAATGAAATTGTCTGCTTTCTTGGGCATGAAATTCACCTTTTCTCTTCACACAAAAGGGGGAAATTGATACTCTTGGCTATGAATAAGCACAATTTTTGCTTATGTAGAAGGCTGATTGTATAATCCAGAATGGATATGCACAATATTTTGGACTCTTTTAATCTGGTCTTCATCTTATGTATTTTCACGTGAATTGCCATTTATCGATACTCCTGATTTTCTTTCGTAAGTCATCCTCAGCAGCCTTTTCTTCGAGGACCCACTACGATCAACACAGAATGAATAGACGAGCAACCAGTCGATTTTGTTAATATTAACTACATTATTGCGTGCGCCCGCTGCTGGTATCAATCATACAACACCGAATGCTGCCAAAACGCTGAACTATGCTCATATCCCTGAAATTTTCCTATAAAACAAGACGACGAAGTGAATGTTTCTCATTCTGCTTCTCAACAAGCACAACCTTCTTGGTTTGCAGGCGCTGGATTGATGTTGACATCGATCACTACACTCGGGATCAGCATGGCTCCATCCAAGTCTTCGTTCACCGGATGACATACTCTGGTTTCCGGCCGCTGCGGCTCCCTCGGCGCCTTCCATTCCAGGCAGAGCCTGAGCTATCCTCCTGAACAGATTCTTGACGTTATGTCCCACCTTCGCACTCGTTTCGATAAACATCAGGTTGTTCTTCTTCGCCTCCTCTTCTCCCTGCTGTGTTGTGACTTCTCTCTTATCATTCAAATCCGTTTTGTTACCCACTAGAACAATGATCACATCGTTTCCTCGCTCTCCTCTAACGTCATCTACCCATTTCCGCGTGTTCTGGAAAGATTTCGCATCTGAGGGGTCGTTAGGTCAAGACTAATAGCGTTGCGGGTGGGGTTGCCATTACTTGAAATATCATAAACCACCACAGCCACGCTGGAATCTCGAATGTATGATGGAATCAGACTCCGGAACCGTTCTTGACCTGCCGTATCCCATAACTGTAATCGCACAGTTCGATCTTCAAGGTACATGGTCTGCGCAAATCGGTCAGCACCAGCTTCCGTCGCTCTGCCGTGTACCGCTTACTTTTGACAGGAAATCGATGCCTATTGTCGCCTGGTACATGTTGTCGAAGGAGTCGTACATAAAACGGGTGATAAGGGACGTTTTCCCAACTGCATATTCCTATCAGCATCTCCAGACGGGATTCGCATTAGCGTCCTGCATACCACTTTGTTCTCCGAGGAATACCAATCTATACAACAATCAGTATACTCTCCCAAGGATACGAGATCGCGGTCAATGCTGACTTGAACTTCTTCAACGGATTATTGTACGATCCGCCTGCCTGCGCCATTTTGTCGCTATTATTATGGTGGCCCACAAAAAGTCGAGGGAAATGCAAATCTTCAGAAGGGGGCGGTCAAGTATGTACAAAGAATCCGTGATATGTGTGTTGGTTATTGAGGCGCCCTTTTTGGAAATTTCCTGGGTTGTGTCAAGGTCTCGAAGAAAAAGGAGGCCTGCTGGGTGCCAGGATTAATGCTAAGCCTGATGGGCGGGACTCCGCCCCGCCCCACCGAAGATAACGATAAAGCAAAAATTCCAACTTCAAAATATTTTCAAGCCCATTGTACCAAAAAGACCACTAGCCTTCCACAGCCACGCCACGAGTCGTCGTGAACCAGAATCGAGCACCAAAAGTCATGCCTATGATCAAGCCAGCAATTGTGTCGCCGGGAGCACCTCAGCAACATAAGCAGCCTTCGCGAAAAGGCAAGAAAGCCTGGAGGAAAAATGTCGACGTTACAGAGATCCAGGAGGGGCTCGAGGAAGTGCGGGACGAATTGATCAAAGGGTATGAACTCAAACACCCCCCTACTCAATGGCGGTGCTGAACAGGCTCTGTAGAGGTGTAATTGTCGAAAAAGATTCTGCAGACCTCTTTACCCTCGACCTCGCTGGCGACGCTTCGATACAGAAGAAATATCTGAAAGGCTCCAAGCCCCTCAAAGCCGACGAGATCATTGCCCAGCGCTCTGCCATACCGGCGGTATCACAGAAAAAGCGAGCTGGCGACAAGACTACAGATGGCGTCATTCAACCCAAGCGTCAAAGGACAAGTTACGTCTCTCATAAGGAACTTACTCGACTGCGAAACATTGCCAATGGACGCCAAAGCGACGCATTAGTTGAAGTCACAGAAGCAAGCTACGATCCCTGGGATGTACAGAAGGATGTTGAAGAAGCTACTCAAGATCCGAGATTCTCCTTCCTCGAGAAGACTAAAAAGAAAGTTGCACCTGCCACCTTGAAACATAAACCCATTTCGTTAGCGGCCAATGGGAGGGATATCCCGGCAGTCAAGAAGCCTGAAGGAGGATACAGCTATAACCCAGTTTTCACCGATTATGAGGAGCGACTTATCACAGAGGGAGAGAAGGAATTAGCAGCCGAACAAAAACGTCTTGATGTTGCGGAAGCCGAGCGGGTAAGGCTCGAAGCAGCTGCGAAGTCTGCAGCCGAGGCTGAAGCTGCTGAAGCGAAGGCGGATTTATCCGAATGGGAGGAAGATTCTGCATGGGAAGGGTTTGAGAGCGGAGCCGAAGATGTGAGATTGAATGCCAAGAGACCAGAGAGAAAAACGCAAGCACAGCGGAACCGGATCAAACGCAGGAAGGAGGAAGAACGAAAGGCAAAAATGGCAGCGCATATCAAGAAGAAAAATGAGCAAGCCGCCCTTGCCAAGAAAATCGCTAAGGATTTGTCAGAGAAGGATAAATTACGAAAATCAGTAGTGGCCGATGAGGCTGAAAACAGCAGCGAGGATGACAATCTTGAGCTACGAAGGAGGAAATTGGGCAAAGTTGCATTGCCGGAGAAGGATCTGGAGCTAGTCCTGCCAGATGAGTTACAGGAGTCTCTGAGATTATTGAAGCCAGAAGGCAACTTGATGAAGGATAGGTACAGGAGTTTGCTGGTCAGAGGCAAAGTCGAGAGCCGCAGACCGATCAGCTTTGCGAAGAAAGCAAAGAGAAAGGCAACGGAGAAGTGGACACATAAAGATTTCATGCTGCACTAGCGCCGGTCAGTCAAGTATTCGCGGATGCGCGTCATGTAAATGTTGGCAGGACAATGTTCGTTTTACACATCACTGGCCGAGTTGTTGAGGCGTTGCCACACATGCATTGAAAAGACATCAATGACATCGCAAGATACGACAGGGCTGACCTTCGGGTATCACAACAGGGGATTCCAATCAATACTCTTTCTCTCGCACAGACACCAATATTATCACACTTTTATGTCTCTCATCTTGTAAACGCTGTCACGATAGCAGATCAAAGCCAAATTAAGTAATGAATATCTCTATTTTGTAACAAAAATAATCTTTAAAATGCCATGTTCCATCCATGTTGCATGGCAAGTGCATGCTAGTCACGTGTGTCGTCCTCACATAATCTTGTTCACTATATTAAGCTCTAGCCCTCCACTCCACGCCTCTCTTCCTTCGATATCTCAATTATATTACATAGAGCGGCATTTACTGCAACAATCCATTATGAGAAATCTATATTACTTAATTAAAAATTACATCTCTATTTTGTAATAAAAACAATCTTCAAAGTACCATATTCCATCCATTATGAGAAATCTATATTATCTAATTAAACTTTACAAATCTTAAGAACTTTACATTTTATGTAAGACAATCTCGCTCTTTTCAACGCTGGGCTGTTGAGTTAGCCTGGTCTCGGTAAAGAAAGGGGTAAGATTAAGCGAATACGACTTACATTTTCACAACCTGTGCATTGAAATCCCACACTGCGAATTTAGACACGACGGAAAAGCTTACGGCTTGCTGTACGACTTGTTAGCATTCTAAAAAGAGGTCAGCGAGCCGACTCGCCATTCCCAACCCACGAATTATTCTCAACAGTTCCCTCGGAGCCAGCCAAAGCGGGCGCCCTTGCAACAATTGGGGTAGCTGTTGGTCCAACCTCAACTGTGGTCGTAAAAAGCTTTGGAGCTGCCGTGACCATCGCAAACTTAGCACCAGTCAAGGCAGTTGCAGCTTGGCCATCCATCTCACATGTTGGGCAAGAGTTCGCGGATGTGAGATTACCTTGAACAGGCAAGTACATGGAAACATTCACGACTTGTTTCGGATAGATGAGGTTCTTGTCCTTGATCAAAAGATTGGCTGCTTCAGCGGAAGGTAGGGTGAGGCCCCACTTGTCTGCTATCGAGTAAAGAGAGTCTCCGGGCTCGACAGTCGTACAGAAAGGATCGCCGAGTCCTTTGGCGGGAACCTTAATCATTTGGCCGGGGAAGATGAGATCAGGATTTTCGATCTGTTCGTTCAACGCTACAATGGCAGAGAGAGTAACGTTGTAGACCTTTGCAATTGCATCCAAGTAATCACCTTCAGCAATCGCAAGTAGTGTATCGCCAGATTTGACCGAATGCTTCGTTGCGGGTGGAAGACGCGCGTTGTGATTGAAAGTGGATCTTTCCAAGTCGGCTCCTTGGTCGAATGTCAAGTAGTGAAGTTGTTGATCAAATCCACTCACGTAGCAATTGCAAGAGGCAGCCACCTGGACAATTGCGCAACCATTATCACTGTATACCCTGTAGTAAAAGAAATCGCCAGTTCCAGGATGGTAATAGTTAATACTCCTATCGTTGAAACCGCTTTGGATTTCGAACGGTACATTGGCGTTGATCTCGCGTGCTTGTGCCATTCTATCAGCTCCCGATGTCATGGAGTTACCAGTAGGATCGAACACGGAGCCATCATAGAAGTTGAAGATCTCGGAAATAGTTGGCGCAAAAGTAAGCCCGTTATGGTTTGTTGGAGGTGCCGGGCGTCCCTGGCCGCCTCCTTTGCCAGGGGTTGAAAGCTGGGGTGGTTGCTGTTGAGCTGGCGGCGCATGATTGCCTCCCTTGCTGGCTGTTGGCGGTTCAGATTCTTGTCCATTGTTCTATGCTCCGGGCTGAGGTGGTAATTCTATGGGTTGGTGTTCTAGCCCCTACTTTTGCGGCTTGGGAATCTCTTTGATCGAGCCAGGGGAGCTTGGTTGCCCTTGAGTATTTCCCTCTCGGTTCTCGGGAGTATTCGATGGTGATTTCGACTGATCAGTACCAAATTGGCCCTTTCCATTACTAGTCTCGTCCGGTGTTGAAGAACCCCCATTAACCCCGTTATTTAATCCAGCGCCTGGTTTGTCCGACTCGGGGTGTTGTCTATTCTTTGGCGAGGAAGGAGGCTGTTCAGGACGTGGTTGTCCGTCGACTGGAACCGTTGAGCCTTGGCCTTGCTGTTCCTGGCCTGGCTCGTAGTTAGGCCAGGAGGATGGTTGATTAGAATTTGGAGTCGTTGTGCTTTGGCCTTGCTGTTCCTGACCGACCCCGTTATTTGGTAACGAGGGAGGTTGGTTAGGACTAGGCTGTCCGTTGCCTGGATTCGTCGAACCTTGGCCCTGGTTTCCTTGACCGGGTTGATTCGGACCTGAGTGTCCATTTCCCGGAATTGTCGAGTTTTGGCCATGTCCTCCTTCACTTGGCGGAATTTTGAAGAGAGGTTCTGCATTATTGTACCCTCCTGTGTTGGCAGGAGCGACAGGTACTACGGGGCCGGACGAGCCAGTACTTGGTTGAGCGGCAGAAGCAGGGGTGCTCATCTGAGCAGAACTCGATTGTCCAGGCACACGTTGAGTTCCGGATGAAGGCAGCGTGTCGATTTGGGCACTCTCAACGGGCGTGGGCGATCCAGGTGTGGATTGTGACTGCTTGGAGTGGCTCTCAATTGGCAGTGCTTGACTTGCTGTGAAGGTGAATGATTCGCCTCGAGAACCACCTTCACCCGGGGCCTGCGTCACACCGGGATGCTTCGTAGCATCAGAAGACTGGGGCTGAGTCGGTGTGGTCTCGGGAAGTTGTCCTTCGGATTTGTGAGAGCTACTTTCAGGTGGGGGGGTCGTAGTCGTCAACTGACCAGATTGCTGCGCTCCAGATTCATTGGTGCTTGAAGGCTGTATCTTGTCTGTTCGAGTTCCGGCCTTGGCGATGCTCGAGGAGTCCGTAGGGCGAATACCATCTGTCGAGATTGCGGGTTCCACCTCAGTTGCCTGCTTACTTGCGGTATTAACCGAAACGGTGGCTTGGGGTGTCTCCGGCGAGACGTTAGAGAGCGCCGTATTCGGTGCAATTGATTCCGCTCCCTTCGAGGTCTCCATTTCCTGACCGACGATGCCCCACCCACGGAGGTGACCTCACCCGATGACAATGCCGGCGACAGGCTACTTGGAGTAGATGCAGAAGGCATCGTACGCCTTGATTCGGCCAACGGCTCGGCTGTGGAAGAAATCTCATTGGTCAAATCTGACTTCGTTAGCAGGCTGCTGGTGCTGCTCTTCTGCGGCTCTTCAGTGTTTATGTCATTGGAGGGGAGACGGCTTGTCTCATCAATGGACGTAGGGTAAGGGGTTGCCATGTTGAGTGGTCTAGATTCCGGAATAGTAGGTCTGGAAGTCTGCGAAGTAAGCATGCTCTCGCTCGGACTTGAGACTTGCAAGATGCGCGTGCTCTCTTCACTCACCCCGGAATTCGCCATCTCGCTTGCCTTTGAGTTTAGAGAAGATTCGATCTTATTTGGTGACTGCGACTGCGTACTAGAAACCGTCCTGTCTGGGGTGGGCGTTGAGCCAACTGGGTTCTCATTTGGGGTCTTGTCGTGCGAGGTGTATGCGGATGACTGGCTCATGAGACGCTCCTCGGTTAACATTGGTGCTGCTGCAGTCTGGCCTCCAGAGATAATCATCTTTCCAGAGGATGCTGGAGACTGGGTAGTTCCGGATTGTGACGCCCTGGGCATCATGAACTCCTGGTAAGAGGTGATCACTGCTACTGAGGATGAAGCATCGACACCCTTAGTTACCTGGGAAGGGCTGACAACAGACCCCTGAGTCTCAGAGGCAGAAGAAGATGATCCAATGCTCGACAAGGTCAAGGATGGGGATGTCTCAGGAGTGGTAGTAGCAGTAAGAACCGTGGAACCAACCGGCTGGCTCATCTTGGCGTCGTTGGGCGGGCTGCTTGGTTTTGTCATTGCAGTTTCCATTGCGCCAGATCCCAATGGGCTAGAGCTGGATGATGGAGTATTGGCTCCAGTATAAGTGGAGTGCATGGAGTTAGCCGAGGCAGACTCAGATGCAGACTCTCCTCCCATTTCTGACAGCTGGGTAGTGGTCAAAGCAGGCTTGACTGTCTGGCTTCCACTGGCGTCGGTTGAAGCAAGGGCGGTGGTTATTGTCTGGGAAGTTGTAAGAGGCGGCAGGCTTGCCAACGAGGTGGTGGCGCTGGTCAGTGTCTGGGTTTGAGCCTCGCATGATTGAGATGATGCGGAAGATGTCATGGCAGCAGTCTCAGTCGCCGTCATCTGCCCTTCAGCGGGTAGCTGCACCAGGGATCTAGTAGGACTCCTTTCGGCAGAGGATGGCGAGCCTAATGCAGACGTGATCTGACTGTTTAGCATGCTGCTCGTCATGGCGGGAAAGGTAGACTTAGTAGCCACCGAGCTCTGCATGGAGGGTGCACTCGAAGCTTGGCTTGAAGAGACAAAAGAGTTGAAACCGGTACTGCTAGCAGCTGGAAGTGATCCCACAGAAATCGGACTTTCAAGAGACTCAGAAGCCTTTGGAGTCTCCGGCGTGTTAGGAGACTCTGGTGTCTTGGAAGAGGGGGACTCCGATGCCATTGGGGTTTTTGATGTCTTTGCAGTTTCTGATGCCCTGGGGGACCCTGTGACCTTGGGAGAATCTGATGCCTTTGTGGTTCCCGAAGTCTTAGAAGACCCTGCTACCGCTAGAGACTGGGATGGCGTATAACTCAAAGTTGGTTCGGCATTACCTATTGAAGATAGAGATGCTTGGCCTAAGTCAGATGAGTGTATACTGGGAGTACTCGAAGTGGTATCAGAGGCGCCTCCGAAGGTCGATGACTGAGATGCGGCCCCTGGTGCGGAAGAAACTTGGCTCGTTGATGCCTGTGGTGAAACTCCGCTCAGAGTATCACCTCCCTTGCTACTGGACGGCATGTCGGGTGTAGCACCAGTTTCTGCGAAGGTAGTGGGAGAGCGCGAAACTTCTTGATTTCTACTCGAAGTACGACGTGTCGAGGACGCCGGAGCATTGGTTTCTGCAGAGCTCGCCAGACCGGTCCGTGAGACTGCTCGTGAAGATGATCTATAAGATGAGATTCCGATGTAGGACTTTGTTTTGATTTGGGTGAGAGAATTAGTCGGTTGGACGTTCGTGGAGCTCGATAGTCGTGACATTTCTTCCGAGACAGGAGTTGAAAATACGATTTCGGGTGAGTTTGATCCTGCTGGGTAGCTTGGTGCTCGTGAAATGGAGGACATTCGGGTTCTGCCAGCGGCCAACATGCTTGACTGTTTGGGCGATGGTGAGACCGTTGTGAGAACACTACTCAGACTTTCAGATGACCTGATCTCGCTATATGAATTATAAACCACCGTTAGTATTTCCTTGCTAGTTGACGCGATCATCGATGATCGCTGCTGTATTGATGTTGAGATGGTTGGGGCGTCGGTTTTCTCGGTTTTCCTGGAATTCAATCGATCGGAATACGTTGAGCTAGATTGGCGAACAGTTTCAGAGGAAAGAGACAGTGACCTTGTTGGTATTATTTGAGTTGTTCCAAATGACGAGCCTTGAGAATCTCCATGAGACAATTTGGTCGTGCTCAAACGCCGAAGCTGGCTTGTCGACACATCAGATTCAGAAACAGCGGATCGACTTTGTGAGAGAAACCTCGTTGATAAATCACTCTCCTGATGCTTGATGAAGCTGGATTGGCGTCGAGACATTGCAGAACGCATACTCTCAGCTCCGTTCAACGAGGCAGCTTGGGTTGACCTCGAGGATCCCGGGGTCGAGCCTAGAGATGTCGGGCCTTTTACAGAGGTCAGAAGGCTAGATTGAACGGGCAATAATGTGGTCTGGGCTCTCACGGAGCTGATGTTGCTCGAAAGCCCAGATAGGCGTTTAGTGAGGCTTTGAATATTTGGAGGAAGCAGATTGGTTTGCGAAGAGCCTTCATATGAAGCCCTCGATGTAGGAGTAGCATGGCTGGAGGACCGGGTTGCACTATCTTGCTCTCCGCGCTTGGTTCTGCTTTCCATAGCGGGTGAACTCCTCTCGGTTGGGGAAGAGATAGTTTTGCTGAAAGACGGAGTTGCGCTCTTATATATGCCGCTGTTACTGCTGGTGCCCATTCGCACCACTGAGGAGCCCGCTTGTGAACCTGGCCACGAGGAAGCGAATGCGTTGGTAGAGGTCATTGTACTGCCAAAGTTGCCTCCTGCGATGTTGCTCATACCATTTCGCGCAGTAGATGATGCCAAGTCGGCCGAGGCCCGTGGGGAAAATTGCGAAGCGCTGTTGACACCGGAGTAATGGGGTCGTGAGGTTTCAATGGAGGTCCGAGGGCTCTCTGCTGTTCTAGACGAGCCCAAGGACTTTCGCGTATGAGAAGTTGCAGCATCAGATGGAAGAGAAGCCACGCCAAGAGACCCCTGTGTTGTCTGTCTCAAAAGCGAGGAAAGGAGCGACTGCCGCTCTGGTGTGTTTGTAGCGCTTCCAAGCTTTGATGAAAATTTCCCAGACATCGGGGAAGGCTTTTCTTGTCCTGTTGGCAAAGCGGTGGAAACTTGCTTCGCTATAGAGGTCAATTTGGGCGATACTCCTGGTATGTTTGTTCCACTGACCATTTCAGAGCTTATAGAGTTCAGAATTTGGGAGTGCCGGGGCTTGCCAGTTGGTTGTAATGACTGCAGCTGTGAATTTGCGGACAGCAAGGTGGACGCCCTGCCGGGTAAATTGGTTGGGGCGCTGAATTCAGAGCTACTTCCCCCTGACAGCGAGGAGAAATTTGGTCCACTTCCTGGTCCAGAGGCAGATGGCTTGCCTTGGGCTGATGGAACTTTCTGGCTTCCCGAGATTGGCGATGCTTTTGGCAGTTCGCGGGTGCGCGTAGATTCTCCTGCTTTCAAGATTCCTGATCTCAACCGACTTGAAATCGAGGAGGGTTCTGGCCCTTGGCTTGAAGCCAAGGTAGGAAGTTTCCCAGAGATGATAGAAGCCTTTGAGGACTCAGGTACAGATCTAGACGAGATGGGCCACGCCCCGGGCACTTTGGAGGATGAGGTCGAATATCTATGGCTGGCGGATTGTTCGAATGAACGTCGTGATGCATCTTCGTTTCTAGACTTTGCGGAAGCGGACTGAGAATGGCCACCGGGGCCTCCTGGTGCTGAGCTTTCTTGAACACGATGATCGCCAGTCTGATAGCGATTATTACCAGCCTTGAAAGAGCTGGTGGGGTTCGAGCCCTGTTTCCCTTCTTGCACATCAAACATGACACGATTCTCGATGGAGCGGGCTTGGTTGTATTGCGACTGGTGTCTTGATCCTTAAGTGTTGATGCTCCGACAAGTCCTGTTGAAACCGGGGGTTGGCCTTCTGACTGAGCGGTGCCGGCTTTAGTGATTGTGGGAGAAGATTGACCCGCTTGGGAGGGGCTTCCGCCGCCATCGTACTGCGAGTTCCCATTCAGACCGTTTGAAGGGCGGCCAGCAGGAACCGTTTGGTTTTTGGAAGGAGGGGGATTCGAAGAGGAATGGCCTACAGCACTGATAGGGCCGGAAACAGTGGTGTAAGAGGCAGACCCGGATTTGAGGCCATCGAAGACAACTGAAGGACCAGCTGCGTTTGATGGTCGTGCGTGGGCTTGTTGGTTATTGCTTGTAAGAGGGGTTTTCTGGCCGTCTGGTTGGGAAGTGGTGTGGTCGTTGGAACCGCGAAACCGACCCCTGAAAAGGTTGCCTGCTCCTGAGGATGAAGATTCCTGTACCCGAGCGGCAGATGTAGTTGGCTCGGGGTTGCTGTGGCTGCTCGGTTGCTCCTCCGGGCCAATGTTAAAAGCCAGGTTGAAGGAAAACTGGGGTCGTGCTGCAACATTCGAAGCGCCCAGAGCGAGTGCTATCAGCACACCTCGGGAGAGGTGCATCTTGAACCTTGTTCTCAATTCGCGGCGGAGTGATCTCTTCAAAGTGTTGAATTTGCAGGAGATCACGGGGTCGTGAGGTTCTGTTAATGGATGGGAGAGAAGAAAAGAGGCAACAGGGAAATTTCCACTCGAAAACGTTGACAAGCAGATTCGCGCATGTTGTCGAAAGCGAGAGACTACCTACGCAATGCCCTAAGTCCGAGACATGTTGAGGCCTCTCTGTCTTACTCGAAACGCTATTGATGATGAGCGGGACCCATCTGACAGCCACTCTAAATGCGGCGGTCCCATAACGACCCCTATTTGTGGCGTCGAGGGCATCACTTTTATATCATCAACCCAGGTGTCGAAATTTCCCTCTATCTGTGTTTAGATTGATGTGCACGTCTTGGTTTGGCCAGCAAAGTTCTCCATACAGTCGTCTCGATTCGCCGGCAACACATCTAGTGTTCCTCATCTCCAGGTATCGACCTTGGAGGCCAGAATGAGTAGCTTAGACCTAGATTTCTCCAAGTGCTTCAAGCACGGCTTCATGTTCTGCATCTCAATAGTGACCCTCGTTGGCTCAACAACCAAAGTATCGTTTTTCAATCCAGCGCTCCTCAAAATCAGCTACAATCGTGCACACCACGACCTTGACACTGGGAAACACTTTTGTTAGCCTATTCAGAGCCAATCTTCCGGCGAAGTAGGTGACGAAAACGATCTTCTCTTCGTCAACACCATGGTCGCGGAGAACCTGGACTGCCATTAAAGCTGCACCGCCACTCGACATCTGTGGGTCGAGGATCAACACGCTATCGTGTGTCTCGATATTCTCCGGGAGCTTGAGATAATGTAGCTCCGGTTCGCCAGTTCGCACATTGGATTGGATTAGTAGACGTCCGGTTCGACAGTCTGGTAGAACTGTGGTTAATGTTAGAATGAGGTCACAGAAAAGATGGATCTAATTTTGGACCTCGCTTTAGTCCAGTCTCGAAGACCGACCCTGCCCTAAGAATGACAACTGCGCTAGTCTCTCCAATCGGGGCCAAGCCGTGGTATTGGGTCCCAACCGGAGTCAGGACAGTCGCTTCTTTGAAGTAGACATTATTCATGGCACTTTGCATAATTAGCATAAGCCTTCAACGTTCCAGACCATAGTTCATGCACGCACTGCTCAACCAATAAAGTGGCCAACCTATCGAAATAAAAGATGAAGTCTTCGGCCGATGTGTCAGTGTCTTGGATGATCGTATTCATTCCTCGAAGCTGGGAAGTCTGTTCCAGGAGGGTGACGGTCTCAGAGAGAGGGTCGTCTTCGGAACTTTGACCCAATTTCTTGAGCTCGGCTCGGTGAGCCTTGGATTTCTCTATCAATTTTCTCTCGATGTATTGGATCACCATCGCTTATTTTGTCAGCTATTGTTCCAGTAAATCCATAGCACTTACTAATTGCGACTCTGTTCTCCACACCCCTTGGTACAATGATATCTTCACTCATTAGACATGATTAAAATGCTAGAGGACGGACCTACCCGCGACCTTCCTCTGAGGCTCGACATATCTTTCAAAATTGGGCTTCACAAATGCAAACCACTGCTTAATGCAGCCCTCAATATCTCTGCCACGCTCCTCCACATCTCTGAGAACTGCAAGACGGGTTAACGTTGGGAATGAGGCAAGAAGACTACAGCCTACTTCTTCTTGAGAGACAAGTGTCTGCATCTGCTTCACAAAATATCTGAGCTCCAAGTCAATACCCGATTTGATATCAATTCAGTTGAAACAGTGGATACCTTCATGTCTAAAAGATGAAGAACTCTGGGGTCGTATAGAGCGAGGATTCCTTCCAGAATCAACACGTGAGGGGAGTAGATAGATGTGGTCTCCTTTTCTCTGGCGTGTTTGGCAAACGAGTAAATTGGAATTTCGGCTCTCCTTCTATCGAGAGAATGAGTGTCCGTCTCAGATCACCGGGAAGGGTTTGCAAAGATATATTTGTTCGGAGCAGGCGAACATACCCAGCTTTCAGATCACGTAGCCTGTCGACGAGAACATCAAAATCTATGGCGTCTGGGGAATCGAAATCGTATTCATTATTGAATGCTCGCTTCGATGCTTCTACATCCAGGGTTTTGTAGAATGAGTCCTGTGACAAGTTTCAGTGCTAAGGTGAGGAGTTATCGATGCCACGTTCCGTACCATTGACAGAATGACTACCCAAGGAAGGTTCAATTTAGAGACGATGGCGTGAGATAGCGTTGATTTACCCGATCCCGAGCTTCCAGCAATTCCAATTATGCTAACATCGGCCCATGGTGGTGAGTAATGAGCCCGTTTGCTCAGAGTATCTGCCATATTATCCAATGTAGGGCTTTACAAAGAGGGGACCCGCGACTCGGGAACGCGGAGGAGCCACAGCTGGAGCATGTAAGCTGTCCGGATGACTGGTGAAATATGTGGATCAGATCATGTTGCAAGAGGAGCGAAAACAACGGTAAATCGTGAATCTTAACCTTCGTGCTTGGCCTTTTGCTCGGGGGCGGTTGGTTTGAGGTCTCGTGTCATACCGTCACGTGAAAGAGAGCCAGTGTCGTCCCAACTAGGCTTAGACTTTCCACAAGACTACCCTGCAGCTGAGCTTGAAATTTGCAACGCCGTCAACCTCCATTATTCTTCATCCTCCACAAACATTCATCCATACGAGATTGCGCAGTGCTGGACACTCCAGCCTTCTGCACAACCGAGCCCCTTTACGACATATGGAGACTAGACACAGGTAGTCTAGTAGTCATCCTCGTTGCAAGAATGGTCCGTTCGAGATCCGAATCATCATGGCTTCGAGGCTGACTGTCTCAGGCTTCTTCCACAGCGTCGACCGCCACCCCTGTGCGGCATACTTTCGAGAGACGGGTTGAGGATGTCAAGCCGCTGAAAGGGTATGGATATCCGATCCCCAAAGCACGTCCTCCCACGAGTCCGTCCTTCCCCCGACCAAGCTCTAGGCAAGCTCTACATGATGACCTTTTATCAACTGGGAATCTCTCCTAAAAATTACGCATGCGGAGAATTTATTTAGTTGTCATTTCTGATTCGCCGACTACACACTCGTACAATAGCATTATGTGGAGCTCAAGCAAAGACCCGAGCTGACTGAGGCTACCTTGTTAGTGACATCAATGCTCTTATTCTCGACTACCTTACCACTGAAGGGTATCCCTCTGCCGCTGCAAAATTTTCCAAAGAAGCGAATCTCCGCCCGCAACAGGAAGAAGAGTCCGTGAAGGCTCGCCGGCAGATCCAACACTCCATCCACTCTGGGAACATTCAAGAAGCTGTCGATGCACTGAACGAGCTAGAACCTCAGGTTAGTAGTTTGGAGGTTTCTTCTATTGCCCCTTCTTGCTATGATTAGACACGAGTTTCATGCACCACTCATATAGCCTTCGGGTCGGTGATGAGAAAAAGTACCAACTTCAGTCCTCAGTATGAGCAACATACCATTACCCATAATATGTGTATCGTCTTGTATGTCATTACGTATTGACACTTCTACGATAGGTTCTTGATAGCAACCCCTCCTTACACTTCGCCCTTCTTCGACTTCAACTGGTCGAGCTCATCCGCACATGCAATGCAACACCCGGCGGTGATATTACCCCGGCGCTGAACTTTGCAACAGCACAGCTGGCTCCGAGGGCACCTACAAATAAGGAGTTCATGGAAGATTTGGAGAGAACAATGGCGCTGCTCGTATTCCCTTCGGATAGCCTCGAGCCCCCTCTTGCTGCATTGTTACAGCCTGGGCTCCGCCAATCTGTAGCGGATAGAGTCAACAAAGCAATACTAGCCTGCCAAAATCAACGACGTGATGCTGCAATCAGAAGTCTTGTTCGCCTGCGAGCGTGGGCGGAGAACACGGCACGAGAAGCGAAGAGGGATCTCCCCGCCACGATCGAGTTGGGGCTGGATGGAGATGAGAGACACGAAGCTCATGAGAACGGGCATGAGCCAATGATTACATGAAATGAGAGAAACTGCATCGCGGCGTTGGATCTACATCGCAATGGGGCGGGGTTTGGCGTCGGATGATTTGGTGTAGGGCATTCATGGGAAGTTTTTAGGGGGGACTTTCTCTCGGGATGCTTGGGCTTGGGCTTTGGGACAACGGCGGGCATGGGAAGGTGTTCTTTGGTGGTTCAATGGAGCTTAGATGGAGAATGGTGGCGTCTTTATAAACTCTAGGACCACTCGGTACTTCGATCCGCTTAGTAATTCCCAGCTATAATATTTGATCCCTTGTAACCTTGAAGCTTTGTGTGTATGGCTGGAAGTTGGTTGCATTTGTGAGCACACTGCAGGCAAAGAATATTTTTTCTCCTGTGGGGCGCTACACTTTCCGTTTGTTCCGCCCTCAGCCTCCAAAGCTCGAACATACGTCAGATACTGTACGATGATAAGGAGCTACGAGCACTCCTCCACAGCTCAACAATACTCTTTGTGACAACGACTCAAGACATCCCTCTGCTCAACACCAAAAAATTCTCAGCACTCACTGCGAATATGGTTAAAGCCTCGTAAACATTCGCAATCGCCGGGAATTCGATCAATTGGAAGCTATGTTGCAGCAACCTGCGGCGTGCGCAGCACGAGTTTGCCTGGGAGGCAATCTTTCTCGCAGATGCGCAATTCCTGTGTGGAAGCAAACATGTCTGATCTATCGATTCCCGAATCTGCGGTCACTTCACTCCGGTCCAGATCTCCAGAAGAGCATACCCGCAGGCCGCAGAGCGTCGTTGCGACAGCTTCTTTTCACCCACCAAGCTCGTTCCGTGTCCGGAAAACCTCTGCCGCAAAGACGATCTTGGATCCTTAACTTTGTCTATCGATCAGCAACGTGGCTGGGAGGGTCAATACTCTTCATCGGAATCGGCGTGGTTGGGTTCTTTCTCTACGATGCGTCTACCTACCGAGAGGACCTATCCTTTAGGGACATTCAAGTGTCCGAGAGAGCACTACGCCCACGAACTGGCGGCCCGAAAAACCTCCCAATTGCAGAGGTACAGATCGACGATGACGACTGTTCGGAAATGAAAAGCCAGAAAGACAAGCCGAAATTGGTGATTCTTGGAGGTGGATGGGGCAGCGTTGCTCTCTTGAAAACACTCAACCCAGATGAATACCACGTTACCTTGGTATCGCCGACCAACTACTTCCTGTTTACGCCAATGCTACCTTCAGCTACAGTTGGAACTTTAGAATTCAGGTCTTTGGTGGAACCGATCAGGCGGATTGTCACTAGGGTCAAGGGGCATTTCATCAGGGCTTCAGCAGAGAATGTTGAGTTCTCCGAGAAGTTGGTCGAGCTATCCCAGAAAGACAACAATGGGAACGAAGTGCGTTTCTATCTGCCATATGACAAGCTAGTTATTGCGGTCGGGTCAACAACGAATCCCCACGGAGTCAAGGGATTGGAGCATTGTCATTTCTTGAAGGACATTGATGATGCTCAGAAGATTAGGAACCACATTCTCACCAATTTAGAATATGCTTGTCTACCAACGACACCCGATGATGAGAGAAAGCGACTTCTTTCCTTTGTTGTTAGCGGTGGTGGACCCACAGGAGTTGAATTTGCTGCGGAATTATTCGATCTTCTTAATGAGGATCTGACTGCACACTTCCCCAAGCTTCTCCGCAATGAGATCTCAGTGCATCTTATTCAGAGCCGAGGACACATCTTAAATACCTACGACGAGGCAGTCTCGAAGTATGCAGAAGAACGTTTTTCCCGGGATCAAGTCGAGGTCCTCACAAATTCCAGAGTTAAGGAGGTTCAAGCAGACAAGATTCTCTTTACCCAGAAGGATGAAAATGGTGAAACTATTACTAAAGAACTACCCATGGGATTCTGCCTTTGGTCTACAGGAGTCTCGCAAACAGAATTTTGCCAAAAAGTGTCTGCAGCCCTGGGGTCTGCACAGACTAATCGCCATGCTCTCGAAACCGACACTCATCTTCGGTTGAACGGTACACCTTTAGGGGACGTATACGCCATCGGTGACTGTTCTACCGTCCAGAACAATGTCGCCGACCATCTTGTGACCTTCCTGCGCACACTGGCGTGGGAAAAGGGAAAGGATCCAGAGACCATGCACATCACCTTTGGAGAGTGGCGAGAAGTGGCCCAAAAAGTCCGAAAGCGGTTTCCACAAGCTGCAGACCATTTAAAGCGACTCGACAAGCTATTTGCTGCCTATGACAAGGACCAATCTGGGACTTTAGACTTTGGGGAGTTGCGCGAACTCCTGATGCAGATTGATAGCAAGCTCACGTCGCTACCCGCCACTGCACAGCGTGCCCATCAACAGGGCCAGTACCTCGGGCATAAATTCAACAAGGTGGCGAGAGCGGCTCCAGGTCTAAGAGTCAATGATGTACGGGATGGCGATTTAGATGAAGCTGTGTATAAAGCCTTTGAGTATCATCATCTGGGAAGCTTAGCTTACATTGGTAATTCGGCGGTCTTTGATCTCGGTAATGGGTGGAACTTGGCTGGTGGACTATGGGCTGTTTATGCGTGGAGAAGTGTGTATTTTGCGCAGAGTGTAAGTTTGAGGACGAGGATATTGTTGGCAATGGACTGGGCTAAGAGGGCTTTGTTTGGAAGAGGTGAGGTTGCCGGTCTTCGTTGTAGAAAGTGTGCTAACGTTTTGCTAGATCTTATGAATTGGTAGAATGGTGCGAGGAGTAGATTTCCCTCCTTTGTTGGGCAATGGTTGCGGCAAAATTGGACAAACGAGATCCGGCGTTGGATAACCTTACGAGAGACATTGTACTTATGAAAGACAGAGAAACTTGTTGGTATGTGTGTACTGGCTTGAATAAACGGCTTCAGCCTCAAACATTCTTTATTATAGAGAATTATCTGTGTGCTGCCTCAACTCTTCGGGACGATCATGGAGCATTGAACATATAATCACGTGATCAATATCAATCTGGCATTAAAGTGTAGTAGCAAAGAGTATTCCCTAGGGATGTCCTATACTAGAGTGCTTTGAACTGGAAATTCAGCAGTATGATATCAAGTTGAAATCCAGTGTACAGCAACTGCGTAGGCATTTATTTATCTTAGTCCGCGTCCTCCGACGGAAACGGCATAATTATGATTGATGAGCCATTTCGAATGAGCACATTTGGAGGGAGCTGACCACTGCACCAACTTCGATAGGGTTTTGACGGAATCTGATTTCTGCTCAGTGCTCTGAATGTTGGTCCCCTTTCTCCTTCTATTTAACAATGCAATACTAACATCTTTTAAGGGTCAAAATGAAGGAGTTCGTGTGGATGGCTGGAAAGGTTTAGAACAAGCTTTCCGTGAAGTTCTTAATAAGTTTTTCCTTGTTGTAGGATGGAGGGAAAGGAGAAAATTCACATGACCAGTACGCTTGTGTTTCCTGATTCCAAAATCGGCGCGCTCTTTCTCCCTTGCCTCTTCAGTCGTCCCAACCTTTCTTTAACGTCCCGGCATGGGGGGAAAAGAAAAACAACCACCCCCCCCCCCACGGGTGTCGATTAGGGGTGTCGACCTTAAGAGAGCCTGAAAATTTAGCGATTAAGCACCTGGAACTTTTGCCTCGTGCGCAATAATTATCTAGGCTCTCTTATGCTCCAAAACTAAAGCTCTTATATATAAATTGCCTTATACCTATATTAAGAAAACTGATTCGAGAGAAAGGCTTAAGCATATATAAATAATGAATTGGGCATTATTAAAACTCTAAAATTTATTAATATTTTTACTTAATACTTGAGAAAAGGAAGAAGGGGGCAAGTGGGAGGAAATACCGAGCGCTAACCCAAAAAAGATTTTGCCATTGATACCCCTAATCGACACCCGAGGGGGAGGGGGGGTCGTTTTAGTTTTTCCCCGGTATGGTAGCACCAGATTAGGACTCCCATCTGATCCGATTAGATATCATATCTATCTACTTCCCTCGCGTCCTTAAGTCCACTATTCCGCAACTACCGCTACGACATGTCTCGAACGTGAGGTTTGAACGACTGAAGATCTAGTTCCAGAGAGCCCTTCCGGGGCGGTACGAGCGTCTCCTGCAAGTCCAAAATCAACAGAGCTCGAGAACCCCCCATACAGCAACAAGTCCAATCAACTCGCCAGCGCCGAGATCTGCTCCCTAGAACACCGAATATCAGCACAGAGACTGCTCCATTGCAGCCCTTGTTATTTTCCCCTTCCATCTCTCCGAGAGAACACCAGCTCTCACCAACAAGATAAATCGCAAACCAAACCCGATCAAGACACTTTTTTGTATTGCGCGACCACTGCGATTGCTTTGGATTGTAAGGATGTTCCCGAAACAGCAACAAAAGACGGACATGTTCTTTCCACAAGCAAGACGTCGTCAAATTCATACCTCAGCATATTCCGATATCGGCAAATTCTTTGTGATTTCAATCATCATTTCCGACAATGGCGGGGCCTGTCCTTAGTTGGTGCTTGCACCTGCCAAGACGAGTGATCCCATTGGGACTTCAGTCAATCGGCTGATCAAGTCGTTCTTTTCAGAGGGCAAGCACACGGCGCCAGCAACTCCTTCGTCCTTTCCAATTCACACCTCATATGTCTTTTCTGCTAGTGGAATTGACAATAGCATCAATGCCCACCAGGTCTCCAAGAGCTCAACCGAATCTGACTCTCTCTTCGGTTCACTGGCTTCTTCCACTCCAAACTCTCTGCCTCCGTCGGTCCTAAGCAGCAAAAGCCCAAATTAGAACTCGGGAATCCATCAGAGCACACACGTGATTAACACAAATAGCACAGAGAACGGAAACGTCGATGTCGGAGCGAGCATCGCTGTTGAATCTAAAACCGCTAATATTTCGTGGTTCCAAAGGTCCATGGAATACGGAGTGCGCTCAAGAGGACCACGCTTCGGGCTCAGGATGGCGGTACCATTGCACGACTCAAAAGGTCAGCAGTGGTCAACCTTTGTTACTTTACCGCATTTCCAACGTGCCATCCTTAGCAGCCGGCTTGAGAGAGATGATGTTACAATTGTGGATGGCAGCCGTCTCAGCACTAAACCAGCAGCCATCCTGAAGAAAGAAGCGAGAGTGCAAGATTTGCACACCGCTGTTGACTCACCCAACTCAGTACAGTAGTGTTCGGTTCCTTGCAATATATATCATCCACCCATCTCGTAAGTCATGTCCAAGAGGACTTTTCTGCCAAAGCAAGATGCGTAGCTTCCGCCGTTGTATATATCCAGCTGGTTAAGAGCCCGACATGGCCTTACGCTCGTTCCGACGAGGGTTTGAATAAGTTTCGCAGCTTTGATGATGCGACTTGGTGGACGTCGGCGGAGAAGATGGTGGGTGGCTGGCCTCAGCATGCTCCTCGCCTGGCTCTGCATGGAAAGGGATGGCATGATGTTGGTGCAGCGATGCTTCCGCTGCCGCAATCATACGGGAAAATGAAATGCTTATACCTCAATTTCCTCACCGTCAGATCTTTGGCTCTGCTTGCCGAGCATATCAAGGTCTATGGTGGCATGGCAGCTGGCTCGGGCGGATTGTAAAATGTTGGGGGATCTAGGGCATAATCGTGATTGTCTTAGCTGAGATTCCAGCTCCAGCCGCTATTCCAGGTTGAGAAGATTGCTCCGTGTTTTTAGCTCACTGTTGCGGAGCCACGAAGCTGAGTACTGTTGTTCGAGATCAAGACTCTTCTTGGATGACACTTCGGGCTTGGCTCTCCGATAACCCTGGGGGAAAACCCCGAGTCTCTGTAGAGCATTCATGGCCACTATGGCCATAGCCCTCGTTTCGGCCCCTTATAATAATGTGCAGTATCATCTCCTCAAATGACGTATCCTCTCTCTGTGTATGATTTGGCAATCCACGTATCTCGGTCCTTCTTGTGCAATGAATGCCATTTTTCAGTCTTCGGTATTTCTCGTGAAATTAGTTCTCACAAATTAGTAGAGGATTAAATTCTTGAACAGATTCTCAACGATAGTTATTAGATTCTCCCCCATGTTTTGAAAATCGACACTGATTCGATGTCCCCTGAGTTTTAGCTTTCATGCCGAGCATGCCTCGAAATAGCTTGGATTAGTAAGCTATGGTGACCTTCTCAACCCTTGAGTCACCTTTCTGGTGTGGCTTATGTAAGTTTGCGTGTCCGAGTCAAGCCCTTCATTGGCTAGGTATCGATCTGGGCCCAGATCTTTCCTTTAGTTGCTTTCTTTTGATTGAATGGACTTTATAATATGAAATAAGCCGTCTGCACCCAAGTTAAATGGTCGGGTGGTTAGTTGCCTGCACACTTTGACACGCTTCACATGCTTACAGTCACTAGGTGTAGTTGGTTATCACAGTGAGCCCAAACCGATCCAGCCTCATCTTCAACAACTAATTCGCGAAAAGTCTCGTTAACAGAAATGTTAATTTCAATGCCGAGAAGGTCCTGGGATCGAGCCCCAGCCTGATCATATGCTTCTGAATTTTTTGCTCCTTTCGGGCCCGTTTTTACGTATGCAATACACTCTGCTTCGGTCTTGCCAGTGTTTCAGGTTCTTTGGTATGGTTGATTTCCTTTTTTTTTTTGGTCTTCTAGCGAGAAATCAACGCCAAAAAATTAAAGGGATGTGCTGAATAACTTGAACCTTGCAAGGGGTCCAAGCCACGCGGAGCCAGCCAAACAATTCTGGTGTCGTCTGCCACTCAGATTATTCGGAATCATAAATTCCAAATATACAAGTTGAGGCGTAGTATATTTGTTTGTCAATTGATTAAACAGATTTGGAGCACCGGTCCTAAGTTATCTGTTGCTCCCGACCTAGGTTCTTTCGAGCTTGTCTTAATGAACGAATTTGAATTCCCGACCCGCAAAGCGAAGCATATCAATTGAGGTTATCTGTTTTATTCTGGCCCTGGAATCGTCACTGAGATGTATACTAGAGGCCTGGGGACAGGCGCCAGACTGGGAACCGGATCCCTTCACTTATTATAATAAGTGAGAGTTTTATTCTCATCGGGTTTTCTTCTCTGAGCCCTGTACTTATTAATTGGAGCTTCTAATAAGTAGACCAACACTATTTTCATCTAAACAATCCTAGTGGATGCCTCATGGAACCCCCTTTTAGTCCTACATATCCGAAATACACCCAACTCAAAATTCACAACATGGAAAGTATCTCTGTTCTCGAACTCTATTCCACTCAATTCCTCATCAGTGCCAACCTAGAAATCTGGCTCTACTCGGTTCCTTCCCATGAACGGCCAGCTGATAACGTTCTCCTATTGGAAATTTCCAATCTTAAACTCCACACAGCCTCAAATAAGTCCGAGAATATTGCAGACGCCGTCACTCACCATATCCGTCAAGCTCATGACTATACTTCATGAATACAGCCTTCTTTCCGGACCTTTTGAGTTCGTCCAGTTTCAGGAATCTCCAGAAATTCAAATGTGTGGTGGTTATCGGACCATTGTTTGGGGCAAGTGTGAATGGTTTATTGTGGCATCGGAAGTTGAATAATGGTGTTTTGTTTTGGCTTCTGGTGATCGCAGTTATCCGGTCAGCGTCTTCCCTGAGAATGAGAGTGGAAGCTGACACTTGAGCAGAAGTCCGTTCTGGATTGCGACATCGTATGCGTTGTCTCTCGCAAAGAATGGGCAGGAGAGAGATCACGATCGTCGTGAGTGAGTGGACCTTAAACGAGCATTGATGATAATTCATTTATACATTGTGGTATATAATTTGTACATCATAGATCATGTAAACAGAACAAATCGCGGGCCCTGAAATCTTCCTGGATCTTCTCAGGCGCGCCCTCATCGCACCCGCCAATCTCTCTTCTAAATACGCGGGAATACTCAACAGCATGTTGCTTAAGATCTTCTACAGTGGTCGGGCTCCCATCCCAGCTCAACAAAGGCATACCCGCAATCTTAGGCAGTTCTCCCTTGAATGGCAACATACTCAGAAGAGATTTTGTAATCAAAGCAGTCTCGGCATGTTTGAGCGACAAATGCTTCGCCGGATCAGCAGTCAATTCCCCGTCTGAAGCCTCTTCCTCAGCTTCCTCTCTATACTCCTCAGGAGGTTGATACAAGTCGTTATGCAACGTTGCCAGGGAATCCGAATCCTCGAAATTCGGATATATCGTCCAGTACCCGCGAGCTCGGGCAAGTTTCAAGACATGTTCAAGCCATGAAGGATACGTTTTGCTAACTTCTTTCTTATTCAATGTTGTCGGGGTCGGTAAGGCATGCTCAGACGAAAGAGATTGTGCAACGAAATCGTGCAGCTCAACCCACTTCTCGCCAAAATACAATGCAGCATTACTGTTTGGAGCTTGCCATAGAAAAGGACTAATACCTTTGGCAATAATATTTGACCCCTTGGTTATATTCGTCAAAGGGGGAACGAATGAAGTCGAGTCGTTTAGATAATTCGACGGAATATCAAGGCTGAGAGCCATGAGATTCTGCTGGTAATCTATTCTGCTGAAAGAGTACTTGAATTCGAGTAAGCTATATTTCAGATAATGGAAGAACAATGGCGAGAGTTCTATCTGAGGAGAAAGGACAAGAATGTGTGACGTAGACGGATCAGAAGGCCAGAAAGATTCGAGCATTCGGATCGAATTCTCTTCTGCTGAAAGTCCGTGTTGTGGAATTCGGTGATGCAATGTAAGTAGACTTCCAGTGTTTTGTGCGGCTGGTGGCCACTTGAAGCGTGAAAGGTATTGGCGGGATGGTTCGTCGATATTATGTGAGAGCTCGATTGTCAATCGTGGTGGGGCGGAGGAGAAGAAATCGGCCTTCTTTAAAGAGTTCAGCAATCTCATCAGAGATCCAGAAGACGATGACTGAGCATGAACAACGATATCAATGGTAACCTTATTCCAGGCTGCACGGATCAGCAAATAGCCCCAACAAGGAGAGGGCAACATACAACTCAGTGAAGAACTGTCCAGCATTGTAATCCACATTAGATTTTGCTCCGCATTTCCAGGAAGGTCGATTACCGTCCTCCCAGCAGTAACCGCACGATCCTTAATACCCTTCAGACACCATATCTCCTCTTCCCCAGATGCATCAACGAACGTTGCTTGCGGATGTATGAAGGTGTTAATGTGATTAAAAGCAGCCGAGGCCGCGACCTCCATCCGGAAATCTGTGCTGTGAAGAGAAAAGTCCGGCCGTCCATCTGTAAACAAAGTTAAGATCTCTCCATGCAAAACTTTTCTCGAGCATACCATGAAATATGATCTTGCATTCCTTCGTTATGCCATTGACCGATCTCAAAATATCCATAGAAATGTCATCCCTTCCCAGAAGCGCAAAATGTACATAGTTTCTCTCTCGAATAGCCATATCGCAAGCAATGGGCAGTAATCTCGCGGCACTCTTCAAACTGGCAGCGGCGAAGAGGACGTTGTGATTTATCAATTCCGCGCCTCTCGTCTTAGAAACTGCATGCAGGGTCGAGGCAAGGTGGTAAAACTTAATAGGGCCGTTGAAATCGTGTGCCACAGACTCTGCTGTTCCTTCATGGCCGGGTTTTGACCGCGAGTCTTCGCCTTGGGGTGATTTTGGTGGAGGTGCATTTGGACCAGCAGGGAAGCCGTAGTTCGGTCTCTGTCTTGGATTCTCTAGGTCCGTTGGCATATTCTTGAAAAAATAGTAGAGTACGATGAATGCAAGAATACCCAAAGCAAGCCTTTTCAAAGTCCTCCGATGTGGCCCATGGGGTATTCGTCGATGCTGCCAGGCAAGCCCCATTGGCGTCCTGCCTCCCCGTCTGTGGTCATCATCCTTTTTTCCTAGCTCTTCGTCACCAGAAAATAACCGTGGTGGGAGAGGCATTGCGTGCGTCCCACGCTCATCGAGAGCTTACGCCGAGAGAAGAGCTGCCATGCGGCCTGTTCGGGTAGAGGAGCTCGATCGCAGGGCAAGAAGACCGAGGGCAGTGACGAGTTATCTTGGATAATCATCGACCGGTCGTGGGAGATCGTGGGAGGCCCCGAGCTGGTTCTGAGCAGATCCGGTCAAGTGTGTCCTCAACATGCAGTATGAATCCAGGCATAGGGTTTGGTGTTGCCGCACAGACCAGCAAGTCTTTTTGCGGAAGATTTGTCCGCCCCCAATTCCGGGGGGCTTCGTTCAACCACCATCCATCTATCATCAATCATTTTTCACAAATCTGCGGAATCACAGTATGAGCCCTTCCGTCTCTACTCTAGGACAACTGGACATTGCTATTTGATTTCTTGATTTATAAGACCTCTTCAAGGGGCGCCAGATCACACTACCTCCAAGCCCCATGAAGCCACAGTGCTTAGCTTGGCCTTGCAATTATTTCGAGAGAAGCTTGATCGCATTGCCTAATTTCGATTCTCAAAGCACGTGGCTATCAAAGAGAAAGAGAGGCACTAAAGGATTTTCGATTCTGAAACAACCCCATGATCAAGCATGACCCAGCTCCAACGTCAAGAACAACTAGAAATGGCATTTAACCTCAGCTGACCATGATTATGCTGCCACATCAATCAGCTCGAGGCAAGGCCACCTCCTCCTCACACCTCAAGCTAACACCTAAAAATACCTAACACGCAACGACGCCCTTCGCTATACCTGCTCTCTATGTCAACACTTTAGATACTGTTTCTGTTATCAGTTGGTGCGGATAGAGAGGGTTGATCGTATTCTCGTGTGGCGGAAGAAGAAGTCCAGGACTCACCCTCCGCCATACTTTCTTTGTAGGGGTGCTTGCGGGGACTGCATACTATAAATACTTGAACATAGAGGAGACTTGGTGAGGATTTGGAGGCTAGAGAAGGGTATTAGTTTACGGTTCACTTGAATCATAGACAGGCATGAATTGAAACGATGTTGACTTCCTTAATTGTGAATCAGTATGGAAACATACGATCAATGAACTGGTCCCAAGCCACATGGCATTCGCGAGAAGTTGCCGGTGATTCCAAGTCCGTACTTAATATCTCATTTCCGCTCTTAGAGCTTTAGTTCCATTTCCACCTTGCGATCAGCACATCAGAGCGTGAGCATGGCCGCAGCTCGCAATGCCAACACCAAAGCAGCAGCCCGCCTCCCTACCAACATCAACGCCAATAGGAGGACAACTACAACGCCTCGGTGGCCTGACAACCCCACAGCGATGAATATGCTGCCGCTTAAATGACGGAAAAAAGAACCAACAGGTGAGTCGGCCCAAGCATGTGATCCACATATTTTCCTAATGTACCTACAGTACTTCCACAACAACGAAGGAGGATGGCACAACTTTCTCTGCGTTAGCTGTGGACATAGTCGATGCACTACATGTCCGACTGAGGCCGAATTCCGTAGGGTGAGTCATTGCCGTTGCCGCTTCCGCCGGGGGGTCTAAGGGCTTGAAGAAAAACGCGTGGAAGTAGGACGCATGAAGTGTTTGCTGGGGTTGGTTGTAGCTGGTCAGGTGGAACGTTAAGGAGGGCGGTGTGGTCGGCGAGTGAGATTGGAGAGTCGAAGGACTGAAGCCGAAACATTCAGAGCTCTTTCATCGCCATTGCTCGACCACGCCTCTGTGCAATCAACACTGAATCCCAACCTTGAGTGGTCAGAATAGTCCTAGCAAGGCGGGAACTCAATCTTGGAAAATTATAAGAGCAGCGTAGGTTGGAGCAAATGTCTCCAAAGACAATAAACGTATAGTAATGAGCAACGGATCACATGCTAACAAGTGTTAAAAGCCTTCCAGCTGTCCTTTGAGAACTTCAAAATATAACTTAATCTCAATCGCAAGCTGCAGCATTTAACGTTCACTAATTATCTGTTCCAAGATGTCAGGTCAAGGAACAGACGCGACATGGTTAGACGATCAAAGGAACCCCTGACTACGAGGGTTACATTCGCTGGAGGAGGGCGAAATGGATTTGCTGCAACGTCTATTACTATAGCGAGAAGGTATCTGTAAGGACAGGTCACGTGTCTTCTCTAATGCTCAGACTCAGCTTGTGCCCAGTCGTGCCTAAATCTTAACGAAGGAGTTTCTTCAAGACGACCAGCCAGAAATGTTCTCACATGGGTTGCTGGAACTGCCTGGCGGCAGAGCCTATTCCGATGAAGAAGAATTGCGACATCTGCACGACTTGTATGGGTGAAAGATGAATGTGCAAAGGGTAAGTATGATGAACCGTGGTCTGGCTGGGGATGCGTGAGTCTGAAAGAGAGATGGATTCAGATAATCGAGAAATCAAGTACAGCTCCATTCACGGAGGCGAGCGTTTGTAATCCGTAGATCCTTGAATCGGTCATTATCAAAAGCTTTCTTTGAAGCCCAGGAACAGTTAAAGAAATACTACCGAGGTAATTGTTTGATAACAAAACAAACTCAAAGCAATAAAAATCAGAGCAGAGAAAAATGTCAAGTGAAGGACCAACTGGGTACTGGGTTTTCTGCATGCCTAGGATGAAGTCACTTCTCCACATCCAGTAAGTCAGCCCCTGTATTTGCCATAAGCAATGCTGACAGACTGCAGTGCGATAAAAAGAACCCTCATGATCTCGACGTGCTTGAGGTGTGGCCACTGGGTTTGCGTTGGGTGTCAAGTCTTTCGAGAGAAGAAGCCAAAGCGACAAACGGAAAAGGCAATGCCATCAGGTAAAATTCGAGTCCAAAATGCACTTGCATCTTATTTAGGGGGAGACGGGAGTTTAAGGGAAGGATAGCGCAAGGAGTTGAGCTAGAGAATCGATTTCTTTCAAATCTGCATTAGAATTACACCCCTTGGAATTCATCTATCATGAACGTAGCGCCGCAGACATGCCGTCCCATCTCTACCGCAATGGCCTCAAAGACGCCGCAGATACCTCGCTAGAAAGTTGACATAACGTCTATTCAAACGCCGAATCATTCCAACTTGCTGATCAACCCTTTTCTCACCTTCCCATTTACCACTCCCCCAATCCCGAAGGCAGGCACAATTCTGCACATCCTCGCTACAGCACTAACTCCCCAGTTCTTCTTAACGATCGTCCATCTGTCTCCCCAACCGACCTCTTTGCCCCTATTATACAGATCCAACCCTAGGAGATGCATAGGCGTGCTGAAGATCTGAATGGTAGCGGGAGCAAGGAACTGTGCTATCGTCTGCCCACTCAAACTCTTCTGTATTTCCTGGCTCATGTTCCTGCTAATAATGGGACCGAGGAGAGGCGGGAGGTTAAAACTAGCAAAGATTGTCATACAATCCCGAAGCGTGAACAGTGCATACGACGGCAGAGGAACAGGTCTAGGTGGGCCACCGGGCCCGAACAGTCTCGCAAAGGCTTGGTCCTTGAAGAGGCAGAGTCCAATATTTGCAGTCGAGGAAGCAGCAAATTTGGCGGTTCCGCTGGTAACGAGTGTAGCAGGCTTATTTTGAACGGTCGAAGTGAGAGTATCGAGGGTATTGGCTGTGAGGTAGGTGCCGCCGTACAGCATACATATTAGACCAAAGGGCTTCGAGAAGATGAGGCTGTGAGGTCGGAGGAGGAAGGTTTTGAGTGAGGTTTTCAGGGAGTCCTTGAGGGTTGCTTGCCCGGAGGCATTCTGCATAATTGCTCTGCAGGGACGTCAACGGTGACTCAAAAAACAGAGAGGGAGGAAAACACACTTGTCAATCACAGTGATGAGCGGAGCAACAAGAGTCGCAGCACACGCTCCCGACACAAAGTCAGACGCTAACCGCAGACCCAGATTCTTTGTATTCCATACCGTGGGTGCTACCAGAGGTGTTTCCGCAACCTTTGTAATAGGAGACATGGGTTTTTGTGCTGGCTGGGTATCTATCCCTTGTGCAGGACTGTCCAGCCCTGGGAGACGGGTCATCGTGAAATCATTGACTCTGCATTAGCCTAATTGCTTGAAGATATAGTCAGAGTGACAGCGACCCCGCAATAGGTGGAGTGAAGAGTGTGCAAAGGCTCTGCAGGTCAATTGGAGTCGTGCATAAGCTGCGAAGATCGACGCTGGCCGATTTCGCTTTGGATCGGGATTTTTTCCCTCTTGCTTAACCTTATCGAGGACGCTGATAAGGGTGAATCCACGTGACTGTACCTCTTCCGTCCTACTTTAATATCGGCCATAAAAGGCTTGTGGGGGTTCCATGATGGAGTCGGTGTGTGTTGATGACAGAGAGGAGATATATTCGCATCTTAGATTGTTTGAGACATTGGATCATCTCCTGATCTGGCTTGCATGCTGACCTGGAAAACCCCCAAGCAAAGCCCCCCCTGGCACGTGCTCGGCTAGCCGATGCACTAACCGAGATCCCTAGTCAATGCACACCCCAAGCGAATGCACACCTCACAAAATATTACCCCTCCATCTTCAAAATTCGATAAAATGGTCAGCGAACAAGATATTGAGAAAGCGATTAATGCGCTAGATAGGCAATTGATCCTTAATTATAGTCAAGTGGCCAGGGATTTTGGTATTGAGCGTATAACCCTCATGCGAAGGCATAAAGGCATATATGCCTCCAGATAAGAAGCAACCTCCCTTTACTACAAACTCCTTACTAATACGTAAGAAGAGGCTTTAATTAGTCAAATCAATAAGCTTATAGTCCGTAGACTCCCTCCTACCTCGCAGATTATCAGAAACCTTACAGAGGAGATTATTGGCCGCAATATAAACAAGAATTAGATAGCTAGTTTTATCTACCGGTACTTATCTTGCCTAAAGAGCCTTTATTTATATAATATTAATAATTTGCGAATAAAATCGGAATATGGGCCCTATAGCTAGTTCTTCTTTAATTTGGTAGCGTTTAATTTTAGTATTTTCCCTATATTTTGCTTACTTTATAGATAAAATAGCTAATATTCCTCTCTTCTATTTAGTTAATTAAAGCAATCGAAGATTATAATATTATGGCAGAAAATATATATAATTAGGACGAGAAGAATTTTTTAATTAGAATTATATATATAATAAAGCATATAATAATAAAAGAAGTATATAATAGTAGGAAAATTACTAAAGCAAAGCAGGATGGCTTACGAGAGTTTATTAGCTTACTTGCTTTTATTTATACGAATAGTATAAAGATTCTACCGGCTCTTATTTATAAAGGAACTTCTGGGGACCTTTAGGATATTTGGTTAGATAATTTAAAAGAGAGGGAATATACTTGGTTTACGTCTAGTATAAATAGGTAATTATCTAATACTCTGGGCCTAGTATATCTTACCCAAGTTTTTAATCCTGCTACCTATATAAAAGCAGGATATAGAAGGAGGCTTTTAATTATAGATAGGTATTCTAGCTATATTAATATAGAGTTTATTCGGATATATAATTGGCTTAAAATTCTACTTCTTATTTTATCCCTATATTTAATATATTATTTTTAACCTTTAAATATAGGTTATTTTTTATTATTTTCTACTTACTATTCTACCGAGATTAATAGGGTTTTAAATACTAGTAAGGATATTACTTGCTTAATAAAAAGGATATTTTGGTCTATTTTCAAGCCTACTTGGGACAAAAGTATATCTGAATCGAATATTTTATTTACTTAGAAGAAGACGGGTATATAGCCCTACTAACTATTAATTATCTTATTAGCTATCGCTTTACTAAGACTGCAAACTTCTCCTAAAGCTTCTCCTAATATAATTTCAACTTCTTATACTACGAAATATATACGGCAATTCTCAAAAATTTATATAAAAAACCCGTCTAAGGTTGCTTTTTGCAAGCTTACTAAAGCAAACAAGACGAATACTGCAAAGGCTTCTATTACAGAGTACCGTATAGAGAGTTTGAAGGAAGCTTTATAGCTTGAAAAGAAAAAGAGATATTATAGGAAAAAGCTTAATTTGACAGGAGAGCCATTAGGAAAGGCCCAGTTCTTTGGAATAGCTGAAGTACTAGCTATAGTGGTACGTGAGGATACGAGGGTTATACAGGCAGAATAAGATAAATTAGATAAGCAAAAGGCAAAGGAGGATGCAAAGATTACTAAGGCTATAGATAATGCCTTGAAAAAGCAGGAGAAAGAATTAGAGAGGCTTAGGAAGGCGGAGGAAAAAGTAATTACTGATTAAGTAAAGAAGGAGAAGCATAAATTGGAGGTTTTGGAAAGGGCAGTAGCTAGAAAGGCGGCTACTGTAGCTAGAAATACTGCTAAAAAAGCCAAACCCTCTCGTATAGTAATATTGAGGGTAGGATCTTCGATTTTATCGAATTTAGGGGCTCAGGAAGCGGTAATAGTAGAGGAGGACGATTCTGAAGCTGTGGGGGTGGTACAGACCTCCCGATCGGGAAGGGAGATTATTCTACCATAACGCCTTAGAAAATGAAAAATCCTGATTAGCCAACTTAATGCGCCTAGTTCAATTGCTTTATATTTTTAATTTTAGGCCGATTGATTATGTGGTTATTTAATAATTAATTAATTAAGCTCGAGGTCGGCTGAAAATTTGGGGTGTGCATTCGCTTGGGGTGTGCATTGACTAGGGATCTCGGTTACTCATGATGTGTGAGACTTCTAATCTTTATCGCAATCCACTGAGAATTATAATCTTCTGGCATATTCCATGGATTAATTGGTTCTGTGTACTTAATTGATTATAACCGAGCTTTCAATCGGTGTTCCTGGGCTCAGAGAATGATTCAGCTTCCGTCCCGCCCCAGCCGCCAACTACCCCTCCTTCTCCCAGCAACCGACGCAAACACGGGTTGCAGTGTGCAGAAGGCGCTTTCGGAGCGACTTCGAGAGCCCTGTCCGCCTTAAACGTAGTTCGTATAGAGTCATGCTCTAGCGGAGTGGTATTCTGATGCAGAAGCTGAACAAACAGGCCCCAAATCCCTGCCGCATTGGAAGAGCCAGCTGGTTGTGTTTCACAGGCCGGTGATGGGGTCAGCATCCTAGTCCGCATGCCTCCCAAGTCGAGCAACACAAAAGCCTGTGGGAATTCCCACCTTTCCGGTCATTTTTTGCATGTCAACTGGCCCCTGCTACGCGGCATACCGAGTTTCCCTTATTCGCAGGGCCAGCTTCGACTTGGGTGAGGCTCGAGCTAGGCTCGACCCCTACGATATCCCTTGATTGAGCAACGATGCAAGGGGCTTGGAAGCTCTGATGATTCGGTGTTTATTGACTTTGTTGCACATCTCAAACCCTTGTCCAATTTTGAGGTGTCGTGTTCTGCTTTTTGGCTTTATGTCAATCCAGGGTTACGGGTTGGAACTAGGCTTCTTTTTCTTCAATAAATGCACGGCGCCAAAGGCGTTCCTACCATCTTGACAATTTATGTAACTTTGTTACAAGTCGGTAGCAGGGGCCAAAATCTGTCCTCCTTGTCTCGACTTCCATTCTAAGAATCTGTTGCCATGGGACGGGCCGACGGGTAGAAGTCCAGGTCATTTCTCGTAGTTCTCCAAGCCATCTGGCCCCAAGATCGTCTAAGTTCATGGGTTGCAAGTTTTAGTATAGAGGAAGTGGGTTTTTTAGAGATTCGACCCAGAAGGTACCCCGACGAGGGCCATTATAAAAGTGGCACGGCTGTAGTGGCGCTTTTGCAAAGGGCAATAGCTTGAGCAGAGTTCCCGACAACTCAACGCTTGAGATTAGGTTCAGATCTTTTCTAGACATTACAATGGGAACCTGATCTGCCGCTCTTCAACCGTACATTGATTTTTTTGTCGTCTCCCCACAAAGGAGCTAGTTCTCGCGCATCGCCTGCATATGACGAGGCGCTCCCTCTCGGGCCTGAGCTTGAGACTCACGTCCTTCGCCTGATCTCCTCCCCATGATCTAGCAACCTCCATCTTGGCCAACAAATAAAACCCAAGGTTTCGTTGCTATGGCTTTGTTACAAATTTCAAGTGGGTCATCTCGCAACATGACGACCCGACGTTTATTCTCCACCACATTGCCACATTGTGGGGTTTGGACTCCGCTTCTTCCCCTCTCCCCCTCTTTTTACCAGAGAAGGCGTCACACAACCCTCACCTGCACCAATAAATACCAGTGAATTGGTCTTTGTTGCATATCGAAGAAGTGGATCTCACTCCAAGTAAACATGATTCGTCTATTGAAGGTTTAATGTCCCCGACCAAATGCGGTGCTTTACATTTGAGATCTCACCGTCGCTGTCAGCGCAGCCACACGCGCTTGCTGTACCAATATTCTACAACTTGTGTTGCATACCGGTCTTGTGTTACCATCGCATTTTGTTTCCGGATGTTGGATAGTGATCGGAAATATGATGACGGTGGGGGTTATCTCCCTATGATACACCTGGGCAATTGCCACTGGAGTATTGGAGCCACGCTGTTCCCGTATTAACGCAACATTTGTGCAGTTTCCTTCTTTCACCGTGTCGTTAATCTCAATTTCCTTTCTTCTTTCTATTTCCATGCTCACATACATTCATCAACTTATAGAGCTCTCTCCGGGGTACTAGGAATGCAAAGACGAACTGAGAGACAACTCGGCTAACCACCTCTCTTGTATCAAATTCCCGCTATCTTTACAGCGACCACTGGGCCGTGATGTATCCCAATTTACATTCATTTCTTGGCCAGTACCAGGCGTAACCCCGAGCGCCAAAAGGAAGATGTGGGCTCTTAATTAGCGAATCCCCCCAAATGCCGTTGCTACCCTTCCTTCATTGGCCGTCTGCCGTGACTCTTACTGGTCTTTTGTTACACATATAACACCCCTGTCACTTCACTAGTGTGCCAAGGGGCTGTGATCCAAGCTCTGATCTAGCTTATACAGATGAGGGAAGGCTTAGGAATGTTCTTGGATGGTGCGGTGCGTTCTGATGTCACTGGTGCTGAGAGCTGGATCCTTAGCTTGGGGGCAAGAAGCGCTCCCAGAGGTCTCGTCTAGTTTTACCTGTTTATTTAGCTTTGAGGAGAGATACAACATCTCTTAGATTGAACTTCCGGTTTTATTCGAGCTAAAGGATTCAGCTACTGATCACTAGCACTCATCACCTCACGCCAAGCCACAGAAACCCTAAGATGTCTGGAGAAAATCCATCTGTTGCACGACTGAAAGTCCTCGGTTGGCTGTCAGCAGCCGCCGCCGTTTTTTTAGATCCTTGAGGATTCTTACTCTGCTGACCATACCCTGCGTAGTTCGAATAATGAGCTAGTTTTGACACGTTTCTATAGCTGCTGGCGGTAACCTACTTGCGATTGACTGCTTTGGAGCTAATCGCATCCAAATCTTCTTCTGCTCCTGGGGTTGAGAATGGGTTAATAGGTCCCATTCTTAGCTACCTGACTGATTTGACGTTGGTCGGATCCTCAATGCATTCCGGCCACTACGAAACTCCCGCGATAATATTTCAATTGGGGAGCTATATCACTAGAAAATTGTGAATATTACACTCTACTACTCTACAACACTCGGTTTAAGAAGGCACAGGATTGCTAGCGTATGTGCAATGAGAGTAACGTGCTCTTTACCGAAGTTTCATGGTTCTGGTTTTCGAAATTCCGCAGATTGCAACCTTGCTCCTTGAAAATACTAGACAAAATCTATGGCACCTCAATTTCGGGTTATATCTACGTCACTCTTCTAAATAGCAACCGCGATGATCATACAACGGTAGCGACTCAACCGATCCTTTTGTCGCACGTCTTAATTATTATTCAGCCTTTAACCCAAGACCACCCTTCTCGTGAACGTGTCTGCTTGCGAACTTTCCACCTGAGACTCCACAAAACATAAAGAACACCATACTCTTTAGCTCTAGCCAATATGAAGCTCCCTATATCTCTCGTTTTTGTGTTGCCATACCTTACGCCCGCTCATCCCATCATCGTCGAGCACACCGAAATTCCTAATCGTCCAATTCAAACCCACGACGATCCGATCCACGCCCTTCATCCTCGCGACAGCGTAACCGTCGGGATCATGAGCTCGTTCTCCAATTCCACTGTTACAAACACACAGAATAATGCCAATGGAAAATTCAAAGTTGTCAATAATGCAAACAACGCAAACATCGCCATGGACGACAATTCGAATCACACCGCTGACTTCCACTCCTTTGGCGACAAGATCATGCTAAATTCTACTGGAAGCAATACAGGCGGTTGGAACTCGAAGAATCGGGATACAAATCTGACAACCAGTCACAAGGAGAAGCGGGCGAGTGAGCAGAAGCTGCTTGAGGCGAAGGCAAAGAACTCCAGTAAAGATCGTCGCTTCAGAAATTTCGGAGCAAGGCAGACCAGAGACGGATATCGATGGGATGGCAACATGCCCTCCGGCAGACCTGGTGCGGCTAAAAATCGGAATGCTGCAGATTGCGAACCCATTGGCTATGCATACCTTGCAGAGCAATGCGTGCCTACTACGAGAACAAAATCCAAGTCGAACAAGTCAGCCAAGCCCAACTCAACCAATTCAGCCTTGAACAAGAGAGATTAGGTGAACCTAAATTTAATTACTAGAGATGGTAAAGCAAGCAACTTGACCAGAAGTGGAAACAACAATGCCGTTGAGGTTTATATCGCTGGAGGCGGAGATAACACCGTCAATATCACTGTGAGCCTCGAGGCCGAAAACTCTGCATTGGAAAATTCGAACAACAACAATGCGGTCAAATTTTATATCGGAGAAGCAGAGAGGGTCAATACGGGCGATTCAACTGTTCTCGTGGCGGGGGAAAGAAGGCGAATGGACTGCCACTGTAGGCCATTCATGGTCTAAGTCTAGCAAAATCTAATTCTATGCTTTGAAACTCTTCCTTATACTCGCCAAGGTGACACTTCGTACACTGACCTGACTCTTCATATCCCCATTCTTCCCATCTAGAGCGTACAGCTCCTTCACTTCCAGCGATTCCAAATATTCAATGCCCCTCTCATAATTCGTCCCTACGTGCGCAATCCCATGGCTATCATCACTCAAAGTCAACATGCCCCCCATGCCCAGAAACTCCTCACAAACACTCCTGGTCGGATACGGCTCCTTTAACCCCTTCCTCAGCCCACTGGTATTAACCTCCACCAAACCTCCCTGCTCAATGATGACCTTCAAATTCCTCACCACCTTCTCCCAAACCCCCTTTATCTCCCTCAAATCCCGATTCGGCTCATCACTCAACAACCGAATCAAATCCAAGTGCCCTACAACTCTTGGTTTTAATGCATTCAACATCTCAAATTGCGCATCAAAATAATCCTCGAAAAGCCTCTCATCACTGCCTCCGGCCACTTCTCTTGCTTTCCGGTAGAACACAACGTCATAATCGATGGGAATCGCATGAACATGGTGTACAGAACCGATGTAGAAATCAATGACTGGATTTGAGGCCAACTCTTTCATAAGACCGGCGTAGCAAGGCCGGATCCACTCTCCTTCGAACCCGATCAAGATCTTGATTTTTCCGGCGTATTTCTCTCGTAACTTTGCTGCCTCAATGAGGAACCTTTCGTGACGAGGTCTAAGGGGTGCGGTTGATACCTAACCTAGATTTAGTGAGAGATAGTAAAGGGGGAGGAAATATACTTCGTCGGGGTACATATCGTCGTCTGAGTCACGGGGCATGTGCTCGGTTAAGGCAAAGGTCTGCATTCCGTGCGAGATAGCGCTTTGGACCACTTCCTCCAAGGTGTCTTTTGCATGGCCAGGGCAGAATTGACCGGAGTGGCTGTGCATTGAGAAGGCCATAATGGGCAGAGGTGAGGTATTGAAAGTAGGAAAGAATTCGAAGAAGGCAGGACGCTGATAAGGCTTTATCCAACCTTTGATCCCGGTAGCTTTAGGTAGCTTTGCCGAGATGAAAACTGGAGCAGCGAATGGATGTAGTCGGTCCGATATAATACTAATAAAAACAGTCTGCGTTTTATACTTATAATAGTCTTTTAACTGCAAACTAATTAATTAATACTAAGTAATATAGTTATAAAGTAAAATTATATAAAACGCGAAAATATTTTAAAAAAGTTATATATATCTAAACAAATAATATATTAAACTTAGATTTTATAAGACTTTTTAAGCTTTTATAAACTTATTATATATAATAAAAACTTAAGTTTTAAGAGTTATTATTAAAGAAAATATTAAATATTAAAAGTTTAAATTCTTTTATTATATAAAATATAATTTTTAATTATAAAACTTATATATAAAATAATTCTTATAATAAGAAATATTAAAATTAAAATATAAAAAATATAAAAAATATAAAAGAAAAATAAATATAATATAAAAAACTAGAGCTTAAATATAATAAATATAATATTAAGGGCTTAAAAAGTAAAATAAAGAATATTTTATAAAAATATAAAAAAATATTTTATAATATATTAATTATTATAATTTAGCTTTTAATTTATTTAACTAGTATTATTTATATTTTATTACTTATATTTTATTATTTTCGAGTTTTATAATTAAATATAAAAAAGAATAATTTCTTTTAATTATATACTAATTTCCTAATCCGGCCTAATACTAGATTCTTTTAAATATTTTATATATTTATATATATTTTTTTTATTTAATATATTTATTTTCTAATTTTTTTATATCTAATTTTTTTATATCTAATTTTTTTATATCTAATTTTTTTATATTTAATTTATTTATATCTAATTTATTTATATCTAATTTATTTATATTTAATTTATTTATATTTAATTTATTTATTATTTTAATATATAATTTAAGCTAAAAGTTTTTATACTAGTATATAAATCTTAAATCTTAAATTAATTCCTAAATTAAATTAAAAATATATATTCCGGTATACTAAATTTTATATTAGATTTTTATTTTATATTAGATTTTTAATTTCGTATTTAAATTCTTATTATTAGTATAGCTATTTTTTTTAGAAGTTATATATATAATTACGGGATATAGGATATAGGATATAAGTAATAAGATATAAGTAATAAGATATAAAATATAAAATATAATTATATAATTTTATATTTTATTAATAATTTAATTAGTAAACTAGACTTTTTTAAATTTAATAGATTTAGAAATTATATATTAATATTATAATACTATAATTCTTACTTTTAAATAATAATAACTTTACTAATTTTATATAAATAGTATTTCTATATTTATATAATAGTATTATATATTACTAGTAAACTAATACTAATTAGTTTATATATATAGATTAGAAAATAGAATTTTTTAAGCTAAAGAAATATCCGGTAGCTTATAATAAAATTAAACTAGTTTATATTAAAAAAGGAAATTATCTATTAATTTTATAAAGTATTTAATAGCTTAAAAAAGAAAATAGCTAGCTTTTACTAAGAACTAATAATTATTTTATTAAAAAGGAAAATTATTTATTAATTCTATAAAGTATTTAATAGCCTAAAAAAAAAGACTCTAGTTCTTACTAATTAATAAATAGTTAGCTATTTAACTATTTATTTATTTAATAATTTACTATTTTTTAAAACTAACTTTTTTTAGTTTTAAAACTATTTTCTTAAAAACTATTTTTTCTATTTATATAATACTCGTATTTATAAGATCTTTTTTCCGAAATATATATTTTATATATATTTTTAAAGCTTTTTAATTATTATTTTAATTTTATTATTAAATTAAGTTCTTTAAACTTTAGATTCTCCCGAAATTATAATATTTTACTTTCTAAATTTCTTATTATAAATGAAATATTTAAAAATAAAATATTTATTTTAATACTTTTAATATTTCTAGATATCTAAGATATCTAATATCTGAATTAGGTATCTAGTATCTTAATTACTAGATATCTAGTATTTTAATTACTAAATATCTAATATTTTAACTAGATATCTAAACCAGGTATCTAAATACTTTTATTACTAAATTCTTTTTATAAACTTACTATAAACTACCTTATTTTTAAATCTCTTTTATTATAAATTATATATATATATTAAAAAGAATTTGGCTCTAGAAATTTAGTATAATAGAACTATAGAATAAATATATATAAATAAAGAAATAAAAAGATAATATTAATCTAATTATCTATAATAATAAGGAAGTTCTAGATTACCTTAATACTAGATTATTTTAGTATAAAATAAAGAAGTTAACTAATAATTATTTCTGGGAATTATTTAAAAAAGATTTTAGTAATTTTAACTTTAAAGTATTTAATTATTTAGATTAATATATACTATATAAATTATAAGCTATTTTATAATATAATAGTATTTATATTAAATAAAATAATAAGAAATTTATTATTATATAGTTCTTAGTTAATACTATTTAAAAAAAAGAGTAATATACCTGAATTATAGCTAATATTATTATTACTAAACTAGATCTTAATATAGGTTTTATTATTTTATTATATATATTCTTTAATAATAATATTATAAGAAATTAATAAACTAAACTAATTATTATTTATATTTCTTTATTACTTATATTTGCTTCTATTAGTACTAGATTATAGAAAGCTAATAATAACGGATTTCTATTACTTTTACTATTTCTATTATTTCTAAATAGCCTTTTAGCTAGCTTTTTTATTATAAAGCTAATTAAAGAAATAATAAAGATATATATTAAAATATAGAAATATAATAAAACTAATAATAGTTTTAATTAAAAACTTATTATTTTTCTTAATATTTACTAATATATAAAGCTTTTATAAAAGATATTAGTAAAAGCTTTTCTTATTATATTAAAGGAACTAGTATAAGATTACTTTTATAATAACTAGCTCTTTTAATATATATATAAAGAGGCCTATATAAATATTTATAGCTTTTTTAAAGGCTCTAGTTTCTAATATTAAAACTTAGATAAATAAAATACTATTATAATAATAACTATAATAATTTAATATCCTAAAAAAACAATATTTAAACTTGTCTAATTACTAATTAATAACTTATATAAATTATAATATAGACTAGTATTTGCTTTATAAAATACCGAATTCCTATATAATAAAATTATTACTTCTTATTAAGATATACTAGTATACTAATATATAGTCTCGAATTCTTTTCCTAATCTTAGCTAACTTATTAATAAGCTCTAATTATTTATTACTATTTATAAGAAAAAATAATAAATTAATACCGAGATTCTTTTTACTAATTAATAATACTATTCTTAAAATCTTTTAAACTATTACCTATTCGGAAATTATTAATATAAATCTAGCTATAATTTCGAAACCTATAATAACTATTTCAAGTTCTATAATTATAATAATTATATTCTAAAGTTATATTTTATATATAAAAAACCCGAATACTATTTATAAAAGTATATACTAAAGAAATAAGAGGCTAAGAAAGCTTAATTTAAGAATAGAAATATTTACTAATTTAGATTCTGAAATACCTATAATTTTAATAAATGCTTTAGTAATATTTATATATAATATATTATTAAATTTAAATAAAAAAAGATAATAAAAATAGTAAGAATAAATTAATAAGTAATACTTTTAAAACCTTATTAGTAGAAATAAATAAAGGAAAGAAATATTATTCTAATTTCTATTTTATTTTTATTAAAAGCTTTCTAGCTATTTATATAGCTCTTAGTTCTATTATTTCTATAACTAATATTCTTATAAATAACTTTATTTCTTTTTTTCTTATATATTAGATAATAAATAAAAACTATATTTTAAAGCCTATTAAATAAATAAAAGATATTTAGATATTTATAATTAATAATATATTAAGATATAATATTTACTATTTTTATAAAGTTATAATTAATACTAGAGCTTCTAGATTCTTAACTATTAGTTCTAACTAATTCTAAGCTTTATAATAGACTAATAATAGTATTAAACTTAACAAAACTATTAAAAGTTAAGTTAATATCTAGTTTAATATTAGATCTATATTTTTTATTAGATCTATAATAATAAGAATACTAATTAAATAAGTATAATTCTATATTATATTTATAAAAACTCTATTTCTATTTAGCTTAGCTAATATAAATAAGCTAGAAATCTATTTTAATAATCTTATTAATTATCTTATTACTTTTACTAGATACTTTATACCTATAATATAATATTTTAAATACTTTTTCCTGTTTTAGAATACTATTTTATAAGGCTTTATTTCCGAATTCTTTATTTATAATTCTTGCTTTTTTATAGAAATTAAATTATAATATTTATATTATTATTTTAGTTATTTATTTATTAATAAGCTTTGAAATATACTAAAATAAATAGGCTATAATATTAATATAGAAGCCTTTAAATATTTTATAAAATACTATAAATAATACTAGAAATTCGAATAATTACCGAAATAATTTAAATTTAATCTAAGAAATAATATTAGCTTTAATTATTTTATTATTATTATTATTTTCTATATTTCTAGTAAGCTTATATTCTATATTATTAATAAAGATATTAGATATTAAGCCGGCTAATAATTTTAAAATATTAGATTAATACCTATTTAGGTTTTTCTAATTAAATTATAATAAATATTAAAAAGTAGTTTATTAGTAAAAAGTTTATTTAGCTTATAAATACTATAGGAACTAAGATTAAAATTATTTCTATAGAAGCTTATAGTTCTATTAGAATTATAGAATATTATTATAGCCTAATTTAATATATTTACCTTATTATTATAGCCGAAATTAATAGAATTAATAAGGATATTATATTTTAAATAGCTTTTAAAGCTATTAATAATTTTATTAAACCTAATAA